TTTACCTATCCATATTTTTCCCAGTAGTGCCCTTAGATTGTACATATCTAGCAGCATATATAGCTATAATTATTATATTATATACTATCTGTAATGGGCAGCTAGATAAGAGTAACTAGGCTGCTTATTAATAGTAGATACTAGAGTTGACTAAGCTTAGCCTAGCTCTAGATATAGCTACCTAACGACTGTGTGATCTCTATAATCTAAGCTCTCTTAGCTAGGTGAATTAGTAGATAATAGCGTTTAAGATAGGTAGTAACTTTATTAGTAATAACTATAAATTAGTATACTATATATATAAGTAATGAGAACTGGGAGTTAAATATAAATAGGTCTATATTAGTATATCTAGTAGTACTATTAGATTAGATAGATAATCTAGTATAAGATAAATATAATATTTATATTTAATATTAACTAGGTGACTATATCTCTTCTGAGTTAGGGAATAAGTAAGCTGACTAATCCTAGCTAGCCTAGGTGGGTTAGATAGAAGAAGTATAGACCACACTTCATTATAATACCTCCAAAAGATAGAAGACTTTATTAATTCTTTATTATTTAGTAGTATCTCTAAAAAAGCTAGCATTCTAGGTATAGAATGTTCTAACTATAACGTTTTAGTGTATCTCTATTTCTTATATTTTAGAGCTAAAAAGAGCATTAGTTCTTATAATAGTAAAAGCAATAGTTCTTACCCCCTATCTTTATCGCCCCACATTTTATTTTAGTGAGGGTTTTAATGGATGTTATAATCATCCTTTGTGTTCAGTAGGTTAGGGTTTCAACAGATGTTATAATTATCCTTTGTGTTCAGTAGGTTAGGGTTTCAACAGATATTACAATCATCCTTCGTGTTCAGTAGGTTAGGGAATGAGCAAGCTGACTAATCCTAGCTAGCCTAGGTGGGTTAGATAGAAGAAGCATAGACCACACTTCACCACAATACCTCCAAAAGATAGAAGACTTTATTAATTCTTTATTATTTAGTAGTATCTCTAAAAAAGCTAGCATTCTAGGTATAGAATGTTCTAACTATAACGTTTTAGTGTATCTCTATTTCTCATATTTTAGAGCTAAAAAGAGCATTAGTTCTTATAATAGTAAAAGCAATAGTTCTTACCCCCTATCTTTATCGCCCCACATTTTATTTTAGTGAGGGTTTTAATGGATGTTATAATCATCCTTTGTGTTCAGTAGGTTAGGCCCTAATACGGCCTATAACTGGTCTAGCACTATACTAACCGTCTCCTACATCTGCTGTAGTGTCGTCTCTTCCTCCTAAATGGCTTCTATTGTCTTAAAGAGCATCTTGCCGTCCAGCCCACGTAGATACTTAGCCCATCCCACGCAGTAGAGCCATAGGTTGGGTTCAAGCTTCTCGCTAGTTATATATATAATATCCTAGTTGCTTGTCTTCACCCGGTCCGCCTGGATCTATTGTAGCTATAGAATATAGTCAGCAGCTTGCTGAGATAGGGTTTAATTATTATGGGGGGGTAGTGCGTTGGCAGCTGCTGACCTATATCCTACCTAGAACTAGCGGCTGCCAGCCCGGGTTGGGAAAAAGCGCTAGCAATGAACGCCCGTAGTCCACGGGAGCTCGCGTGGCTGGGCTGATCTCTTCTTGATATTGCCGCCCCTCTGCCAGTCGTTCGTCCATCCATGCTCCGCCCGGCAATGCGCTTGGATTCTCTAGACTCAGCGACAGATATAAGAGCAGCTATTGCACTGGATGCCGTCCGTCTGTGCTGGTCCTAGATACTGTATTGGGTTAGTGGAAGACTCTAGGTACGTTAGCTGCGTAATGTCAGCCTGGCTGTGAATGATGCCGGGTATGCTCTGTGTGGCCTTGACGATCTATGCTCTCTCTACTGGGGTGATAGCTGGGTGTTATGTCCTTAGATGGGTTGCTATCTCGTTGGCGACTACTACAAACTGGCAAGTAGTACAGATAGTAGTTAAATATATTATATTGAATGTGAATGGATATATAATGCCTCTAATGTGGTGTTACTAATGTGGTCTGCTTTACTTGGTTATGGGATAGTGAACTGAGATATGCTGGACCCTTGAGTAGTCTCCTGTTGTCTAGGTGGTAGCTAGAATTCCGGCTGGTCTCTGGACGTACTGATCACCTGGTGGTTATAGTGTTCTACTAATGTCAACAACATCTCAAGACTTCATCAGAAATATAGTAATTCTTTCTAAATTCTATACTACATTCTAGGCCTAGAGACTTTAGATACTTTAAGTGTTAATTGCGCTCTTTAGATGTATGCACACTGCGACATCTTTTTCCTTAAAAACCTCATCTAACTCTACCCCCTGTCTTTTTAATGAACTCTACCCCCTGTCTTTATCGCCCCACTTCTTTTTTGGCTGGCGTTTTCAATGAACTCTACTATAGTTCATTGTGTTCAGTAGGTTAGGGTTCTTACTATACTCCCTTCTAGTTTAGTTCCCACCTTATCTTTTTATACTTATTATCTATACTAATTACTTTTAGGTAGTATAGCTTATTTTTACTCTCTAGCGTCTTTATTATGCCTTTATTCTATTTATAGTTATACTAAGAGTAATATAATAAGACTAAGAGTTCTTAAGCTAATATTAATATTAGGTTTATACTGCTATTAATTTATTAGGGAAGTTTATTATAATATTAAAAGTCTTCTTAGAATAGAAGTTCTAATAAATAATGCCCCTAAATTATTCTCTCCTACTATAATATATATAAAGCGTCTATCTCTCTATACTATTAGTATATATAACTATACTAATAAGATAATAGTAGTTCTATATATACTTTCTATATTATATAGAAATATATCTAGCTTCTTATTTAAGTTATACTAATTATTAGAGGGATTTAAGATAATAATAGATCTTATATAAGTAGAGAATCTTATATAATAAGATAAAGAAGTCTTATAACCTAGATATATTAGTAGGTAGCTAGCTAGATGCCTAGATATATCCTTTTATCCTCCTACCTATTTACCTCTCTCTTTCTTATCTATATTTAATTCCTTACTACTAGCCTAGCTAAACACTTAGCCCCTATAAATACGCTATATAGTAATAAGCTAGAGTTAGAACGGATAAGAAAAATCTCTTATATAGTTTCTAATACTAAACGGCCTTAATAAACTATAAACTACTTTATATACTCTATAGAGGAGTAGGCTTTAAACTAGTGTATTTAAGATACGTCTCTAAGCTACTTATAGGTGCTATTCCTATTAAGGCTAGCCGCTTAAGCTTTATTTTTACTCTCTATATCTCTTTATATAATTCTTTCTATAAGTAAGGTCTATTTAATTTACTACTATATATACATTCTATATAGATTACTTCTTTTCTATCTCCTATAACTAGTAGAGCTATTAATAGTTATATTTTTATAAGTAAGAGATTATAGAGGCTATATTAGTTATCTAATTATTTATAAGTCTTAGGATAAGCTCTCTAATAACTATAATCTAAAAGCCCCCTAGGGCTTCTTTATAAATCACTTTATAATAAGTCTTAGGATAGGCTTAATAACTATAATTTAAAAGCCCCTTAAGGCTTCTTTATAAATTACTTTATAATAAGTCTTAGGATAAGCTTAATAACTATAATCTAAAAGCCCCCTAGGGCTTCTTTATAAATCACTTTATAATAAGTCTTAGGATAAGCTTTTTAATAACTATAATCTAAAAGCTCCCTAGGGCTTACTTAATATTTAATAATATAATAAACTTAAGGATTAATAAGCCTCTAGGGGCTTTTCTATTCTAAATAAAGCTTTTTAATCTACCTATCTATCTACTTATTTATCTACCCCTATATTCCTTTTTACTATAGATACCTAAAGTAAATAAAATAATATCTATAACTATAACTTTATAACCTAGCTTATTCCTAATACTAAACCTCCTTTTCCTTCCTAGCCGCCTAAACCTCCTTTTCCTAGCCTAAACCTCTTTTTCCTAGCCCTAACCCCACCCTACTGGGGCCGTTCGCGCCCGCTACTTTAAAGATCTATAGTATACTAAAAATCTATAAAATCCCTATATAAAGATATATATATATATATATAAAGTTTTATATTTAACTCTATATCTATTTTTCTTTTATAATAGTATTTTATTATCTTAGTAGCTTAATAATTCTATTTTATATTAAATAACTATAGCTTATTATATTTAACTTTAATAGAATTATTTTTAGGGTCTCTAGGATACTATCCTCTAGAGCACTAATTATTAAGAGGTTTAATAATAAGCTTAATATTAATAGGTACTAGTAAGAGGTTTAAAAGTTAGTATTTATATTAAGATTTAGATTTAATAAGTTAACTTATAGAATTTATTAGTATAAATAAGTAAGAGGGATATTATAGTCTAGGTTTAAGTTATAATAGGTAGGTCTCCCCTATCTTTACTACTACTAGCTATAAATCCACTATATATTAAGGACTACTTCTAAAGAGGGACTTTTATTATCTAAAGCTATAGAGGTAGCTAGATATCTCTTATTATAATACTAGTTATTATACCTATTATATAGGTAAGTATAATAGCAACTAGGTCTAAGATAAGACTAATATATATTATAAACCTATCCCTATCTATTATAGATCTAGTAATATTAATATTAGAGAAGTTAATACTATCTATTATTACTAGTATAGGGAAAAGTATAATTATAGTAGTTATTTTACCTACCTCTAATGACGTAGTATAGAGCGGAATAGAGATAGTAGTAGTTATTCCTAAGGGTTTTAGTAGGAGGACTAAAACGTAAGGACTCTTATACACTACTATTAGCTAAGTATAGACTTAGGTGCTAATATAGATAACGTTATCTAGGTATAGGTTTCTATTATTAAGTTTAACTTAAGTATAAGTGCCCTATAGGTAGTAACCACGACTACAAGCGAATTTATAGAGCGAGTTATATAGCTGCTCGTCTATACCTTTAGCAGACTTACCTAAAACCGTGTCGCTCTAGGCTGGAGAATTATACAACAGATCTATCGAGGAACAAAGGCATAAGTAGATGGGGCAGAAGCCAAAGTTACAGGAAAAATTACAGAGTCCCTCAATAGCTCCCGCGCCCGTGCCGGAGGTACACGCATTAGGTGTAAATAGCGAGACTGTGGGAACGACTGTTAGGTACTCTGTTGTTCCGCAATGCTGGCTCGGGCAGAAACTGAGATTGCAAGCGAAGGTACAGAGACCCTTATAGCTTGCAGACTTCCCCTGGGTGGGATATCCAACGGTGCCGAAACCGGGAGTGTCTGCGTCGGGCTCTTTGATGCCGGGCCCCATCTTGGTGCAGTAACATGCTCCGGGTGGACAGTAGCCGTACTTGCAAGTGAACTCGCAAAGCGTGTCGAACCCGACGGCTGCCGTGCCCTCGATGCAAACCCATTGGGTGGTATCGACTTTAGCGTTGAGGGATGCTCCAGTCGTACTTGCAACGAAGGCATTCCAGTTGGTGTAGCCACTCGTTGAGCCGCAGTCTCCGGTTATGGGTCGCTTGTTGACGGCCATGGAGCCAACGGTGACGACAACATTACCGACGTTTCTCCCAAAGTCGGCACTGCCGTGATAGATGCCGACTCCTCCGCTGGGAATTCTGTCCCATTTCGCGTCGAGGTTGACCCCGCCGACAGTCACAGTGATCGGCTTGTTCTCGGCGAGCAGGGCCGAGTAGAAAATCTTGTCCTGAGCAACTTCATAGGGCCAGAACTCGAGCTGCAGCTGGCTTACGGTGTTGCCGGTTGTCCAACCGTCATCGCAACCAGCCTGAGACGATGTGACGCAGTACTAGGCGACCAGCTTCTCCTGTGAGACGGTGGCAATCCCCGCCTTGTATAGGTCAATGGTGAAAGGGAGTAAGTCCCGCCAACCGTTGTGAGGCATGTCGAGCGCATAGTTGAACGGGGCTTGGCCAACTGTGAATGCCTCGTAGCTGTCGCCCTCGACGTAGAGGGGACCGATATGATGAGACTCTCCAAAATCTTTCCAAGAGATGATGTGGACGTAGTCGGGGTTGAGAAACCTGATCTGGTCCCAGCGAGCAAACCACAGATCACTAGATGATAAGACTGCCAGTGGATTGTCGCTTCAACGCGAACACAAACAAATGTAGCTTACTCTCCTCTCCACATCCAGTTGTTCTTGTATCCAGGAAGGTTGGTGTAGAACCACGGACTGGCCGGCATCACTGTAACCGACTCGTCAGCGCCCATCTTTACTCGGCCCATAGCGCTGGGGACTTCTTTTGAAGCGATACTTACTGTACTTCATGTCCGAGCCACAATTACCCGCCGCAGTATTGAGAAACTCGAGATAGGAGGCATCGACGTAAGTATTCGAGTCCGTGTTGCCCCAGGGCCACGGCGCCCAGCTGAATAGACCGTGAGGCACACAAGGAGCAGCCGCGAGAGCGCTTTTGGCACCGAGAGACGACCAATCTGGGAGGGACAGAGCGTTTGTTTTTTGGATGATATATTCCCAATCTTTGGCGTTGCCAGGTCCCTCAAATGTCGAAACCAGGGGACGTCCCTCCTCATCGTGGTAGTACGAAGAGTAAGCACCGTAGTTTTGCGTAAGCTGGATGACGCGGTTCGCTGCCCAAGGGCCCCCGCCGGCGTAGTCATAAGAGAAGATCATCTTGAACCCCAGGGCATCGGCGGCCTCAAAGGCCGTCCCTAGAGACGTTCCCAAGGAAGCATCGTCCTGGCGGATGTTCAGGGCGAACCCATCGATGTGGGCTTGCTGGGCCAACCTGATGTCGACCTTCCAGGAATCCAGGGACCATTCTTTGGCGTTTTCAACCTGTTTCTCCCATCAGTGCGACTGCAAGATCGCATAATTCAACAAGCAACGCAACGGTACCATGAAATGGGCAAAGACGGCTTTAGCTTGCACTCGCGCGCAGCCCACAAGGGCAACCGCGACTCCAAACATGCGCATGCTGAAGGAGATGTGCCGACGGATTTGAGATAGAAAAGAGTTGTTTGTGATGTAGATTGTAAGATAATCTTTTTGGTCAAACGTGAAGAATGACCTGTGACGGCGAGGGAAATTTCCGGATACTTGAAGAAAGTCTCGGGTCGGCAACACTCATGTCCCTCCACCCCCTCATGCCTCAAAACGGAAGCGCCATAGTATCATATGTGATATGCCTGGCAAAGAGAGAGCACCTAGTAGGCCTGGCATCAACGGGCTATCATCGCCAGTCTCCATTTGCCCAGGCTGCGCCGACTATACCACGCAAGTCTGTTGGTTAGATGTTGCAACCCTTACCGACAAGAGACTAGTTTAATTAAGCAACCACAAACAGCCTTCCAACATTTCCTCTCAGCAGAAACTATCTTCGCCTCAGAAAGAGGTGCTAGACAGTCTCGAGGAGGCTATGCTCATCACATGACGACGTTTCATTAGTCCCGGACTATGTTCATACGGTTTACTTTCAACTATTTCATACGTATATACACACATAGCCAGCCTCAGACCCAACTAGTGTCGTTGAGCTTTTCCTTTAAAAAACTATCTTCTTTAAGAGTCCATCTCGCTAAATCATGTTCCCTTGGCCAATACACTCGTAAAAGCGCAAGGCAAAAACTGGCACCTGCCCCGATCATCCTCCCGGCAGCACAGCAGCGCGATTTACTTACTAATGGGTCCTAGACGAGGAATTGTCCCAAATATAACGCCGGACCGGTAGGCCATGTCGTAAATTCTTCACGCATTTGTGTGTGCAGTCTTGGCGAGGGAGAAGAGCAGGGGCAGCGATTGGAGTCGCTGCGGCGAGACAAGGATGGGTGGGCGGAAGGGCTTCTTTGTTGTTGTTGTTGTTGTTGTTGTTGTTATTGTTGTTGTTGTTGTTGTTGTTGTTATTGTTGTTATTATTGTAATATTTAACGCCTGCTTTAAACCTCTAGAGGCAAGTTAAGTCTGTTGGTTCTTGGTATCATTGTTGGCGGAGTAAGTTTGGAAACCCAGGTTCAATTCTCAGGTCCAGAACCAACAGGCGCCCTGATTGCTGAAAACGGAAGGCCGTTTGGTGTTGCGGTGAATCAACGAGAGGTTATTCCAGGCTTTCCCTGGCCATCGGGTATGGGCTCATGTCGCCTATTAACGTAAATTGGTTTTGGGTGCTTTTGCCTAACTGCACTCAGATCAGTCTCCCAGTAGAACTTTGCCGATACCAACTTTATCATGGGGATAACAATGACCGGGTGAATCATGCTTCCCTAAGACGAAATGATATCTAATTATGACGAGCTGTTCTGGTGGGCTTTCTCTCGTGCCGGCTCTGCCGCAGTCTTTGAGCGGTTTATTGACCAGGGAATTGGGAACGGCGCGCCAACAACCACCAACCCGAGATAGGCCGCACGGCCGTTGCAGAAGCATCTTGAACTTGGAAGCCCGGGATTCCGGCCAAAAAGACAGCGTTGATCTGCCCGCCGCCCTTCTCCGCCTCTCTGTCGTCAAATAGCACGACCGGGCATCTGGTAACGGATGCCGGAATGTGCTTAGCACTGATGACTGGAAACTCAACTCCGTCCAGTGCCAGACGTTTTCTCCACACGCTTTTACTGTTGAATGTTCTCTGGCGGTCACTAGAAGGATCCCACTACGAGAAGGCAGTCAGCTAGCCGGAAAACGTGACTAGCGTCCCGGATCCTCTCTGTCCAGACTCGTAGACCGCGCGCATCCAAAAGCTCTTCACGTCTTCGTCGTGCGGCCGGTCGAAACTGGCCACCATGTATTCAAGCACTTTGGACAAGCAGGCGGTCCACTCAACCGTCTCATCACTGAGCGACGACAAAATTTCCAGTCCATCCAGCATCTTGACCCAATCTTCCCGTTCGCCCAGTAACGTGACTGAGGGGAAGCCGCAGCCGATTCGGACTTCATAGCTGAAGTAATTCTTCATGGTACCCAAGAATGCCATAGCAGCGGTGGCCCGCTCATCGTCGGTCGTCGTGCTGAACTCGAGTAGCAGTCGAGTCGCAATCTCGGGGTCTCGAAGACCGTCCTTCACCAGCTGCACAAGCTGACTGACGACGTCGTTAATATCAACTGCGGCTAACCCAGCTGGCCGGGCATCTATGACGAGATGCCTACGGCCTTCGTGTTGCACAAACTTATCGCGAAGCGTTTCGGCTCTACCTCCGCCGTTGACGAAAAAGCTGAGTTGCACGACGACGGCCAGCCACACGTCATCTGGCCGCAGAGTCAAGTGCAGATCTTGCTGAAAAGCGCGGATAATTGTGTTCGAGAAACCGTTCTCTCGCGCGACGACACCTGAATGTATGTTCAGAGACTCAAAAGAAGTGCGCAGGATGTCATTGTGGTAGAAGTCGTGGTATGAAACCGATTTAAGCAGGCCGGCTGCCGAGGTTGCTACGCTGTCTGCGTTCACACCAACGAGGCGTGGGTTTGGTTTGACGACTGTAGGCATCGCATCCGTCTTTGGTGTGGAAAGCGGGAGAGTTGACTGAGGTACATTTTCTCCGTTGGTCGAGAGGGTGCGACGGAGTTGAATCAAAGTGTGCTGCTCTTCGGTAATAAGCGAGCATATCGTCCGCAACCCCTCATTATGTCTCCGATAAACACGTTCAAATACTTACGGACATATGAGTCAGCATTATGTATATGTTGTAATTCATAAAGCCTTATGGCCATTACGCAATGTCGATAATTGGCATACAAAGTGAGAAATATGGAAAGATGACGGATCTCTGCAGAATGGCAGGAGGGCTGCCGTGTAGCGCTCAAGCCTCAAGAAGGAATCTATTTGCTCCAAAATATGCACGAACATCTTACATAAGAAAAACCTCTATGTCTCCAGCCTTTGCTACTTCGCAGGTCTAACTCTATGTCTACAATTTGCTTCGGAGGTTCTTCCTCTCATCCTTCTTAAACAAAACCTTACTATTGGGGTAAGGATCGAATACCACGCTGTTCAGAGGATTGTCCTCGCTCGCGCGCTTGAACATGTCCTCGTACACCTTTCCATCGTATCGACCCAGGCTGCTGTCCAGAACCCAGTCATCGAACTTCCAAGCATCGACCAACCTTACGGCATGTGGCCTGATTTCCTCGAGCAAGCTCATCACGGCTTTAGTTCTCGCCAACGTGATTTGACGCACGGTAACAGCAGCGGAGCTGTAGAACTCGCTGGCCTCACGCTCCAGTGTGTGCAAGGCATACAGCCTGAAAAGCTTGTGTAGCAGCTCAACAGTGTCCTTGTCCAGCTGATCTGTCGTGGCCTTGTCGTTGAGGGCCTGGTGGAAGTTCTTGACAACCATGTACTGCGCGTGTGCCGTGCTCAGGCGCCAGAAGTCAACAAGCAGACTGTTCCATGACTGCTTGTCTTCGTCCCTGTGACGCAGAGCTTCGAATGTGAGGAAAGAAACGCGCCACGCGAACGCCGCAACAAGATCTTCGTCAGAGCCGAGCACATCAAATGCCGCGCCAATATCTCTACGGCGAAGGAACTCGGATAGGATTCTGGTTGTGTCGTTGTTGCCAGCTTTGCCCTTCAGTACTGCACGAGCGGACTTGAGCAGGTAGCGGGACACTTGCTGCGTGAGCATGTAGTTGTCGCCTTCCCAGGTCAGAGTCGGCAGGTAATCAGCATACCAAGAACCGATGCCACTGAATGACGAGTAGCCATGACCGCCACATGCGCGACGGCAGACCTCCAAACCCTCGCCTGCCACAGTCGATCCATACGCCTTGAGGGCGCACGAGGTAGCGTGCAGATCCGCCAACAAGTCAGTCCCGGGGTTGAGCTCCTCGGGACCAGGATTGCGGGTAGCATCGCTCAGCTTCCCGGCATCGGCACGCATCCGCTTCTGGTTTTCGTTATACAGGTTGATCATACCGCGGCCAGTAAAGTGAAGAGCAAAGGTAGCCGCAAGCAAAGGCAGAAGTCGGACTTGCACCATTGTGTAGTTGAGAACTTGGTTCTCGCCAGGCTCGTTTGCGGGCGCATCGCGATCTTGGAATTGGCGACGCACGGCGCAGTATCGGGTAGCGATTGTGACGCCCTTGGCAAGAACAGATCCTGCTTGAAGAACAATGTTGGACCGCACCCAGGTGAGAGTTCCGTACACCAGGGAAGGGTTGGCTGGGCGGCTGTACTTTCCTGTCTGCGGATCGACAGAAGAGAAGCGTGCCAGCATGTGATTGTGGGGGATTTTCACGTTGTTCAACAGCAGGAAACCATTATCCATGGTGTTGTATCCAAACTTAGGACCGATATCGCCAACGTGAACGTTGGGGAGTGGCTCGTGGGTGTTCTTGTCTCGAATCGGTACGACGAATGGGTGAGGGCCGCGAGTCTTCCCGTCGATGATGAGTTGAGCCATGACGACGGCATGAGTGGCCATCTTGCCAAGGGAACCAATCCACCACTTCGACGCGGTCAAATGAGGCGAGTGCATGACGAAAGTCTTGTCTGCTGGATCCCAGGTTGCGGTGGTCTCGAGGCCACGGACATTTGATCCGTGGCCAAGCTCGGTCTGGGCATAGCACCCGATAATCTCGTAGTTTTCGGCGGGCTGGAGGAAGATCTTGTGCTGCTCTGGTGTGCCCTGCTCGCGAAGGGTTACGAGAAACATGCTCGCGTGCAAGCCATAGGGGGTAGGCTCGCTGATGAGCTCATTAGCAACCTGATATTCTTCCTGAGACCAGTTGTGCTTCTTGTTCAACTGGAACAGCCGCTTGCCCCTCGCCAGCGAGGCCTCGATCCGGCCTTCGCGACCTCGGAAGTAGTTCTGCGTCTTGTCGAAGACGGGGTCGGCCTTCAAAATGTTCAATATTCTCTCATTGCGTTCAAGCGCTTCGTTGGTGAACATAAAAGTTGCCAGTTGGTCGATGTTGAGGTTCGACTTCGCCCTCTCCTGGGCGAGAAGCTCTGAGCCCTGAGGGCCCGAAGGCTGTAGTTTTTTGACCCAGTCCGGGGTATTCGGCATGATGATGAATTGATTGCGGAGGTTGTGGGGAGTGGAATGGGAACTGCAGGAACAGTCTGGGGAACGGAAGGTCGATGAAAGGCGCCGATACGATTTTGTAGAATTCCCGTCCTCGGCCGGACCGGCTACATTAGAAGTCTAAATCTAATCAGGGGCGTCTTCCGGCTGTCGGAGTGCCGCCATGACGCGCTCACATGGGAAGTGCCTCGGCTATTACTGATTCGGGTTAGACGTCATTTGTGACCGGACACGTAGACCGTCTTGAGATCCGGGGTTCACTCAAGTGACCCGCTAAATTTTGCGGCGCATCTCCCGAATATCGGACATGCTCGGTACAACACTGCGAGCCGAGGTGATATTGCCGTGTTGTCAATGCACGGCCGAGAGCTCGGGAGCAGACATTGCTGCACATCAATCACGAGGAACTGGCTCGGACTTGCATCGAACAACATCGCTGGAAGTGGCAATCACACTAATTTCCGTGATCGTGCTATGCTATCAAATCCTCTCGTTGAAAGGAGCCGGCTCATCTGGGGTTCTGGGATTACATCGCCATGTGCCGGTGCTTATCCACATGATTTCAAAACTGACCATAGTCACCGACCGAATCAGCCCAAAGAAACATGGATACACTTTCATGTGTTCAAATTGACGCTGGGGGCAAACGAGTCTTCGAGTCATACAATACTGATGCACTTCTCTTCTCTGGCCCCGGTGTCGTTGGGTTCACGCTAGATCGCGTTCACGTGTGAGCAAATAAGATATACTTCGTGATTCATCAGCAATATTCCGAGGACCACGAGGCCTCAACAGCTAGTTGCGATAGTTCCTGCTATCTATTTCATGTTCCAAAGTTATGAATCATGACCAAGTCGCAATTGCTTTGAACCTCCCGAAACTTCAGGACATCGAGGAGGCTATATGGGAGATAAGCCGTTTAGATTAACACTTACAAAGCTGATGTGTGCATCTCTGTCAATAGTAGATCTAGCCGCATCACGGCATCGATACCATCATGATCCAGTTTGGACTCGGAGCAGGCCCGAAATTGGAGTTTCCTAGTTAAAGCTGACTCTCACACATCCCACGAGTCGTCACTAGCCACATTTCCGCGATGCGCAACCTCCAAAAGCCTGCACCCATTGACCAATAGCCTCTCCGGATGTTTTTGAAGCTCCATCCCTGCGCCACAGCACGACACATTTCAGAGTCTTTTGGCTGCTATTGCGCCCTGCGTGTCATTTGCTCCCTTCCCATTCAACCAACAACTCCACTATCCACTGCTTTCAATGCACATTTAAGAATCTTTACCAATTGACCTCCAAGTCTGAACCTTTCTTTTCTGGTTCTTACGTCAGAGACAAGACGCCTCTTTCAAAATGACAGCATACATTCGCCCCTTGTCCGTTAGCGACCTCGACCGCTGTTGTGTTGTGGAATCTGCAGCGTTCCCGCCAGCTGAAGCAGCAACTCGTGAAAAGGTGCGCACCCAACTTCCAATGGGCTATTTTCGACTTGCTTTATCAGCTACTTCATCCTTGAATCTCTCTCTGCTCCAACGTCCTCAATGATGACATTGCCACATGCAAGCCTGACCTGCGAGATAGATCGAATATCGGCTGAGCGTTTGCCCTGGACTGTGTTTTGGGCTTTTTGTTCCTGGGGGAACTCCCGACTCTGATGTCACCAAGCCGACTGAGAACATTCCAATCTTGACCAGCGCCTCGGATGGCGCAGTCAATGACCGGCTCATCGCACACGTTATAGCGACTAAATCGGCGTCACGGGTTGTCAGAGACGAGGATATGGCTGTCCCGCCCAAGTGGAAGGAAGATCCTACGGCCCAGTACGAAGTTGGCCACAACTCACAAGGGCGCACCATTTCACTACACGCATTGGCTGTATCCCCAGCCCACCAGAGATCTGGCTTTGGCAAGAAGTTGATGAGTTCCTATATCGAGCACATGAGACAGATTGGTGAGGTCGATAGAATCTCTATCCTCACGTATGACAGGCTAGTCCCTTACTACCAGAAGCTTGGATTTACGCACTATGGCAAGAGCGCGTCTGAGTATGCTGGCATTGCCTGGCATGATCTGGTATTTGGCCCTTGCATTCAGATTTCGGTAAAACATATCTCAGCTGACAAAACAATTCGAAGGCATACGAGTATTCGGCTTGATTTACATAGATGGTTTGCTACTCGAGGTAGACATCGCAACAAAACATCAAGGGAGGGCAATGAGTATCTATCGCGAATTAGAAGGGTCGTTATTCGAAAAGTCGATGTGTTTCTTTGGCAACTAGAACCATGAGAAAGCTCAACCTGGAGATCAACAACCTAGATAGAACGGATATTCATCAGACTTTGCGCGTTGCGTAGCCAGTCAAACTTACTATAGAAGGACGTACATCTTGATTTCTGTTTATTAGTAACCTCATTCGATACATTCAATGGTGTCGCAGCACACTGGCGTGCTTGCGCTGACCTCGAAGCGCCGGAAGCTGACAGCTCCACCGCAGAGGCCGTTTCGTGGACCACACTCCGCGTTGACATCGGTACTGAAGACGGCGAGAGCAATCGTGAAAACTGCAAGATGTTATCGGAAAAATGCATTTTAGGCCTAACGTTCTTGCCGGGTCAAAGGTTATACCTCAAGGTTGTAAAGAGAAAAATGGCATGCTTGATTTGATTCTCGCCGTATGAGTCTACGGCGGGCAATAGCCAAGACAAATGACATGCGAAACGTCGAGTGAGAAAGGTTTATGAAGTGTGTCTTCCAGTGCCTTCTCTAGAAAGCAAGATGGTCTTCGGCTCTTTCATAACTTCCTACAGTATCTATTCATAACGCTGCAATTCCCATGGTCAATTTATCAAATACGCTGCACAGAGGCCAAGAACCCAAGAATTCAGCTCATAGACGACAACCTGCTCTGGCTGCTCCATGTTCGTCCCGTGTTGTCAATACTCATCACAGTTCATCTTGTCATAGAGTTAGACCAAGCGTCAAAATAATTCAAATTTAGGCCTTAAGCTTCTATCATCTGCCTTGGTGACGAATAAGAGCGCGTGTCTTCGTCGAATCTTTGCGACTCGTCTTGTGTCCAAGTTCGATGTCGCAAATCGTGTTAACCGAAGCCACATGCTGAAGACAGTCCAGCTGTTTTGTCGGACCCAGTGAATCGCTCAGTTCCAGGAAGACAAATAGCGAGCCAGCCTGTAGGAACATGAATCTCGAGGCATGAGTGTTTGATGCATTTAATAGCCGTCAATAGGAGAGAATGCTATATGAGAACGTCTGCAAGTTTTGGCGGCAGATCAAGCATGAACGGAGTGTTTCCCTTCATCAAGGCTCAAGCTTTTCTCACAGAAGGTAACCACAATCAGCAATATTAGCCATCAATAGATCTACAGAGAACAATGGACAGAAATTCCGGGCACCTGCAGGGAAACGCCACAGCGGCTTCAAACCTAAAGCCGACTGGTTCGTTAGCCGCTCCGACTCGCGGTGTGCTGCACAGGTACCCCTCCTGATTCTCGGGACGCTACCGGTCACATCATCGCCTTTCGTCTCATGATCGGATGTCTCATCATCATTTTTTCAGTGCTCACGTGGCAGTCTCATCTATGACCCCTACGTGACATTTTTTTACCGGCCACGTTGAGACAACAACAATAACAACAATATTTTGCGTTGTTCGCCTCACCTACCTAGGTATTCAATCATGGTCCGTACGGTAGATCTCCTGAACGGCGACTTCACGGTTCATATTGACCGAACCACGGGTGCAGTCCTAGAGATCGTAGATCCTAGCGCTGATAATCCACTCAACTGGGTCAGTTCCCCGGGAAATGCACCTTGGCAGCCTCTGGGGAGTCGCTGGGGTCTTGGTTTCGCAGACCTTGGTGCCAATCTGCTCCACCGAGTTCATTGGAACAACCCTCACATTGAAGGCTCGAGTGCTCACGATGCCACTGAGGCCAAGTACTGCTACGGTCCGCTTGAAGTCCTCGTCAGCCGTCGCTTGAACAGCGACACTGGGGCTTTCACGGAAACATACGAGTTCACCAACCGAGGAACCTCACCGTTAAATCTCTGCGCCAAAGGACCACAATCATTGGCTATTTACACGCCATTCAATGACCATTATACGAATACCACGGATGCCTTAGCAGCCCGAATGCATGCCCATGTGTGGGCTCACGGCGGAAGCTCATCATGGGTCAAGCTGAGCCAGATGGGCGGCCATGGCCGTGATCTAGGTCTAGTCCTTACTCGCGGTGCTTTATCCGGCTACAGCATTGAATCTCGGGATGAAGTTACTCATTCGAACACAAGAGGCGTTTTCCTCCTCCACCCGACAGTCCCAATCCTGGATCCCGGTGACTCCAGCATCGTTGAATGGACTTTTTTCTGGCACAAGGGATGGGATGACTTCTTTTCCCAGTGTGCCCGTCGCTCAAGCCAATTTATCCATCTTGATATTCCAAAGCACACCTTGGTCAGCGGCGAGAGTGTCACGATACGGATGAGGGGCAGCCCTGCAGCCATCAACTCGACAACCACAATCAACGGCCACCCTGTTCATCAAACTAGGGAAGGGTTCAGCTTTATCCATCATGCTGGGGCTTTTGGGGAGAAAGCCTTGCGCATCTCGACTGGGTCAGGAGTCGATCTTCGAGAATGTCATATTTTTCTCAATACTGTTCCTGAATATGATGATTTGATTCGGAGCCGCATCAACTTCATACTCGAGAAACAACAAGTCACCAACCCGAGCGACTTTTTGTATGGCGCCTACATTGTCTACGACAATCAAGCAGAAGCGCCGCCGTTCTATGAGACTCAACAGGATAGGAACGCGGGCCGTGAACGTGTTGGCATGGGTGTTCTAATCGGCCGATGGCTGAAGAAGTATCCAGACAACAGGTTGCAGCAGTCATTTTCCGCGTATTACTCCTTTGTTTGTACGAAGCTTCAGGACAAGGACGGATTCGTGTATGATGCGCCTGTTGGCACCGGAACCAGCAGTCGCAAGCGGTTGTACAACTGGCCTTGGGTACTACAGCTTCATCTTGTTGCTGCAGCTATCGGTATTCCAGCTCTGTCTGGCAAAACACCACTCGAAAGATTCATGCTGACTCTTGAGAACTTCTACGAGGAGGGTGGTGAGACGCTGTATGCCATCGGCCTGCCTATTCTCGAGGGCTTGCGCACACTTCAGGCATCTGGTAATCTGAAATCGCTTGAGAGGGCCAAAGATTTGTTCACTGGGCATGGTCGGAATATTCTGAAGCGTGGCACAAATTATCCTCCGTTTGAAGTCAACTTCGAACAGTCTATTGTTGCTCCGGCAGCAAATATCCTGCTGGAGTTGTATCGATTTACACATGACGAGACATGGCTGGAAGGAGCACGAGCACAAATGGAGGTACTTTTGCGATTTGCTGGTAAGCAGCCAGACTATCGCGTCCACGACATTGCCATTCGCCACTGGGACGGCCATTGGTTTGGGAAAGATCGTATGTGGGGAGACACGTTCCCTCACTACTGGAGCACCCTCAATTCTATCGCTTTGCACCATTATAGCAAGGCAACAGGGGACGAAGTATCTCGGAAACAAGCGGAAGGTATTTTGCGCGGGAATATCGCGCTGTTCACTCCCGAAGGTAGGGGGTCTTGCGCCTGGATATATCCAACCTCTGTAAACGGCCGAGCTGGACACTACAAGGACCCGTATGCCAATGACCAGGACTGGGCTCTGGCGCATCTTCTACAGCTCGAGGAGGACGACGCAATCTCGACTGAGGAAGTTTTGTCTTGAGACTACATTTTCGAGTCGAGTGGCAAGTGCAGGCATAGATTGGTCTCAAACGACTTTCAACGCATATAGAAACGATGCTTCCAGTTTTTCTAGAATGTTCTTCTTCAAGTTGTTTACATTTTTACTCATGCAATGAGTGTTTCTTTTCATGGAAATTTCTAGTTTGGGGAACAAGACACAACCTTTTGAGGTCGTCTCAACTTCTACGTTGATCATCACCCTTCAAACGTTCTGCTTTTTATCCAGCTGACTGGACATTCGGCAAACAGCGACGGTGGAATTTCCATTTGTTACTAGCTACACAAACTCGAAAACTCATCCAGCGAATCTGACGTGCTTCTAAGGGCTGCAAAACCTTCACGGCGAGGAGATCCTATATCATCTAAAGCGTCTCTTAGTCGAACATTGTTGATGTCAGCCCCAACAAAACATAACTATCTTGTGACGCGGCGGCCCGCGCCTATCAACCCCGTCAGGGCTTTTTCACATAAGACTGACTTGTCGTCAAGTATCCTGTCCTAGACAATAGGGCCAGTTCTTAAAGGTGCTAGGGGACCTATCACGAGACTGAAAACTTGGTAGCTCTTCTGGGACTTATTTGAATATAGGGTCTCTATATTTTCAGAGCCATCGGCCTTTTCAGTTGAAACTTCTAATTGAAGCGCTTGTCCTTGGATTGGCCCCTAATTCTAAGTTATTAAGTCTCGCATGCCACTTTTTATCAAGAGTGTGCGGATCACCACCTCTAAAGTCGACGAATCTAGTCAAGACTCAAGTGCTTCAAGCAATTCATACTTCACATCTACGCAATATCACAGCAGCCGCAGTTCTTTGTATGAAGCTAGTCCGGTGGCGCCGAGTGTATTGTGTTCTTTCTTACTGGCAGTGGTGGCTCTGGAGCAGCTTATTTTAACTACATCCGGCCAACTAAATTGGGTTCAAGTTAAGCAGCGTACTCTTTCCAGACGATTAGTGCTGCCGGATCGAAATTTAGTGTCTCCTGGAAATGTCTTGCCTCTTTGTTAGTACTTTCCATATAGTCAAAGCCCTTGTTGTCGGAAGCTTCCTCGAGTTCGTTGCATTTCAGACCTGCGAATCCCCTTTTCCAATTTAAGCAGATTCCAACAGTTGTGCAGCTGCAAATCCTCCAGCATGAACTCTACGCATTGGCCAGAGAACTCTTTCGAGGACAGATCCTCCGTGGCTTATGGTGTGGTAGCGTTCTTGCTTTTCTTATCGACGATCAGTGTTTCTCTGCGTTTATGGACTCGTAAAATGATCCACCAGTTTGGGGTCGATGACTGGGCAGCACTGTTGACACTGGTACGTTTTGTTTTAATCTTATTCTGCGCATACTTTGGAGCTTTGTTGACATTCCGATAGATTCTGATAATTGCCTGCGGCATCAGCATTACACAGAGTAAGTTGCTGTTTTCAGGTCTTCATCACTGAGAGATACTAAGGTTCCGTTCTCAGTGACAAGATATGGGCTAGGAAGACACGGTTGGGCTCTATCACTCGATGATCGAATTCTCTATCAAAGGGTATGTGCGGCAAAGGCAACAATCGTCAATTAACTAACATCTTCAAGTCATTCTTCGTGTCACTCGTTCTCTATGTTGTCACTCTTGCGGTAGTAAAGCTCACATTTCTTCTTCAATACTACCGCATATTGTCAGTTTCGAGAATGAGACACATCTACATGGTAATGATTGTTCTGGTAATCATTTGGGGCATTACGCAGGCCACGTTTGCATTGGTTGCGTGCATCCCCCTCGAAGGGTTCTGGGATCCGAGAGTCCAGGCAAAATGCATTCCAAATGCGCATATTGCCTGGTATATCAGCGCACTTTTTAACATCCTGAGCGACATCATCATCCTAGTCCTGCCCATTCCTGTTATACGCAAACTCAATCTCCCCGGGTCGCAAAAAGCCTTCCTCATTGGCATTTTCAGCCTCGGGTTCTTGTGAGTTTTTCATGCCGCACAGTTCGCTTTCTGGTCAATGCTAATCGCACTTCTCATGCTCAGAACAGTTGCAATTTCCGCTCTGCGTATCAAATTTCTCACTCTCCGGCCAGATCCCACGTGGTCAAACTTCGATCCTACTCTTTGGTCACTCGCAGAGTTGTCTTCAGCAATCACTTGTGCTTGTCTTGCAACTCTGAAACCGCTTGTAACCAGACTTGGCAACTGGTTCTCCAGACCAACGAACACCGAGAGTGTGGCTCAGATGGCCGAAACAGAAGACAACATCAACAAGTCCCCACCCCCAACAGCTTCAACCGTGACAGCGATTGAAGACTTCTCATCGCCGAACTATTCATGTCTGGGCCCATCGCAGCGGTGGTCTAGTGTTACTTATACTAGCGGGGTCTTACAAGGCATGATAACAGATCGCAAGGAATTGTCGCGGACAAGTTCGGTGTAGGGAGGAGCTATCAAGGACAGGTTGGCAAGATCATCTCCCACGAGCATTGGTATCCCAATATTTTGGTTGATTTCTTAACGGCATAACGTTTTGTCACACTACCGCATGATTTCACGAGCGAGCGCCACGGAGTCTTCCTTTGATTTGTAGTTTGTAAGGGGGGGAACAAAATAAGGTTCCTATTTCACTACAAATCAATCGTTCTCTTCTACCAAACTGAAAACGCTTTGGACGACAGCAGTCATGTATTAGTGTTGTAGATTGCTATGGACATGGAAAAGTGGCTTCAGATGCATTGGATCATACTCAAAAACTATTCATATTCCACCGCCAAGACGATGTTCGAGCCCCCGTCTCTCACATTACGTCAGACTTTGGGAGAAATACCTCAAGGGCTGATACAGAGCAGTCCTCTCTGAGGGGTCCTTGGCGGCAGACTGACATTTTCTTCGTTGTTGATGCCATTCGCCAAGAGATATCGCGAACGGCCTCAGCCAACCACATCTTGCAAAGTCAAGGTTAGAGTGATGACACAATAGTGTGACATTCTCTCGCAACGTTAGGAGGCACTTTAGGGATGTGAACATTCACGGTATTGGTAGAGGTCTGCAGTAGCTCTCGGCACATGAATGACGTCTTGGTTGAAGGAACGAGTACAAGAGGTAAGTTGCATCCGCGAGTAAGATGCTGCTTGGAAAGCCATCAAAATTCATTGATGTTCTTCATGGTAAACTACCTACTATGGCAGCTGCAGACAGCACTTCTCCTGTATCAGCGTCGACTTCGGCCCTTGACTACAGCTCACGTACGGCAGATGAGAAGTCAGTCCAGCCTTCCGACTCAGAAGCAGCGCAAGAAGTTCGGCAACGGATTCTTGAAGAACAAACAGACTTGAGTGCTTCCGAAAGGCCATCAACAAACTTGTCTAGTCTGTGGCGACGAAATGTCTCACATAGAACAGATGAAATAGCGACTCAGCCTTCTGTCTTCGATGACCCTGAGTTGGCGGTGTATTTCCAACCCTCAGAAAAGTACGAGAACCGACATCGTTTCGATCCAAGCTTCCGATGGACTTGGGGTGAAGAGCTACCTTTGGTCAGGAAGATTGATTGGAAAGTAACGGCCTGGTCTTGCATTGCGTTCTTCGCCCTTGATCTCGACCGGTCCAACATTAGCCAAGCCAATTCAGACAACTTCTTAGAAGATTTGGGGCTGGACACAAATGACTTCAATCTTGGTCAGACAGTGTTCCGAGTTACGTTTTTGTTGGCTGAATTGCCCAGCCAGCTTGTTAGTAAGAAGATTGGTCCGTAAGTCAATACCCAAACGCCGCTGCTTGCCATCACAGGTGAGTTGCATTGACAAAGATTCAGTGATCGTTGGATCCCCACGCAAATGATCCTTTGGAGCATTGTCAGCGCATCTCAATTCTGGCTCAACGGTCGTTCCTCATTTCTGGCAACTCGTGCATTGATTGGGTTATTACAAGGAGGCTTCATTCCTGATGTGATTTTGGTACATCCACCTCATATTCTGCTCCAGTCCCCCACCGCTTCCTCCTGCTGATCTCAGTTTCTTCTTCAGTATATGTCGTACTTTTTCAAAGGCACTGAGCTACCTTTCCGACTCGCCTTGTTCTGGATGGCCAATCGCTTAACCGATGTCATTGCGCCTCTACTAGCGTACGGGCTTCTCCGACTTCGAGGATACCACGGCTACGAGGGATGGCGATGGTAAGGTCGAGTGTTCTTCTGCCGGTGCCGCGAATACTGACAGAGCCTAGGTTGTTTCTTCTGGAAGGCCTACTCACGTTGGTGATTGGGATATGGTCAGTATTCGTCATGGTGCCGTCCCCCACACAGACAAAGGCACCTTGGCGACCCAAAGGATGGTTCACCGAGCATGAAGAGAAGATTATGGTGAATCGGATCCTACGGGACGATCCTTCGAAGAGCGACATGCACAACCGCCAAGCAATAACCTTGAAGATGCTTTGGGAGTCACTATGCGATTACGACTTGTGGCCGATCTACATCATCGGTCTTACATTCTCTATTCCTGCTGGTCCACCTGACCAATATCTCACGTTAAGTTTAAGACAATTGGGTTTTGATACATTCGACACCAACCTTCTCAGTATACCTTGTCAGGTTGCGACGACTATCAACGTAAGCTGTTCAGAATACCAAGATTTAACTGCCCTTACTTACCGGTAATAGATGCTGATCTTGACCTGGATCTCGGAGAAAGTCAACCAGAGAGCCTTGCTTGGCGTCTTTGTCGAAGTATGGTTGCTCCCCTGTGTTATTGCCCTTGCAGTGATTCCTTCCGATGTCAGCAGATGGGCCACATATGCTTTGGTCGTCGTACTATTGTCTTACCCCTCTCCTCACCCCATGTAAGTGTCTCAATGCATCCAATCTTACGTGTGTCTCTCTGACATTTCGTCCAGGCAAGTTGGCTGGGCGAGTCGCAACTCCAACACTGTTAGAACAAGGACAGTCTCAGCCGCACTCTATAACATGTCTGTTCAGCTACAATCCATTATCAGCGCCAACATCTACAGACGAGACGACCGTCCAGAGTATCGTCGCGGAAACAGGGTGCTTGCGGGAGTTGCTAGTCTCAATATAGTGATCTACGCGACCGCGAAGCTTTACTACGTCTGGAGGAATAAGCAGCGAGACCGGATTTGGGACGCCATGTCACAGGAGGAGCGCCAGCGATACCTCGATACTACCGCAGACAAGGGTAGCAAGAGGCTGGATTTTCGATTCGCGAGCTGATTTTCTGCTCTCTGGGACTGTGCTGAGCCTGCCTTATGGAAGTAGCAGTTGATGGAAGATCGCGTACCAGGGGCGTCGAAGCAATCTCCACCGGATGGCGAATGGCCTGCCCTGCAAATATCAGTGCGCGCAGGCAGTGTCTGTTAAATTGGGACCAGCGGGCATGCGTCCGCGATAGCCGGGTGCTGCTCGGGTTTACGAACAGGGTGAGATCTGACGCAATTTGACGATAAATGTGGGAACGGACAAAGTCGTCCGCGACTGTGGGTGTTTGTCCGATCAATTCCAGCCTGATGGGAGACTGGGAATAGTGATGGGTTGACTGGGAATAACAGTGAGGTGAAGCTGGGAAGATGGCGAGGGTTGATGTTGGCCTGTCAGACCTTGGCATTGGATAATGAAACCTCCGCTCCGATGACGGGGATCCAGGTAATAATTAGAATACTCTTCGGCACCAAGCCAGAAGCACCAATGGAAATTGAAGCCGACCCTGAAGACATTCTTCAAGTCCGGGCCCTGTCTTGCCTGCGTCGTGTCATTTGAGAGTCAGTCGGTGCTTGTCATGTTGTCTCACCAAGCAGCCCAACCGCAAGCCACAATTCTACGGGAATTCTACGAAAAGCCCAACGGGATGGTTTAGCTGCCACGCTGCGCACGCAGGAACGGGAGGGCTGACGGCTCATGTTTTCTAATGGTTGCCACACGCGTGAAGAACGAGTGGACTGACGGCTTAATGGATTTTGGGTCCGGATGAGTTCCCCTAAACCGACGCCAATGACACCGTAATACGAGTGGGGAGCCCTGTGAGACACTGACAATCAGTTCCTGAATCGAGAGTAGTCGATGCTCACCTCTTTTCTGACTCTGACCCTCCTTACCCGAGTCCCGAGTCTCCCACATCGCATCCCTTTTCTTTTCCTCGGCCGTTCGACCGGTCCCCCGAAATTTTCGTACTCAACACTCCAGCTGCCGACGTTGCCCTGGTGCCTGTCAGGAGAGACGGCATCCGTGCTAAATTTCTTTAGTGGCCTTCTCAACATTGAACCTGCATTAGCAGCAATTTTTGGGCTGGTCACGGAAAAGTTCGCCTCAGCCCACTGGCGTGAGCAGCTTGCCTCTTCTGTAGATAGCTGCTGTTTTTTGGGACCGGGCGGATAATGTGGGCGGCGCAAGTTTGACAGCCGGCAGGCTAGAGACCGAATATTGGAGACTACGAGCTGATTGACGTCTTCTCGGGGTCTCAGTGTTTTCACAGAAGTTGGAGGCGACATCCAACGCTCGCGTGTTCGCAAAAATAAGTGGTGCCATGTTGGTGATATGCTCGATTGAGAAGTTGACCTGCATGTGTGATGCAACCAAAACGGTGCAAAAGGAAGCATTCCAAAGAACCCCCTCCCGAGACCGGTGTGAAAATCGTTGGATATAGACTTCCGGGATAATATACTCATTTTTGCCGATCAACTGCACTCCTTTACAGAGTTCAACCTCAGAACCCTTGGAGAAACAAATGCCACGCCAGTGTTCATCATTGCATAGATGGAGCGTACGAATGTGACGGTTCCTTTCCCAGATGCGGGCAATTGAAATCTCAATCGGCCCCCAAATCGACCCAACGCGTCGAGTCCCTTATCTTCTCTTCGCAGTGGATTTTGTTCCCTGTCTCCGGCCTCGTGGGAAGCTGGCAAGGAGACAATATGGGATCGGGAAAAAGCCTGGTGTCTGAAGAGGGGACCCATTGTGACCCTCTCGCGAGACCCAACTTTCCGCGTGTTGAACCTCTTGGCGGAAAGGATCCCCGAGGTTGACCATTCGGAGCTAATGCGGGGGAGGGAATTCCAGACAATGGGCTCGTCGGACGGTAGCTAAACATGGCCATTTCACCGGCCGCTAAGCTGGATAACTAAGACGGACTTGGTTGATAGTGTGTGAGGCTGGGATACCCGAGATGTGGTACGCCCCATCTGCCGACATTTGCTTACAACCGCGGCCCTGAATTTGACTGCCAGAAGGATTCACGTCCCGCACTTCTGACAGCCCAATGCTGAAGATCTCCTTCTAATACGGCATGGCTTTCGTCGAGTTCGATGGGACCTGCCGGGGGTGTGGTCCTCTGCACGATGCAAGTCTGCAAACCTGCGTGTGATGGTCAGGGGGGCGCGCATTTGGCCTGCCCTTCAAGGGATGACTGACAGGGCCAGGCCACACACATTCCACAAGCACGGCATCTTGTGGCTCCCACTCCCAATCCGTAGGTGCATATCTTCAAGAGGTCCCGCCGTTTGCTCTTCTCGTCCAGTCCCTCTCGAAATGGAGAACCCGTAGAACGAACCGTCCGATTCTTGCGGCTCTTCTCGGCCAGGTCCCTCCTTGGACACGACTCGCTCCTTCCACCATCTTCCCTAATATCGTATCGACCTTATTTCAGCTTCAATTCTTCGATCCGATGGCGACGGCGGAGGACACCGAAAACCGCGGCCCCGAGCTGTTCGCCGTCGGGGTGACGCTCGTCACGGCGGCCGGCATTGCGATTGTTCTTCGTTGCTACTCTCGAATCTGCCTCGTCAAGAATTTCGGATTTGATGACTATTGCATGCTTGCTGCTATGGTACGCCAAATCCGTCATCGATGTGGCCCGAAAGTTTCCTGCGGCTTGACTGATGGTTGCTTTCTCTAGGTCTTCTTCGCCCTCTTTGTTGCATGCGCACTCACCGGTATTCATTATGGAACGGGACGGCATTACTGGGTTCTGGACGCAGCAGACCGTGCAGATGCAATGAAGGTAACATTTCACTCACCTGACGAGAATGGACTGTTAATCGTGGACAAATGATGCTAACGCGTGTTAGTTCTGGTGGTTTTGTTACCTCTGGTACTGCCTCTCGATGATCTCTTCCAAAATCTCCATCGGCTGGTTCCTCCTCCGGATAACGGTTCGCAAAATCGATATCTGGATCATCTACTTCGTCATGTTTTGCACTGTTTGCACCGGTGTCGTCTTCTTCTTCGTCACTCTTTTGCAATGCCAGCCGATTGCCTTTTTCTGGGAACAGTATACCGGCTCGACCGACGGACACTGCATCAACATGGACGTCATCATTGCCCTCACCTACCTCTACAGCGCCTTCAGCGTTATATGCGACTTTACGTTTGCGATTCTGCCCATCGTCCTCATCTGGAATCTCAAGATGGACCGCAAGACGAAGATTGCCCTGGTCCCTATTATGGCCATGGCCTGCATGTTCGTGACGCTCTCATCCTACGCACCTCCATCGCGACCTTCTAACGTGAATGATAGTGCCAGTGCTGCCGTTGTCGTCCGCATGCCGTATGTCAAGGATTTCAAAAACATTGACTTCTTGTGTAAGTCCCGTCCCACTCTTTCACGATCGATTTAAGGTTCCATGGGTATGGAACGGTGCTGACTCGCGCTCCCGCAGATGCAACCGTAGATATCGCGATCTGGTCCACCACGGAGCAGGGTCTGGCGATTACAGCGGGCAGTCTGGCGACCCTCCGCCCGCTATTCCGTCTGGTCGGGCACCGACTCGGCTTCACCTCGATGGGTCCTTCCGCCCTTCACGACTCCGACCGGAACGCCCCGTCCGCAATGGGCGGCAAGTTGAAAGATATCAGCAACAACAGCAGTGCCAGTCGACCAAGGCGTGGCCCCTTTAGTCTTACTACGTTCATGGCCAAGGACGAAGCGGAGGCGCACGAATTGGCCAGCAATAGCGACCAGGGTGAGAGCCAGCAGAGCAAGTTCTCAAGCAAGCGGCCTCGCGTCTGGGAGTCGCAGGGCACCCAGCGCGACAACGACAGCGAGACGGAATTGACGTTTGAAGCCTCCAAAGAATCACAGGGTAGCGACAGGGGAGATAATCGGGACATCGTCGTCGTTCAAACCTTTTCCATGAGGGAAGACCGTTTGTAACTGCAACTTACTGCACTTAAATATCTAATGAGATTAAAATAATTCAACGCTACATGACAGGGAAACAAGTAATAGAACACGGTGAAGCAATCGGAGCACTTCTTTTTATACACCCTATTATAAAAACATGCATATTCGCCTTCCAAAACGGGGACTGTCATGCTCGCGTGAGTGGACGCCACAAAGCCTGTTGGGACTAGATCTGGCAAAGTCGTCGTCGTGTAACACGCGGGCATTGCAACTTCGGCGTGACTCAATGAGAACACCGCAATGATACAATGTCTCGGTCATTCCGGTTAGTGCAAACAAGTCATCCTCCAGCTGGCACATTAACGGGGTATAAAAGGTGATCATGGTGATGGTTCCTAATGGGATCACCGTCAACGTTTTCTCGCATCAGAATCCGGCTTCTTAATATTCAGACGCTCTTGTTCAATCTTGACCATAATGGCGGGTGATATGAGCAATTCATTCCGGTCCAAGCGGCTCACCTTCCGAGCCATCGAAGACGACGATGACGACAAAATCTGGTTTCACACCCAGATCAAGAACGATCCAGTTGGTTTCGCTTTAGGGGACTCCAACGTTGTTCGGCCCCAAACTCGAAAACGCAACGACTCCTTACTTTTGGAACTCCAAGGCATGCTTCTGGGCGTCATCATCTGTCTACCAGCAACCGACGACGAGACACGCTCACAGCCGATTGGGCTTTTGAGAAAGCCAACATGCACTCCATCAGCCTGGGCTGCGTCGAGTACAACGAGCGTGGAAGGCATGTGTACGAAAAGCTGGGTTTCGTGCTTGAAGGCCGGTATCGCAAATCACATTTTCACAATATGAGATGGTGGGATGTGCTTCTGTTTTCCATGTTAGAAGACGAATGGAAGGCTCTCAGGGGGCGAAAGCCAGATGATTGAGAAGCTTTGAGTTGACGAAATACTCGACTCATCCCGTCCTCCTTTCAATTTAGCTGTCTAAGCCCAGCTTACGAGAATTGTTCAGATATCCCCTAGACAGACAAGTAAGCCACCCCTTACAAACACCATCAAAAGTGACTTGGTGTTCATGGCTTGTCTCGCTCCGTATAGCCAGCCTCTTAAGACTACCCACAACTAAAACTTCCTCCTCTTCCTTCATGTTTAATGATACACATGGACCCTAGCGCACTATCGGCGGCTGCGGCGTCGTTGATGCGCTTGTCCGCGGCTGTATTGAAGATTGACGGGTTCCGCTAGCCTGCCTCAATGGTGCTATCGCATTGTTTGGCTGTTCAGAGGGAGTCAGCGTGCTTTGTCTCGCAATAGTGGCGAGAGAATTTCGCAATGTGTTAAGTTGAATCTGGAAGTTGGAAGCCTCAGCTGGGGACTGCTGAGGCTTTGCCATATCTTGTTCCAAGGCGATGACTGACCCCTTTAGCTGCCTCATCTCGGCTTCTAGTCGTTCCATCCTGATAGCTTGTTGTTTGGATGCATGGTCTTGCTCGGCCATACGATGATTGAATCTCTGCTCCAGCAGCCGAAGTCGGTTATCAAGCGAGCTAAATTGCTGGCCCAAAGACGTTTTGCTCACTTCAACCAGCGTCCTGCAGTTGTCGATTAATTCGGTGTTTGCTTGGATAGCATCCTCCATCCTGGTCAACCGATATCCCATGCCCCCAGGAACGGACATAGTCACATCCTTGCTGCCACTTTCAACGCCGGATAGTCGGGTCTCCAATCTCTCCCTAGTCTCCTCGTTGCTTCTCTGTTGGCTTTCGAGAGACCGCACAGCTGCAGTTATCGACTGAAGGGCTTTGGCAGTAGTGTCTAGCCGATCGTCAACTTCATCAATATGTTCTCGTTGCCTGTACTCCATCCCTTCCAGAGTCTTCGTTGCAGATTTGAGGTCGGTATTCAAGCGCATAACTTGGCTGTCCGTGGTCTTTATCCGATTCTCTTGCTTACGACTTCGGTCTTGTTGCTGTTGCCTTAATAAATCAACAGACTCCAAGGCAGACTTCAATTGCGCCTTGAGTGTCTCGTGGCCTGCCTGGTAGGTATCAACTTGTTGTTCTTGTTGTTGTTGTCCAGTTTCTTCGGCAACTTGACGGCACGCTGCAATTTCCTTGCTGAGAGTCGATAGCTGTTCTGTGATATTGTCGAGCTTCTCCATGGTGGTTTCGCACTTCGAAGCTGTGAAGATGCTCAGTTCGTGGTCGGCTTTTCGCATGTCGCGTGACAGTTGGCTGGCCTCTGAGATGAGCTTCATTTCATCCTGCAGTTCTTGCATCATTTCGGCATGCTCGCCAGCTGTCTTGGTGACGCCAGTAACCGTTTCCGTAAGACCGTGAAGCTCTTTCCCATACTTGCCAGTCTTGTCCTCCAACGTCGTGACCCTTTCGGCATGCTCACCGAGCCTTCCATCGAGACTGCTGGTCTTGAGTTGGAGAGAACCGAGTAGTCCGCCCTGGTTTTCGACTGTTTCTTCCATAGACTTGAACTTCGTATCGTACCCTCCAAATCTTGCATCGACACTGCTGGTCTTGGATTGAAGAGACTCAAATAGTCCCTCATGCCTTTCGACTGTTTCTTCCACAGACTTTAACTTAGTGTCGTACCCGCCAAATTTTGCATCAAGACTGCTAGTCTTAGACTGAAGAGACTCGGATAGTCTTCCGTGCTTTTTGGCCGTTTCTTCCACAGAATTAAACCTTGTATCGTGCTTGTCGAATCTCTCATCGAAAGCGGTGGTCTTAGTCTGAAGAGACTCGATAAGATTTCCGTGGATTTTGGCCTTTTCTTCAACGGACTTGAACCTCGTATCGTAGCCCTCAAATCTCTCACCGAGACTGCTGGTCTTGGTTTGTATAGAGTCGAATAGTCCCCCATGCTTCTCGGCTGTCCTTTCCATAGACTCTATCCTCTCATTGTAAGAAAAAGCCTTGACTTCAAGACTTCTGATGGTATCCCCATGCTTGACAGCATCTTTTTCCAGAGTGTCAAGTTTTCCGTCGTGCCCACGGATCTTGCTATCAGTATCAATGGCTTTGGATTCCAGAGACTCGAGTTTTCCACTGTGGCCGCTGACCTTGTTGTCAAGATCGCCTGCTTTTGAGCTCAGAGATTCCAGTTTCCCATTATGCCCGCGGACCTTGTGATCAATACCAATGGCTTTGGATTCCAAAGACTCGAGTATCCCGTCGTGCCCGTGGACCTTTGTAATGAGATCGCTGGCTTTGGTTTGTAGAGACTCAAGTGTTCCATTGTGTCTGCCGACGTTTTGATCAAGATCGCTGGCTTTGCTCTGGAGAGACTGAATGATACCTTTGTGCTGGCCAACTTCATCTTGCAAAGACCGAATCTGTTCGTCGTGGGAAATGACCTGGGAGTCCAGGCCGCCAACTTTCTGGGCCTCGGCTTGAAGCGACTGGAGGGCATCGCCCCGCACGCCGGCTCCCATCTCTTTTTCGAGCAAGGTAAGTCCTTGCCCATGCGCGCTGGTCTTTTTCTCGTGAGATTTCCGGAAGTCATTGAGTTCCTTTCCTTGTTCACTGACAGTTTCTGCCAAAGACTCCACCTCCTTTTTCTGCTTACTGGCCGTCTTCTCGAAGGACGTGAACATATCGTCATGTTTAGCGACGGAGACTTCGAGGTTTTTGACCTTCTTGTCACTCTCGCCAGCCCTTGAATTGAGGGAGTGAAGTGTGTCTTTCTGCTTGCTGGTTGCTTTCTCAAGATGATGAAACTTGACCTCGTGCTTGCCACATGTTGTTTCGAAGGCGCGGAGTGCGTTCTTCTGTTTGGTAGCTGTTGTTTCGAGGTATTGAAGTGTAGCCCCATGCTTGCCAGTTGCAGCCTCGAGAGAAACAACCTTTGTCGCGTGCTCGCTCGATTTTGCCTCAAGAGTGTGGAGCAGATCCAAATGTTTTCTGGACAATGATCCGGAAGATTGGATGTCCTGAAGCATCGTGGCGTGCTCGCTAGTTCTTTTTTCAAGAGTGTGAAGAAGATCCAATTGTTCTCCAGTCAGTGCGCCAGAAGATTGGATCTTCTGAAGTGTCGTGGCGTGCTCGCTAGTATTTCTTTCTAGGGTCTGAAGAAGATCTAACTGCTTCTCAGATAATGCCCCAGACGACTGGATCTCTCGAATTATTGTGACGTGCTCGCTAGTTCTTTCCTCAAGAGCGCGAACTAGACTCCACTGCTTCTCGGACAACGCCTCACAGGAGTCGATCTTCCGATGAAGTTTATTAGTTTCCGCTTCTATCCCTTTGAACTTGTTGTGATGTGCGGTAACTCGGGCATCAAGGAAACCGATTTTGTCCTCATGTGAGGCAGTCTTCTCTTCGAGAAGTTGAAGGGTGTCCCTGTGCTCGCTGGCTCTAGCTTGCAGAGTGCCAATCATGTTGTCGTGTTTTGTAGCGATCTCTCCATAGTTGTTTGCAGAATCCGTGACCTCGACCGGCACCGCCTGCTCAGAAGACGTTTCAGCCGGTTGGGTATGAGATGAACTTGTTTGGGACGGATCTTTTCGGGCTGCTGATGTTGTCTCTGTCTCCATGTCGGCGACTGGTGCGCCTGGCTCTCTGTCGGTAAGGGGTGCATCTGTCGCGTCAACCATCTCTTGGTCGGGGGCAGTAGAAGCCTGAGCCTCCTCCTGATGGTGATTATCGACAGATGCGATGCCGGGGGATTTGTTCTCCGAGCCAAAGTCCGGGTTTGGGGTTCTCAGCCAGGGAGACGGCGCATCGTCTGGTACGCATCGGCGCTTAGTGGGCGTGGGGTCATCGAGATTGCGTTGCACCTTTCGTTTCTGCGAAGGATTTCCTTCGCTCTGGATGAGTTCGTCGACTGTCATCTTGGGGCCGCTCGGCGTCTGCAATTCGTTGGGGGTGCCGTCCTCGACATCGACCTTGGCGGGTGGTTGTGGTGGATATAGTTCTCGTTCTTCGATTCTCCGGGTCGGTCGGTCGGAAAGCCTCTCAGAGTCGTTGCTGAAACTTCCCCGTGATCGCAAACCCTCACCCTTGATCTTGAAGTTATTGGGAGTGCCCGGATCGAGTGGCATGGGAAACGAGCCAAGAAACGGGCGATTTTCACTGGAGACCAGCCAAGAATAATTGCCTCTTGTCTCGTCATCCCAAGCTCTCTTGACACGTTTCCATTCGCTCTTGATGACGTGACTTGGCGGCCACCTCTCGACAGGAAGGTCGCCATCGCGGTCAATCCAAAGGTCGATGAGGTCGGTCAAGAGGTCAGCGTGTCGCCTCTTAACTCTAGGGTTATCGAGGTACATGAGACGGCGAGTAGCGTATTTATTCACGAGTTCTTGGGTGTTATGTATGCCGGTGTTGCATGCCCAGTTTTCACGGACGAAGTCCCAGAAGTGGTCGTGGTCGAAGGACAGGTGCTGAGCGAAGGTTGCTAAGCGAAAGAGAATGATGAGGTTCACCTGGATACGGCGCTTGCGAAGTTTGTACATGCGGGCCTCTGGTTTCGAGTCGCCGTGCCTATCATCGTCTGGGTCTTCTTCGCCAAGACGCCTCGTGTGGACAGGATGGAATAGGACTGCTTGTGATAGTGGCAAGTTTGAAGGCCAGGGTGGTTCTGGCAATGAGACGCCGCTTATGAACCAAATGGCCTTCTCAGGGTCGGTATACTTTTTGGGATGCATGATTGCTCAGCTGCGGGAGGCCCACTAGTAGTACATTAGCAGAGTTGGGCTGTGAATGTGACTTTCATCTAGCCGGCTGTGAGCGAGGGGATGGAGATGATGAGAGGTGAGAGGTGAGAGATGAGAGGCGACGTGACGTCGAGCGAAGTGAAATGAAGTGAAGTGAGGGATGGATGGATAGGTAGAAATAATGAAGTGTTTGAGCGGGAACGAACGGACTTTGCCGCAGCCCAGCTCAATGTAAGGTACCTCCATACCTAAAGGCAAGGTAATTTAATGGGCTCTCCCGTCCCCAACCAAGCGTAGCGGCCTTTGGGGTGAAATTCTTTCGCAGACCAGGGGCCAGACGTGGAGGGCGTTCTGCGGGGACACGCCTAAGACATTTCCAACGCGTCACAGCGCGTTCGCAGCGGCAGGGGTAACGACCTGACGCAGTTTCGTTCTATTTTCCTTCACTACGCTTCTTTTCGTTTCTCCTCTCACTACATCTCACTACCTAGGTACCTCTCCAGAAACATCGGACACCGAACATCGCACCAGTCACGGGAGCCTGCAGCCGAGAACCAAGAGGTGCATGAACGAAGTTGAGCAAACACTTCTTTGCATGATCTTTTGCAATGGATGATTCAATTTGACAAGACTACAATTCGATACCGCCCTTTCCGCTCACCAACTCCTACCATAATGATCCAATACTCACCCTACTGCATCACCAAAACGCTACGGAAGCGAACCTTGTTCGAAATCATGTGCTCGGAAGCCTTCTTCGCCTCAAGAAGAGGGAACTTCTCAATCATGCACTTGACGCCGTGTCTCGCCGCAAAGTCCAACGCATCTTCTGTGTCACCCTGGTGCCCGCTCGGCCAGCCGCAGACCGACTTTCCTCCCATGATCAAGTCCACCGAGTCGACCTCCAAGTTCCCGACGGGAGCCAGCACACAGAGTTTTCCCCCGGGCTGAAGACCGCCAGTGAGAGGTGAAATGGCCTTGGCGTGAGGCGCCGTCGCCACGATCAGCGCTGCTCCGCCGAGCTCCTGAAGCTTCTTGACCGGATCCTCGGCGCTGGCGTCGATGTATTCGTGTGCCCCGAGCTTCATGGCAAAGTCCTTCTTCGATGCTCCGGAGCTGAGCACCGCCACCTTGTAGCCCATGCGGTTGGCATACTGCACGCCCAAATGGCCCAGACCTCCGAGGCCTTGGATCACCACGAGGCTTCCGTGCTCGATACCCATCTTGCGGATGCTGTTGAAGACCGTCACGCCGGCGCAGAGGAGAGGGGCCGAATCGGCCGGGTCCATCTCCTTCGGCACCCGCACCGCGGCCTCGGCACGGAGCAGCACGTACTCTGCGTATCCACCGTCCATGAAGACACCGTTGATCGTTGCGTTTTGGCATGTCTGGAAGAAGCCCTTCTGGCATTGGCGACATGTTCCGTCGTGCCCTGCGCCGAGTGTTAGTGAGCAGGCTACGCGTCACATTGTGTGTCTTGTACGACAACTCTGGATACCTACCTCCGTGCCAGGCACCTCCGACTCTCTCGCCACCAGTAAATCTCGTCACATTCTCGCCAACAGCTACCACATCACCAATGATCTCGTGGCCAGGGACGCGGGGGAACAAGTCGCCGAATGCTCCCTCCTGGACAACCACATCGGAGTGGCACACGCCGCAAGCCAGGACCTTGACGAGGACCTGGCCAGGGCCTGGCTTCTTCAGCTCCAAGTCGACAATCTCAAGTGGCGCCCGTGCGGACTTGATCACGGCGGCCTTGTATGTCTGCGGCAGGGAAGTCATCGTTGCTCGTGGTTCGTGACTGGAGCAAGGCGTGCGAGGTAGGAAGGAGTCGTGAGCGTTTCTAGTCAAGTTGATTCGAGATTAAGTCTGGGTCGTAAGGAGCACATCACTGCTGCACATGAGAGGGATCAAGTCCTTTTATACAAGAAGACCAGTCGCACAGAGAAAGCCGAGCCTTGGTAAGCAGAGGTTAGGTATTGACATCAAACCCCTCACCTCACCTCCATCAACGAAAACTCAAAGGCAAGGACCTGCTACTACCCCCACAAACGGCGGTAACTCCGGATCAACGCGGAACGGGAAAGAATGTTGTACTGGTAAGGCCTGTCTTATCAGGATGGTGCTTGCGATGACGGCTCATGATAGGTCCGCCAAGCCCATTGAAGCAGACCGTCACTCACATCACCAACAAGCTTGACTCATGATACCTGAAGATCGTAATTGTAAGCAGGCGCATAACAAGCCATCACATCCAGATTGCCTGTGACCGAAGCTTCAGATGACGTCCTTTGCACGTTTTTATTCCGCTCGGGGCAATGCCCCACAACTTCATATGCTCCGTGGACTCCATGGGCTCCATGGGCTCCGGTTCAACGCCCCGGTTTCAACCAAAGTCGAGACAAATCAAGTGTTTAACGGTGGAAGTAGGCGATGGTTTCCGAAGTAATCGCCTTTTCTACAGCTTTCAACGCTGAGCGAGGCGTGTCGTGAGTACGAATGAGTTGCTCTTCAGGTTGTAGTTCGGCATAGAGACTAGGTAGTTGCTACTCGACTCCAGCACACACTTCCGAGAGCTGAAGAAAGTGAGGGGTTGCTTCGGCCATCTAGGGCTAGAGTTCAGATGACATCAACAAGATTCAATCCATCCCTCCCCATGATAAGATCCCGGTAATGAGATGCCCCTAACCCCGACGGACATAGCAGCATCCAATCACGATAGTTGTGAAGTTGCTGGGCGGGAACCTTCGAAGAAGTCGAAACAATGACCATTCAACGGACTTAAGCCCATTGAGTCTTCAACTCCCGGATCCGCGCCATTGGCGACCGTTATGAGATCCGGAGAACCGTTGGATCGGGACGGCCAAGCACTCGATCTGTCTGCGGGAAGGATCTCCCGGCTCGGGAATCCAAGAGCTAGATGGATCTTATATCCAGATTATACCCGTCTACCAATCAGTCATTGATCCTGGTCGGCTTTACAAAGCCATCTTTCTCCAAACCCGACGGCGAGACGGAGCTGAGCCGTCAACTTCGACCTGGAAGTTGTACATATGTCATTCCTCTGACCCCCAGCCCTATCGGAAGCAGCTCCATCTCCATTCGGCTGAGTCACCACCAAGTACCCATTCTCACGGCACTTACATCCGACAGTCCTCTCACGAAGTTTCGCGCCTCGGACTGAACAAGGCACGCCCGAGACAGGGTCATCTTAGCGCAGCTGGCAACCCACGAAATGGCGGATTTACCCGACCAAGCATGCCACCCTGAGCTCCCCTAGCACAAGCTCGGCGTTCGCGTGTAAAAACAAGCTCTTCCCTATAGGGAAGCGAAGGCTTGTAGACTCACTTGTTAGGCTAGCTCCAATTCCACATCTCATCGGATGCAGATCAGGGACAGTCGGCTCCTCCTAAACGCATCCTTTCATGGAGCTCCTCGTTCCTTCGTAGTCGCGATGGCGCGACAATGGATGACTCGCTTCTCGGGCTTGCCAGCGCCTCTTCGAAAGACACAAAGCATACTTAAGGACCAGATACCGATTCCCCATGGACACAAGACTCCATTGACACATTAAACATATTATTCCCTATCACCCTGTGACAATTGTAAACCCTTCTTCCAACACCAAATACCCTCTCCAGCACCGAATACCATTTAGCCAAATCTCAGCATGTCTCTTCAAGATAAGGTCGTCGTCATCACCGGTGGCTCCAAGGGAATCGGAAAGGCCATTGCCCTCGACGCCGCCTCGAAAGGTGCCAAGGTCGTTGTCAACTACAGCAGCGACTCTGCCGCCGCCGACGAGGTAGTCAAGCAGATCGGCGGGGAACGCGCCATTGCCGTCAAGGCAGACAACTCCAAGCTGCCAGAATTGCAAAAGCTCGTTGACGCCACCGTGGAGAAATTCGGCCGCATCGACATCCTCATCCCCAATGCCGCTATGATGCACATGCGCACTGTCGAGAACACCACCGAAGAAGATTTCGACATCATGTTCAACACCAACGTCAAGGCGCCATACTTTTTGACTCAGGTTTGCCTTTCCACCGAATTATCTTACCTGTCGTCCCTGACTAATGCTTCGTAGAAAGCGCTTCCTCACATGTCCGAGGGCGGCCGGGTCATTTTCATCTCGACCACCGTTCTCGCCTCCAGCAATCTCCCACCACCATACCTGCTTTACGCCTCTACGAAGGGAAGCATCGAACAGATGACAAAGTACATGTCCAAGGACCTCGCGAAGAAGGGCATCACGGTTAACGCGGTTGCCCCGGGCCCGACCGGCACGGATCTGTTTTACAAGGATAAGACGCCGGAGATGATCAAGCACGTCACGGCCGGTAGCCCATTCGGCAGGATTGGTGAGCCCGAAGAAATCGCGGCGGTCGTTTTGTTCCTCGCTAGCAAGGAGTCTGCTTGGGTGTCAGGTCAGGTCATTCGTGTGAATGGAGGAACAGCATAAGACGGGTCGAAATATATTTATGCCAGGCATCCGATATGATAAAGCAGACGTTAATCATTCCAACGCCGTGTCCTTGAATCTCCAAGGTTGATCTCATCCCATCAGGTTCCCGTGTCGTGATTCTGCTTGAATTATGCATACAGCCAGCTCTCTATTACTGCGCACCAAGGGCGGCAAGTGCATTCCGAAGCTCCTTGACTGCTGTTGGCACATCCTCGAAGTTGAGCGCGGAGATGGCCCACTTGGCGTGCTTCTGGGCCTTTGGCAGGTCCATGTCGTCTGTCGGCGTGTTGTTAGGCGTCCACGAGTTGTTGGAGATGGGAACGACCGGGGCCTTTGGTTGTTGTGGAATCGTCGGTGGGGGCTTGAACTGCTGAGGGGCAGGTGGAGGGGTCGGCTTGGGTATCTGCGGTGGCTGCCATGGAGAAGCGGCGTTGGCTGGACTAAACGACGGCCCAGTCGATGAACCGGCGTAGGGCGAGGGGGCAGACGGAGCGTTCGCGGCCCCAGTGGTGTCGTTGACGCCGGCTTGGCTGAGCGGCGAGGGAGGAAATTGTTCGGGAGGGTCGAAATAGCCTTGTGTCTGGGGCGCCACGGGATTCACGTCGTTCCCGGACGGGACGGAGGGCAGGTCTAGCACGCTCGACTGCGCAGGTTCGGGCTCGCTTGGGCCTTGAGGCGGAACGGTCTCGTCGGGCACAGGGGCCGCGGCCTGCCTGTAGAACTCGGTATCGGGATCGTCTTCTACGAAAGCGGCCTTTGGCGGAGGCGACGAGAGTCCCTGGACTTCGGGGTCGTTGGGGTCCAGGGCAGGGAGGGCGTCCTCGGGCTCGGGCTCTTGCTTCGGGTTCGACTCGTTAGGGTCCTTTCCTTCCTTTATGGCCTTCAATATGCGAGCAGCATTCCACTTTGCGTATTTGACCTTCTTCTGTGTCTCGTCGTCTAACGGGCCCCAGATTTGGGACAGCAAGAGAAACGTGGCGGCGGCGTCGAACGTATCGGCGGTGGTTCTAGAGTCGGATGTGTCAGCCGCAGGGCCGCAAGATGGACGGGACGAGAATATATACCTTGTTACTCGGTTTGCGCGCATGACCTTCTCAGCGCGGTCAAAGGCCTCCTGGGCAAATTGTTCGACGTATGCCTGGCCGACGGCGTCGTCCGTGATGGCTTCTTCGCCGGCATTTTCGGTTTTCGTCTAGTCCAGCATTAGGCTCCGGTCGCTGAAAGGCCCTTGTTCCGTCATCGCATGGCTCACCTTCTCCAGACGGTCCATCAAATTGGTCGTGTAGGAAAGACTCTCGTCGTCGACATTGTGCAACTGCTTTGCGAGAATCTGGTTGATAACCCAATATTCGCCTCCAAAACCGGTCAGCTCGGGTGATCATACAGCGAGAAAGATGGCATGTCACGTACACCAGTAGGTGATTGCCGGCTTGTGTTCGCGCAGCTGCCTTGCGCGGTTGAGGAATCTCGTGATGTCGGCCTGTCGCAGGCTTTCGGGGATCGTATCGGCCATGGCGGGCTGCGGATGAAGTCGCAAAGATGCGAATCTCGCAGCAATCGCAGTCGGTGTTGGTGTTGTATCGGACAGACCAGGCGAAAAAAATAAGTCGGTGGCAGGGAGCTCACGGGCGCAAGGGGACAGCGGACATGCGACGAGGGGTGCAACACCAAGATGTTGGAGACATGTTCTTTGGTATCTTGGAAGCCTTACCGCACCGTCAAGGTTCCCCACATGGCATCACAGCGGGGGTCGGTTGAACCTGGAATGTATCTTTGAGCGTGTCATGGTAGGGAAGGTACTGGAATACCTGTTGTTCTGGGAGATCCCCTCATCGATGCCTGCGCCACAAGTTTCTTCCTCCAAAGGTTAGATGTGTGGCTCAAGCTCAAACAGCTCGTGTGGGGTCGTGGCTGGACTCTGTCAGTCAATTGGATTGGATGCCTGGACGTGACGGTGACGGGATTGACTGGAAATTTCCACGGTTCCATTCACTGTCGAATTGAGCCAGGTAAACGACGGAGCAGCGGTGCAGGTGAGGGGTTCGCGTCTCACAGTTCCACGCTGGCCTCTTTTCCCAAAGAAGAGAAAAAGAAGCCAACTTGACAATTATTCCTCCCCCTGCTAATTACCTGCTTTCTCGTTCTTTCTTCGTCAAGGCCCCCCCAAAATAAGAACGAGGTCGAAGTTGAAGCTGCTTACCTGGCCAAAGCTGAGCCCGGTCCCATGTTCCAAACCTTTTAATTCTCACGCATTTCCGTCCTCACTCTCTCTCTCTCGAATTGAACATCCAATTTCTCTTTCTCCAAGCAGCCTTCCCGGCGTCACATCCCTTCAAACCCCCACTCGCTGCTTAACTCTATCCACCGCGATGCATCACCCCACTCTGCTCGCTGCCGCTGGCGTCGCCGTTCTGTCGGCCCTGCCTGGCGTCAGCGCCGGCATATACTCAAAGAGCTCGCCCGTTCTGCAGGTCGACGCCCGCAGCTACGACAAGCTGATTGCCAACTCCAACTACACCTCTGTATGCGCCCCTTCACCAATCACATTACAGGCTTCGTCTGCTGACTTACACCAACAAGATCGTCGAGTTCTACGCCCCCTGGTGCGGTCACTGCCAGAACCTCAAGCCCGCCTACGAAAAGGCCGCCAAGAACCTCGCCGGCCTCGCCAAGGTCGCCGCCATCGACTGCGACGATGACGCCAACAAGCCCTTCTGCGGCGGCATGGGTGTCCAGGGCTTCCCGACCCTGAAGATCGTGAGACCCGGCAAGAAGCCCGGCAAGCCCGTCGTCGAGGACTACCAAGGCCCTCGCACCGCCACCGGCATCGTCGAGGCCGTCGTCGACAAGATCACCAACCACGTTAAGCGCGTCACCGACAAGGACCTCGACTCCTTCCTCGAGGGCGACAAGCCCAAGGCCATCCTCTTCACCGAAAAGGGTACCACCAGCGCTCTCCTTCGCAGCGTCGCCATTGACTTCCTCGACGCCGTCAAGGTTGGTCAGGTCCGCAGCAAGGAGACGGCCGCCGTCGAGAAGTTTAACGTCAAGTCTTTTCCTACCCTGGTGCTTCTACCCGGAGGCGACAAGGAACCCATTGTCTACGATGGAGAGATGAAGAAGGACGGTCTGGTCAAGTTTATTTCGCAGGTCGCCGAGCCTAACCCCGACCCTGCGCCTGCCAAGGACAAGAAGAAGGCCGACAAGAAGACTGAGAAGAAGGCGGAGAAGAAGGCCGACAAGTCTAGCTCCTCCACCAAGCCCGCCGCTACCGAGGAGGCGTCGCCAGAGCCCGAGACCCCTACCGAGACCCCGGCCTCCGAGGAGACTCCCGCGGCCCCCTCCGCCCCCGCCGTTCCTGCCATTCCCGTTATCGCTACTCCCGAGATCCTCCAGCAAGAGTGCCTCAGTCCCAAGTCCCATACTTGCGTCCTCGCCTTCGTTCCCGCCAAGGAGAACGACGATGCTCAGAAGGCCGTCAACAGTCTCGGCGAGATCGCGCACAAGCACGCCCAAGGCCAGCGCAAGCTGTTCCCCTTCTTTTCTGTCCCTGCCGACAACACCGCCGGCGCTTCCGTCGTCAAGGCTCTTTCTCTCAAGGGTGACGTCGAGATCGTCGCTGTGAACGCCCGCCGCGGCTGGTGGAGACACTACGAGGGCAACTTCGACGCGACGAGCGTCGAGAACTGGATTGATGCGATCCGCCTGGGCGAGGGTGCCAAGCAGAAGCTTCCCGAGGGCTTGGTTGTCGAGGAGGTCGAGACCCCCAAGGAGAGCACAGAGTCTACGGCGGCCACTGAGCCCACTCCCGAGGCGGAGACCGAAGCGCCCAAGGAGACGGTATCCGAGCCTCCCACTGCGCACGACGAGTTGTAAAAGCTTGTTCCGACACCTGTATGCATGGTTAGCTGGGGCTGTAACATAGTAATTGGTTGGGAATCTGACCGTTGAGAACATTATTCATTCCGCCATCATGATATATCTCCTTCCACCATGTCTGTCTTATGACTCCATCTCCAAGTCCAAGCCAGTTCCTCTTTCAACAGTACCTTCTTGCACCATCTGTCTGCCCTTTTCCTTCACCACTCGGTCCATGAACTGCCGCACCTGCTTGCAACCATCCACGCCAACAGCAAGCATGCCCTCCAGACGGCTGACCTGCACGCGACTCTCGCACACCAACACCGCAACTCTGTCCGTCAAGCCCAGAGTTCCCACCGTCAAGTACGGCAGCTCTTGCTCCTCCTGTGTGTTCAAATCCAGCAGCGGGTCGGCGCCATCGTCGGCGGCAGCGTAGGTCGATGTCGAGCCTGCAGTGCATGCGGCAATGTAGTCGGTCATGGGGATACCCGCATCGATGAGAGCCAGAGTCGAAGCATTGAGGAGTGCAGCCAGCAGGGAGCCATCCTGCGACAGCACGTGGAGCGAAATGGAAATGCTGCTGTGAGGGAAGAGATGGGTGTGAAGGTTCGCCGAGACAGCCTTGGCGATGGTGGCTTCGAGCTCCTGGTTACGCCTGTGAGGGTCAAAGGTTAGTCATTATTGCGACTTCAGCACATTCACACATCTGCCTTGGAAGACTCACTTGTCATTGCGACCGCGCTTCCTGCGATCAACCGAACTGAAGCCGGCAACGACAATGTTGACATTGACGGCAGCTTCCTTGGTCTGACCGCCCGCACCTCCACGACGCTGGGGTTCGGTCGGACCCGTCACGACGCACATGACCTTGGTGTGTCCCATCTCGAGGTAGCTGGAGCCGTCGGCGGCATCCTGCGTGCGGATCTGGGCGTGCAGACGTCGGAGCTCGTTCCAGCGGCGGCCGTCGACGCGCAGCAGCGCCATGGAGTACGTGGAGGTGTCGAGAGGCATCTTCAGTCGTCGCGAGGCTCTCCGATTGTGAGGTCGTTGGTATTTCAGTGACTCCGAAAGGCCGTTGTCTGATGATGCGACACGGACGAGGTTACGCGCAGACCAAACCAAAATTTTGGAAAGCGTCAATCCACCGCCTGGCACTTGCCGTTCTGGCAGCTGCAAAGTGGGATGGTGGGGCCGGGCGTCGGTGTCGGTGTCCCCGTTGACCGTCCCCGTCTTGGGTGGGTCCTGTCCGGGCACGGGCCATCGAACCCTTGTCGCAATGTCCCTCCCGAAATCGAAATCGCGGGGAAGCTGGCCTCCATCAACAGCAGGAGCTGCGAGAAACAGGAAAGGTCTCGAAACTAAAGCACGAGTCTAACATGGATGGCTCGGCTTGCTGTACAGACCACACGACACCTCGTTCAGCTGAAGCTTATTGGCGGGAAACAAAAACGCGGGGTAACGAGAGTCAATGCATGATGCACCTACTATCCGTCTTGGTTTGGTTTGGACGGGACGGTCCATCGGGGAATTCAGGGGAGCTGGTCTGGTGACGAGACGGGAAATAGGCCACACGGCTGGAAGAGAGAGCGTGTGTACAGAGAGCATGTGTGACATATTTACACCCAATGTGGGTGGATTTGCAGTAGATCACGACAGCATCATATCCTTAGCCATGGCAGATCAGGTACAGCTTTTGTTGGTAACACATCATGTTTCTCATTCCTCATGCTATTATTACATACAATCTCATTCGTTGCACGAGAAAAGTGCAGCAGGCCTATGACTGCCGCGACGGTTCAATCCAAACCCAATGCCGTATCCGCAGTCCAGCGTATCCCATACCGTGCCATGTCCCAGAAGCCAATCCCAGAGTTGCGAGTAAGTAGAAAATGCAAGCCGATGCGCACAAATGGGGTTCCACCATCGTGTCTTCAGGCCATCACTAAAACGCCTACACTAGACGTGTTGAATTCGGTCGGCGGCGGCACCAGCACCAGGTTACTGCTGCGCTGGGGTTCTTCGTCAGGCCCATCAGTCCATCCTCTTTCAGGACCCCAGTTGATCTTGCGGTTGTTCGCCGCAGTGATTTCGAGAAGTCCGCGCATCATTGCGCCCGACTTCTTGACGCTGGGCCACGCATCAAACGTGACCGTGTCAAGCCACGGCATCTCGTTCATCACCTCGGTGAGAAGAGACTGGCAGAAGCTCTCGTAAAATCCGTCGGATCGACGGAAGCCATTGAAGATACCATCGCTTGGATCACATTCGACCATGACTAACAATCGGCGGACATTGACACACTCGCGGAGTCCCAGCCCAGGGTTGACGACCCATCCTCGTGGCGGCTTACTCCAGCCGGGGCCGAGACGCAACTCCAGTGACGTGAGGTGCGATCTCGGGTTAGGCTTGAGGCGAGCCAGCAGCGGTTTCTTGGTCTTGAAGTATTTGCCGGGATGGGTTGGGAATATTCGGAAGCAGCGGCTGCTGTAGAAGTAGTGGGATACTTCTTGGTAGATGGTGCGGCAAACCCTCTGTATGCCGAGCTTTTTGTGGAGTTTCTTGTAGTTGTCTGGGTCGAGATCAATAACCTCGCCAGTGCCCTCGAAATAGTAGTCGTACACCTTAAGACGAAGCTCAGACGGCAGCGACATGAACGGAAAGGGTTTCGCCTTCCGTCTGGCCTTCTTCTGCTCAAGCGTGAGAGCACTCAATGGGAGACTGTTGACCTCGTTGTCCCAATCGACCTCGGAAGCGTACGTAGAAGGATAGGCCGAACTGAGAGGTGTCGTGAGAGTCGAGGAGATTGGCGTGGGATCGTGCGACGGCCCGAGGGCGCGCGATACCTTGACGCGGCGGACCATGGTGTGTACCGTGTGGTTGTGATTTCGAGGATTCGAAAAATGCCCGAAATATCTCTAGGGCGAGTCGTGGAATTGAGTCGTCGATAGGAGCGGCGGTAGTGGCGGGGTGGCGGGGTCTTTGTCGTGCAAAGGGGGTATCTAGTGGCTATGTGCAGAGATTTCAATAGTTGTAAGTTGCTGTATTCAGATGAAGCAGGTCGACAGGTAATCTCGAAGCAGGCAGAGAATCACAGAGGGTGGTCCCATTGTGATCGTAGCATCGAACTTGGGGACCACCCTCTAGAATTCACCACGCGCGACAGCCATGGTGACGATGAGGCGAGTGTAGAGGATGTGGGTTGCAGGAGAAATCGGGGGGAGCCGAGGGCGCCGAGATTTGAATCGGTTGATAGAGGAAAATCGAAGAATCCTGCCCTTCGAAGTCGCAATAGAACAGTAGGTGTTGGAGAATCCCGAGCGGAGGTATCGGGGTTGGGCTTGGTTTATGTGAGGGGGAGAGATGGAAGACGACGGACTGCATGAAGGTCACTGCCAGACGCTCCTGGCACAGAAGGAACCCACCAACGGACCAGAACATCAGCGCAGCACAGCGCAGTGCAGCGACAGCGACGTGGACGGGGAAAGCGCGGGCAAGGTTCGCACGTGAGCCGATGCTGGGGCGGTGGGTCTGGGTGATTAATCGACCAAGTCCGATTACACTGTAGCCAGGGCCAATCAGCTGAGGCAGAGCCAGAGTGGAACGGCCTCTGCATCGAAAATGACCTCATTGGAGGAGGCCGTGCCGATTTTGCTCCGTAGCCAGTGAGAGACGGGACGTCTTCGGCGGAAGAAATTCGGCGATAACATCGTCCAGGTCGCCCCGCGGTCGGGAGAGCTTGGGTCCCAGTCAAACTTTGACCCAATCAGAGCTCCAAATTCAATGATGAACCTTGATAGAGTGGGTAAATGTATCTTTCGCCTTTGAATCCGCAGTAAAATACATGCGGTGCACACAGCTGGGCTCCGTGCTCCCTGTCTGCCAAAGGTCAGTTCGTCGTCAGTGAGTTCACTTTTCTGAGGTGGTGCTCTCTCAAAAATTTCTAGTGCCTTCGTCAGGAATATCGCCAACCCACTCCACCCAACTTCGACATCGCCCACCAGGCTCACTTTCCTTGCCGGCGCATCACGTCCCACGCCATTTTCCTCCCACTCGGAACTGCATCATTCTGGGGTCTCCATACCCTTGTACATTTACACACAGACACTTGTCGTTGAAACGTCATGCTGTCGAGAGCAGCTCGCATTGCGCGCCTGCAGCCATCTGCGGCGCAGCTGTATCGCTCCGTCGCAACACCAGCTCCGAGATCTCAATTCGCGGCCGCAACGTGGAGCAGAACATACGCGAAGGCAAGCAAGCCCAAGGGTCCTTCAACATCGGCCTCCAAGTCTACCGATAGCCAGAAGCCCGCCGCCTCATCACCAGAGGAAGCATCACCATCCAAATCTTCAACCCAAGCCCCCGAGACCGAAGCCAAGTCAAATGCCTCCGATGCGACCGAAGTCCCCGAAGACAGTAAACCGACAGGTCCTCTGCCCGACTTGACGCAAGGTATCCCATCGACTCTCGCGTACGAGATGTCCGGGGCCACCAACAAGGCCGCCCTTGCTGCTATCGCCGAGGAGGACGCAGTCGCGTCGGGTGGCGGTCGCGGCCGTGGAGAGCTCCCCGATTCCGCATACGTCTCGTCCACAGACAGGAAAAGACAACAACTTGCAAACCGCATGTACCTCGCCTTCCTGGGTTTCTCTGTCGCCGGTATGATCTATCTCGGCCGCAACTGGGATGACCAGATCGACGAGAAGAGGCACGCCGAGGATGCGCCCAACGGCTGGGGATTCGAGGCTTGGTGGAACAGAGTAAAGGCGAGAGCGAATGACTTCATGAGCTACTACCAGGAGCCCGCCTTCGAGAAGCTCCTTCCGGATCCCGACCCGTCTTTCGAGCGCCCCTACACCCTCTGCATCAGCTTGGAGGACTTGCTCGTTCACAGCGAGTGGTCCCGCGAGCACGGTTGGAGAGTTGCGAAGCGACCTGGCGTTGACTACTTCCTGCGCTACCTCAGCCAGTACTACGAGCTGGTTCTCTTCACCAGTGTGCCGTTCGCCATTGGCGAGCCCCTCGTCAGAAAGCTGGACCCCTACCGCTTCATTATGTGGCCCCTGTACCGTGAGGCTACCAAGTACAAAGATGGCGAGTTTGTCAAGGTGCGTGAACGTCTTCAATCTCATCCGCGACACTTATACTGACCTCGATTCCAGGATCTTTCCTACCTGAACCGTGATCTATCCAAGGTCATCATTATCGACACCAACGAGAAGCGCGTCCAGCACCAGCCCGAGAACGCCATTGTTCTTCCCAAGTGGAAGGGCGACTCCACGGACAAGGAGCTGGTCAGCCTCATTCCCTTCCTCGAGTACATCCACACGATGCAATACGGCGATGTCCGCAAGGTCCTCAAGTCTTTCGACGGCAAGCACATTCCCACCGAATTCGCCCGTCGCGAGGCTATTGCGCGTGCGGACTTCCAGAAGCAGCTCGAGGCCAAGAAGAAGAAGGCTCCCTCTGGTATGAGCCTTCTGGGTGGCATGCTCGGCCTGAAGCCCTCCAACATGAGTCTCATGGTCTCACCCGACGGCGAGATGAACCCCCACGAGGCCCTGGCTCAGGGCAAGATGCTTCAGGACATTGCCCGTGAGCGTGGTCAGCGCAACTACGAACTCCTCGAGAAGGAGATTCGCGAGAACGGCGAGAAGTGGCTCAAGGAGGAGGCCGCCATGCAAGAGAAGATGCAGCAGGAGGCCATGCAGAGCATGATGGGCTCCTTCGGCGGCTGGTTCGTCAAGGGTGACGACCCCAACAAGAAGCAGTAAAAAAAAGAGGGAAAGGCTCCCTGACGCGGTTAATCAGCACAGAACGTGCGCGTTACTACTCCTACGACAACTTTTTTCTCTCCTCTTATCAAAATTACTTGTACTTGTATTATCGGGACGGGTTTCGGCGATGGGGAGGCGCCGCAACTTGCATATAGACTTGACGACGCGTGGGTCTGCGTATGTATGAATCTCTGTATACTACCCTACCTCTGGGCGACCATGGGAGAAGGAGCATGGTCTAGCTAGCTTGGTGTATCTATGTGAAGATATTGAGTCTCCGCACTTGGTACGTTTCGTGCTTGTTAACGAGTGTATGTTGCCTACAATTGGCTATTACATATCAAACAGACCCGCCGCCCGTCATGAACAGTCATGATTCCCTCTCCTCAACGCTTAAACCCTCGTACTTTGCTTTGGTATCTTTCCACCGATCACGATGTCTACTCGTTTCTTGATTGCTCCAGCCCTTCCGATCAAGTTCCGCCGCCCCTATCCCTCCAGCTCCTGATCCTCTGTTTCCCACGCTCAGTGCCCTCTAGTTGCGAGGAGGAAGCATACCCCTGCGTTCACACTCCTCGCAATTCGGGTTTGTGAGGCACTGAAATCGTCTGAACCCAGTGTCAGTCATGTCAAGGTGCACCTCTCGAGTGTGAGGGAGTCAACTTACGTTTCGAAGTCTTCGTCCGCCAGGCGTGCGCAGTCGCATGTGATGGTGCAGAACTTCCAGTCTAGGTCCAAGGGGAGCTCCTTGCCAGCGGCAATCAAGGGGTCTACCTCGTTGGTTGTGTCAGCCTTCTGCGCATCAGCCTTCTGAGTGGGCGCAGCCATGCCGTAGCAGGCGAGGAAGGTGAAGACTGTGATGTAAAGGAGTTGCATATTGGTGATCTTGAGTTTGGTCTGGGAATGGAGAAGTGAATATGGATGTGTTCTTGAACTATGAGGTGGTCTGCAGTGTTGGTAGGTGTTTGATCTCTGGCTTGATGGTTAAAACACCAACACCGAAGGATCGTTGGTCTTTTATATCTCGAAACCGACAGTCCAATGCTGTCCTCCAGCCAACATAACCTCTCACCGAGGTTGAACAGCTTCCCAAACGTCTTCACTCAGCTCTCACCGCCGCATCACCTGCCTCATGTTTGCTTCCAGCTAGCAACCGGCCACCGGCAGATGGAAAGCCCTGACCCAGCCTCGCGTGACCGAAACTTGACGAGTTGGTGATATCAACATCAGCAATGCCCCCGCACCGCCCGGAACATGTCAGGACCGACAGCTGACGTTGGAAATCGGCAATAGTCTTTCCTGCCCTGGGCCGCGCGGCGGTGTAGTACCGTCGCACAATGCAGTCGACAAACACATGGCGGCGGGGTAGGTCGCCATGACAGCTGCCCTAGGCAGACGACTCATAGACGCAAGCTCTTCCCGGTATACCGAGAGACCGGCGGTCTGCGTCAGGGGAGGCACAGAAGCTCCTCATGTTTCTTTCCGCAACAACTCGTACCGTAGAAGAGCTCGTGCGACGTGACAGAAGACGCGTTTAGCCGGGCCCAGATCCATGAAGTAAACTCATGTCCAGGCCGGTATGGTGTGATATTGCACATTGCCGGCGGCGGAGGCTTACCGGTCGTGGCGTAGGAGTCACCAATTCTGACGGGCGCCGTCGTACGGGAGCACATGGCCGGTAAGGTAGAGAGATGTAAGACCAGTCGCGGCCGCTCAGGCACGCCGGAAGATTTGAGAAACGTTAAAGAGTACGGTAACCCATCGCAACTGATTGCCAGCCACAATACAGATGTCTTTCTTGCGTCCCCAGCGGCGAGATGTCCGGCGTAGAATGCATCAGGCTGGGGCTGGGGGATGTCACGATGACTGCAGTGTCGCCTTGCTGCGGCGAGATCCTGAAGCACAAGATGAGGGGCAGCTCGCCTACCGATGAAGGGGCCGGGGAGGTAGGTATTTTTACAATTGCGACGGAACACAGGAGGCCGTGGAAGCAGGTACGCTTACGAATGTAGAACTCCGGGAGTTGCTGATGATCGCATGGGTTTGTCACCACAACCTGGAAGAATGCAGTTTGCGATCAATGGCCGAGAGAAACATTGCAGCGCGTGTGTGAACAATGTGACGAAATGAAGTGCTTTACTAAAAACTGAGACAGGCGTTGCCCTGCCGGGTATTTGAGCAACACAAATGACTATGATGATTTGACCTCCCCGTTCTCTGTCGGTTTCTTCGCTGCTCCGTTGGAGGGTACAGCTCCATTCGGAACACTTCCGTTCGTTTTCATCGCCCCGTTCAGCTTTGTGTTCGCTGGCAGTTTGTTTGCCTCCATGACGGAGAGGACAATATAGGCGATGATGCCAACGATCGCCACGAGATCCAAAATGTGTGCGAACCACCAAAAGTGCTGCGTCCCCAAGGCGCATGTTGCGTATTCAAACTGCCAACTCCAGGTCGCCTCGTCAAACCAAGCGCTGAGCAAGCCCGCGTTGCCGCCGAAGTCGCCCATCATGCTCCTGACCGTGATCTCTCTCAATCCCGGAGCACCAGGAGCACCGACAGCTCCCCGGCCCTTGGCAGTCGGCCATCGTTCGACCTGCCACTTCCTGTCGCCAAGGTCGCCGTCCGTCTGATTGATGTAGTGGAACGTATCACAACCCTCGTGATCATGCCCGTTGAGGATCACGCCTCGGCGACCTTTACCGTTACCGGGTGCCTCCGTGTTACCGCTCATGCCAAAGATGCCTTCTAGGAATCCCTTGCTAGCATCGTAGGAGAGGAGATTCTGCTCCTTGACGCCGCCGCCGTCGTGCTCGCCGTGGAAATCGAAAAAAGGCGAATCCACGCAGACGCCCTCGGGCTTGTACAGCGGGATGTGGGTGAGCACAACAGTGAAGTGGCCATTGTATTCGACAGCTGACGAAGTCTCGATAACCGAGTTGATGAAGGCGTAGGTAGCATCCTGCAGGGATGTATCCTTGGCCGGGGTGTCCAGGTTCATGTCGTTCAAGACGATGATGCGTATCTCGGGAGGAAGGCGGTCAGACTCGGGGTTCTTCTCGTCATCTACAAGAGTAGCATTGACTGCAGGATCTTCGACGGGCAGTTCGAAGCGAAGCTCGTAATTAGCTTTGCCAAAGAGGCGCTCGAAGCGTCCGAATCGGTCCTGGTTGATGTCACCAGCATATCCTATATCGTGATTGCCAGCAACGTTGATGACACGGCGCGACCAGACCGGGGATGGCTCCCCGGTTGTCGACAGATAGTCCGTAAGCTCATACTCCATAGACGGGTAGACGGCGGCTTCGTCCGGGACGCGCTCGGTGCCTCGCATAACGCGGTCCCAGTACCGGCGGCCACGACGGCGGAACTCTTCAGTGCCAATCCATTGGCTACCCAGAAGGTCACCAAGCACAGTGACGTGTGTAGGCTTGGTCCACCAGTTTACTGTTCGGTATATGTGGGCGAGGTAGAAGTCGTTGCCAAACAGGTCTATCCGCTTGCGAACCGACTCGAGCTCGTTGAAGACGTCCTCGAAAAAGATGTCGATCACGTCGTGGAGAGATTGGCGAATACGCTGTCGCAGCGAGTTTTCGGCCTTGAAGGTTATTTGTGACCAGAAACTCCTCGCGTGAGGAAACAACGGACCGCCGTGCTTTCGAATGGAGGTATCGCCCTCGAGCTGGGGATCGCCAAGTGCGAGCAGGCGGAACGGGGCAGGGCGCGCGCCGATCGTTTGGAGGGGGATCGGCAAAGGGAGATGCTGCCGCGCAGCCTCGAGGAAAGCAGCATTGCCGCCAGGTTCGACGCTATTCGGAGTGTCGCTGCCGTTGCTGGGAACGACTGGGAACGCGCAGCCGAGGAAGACGGGGTAGAGGTAGAGGTAAAAGGTCGAGACTACCGCCAGCGGGATGAGTAGGCGGAGGCCATGGCGGAGGATGGCCACGAGGGACATGTGGCTGGCAGCATCAGCAGAGGTCGGCGGCGACTCTGCGGCTGTGGTTGTGACGGTCCCTCCTTTTCGTGGTTCTTTGGGTGTTGAGTGTTGTTTTGAGAGAAAGGAGAAGAAGAGAAAAAAGTTCAAGCCTTCGTCGCAATTTCTTGCCGGGGTGATAACCTGACATTGACAGGTCTGGAAAAGGGGTCCAATGGGCACAGTGAGTTACGCGCCATGATCTCACTGTGTCTGGGGTGCTATAGTGGGTACGAACAGGCCCCTGCTCGCCTCGTCTTCCCAGCGATCGCGGTCCAGACCACCGACGTCACTTGTCTCGACACTGTGTCGAGCTGCTTTCATTTAGACTCAGATCGAGTCTTAGTCTGGCTCACTTGAGCTCATGGATGCGGCTGTAATATTGTAACATGGCTTCTTTTGATTTTAAATAAGTCTGAAAGCTTTTAGTTTGACCTTTTGAGGACCTGACAGCATTTTGTAGTCCGGCCTGGCTTGCGCAGCTTGCTCTTCAATCGCGAACTTTTTCACAGAATATTCTGACCAGACTGATGCTTTTCAGGCTTCGTCTGCTGTATCCTGGCATATCGGCTCGCTCTGCTTACTTTACCTAGTGTCTCAGGAAGTCATCATCATGGTCTCTAGGTCACGCCACCCGGTGGCTTGTAGCTGAAGAACTCATTAACCCATTATGTACTCAGAGGTAGACAGGCAGAAGTGCTGAAACTCCTTGTTCACGATCACTACTGCTGGAGTATCGCAATACATGTCTCAATAGAGAGCCTGGCAAGAACTCTTCCACAAACAGAATACAGCATCAGTCCTGCCAGGGACTGAAAATATCTCATTCGCAAACTGAAGCTAGATGGGAGGAACAAGATAGCCCGGATTTCCATGCAATGATGGCACACTACCAATCGCGGTCTCCCCACTGCAAAAGGTATCGATACACCAGTTGGCACAGTGACGGTAAACCACCAACGATGCGACGTCAGGAGGATTCGGAGGAGGTATCTTGATCTGCCTGGACGGTCTGATTGCCGTACCCAATGGCATCAGATTGGCGTTTGGGTCGTAGAATTCCGGATACTGTCTGAATATCTCCGGGTCAAGCTTGAAGCGTGGCACCCCATCATTCAAACCCAGCATGCGAAAGGCCGTTTCTGCATAGCTGGCTGTGAACAAGTCTTCGAGGCTCGGGGCTGGAAGCATTGTCACAACCGCCTCCTCCGATACCAGTGGTGGCCGACTTCCCATGGTGGGAATATCTCCCTGTCTCTTATGACTGCCGTCGTCTTGCTCGAGATCCACCAGACTTTCCATGGCACAGATCAAGTCCCAGATCCTGATGTAACCGCGGCCTTTGCCGTGGGCGAACAAATCAGAGCACTCAACCTCGACGACGTATGAGGTTGCAACGTCGCATATGATTTGATCCAGGTACGGGTTTGCCGAGTGGAAGAGGATCAAGGCATCCCTGATCGTGGGAAACGGGCACCAGTCGATCACACTCGGGTACTTCTCCGACATCTGCAACGCTGATGGGCGATATGAAGCGTGAAGACGCATGTATGCTTCGCGAGAATGACTCATCTGCCACAGGGCGATGTCGGCAATGTTTCTCGAGTAGTTGGTCGCATTGTACCAACTCAAAGCTAAAGGTCGACTGGTACTATTGAAGAATGACAGCATCACCTTTGTAGAATCACGTAGTCTATCACTGTTTCCTAGTAAGCTTTGGATCTTCGACTGTGAAGGGGCTTGCAGAACAACCACGTACAGAGTGCTGTCTGTCAATGTCTTGGAGTTCAAAGTGCTCCATATTCTTCTAATAAGGGGCTGCATCATTCTCATATGATCGGAGAATGAAGAGTTGGTGAGTTTTGAGCCATCCGACAGCCTAGACTGGAACGCGGCCGGTCCCATCTGGTACTGATATGACCAGACACCTGACAGACTGTCCAAGAGAGGATACGGCTGATTTCCAAACTCCAAGAATTGTTCTTCGGCATCCGTGACAGGGCAAGGGGCTCCAGTATTGCTGAAGGCGAATGTGGGTGCGCTCGTGGAAGGTAGGAAGACACCTTCTTGAGACGATTCTGTCATAAGATTTGAGGCATCATTTGGCTGATTCAAATTCACCCCTGAATGTTCACAGATGGGTTTCTCATTGAATGATGTCGTGCTCGGCGCAGCCATGTCAGGGAGTCCTTTCTCCAAGTGTTGCGGGGTTACAGAGTCTGGAGGGGAACCCGAGGCGGCTTGTGCACCACAGACTGTCTGATTCATTGCCGTCGACAGCGAATTCAATGAGCTCTGTATCGTTTTCAACTTATTGATCGCAGCTATCAGCTGTTCCCGTAAAGAGCGGTTCTCCCGCTCCAGCCGCGCGATTTGCTCGTTGTCCGAGTCGCCTCGAGCCTGAAGCCGACTCTCTAAGTCTCTAATATGTGCAGTTTGCCGCTTGCGAAAGGCTTGCTGTGACAGCCTGTTGCGAGTTCTAATGAGGAACTCAGTAACCCTGATATCTAACATCGCGTTATGCATCAAAGGCGGCGAGTCGCACCCACCTTTTCTGGACCAAGGTAGACATCTTGGGATCATGGCTTTGATCGCCTCTGAGTTCCGACATTCTGGAACAATCAATTACGTCTGGGAAGTGGTCACAGTATAATTTTCTGGTAGAGTCGAGATGAATAAACATAGCATTGAATGGCGGTGTCTATTAAGGTTACCTTACTCCACGGCGATACGTGTAATTCGCGCCCTATGCATGTAATATGTACGATCATTGATAAGACAGATAACAGTCAATGTGACTCACTTGCATGGTCGAATATTTTACCCGCCCTGGTGATCGATGATGTTCAAGAGTTCTATAGTCAAGGGATTGCTCGATTCCTGAGAGTTTGCCGTGTTGAGATTGGTGAGGATGAAGGGAAAAGGACTTTCCTGCGAAGGTCAGGGCATCATTGTTTCCAACGGCTTCAAAGGTTTGCCAGCAGAACTCACATAATCATGAAATAGGCACTGGAAATCTTTCCATCGGCGCCTCCCAGACATTTCTTTCACAAAAGTGTGCCAGTGTCAATTGACCAGACATTGGCTCATCACTCCTTGAATGTGATTCCGGCTAGAATTTGCGCCTGATATTGTCTACTTTGAACTACACCAGTATATGTGACGTTAGGATGAGCTCGCTCGCCTCTAGTAAGACCCGAGTTCTAGAGCCTGGCAAGCGGACCATGCTTCCTTACAACACCCAGCGACGCTGGGGTGATGTCGGCAATCGAGGTACACCCACACAACTGCATGCATCTCTTGAACTCGGCATACATGATGTCCAAGACTTTAGTGACTCCTGCTTCACCATCGCACTAGTTTTGAGAGGAATTATCAGCCACATCTCGATAGGATTAGACGGTCGGATATATGTACATACCGCGAGTCCCCAGATCACTGGCCGTCCGATCCAGACACAGTCGGCGCCCAAAGCCACTGCTTTGAAGATGTCGGTTCCGCTGCGGATGCCACCGTCAATGTGAACCGGAATCCTACCCTTGGCAGCCTTGACACAGTGCGGCAGCACATCGATCGTAGCCGGAGTTTCGTCAAGTTGTCTTCCGCCGTGGTTGCTGACAATGACTCCATCGCACCTGTATTGAACAGCGAGCTCCACGTCTTCTGGTGTCAGAACACCCTTGATCCAGATCTGCATTTGCGTGACGCTCTTCAGCCAGGGAATCTCCTTGGCCCAAGAGTGAGAGCTGGAGTTGATGGCATCAAACCCACCCTCATGCGTCGTGGCTCGGATGGTCTCCGACGTCCGCTCGAACATGGGCAGTGAAAGTCCCTCGGGAATCCGAAACTCGTTGCGAGGTTCGTTGTAGCGGACACCCAGTACAGGGCTATCGGCCGTGAGGAAGATGGCCACACAGCCTGCCTTCTCCGCCCGCCGGATGATGCGAAGTTGAGACTCCCGATCCTTCATCGTGTAAAGCTGCATTACGTGTTGAATGGGTCCAGCCTGGAGACCGGCGTCTCTTATCTCCTCAACGGAATGGTTCGCAAACGAGGAGACACCCATGTGCACCTTGCGTTTGGCGCACGCCCTGCTCGTTGCCAGCTCACCGTCAGGATGGGCCATGGCTTGAACTCCTGCGGGTGAGACGCATAGCGGGAAGTCAATCTTCTGACCGAACAACGTGACGCCAGTATCGACGCTGGACACATCGACGAGGACGCGGGGAAGCACTCGGTACTTGGAGTAGGCTGTGGTATTCTCCTTCACGGTGATCTGACCCGTCGAACCCGCATCATAGAATTCTGGTGGTCGTGCTGTTAGGAGACAGGTTTTGATTCGACGTTCTCATGAGAAACCCTCACCTCTCGCAGTCGATGAAAGCTTCATCGATGCCGCCTGTTTGACATCCTCAATGCTGAGAAGCATTTCCTTGCCGGTTCGTTGAGACATATTCGTGCCGTGATCTGAGAGGCGTCGATGCAGTTTCGTCGGGGTGTTTGCTGAGGGGAATCGACAGGGCTTTTAATGCAACTTTGGCGTGAGTGACACATGATGCCGCCCACCGTAGACTCCCTTTCCCCGACTTCTTATCTCTGCATCGGTCGGCATCCTCGCGCAGGACGGGAAGACCGCTCAATGACAAAACGAAATGGCGATAACAAGTTCTCGACCCGGATGGTCGTTTTGGGCATGCACCGGTGATATCAGCGATGACAATCCACCTGCGTGCCAAGGTGGCTTCGTAGGGCGCGCTCAAAGCAAGTTGACTAACACCCGATTGACTAACACCGCGGAAGTGAACCCCGCAACTGAACTCCGATCTCACTCAACTTCCGCCCGATGATCGGCCTCCCACTCGGACGGCCAATAAGACAGATACCACCGATATCACGGCATCAAATGCAATACGCCGCGCAATACAATGCAGCCACCCTTATAATCTGGTCATAGATATCTCGCCATACCCAACGAGTACACATTTAGAACAAGATATCACAGCATGATCTCCACAGAAATTGACTAACAACGGGTTGACTAAACTTACATCGCTCTTTCGTCTGAATTGAAGTCCGGCATCAACGTGTTGAGATATTCATAGAGAGGTGAACTCGATAAAAAATCCGCCTATAAGAAGTCCTAGGATGTCATAAAAGGCATCTTACTATCTTCTCCAGCGTCGAGAAACGCTTCGTCGCTTGCTGTCTTCTCAATTCACTTGATTACTTACTATTCATCACACAAGATAAGAATAATGTTGGGCAAGCCTGTCCTTTCTTCAAAGGCGCCAGCGCCGCTCCCGTTCCTGTCTCAGGCCATATCAATCAATGGATTTATCTTCTGCTCTGGGCAGATTGGCGTTGATCCGTCGACAGGAGTCCTGGTTGAAGGCTCTATTCAGGAAAGAACGGTTAGTGAATGCACAAACACGTTGGGGTTCTTGATCACTCACAAATGTCCTTATCAGAAACGAATCATGCTCAACCTCAACGCAGTCTTAGAGGCAGCAGGAACAGACCTCACGAATGCGGTCAAGGTCAACATCTTCCTTACGAGTCTCAAGGACTTTCCGGCAGTGAACGAGACGTATATCGAGTTCTTTCCAGGAGACGTGAAACCGGTCAGTGCTGACATCCCGATGTTGATCTTAGTTCCGCAGAGCTGTAGCTGACAACGTGATTCACACGCAGGCGAGAACATGTGTTGGAGTTCGAGAACTTCCTTTCGGGACCGATGTCGAAATCGAGTGCGTGGCAGCTGGTGGATCGCCGGGAACACGACTGTGAACTCAGTAAAATAATATGATCTTGCGCAAGGCACGCACCGTAGCCTGCAAGCTTTTAGTTTCACCATGTCGTTGATACTCGTGAGACGCAGCCAGAGTGATATCGTGAATCATCTTCTACTAGCTGCCAACTTTGGGTATGCAGTGTGTCATGCCGGTACCTCCGGTTCCCCAACGCCGTGCACAAATGCCGAACTCGATATTCAATCATTCATCAGATCCCATGGCCTCCTCTTCCTCCACATCATCGTCCAGACTCGGGATCTCGACCAGGAATTCGGGCTCATCCAGGTCGAAGGAGAATGCGACAGGGCAGCCATCCCGCAGCCCCTTTCCGATAGGTGTGTCGCTGCTCTTGACCTTGATGTTCTTCCATCCTTGTGACAAATCGTTCGCGTTCACGGGCAAGGCGTAGGCAAGCTCGACATCGCCTTCGGGGATATCGGTTGTCTCGGGTGACCCTTGTTTGATGGCGAGGCCGTCGGGAAATCGGTCGCGGAGAACGTCGAGCAGCGAGGTGGTTATTTCGGAGAATTTCTGCTGGCTGTCGATGAACATCAAGATGGTATGGACTCCGTACTTGAAGCGTATCGAGTAGAAGGTGTCGTCGATTTCCTAGACGAGGGTCAGCCTCGGTGTGGGAGGAATGAGCTAGTCGCCCATACCATTTTCGAAGGTAAATCTTTTGTGATCTCTAAAAGAACCCCGCTTTCCAAAGCTCGTTTTTCTGTTGCGATGGGTGCAAAATGAAAGGTAAAACGGATTGACTGGCGTCTGCAGGTGTGGGCGTTGTCGTCGGAAGTGAAGCAACGAAAATGTTTGGAAGAGTTGGATTCAAGCGATGGCAACCTCTGCAGGCAAGCGCGAAGCTGGATGGCAGCTGCGGGCCGACGCGGGGCAATCTTGAGGGGAAGGATGCGCGACCACGTGACTGCGTGTTGAGCTGTTCAGTGTGTAGGTTCCGGGGTGCCTTCTCCGAGTTGCGGCGGGTCCAAGCTCCTCCCGGGGCCGATTTGTTTTGCGCCCGAGCCAGAGCTTCATTTCGCATCGTCATTGTCACCTTATACTCAATCGCGACAAACCTGCCAACCACTCCTAAACAACCTCGAGAACTCCCAGACGGATACCCTCCAGCGAGAACCGAGACGATCGACCCTACCCGACGATTCAGCCCTCACTTGCAACCCACGAATGCCCACCATGGCCGAACGCCGACAGACCATGGCTGAGCACTTCAACATGAAGCCAGCCGAGTCCCGCCTTTCCATACCGACGCCAGCTCGGATACCTCTTGCCGGATTGACTGGGTTCGGTATCGGAATGGCGCTCGGTATTGCCCAAGGAGGTCAAACTGCTCAGCTGCGCTTCCGCGCCGAACACGCACACAAGATGCCCACCACCACCACCGGATGGTACCTCTACCACAAGAGCAAGAACTACCACACCATGTACGGTAGCCTTCGCGAAGGTCTTCGTATGGGTGCCAGGTTGAGCTTTTGGACCCTGATGGCATTCGGCCTTGAGAGCACCGTCGACAGATATCGTGGCAGCACCGATCTCATCAGTACCGTCCTGGCAAGTTTGACCGTTGCTGGCAGTTTCAGTCTCGTCAGTAAGTGACATACAGCAATCTTTAAGCTCAGCCCTGTGAACTATTTGTCTGACATCGGTTCCCGTACAGACCGCTTTTCTCTTCCCACCGCTGCCCGCACGGCCCGATACGGACTGCTCTTTGGACTGGTGTACGGCGGAATGCAAGATATTGTTGGCTTTGCTCGCGGTCGCCCCATCGGATACGTCGAATTTTTCCGCAAACGCTTCGGATCAGGGAAGACGGCCAAGATCCTGGAGCAGCCGCAAGCTTAGACCAACTGCGTCCTTGACGAGACTGTTATTTTCAGCAAGGGATTCGGTGTCAACAGGTCGGCCTCAACGCACGGAATCATGAAGGACTGGTCAGTCATGTCATGATCTGCGGCAGCTACTGGCGAGGGACATGTCTCCCTTCTCGCCAGTTGCAAAGGACTCCTTGAACCGCCCGGCTGAACAGGCCGGCCTCGACGGAGGCTGAGAGCAGAACTTCATGTTACTCGAGATGGTCCCACGCCCAGCTGAGGCGTCAGGACATCTGCCACACGTTGGCTTGTATCACCTAGCCGGGTCAGTGGTCACTGGCAGCGCTGCTTCGCCAGGATGCCTCAAGTGGCATTTTCTTCAAAGATGATGAACTGTCCACGACCATGGCGAGAGAGGCGACACTGGTGGGCTTATCGGGAAGTACGAGTTGGGGAAGGTTTAACTTCCGGCAGAGACTCCCGATTTAAGTCAAACACCATCTAGAGATATGTTCGTCGGATCCAAGTATGCCCATACGAAGTGCGGAGACGCATCCTATGGAAGGACGGGAAAAGAGACGGGCCTGCCGATATCAAGGACACCTATAAACGACGCCTCCCAACGCGGATGATGGCAGGGAGATGCGGATGAGCGCGGCGATCTGACATCGAAGACGGGCGAAGGTGAGATTCTTTGACAGATCTGAGGCTCACGAGGGTGGGTGGGATCTTGTCACAACCGGAAGGTGTATTCAAAGGTCGGAACAAGGTTGTGGGCAGAGCAATACGGCATTCGGGGTTGAGATGGCCCTCTCTGTCTCAATGACCAGGGAATCACAGCGTAGGAACCGAGCTTGCTAGCCAGCCTCATGAATACAGCCACAAATGTCCATCACTTTCTTCATTCCAGGGTCCGCCGGCCCATGACAGCACCTGACCCAAACACCACGTGAACTCCAAGGTGGCACTCCCAGTCCTCCGCCGATCCCATCACCTCTCACCTCACCAGCACCTCCTTCATTCGCCAATCCGTGCGCCATTCAGGGTCCATCCGATCCGATCGCGCCGCTTCCGCATGCGGCTTACATCGGCCTCCCTCTCCCCGCCAATGGCCACAGACGGTCCACGTGATGGTCAATCCGCCAAAGATAAGCGGCGCCGCACTCGGGCTGGGCGGGAACTTGCTAGGCGCTCTCTCGCGCGCAGGAATACCATGTACACCACTCGTTTGCTCCTGCGCAGATAACGGCTCGGTTCACATCCATCAGGAAGGCGAGAAGTGAGGTCAAGGGTGCGTGTGTAATGTTTGTCTGAGTCTGGTCCGTGGGTCGAGTACCTGATCTTGGACGGACTGGACTGACGGATCGGCCGCAATGGCCAAGAGATAAAGGAGGAAGGAGGTAGTGGCATCGTGGGATATAATAGCTCCCCGTTTTCCCAGAAACTACGAGGCCCTGATATATTTACGTAGTACTTGCCCAAGTGCTCGACTATCGTATATTGTCGTCATCATTACTAGACCTTTCACTGTGGCGTTGTCTCCCTCCTTCCCCCGCAGTGTACTGTTGTGTCTTACATGAAATAACAGCCAAATGGCTCGGTCTCTGCACAGACTTGGTCTACCGGGTGCACCCAGGTCAGCTGTCTACGCGTCCATCTTACAAGAGCGCGTCGTTGCTGGGAGGAGAGTGAACGTCATCCCGCCACTATTCGCAACATCACCCAGCAGGCGTTCATACCAAACCTTTCAGATGGCGACGAAAAGGCATATCCATTCTTCCGCCAAAAGGCCGTCTTCGAACGAGCAGATGTTGGTCTCAAGCACGTCAGCTGCTCTGGAGCCCTCGTCATCAGCACCACCGGCTCCGGCACCTCTCAGCGTGCTGCCTCTACATATGATCCTCCGTTCTCTCCTTACGACTACAGTATCGTCATCACCCGTACTACTCTCGCCTTCGCTGTGGATAATGTCGGTTCTCGCAAATACCACGAATCCGCTGCTCAACCCCGACAAGAACCCGGTGTTGCGGGTTTTCTTAAAGCACACTTTCTACGCCCAATTCTGCGCCGGAGAGAACCCAGCCGAGGTCGGACAGACCATTGCAAACCTGAAGAGTATCGGCTTTACGGGTGTCATTTTAGGATATGCTAAAGAGGTGGTTCTCAGCGACGCGCAAACCAAGGACTTGGCCTCATGTGGGGAGGGCAAGACGGCGGAGGAGTGCATCCGAATTGAAATCAACCCTTGGGCTCATGGCACGATGGAAACAGTCAAGCTTGCACAGCCTGGGGATTTCGTCGCACTCAAGTGAGTCCCTTCTTCCTCTTCTTCGTGTATTCTCTACCATCTAACACTATCGCAGATTCACAGGCGCAGGCCGTCAGGCACTTTACACCCTCTCCGAACGCCTCCCTCCATCAGAAGCACTGACCAATGCCATCGATGCCATCTGCTCCTTCGCCGCAGTGCGAGGTGTCCGCTTGCTTTTCGATGCCGAGCAGACTACCCTTCAGCCCGGGATTGACGACTGGACAATCGATTACATGCGCAAGTATAACAAGCAGCCCGGGAAGGCCGTCATCTACGGCACGTACCAGGCATACCTCAAGTCCACGCCACAGACACTCCAGCGCCATCTAGACGTCGCTCGCGATGAGGGTTTCACCCTCGGCGTGAAGCTGGTGCGCGGCGCTTACATCGGCTCCGACCCAAGACATCTCATCCACGACACCAAGTCTGACACCGACGCCGCATATGACGGCATTGCGGAAAGCTTGCTCAGGAAACAATGGGGCGATGTGTTGAAGGGAGACTCGCAGATGCCGCCCGTAAGCTTGGTCCTAGCATCACATAATGCGGAGTCGGTCAGAATGGCGAGGGCCATCTGTGATGCGGGCGAGGCTAAGATTGACATTGCGTTTGCTCAGCTCCAGGGGATGGCAGATGAAGTCAGTTGCGAGTTGGTGTTGAAGAAGTCGGACGGCAATGATACGAAGGCGCAGGCAGTAGAAGCATACAAATACCTCGTCTGGGGATCGACGGGTGAGTGTATGAAGTATCTTCTGAGGAGGGCGCACGAGAACCGCGATGCGGTGCAGCGGACGCGAAGTGGACGTGATGCAATGTGGAGTGAGCTTGTGAGGCGGATCAGGGGCGTGATCGGGATATCCCTTTAGGTAGCCGGTGTTTTCTGCGAGGAGTTGGCGCCTGGTAATATGTTAGGGAAAGTTTCATGTAGAGCAATGATGACGACTTACGAGCTCGCACCTTGTTCAGCGTCGGGCCATGAGCATATTATGGCAGCATGCGACGGAGCTGAAGAGTATGTTTAGGCGGTACGCAAGGCCATGGCTCCCAGCACAAGGCTTTCGAGCTCCTCCTTGTGTTGTGCCTCGTCCTTGATGCCGTCGAGCCAAGCGAGACCATTGAGCTTGTAGTACTTGCGGACCTTGGCCCAGTCGGTGGATGTGGCAATGGACTCGTCGGTGAAGGGAACGGGTGTACCCTGGAAGTGTTCCTTGAGGTGCTTCTCGACTTCTTCGGCGGACTTGGGTCCGGCGGGGGTGGGGGAGACGATCTTGACGGCGATGACGTCTTTGCTCGAGGGGCTAATGCCGTACCGACGGTAGGCCTCTGCGATCTGCACATTGTCAGAGATGGGTATCAAATCAACACCAAGATGCCAAAGAGGTGAGGCGTACGTTGTTGGCGGAGCTGAGAGAGGCGACGAGTTCGGAATGGACGTTGGGAGTCTTGAGGCTACCATCGACCTTGGCGGTTACGGCCTTGAAGGCTGCAGCGAAGATGTGGGTTCGTGAGACGGCCTGGAAAGTATGGTTGTCAGCGGCGTCGCGACGCGTGGGTAAGTCTGCTTTCGCAAGAAGATTGTGCGTACCACAGATGCGTCAATCAAGGCATACTCGAAGTCTGCATTGCGAGCTAACAGCTGGGAGTGGAGGAAGGCGGCATTCTGGACGTCCTTGAAGAAGGCAACGTGTACGGCATGGTCGGCGGGCACGTGGTCGATGGGAATGGTTTCAATGAGAGACATTTTGGCAGATGCAAGAAGAGTCGAACGAACGAAGAAGAATCGGAAGGTTAGCTCGCAAAGGACAGAATGTTGGGTTGTGGTAAGGAGGTTGTTGGAAGACGAAACTATCGCGGGGTCGGTAGGAAAAAAAAAACAAAAAGTAGAATTGAATTTCGCAGGGAAGGTGCAAGCATCCAATGTTCAGTTCAGTTCAGTTCCAGGTCTTGCTGCCAAAAATGTTATCGGCGATAAACGGTGCTTGGAGGGGCACTTTCATGGCGGGGTTCCAGACCACGTCACAGGCCCACCTCACTCACATTCGGTATTTGGTTCCACTTTTCCCGCCAGCTCCCGGCCGTGACGCGGAACGGAAGGCATCTTTTAGTCTACATGCCTGGGGTACCGGACGTTACTTTTGAAGAGACTGAAGCTTCATCACCAGAATAGATATCAACGGCCCGCATGTTGAACAATGTGCTGAGGGGTCGCAGAGCTTAAGATGACCCCGAACCCTGCTGAAGCTTCAGAAGCCTTACTTCACCATTCGGTCTTATTTTCTGGACTCGAATTACCTTACTTTCTGCTCACCTTTGATTGAATAGCCTTGGAAGGTACGCGTCGTTATCATTTCACTGCATGGCACCGCGTCATCTACACGGGGACAGTGTCCACCACTGCTTGCTTGGTGGTGGCCTCCGCATTCGTCTTATTAGGCAAGCTGCGAGATTGAGTTCCGATATTTTCGGTTCAATTGGAGTCTCGCTCAATTGCCTTGAGTATTGGGTATTCCCGCACCTTGCTAGTTGGAGTTTGTTCACACTGCCGCGTGCTCCCCTATCAACTTACTTTAGACGTGAGGGCCGGTAACGGCTGATCAGTCGGCACATGTTCAGACGAATCAACCTCTCAGGAACTTTATACCATGCCCGACAGCCTTGAAATGACGCGGCACTCGGGGATATTCAGAAGCCGTGTTTCCAACATTGAATTGACTGTTTGGCCCCCGCGATATAGCCTCCAATGGCCAAAGGGAGCGTCGTCGTGTACCTGCCTCTTGGCAGCGACTGACAACTCGACTCGCCAAAGCTACACACAGACTTCCTTAACCAAGCAGTCATGGCACATCTTGGCGTTCGGTACGCATTGGATGGACGTTGATGAGTCCGTCAATACAAGCGAGCCCGTTTTCCATGCGAGCACATGGTTCGAACTCGAATAAGAAACTGCCCAGGTCAACGCTGTCGTTGCCGGGGGCAAGCCATGGTCTTCCTCTATCCGGAGATCAAGACCAAGACCGTCAAGGTGCTTCCATGAGTCGCTAACCTCATGGGATTGCCGTGTATTGACACCAGCACCGCCGGGACGTTCGCGGCTTTGACGCTTACTACTAGTAGTCGCCAACAAAGACAAAGACACACGCAAGGGCTCGGCTACGCATTCTGACGGCCTATCCGTCTTTGACACAGCGCCCCTCCCGCTAGAGAAGCATTTGCTTTGCTTCGAGGTTTGCCATCGGGAACACCTTGACCTGGAGCTAGAACATTGGAACCCTCAGCTTGGAACATGTTCTTTTTTCTCTCATTTTTCAGGTCACCTTGTTTGAAAACGCCTCCAACGCCCCGATCCCTGACGACCTCGACATCGAATTTCATCGCGTCGATTCATTGGATCTCGAGCAAGCTCACCTAATCTCGTTCCCGTCTGGTTGTGGGATAGGCCACCGGTCAAGCCTGAATGCTGTTTGGTTCTCATCATCTGTCTGATGAGTTGAAGGTTCGGTCCTGTAAGGTACTCAAAATTCACCCACACCACCACAACCCAATCGCTTCACACCATCACCAGCCCCAGCATCAGCAGATTAACCGGCTTCGGACCAGAATCCTCGACATCCACGGTCTAGGCCTCGGCGCCGGGGACTCAAGGACTTGATTGTCTTGGAACCGGGGCGACTTCTGTCTTGTCTCGCGCAATGTGTCCAGTTTGATACTGTCTCTGCCTCCAACTATTCGTACCACCAGCCCGACCATCATTCTTCCATTCCTTCTCGACAACTTCGTCTTCGTCGAGATCATCCTTCCAGTGCCACATTCCTCCATTACCGACCTGAGGTAACCATAGGACGGGCTAGGTTCAGCGGCCCCGGACCTTCTAGACTTGGTCCCGACTCACCTGCATTCCAGTTCCATTCCTGCTGGAACCTCAGAAACCTACCTACCTAGCAGCACCCCACGCCGCCTGCCCGCATCCCGACAGACTGGTACTCCACTGGACACCACTGGACATTGGGATTGAGGTGAAGAGTCCCAGGTTTGGACTTTGGACCTTGGGCTGGGTGCTTGGAGGCACCGCTAAAGTTGGGTGTCACCTCAGCCCCCCGTCAGCCCTCCCACTAAAGGCAGGCCCGGGCTGCCCCCCATAAGGTACCTGCCGCTGCCGCTGCCGTCGCGGAGTGGCCCCGTCCAGTCAGTCCAGTCCAGGTCACCTCCCGTCACCTTTGAAGGTCCCGTCCCCCCCAACATACCCCCCGGACCCCCTTGGCAGGACCCAGCACCAAAAAAAGCTCCCCTAAAAACGCGGAAACCTCCATCTCTCAACGGAAAACCCCGTCGCGACATCATCGAGAGTCTGCGTCTACGTCTACGATCCCCGTCCGCCTGCGTCAGGATCTGCTTGTTTCCTTCTGCCAGACATTCGCGACACTGAGGCGATCATGCCCGGTCGCCCTCCCAAGCGACCGGCGGAGGCTGGCGATCCTGCGACCACAGATGCTGACACGGCTGCTGCTGCCGCTGTCGCTGCTGGCAAGGTGAAGCTTCCGCGCCTCGATAAAGGCGGCCAGGAGGACTTCTCCTCCGTTGTTAAGAACCGTTTGTCTTCCTACACGAGGACCGGCCAGGCTTGCGACAGATGCAAGGTGAGTCTACATGGTCGATACAGACGTAGGTCTACCTTCGTTGTGCTGACTGGCATCCTGCGCCAAAGGTCAGGAAAATCAGATGCGATGCTCTCCCCGAAGGATGCTCCCACTGCGTCAACCAGAACCTCGACTGCTTCGTAACCGATCGCGTCACCGGCCGAACCGAACGACGAGGATACATGCAAGAGCTCGAAAGAGAAAAGACCGACATGCTCAACCATATTCGCGACCTCGAGAAGCTGCTTGAAAACACTGGCACCGAAGTCAAGCCTTGGAACTGGTCCCCCTACGGCATGGCCTACCCTCCTCCTGGTGTGACCTACGACCACATGGGCAACGCCATCGAGGATCCCGCCGAGAAAGATGCCTGGACCAAAGTAGGATCCGTCTGGGTCAAGAATTACAACTTCAAGCCCGCTGCTGGCCGTTCGTTTCCTCGCTCCGCCCTTGAATCACGCCCTGCCCACAACCACCTTGGTGTTGGCTCCGACAGCGCACCCCTCAGCTCCATCAAGGGAACTCAGTTGTCCATCCTCGGAACCACGATAGACGTCACCTCATTCGACGCCCCCGACATGGACGAGCCCGTCCCAGACGCAAAGATCTCCCAGCCCTTGTACAACAAGTCTCTGCAGTCCTTCCTGCAGTCATGTATGAACATCAACCCGCCAGTCCAGATTGAGCTCCCCTCGAGGAGCGATGCCTTCACCTACTCCGAATGGTACTTCCTAATGATCTGGCCTTTCCTCCCTGTCCTTCACAAGCCATCATTCATGAACATTGTGAGTTGACACGTTTCGACCGCTTTTGCCAGATGCTAACTACTCCTTCCAGCTGACTCGTATGTACGACGAGCCCGACTTCGAGCCGTCCGTTCCCGACCTGGTCATGGTGCACATGGTCTTCGCGACAATCTACTTCCAGTACGGCGTAAGGAATTGGGAACAGCAAGAAACTCGTTCTCAGCTCAACGAGCTTTCCAACAAGCACTACCACTTTGCTCTGAGCAAGATGTACGACCTGGCCTCGGCGCAATCCGTCGCCGCCGTCCAGGCCATGGCCATGATATCTGCTCACAGCCGTGCCTTTCCTAAGCCTGGCTGCGGTTCCATGGTCACCAATTTCGCGTTCCACTGTGCCATCGACTTGAACATGCACCGCGCGGCCAAGGCTCCTGGCGAGACGACCAATCTGGAAAACGAGATCCGCAAACGGACTTGGTGGACTATTCTTACCGTCTATGTCACCCTTAACGGCCGCCTCGGACGTCCAATGCCGATAAATGTCGAGGAATACGACGTGGATTTTCCAGAACCCATCGCAGACGAGGCACTCACGCCCGAAGGCGTAGACGCGTCGGTGACTACACCCTGCACATACCATGTTGGTCTTGCTGGCTTCAAGATTGTGCCTCTTTTCATGGAGATGTACTCCAACATCTACAGCGTGAAGCGCGACCCGAAAAACTACGCCGACGTCGTCAATGCCTTGGAGGAGCAACTCCAGATGTGGAAGGACAACCTGCCCGAAAACCTGCAACTCAACCTGTCCAGTCAGTCAGAGCACGAAGGACGCATGTATGCTCTGTACGTCCAGATGTATGCCCTGGAGTTCCGTCTTTGCCTACGGCATCCGTCTGTGGCCATGACCAGCGACCGGAAGATGCAGCTTGAGAACGCCCGTATCTGCGAAGAGACTGCGGCGCATATGCTGAAGGCCATCAAGAGCCTACTGAAGCTCAAGTCATTGGATACGACATGGTATCAGATGGCAGTCTACGGCGCAGCTATTTTCACAACTCTGGTAGCTCACTGGGAGCGGAGGTTCGAAACGACACCCAGTCAGATCGCCAGCATTCGCGAAGACATGAAGGATTGGATGGAAATCATCAATGCCACAGTTTCCCTCCTAGGTGAGACCGACGCCCTCTATCAAAGGAAGCACATGACTAACCCGCGCCCAGGAACGGGAGCCGGCATCAGCAACGAGATCAATCTCATCATCGAGAGAACCATCAGCTGGATCGAGCACGACTCGAAACAAAAGGAGTCTTCACTTGCCCCGACGATCAAGCCCGACCCAGGAGACTCGTCGTCACCTTTTCAGCTGGCCCCCCAGTCTCAGGGCACACAAAACCTGGCCGCCAACGCTGCTGAGACGGCCGCCAAAGCGTTCTATGCCGACTCAGCAAACCAGAACGGAAGCACACCGTATCCGTCATTGGCGTACGCAGAGCAGCCGGCGAACAACAACATGGCGGCCGCGGCTGGCTTCGAGGCAAATAACGGATACCCGTACACGCCTGCAGTGCAGGCGACCAACGCGGCAGACGATAACTCGGCGGAGACCAATCCTCTGATCGCCTTTGCTTCCCAGGCGACCCAACATGTGTCAGATCCTACGGGCTCGGCCGCCGCTGCGGAGCTTCTATGGCGGCAATCGGCGTCTCAGGGCAACACATGGCACGACTGGACAGCCGCCATGGCCGACAGCCAGGATAGATACAGCGCTAACGCCCTCCTCACATTAGGCGGCGGCTCTAGGGATCCGGGTGCGGTGTCGGAAGCCGCAAGTGTCGCCGATATGGCGGCCGTCACAGCTGCTCCGGTAGGCCAGTGGCCTCTTCTTCTCTTTGATGGCGCGGGTACTGGGGGCCAATAAGCCATCGGTCCTGATGCGCCACGATCAAACGGGTACATTCTTGTCATAATGTTATAGAGCAATGTTAGGCGTTCATCGAGGTCGTCATTCACGACGGGGTTGCTACGGTTTAGCAACAGGAAAAGGCACAAGGCATGGGAGGGAACATGAAGCCGAAGGTTTCGGTTGATCATTTGGGGCAAACCAGTCCCCGGCAATGAGTCACTGGCGTTACCTTTTGGCTGGGCAAGTCATGATGGCATTTGTTTTCGTTTATGCAATATACCAGGCCACACAGGCGTATTGAGATTCCCACTATCTTTCCGCACCTCAGTGAGTCCTCATCCGTTCAAACCCAGCCACAATGAAGAGTATTAGAAAGTCGAAGGAATCTGCACCCCGAAAGCAGGAGCCACCACGGCCATCTTCTATGACTATCGTCGGGTTCTCTCGAGATTCATTGCAATGAACCATATGTGTTTTCGTTCTTCACCATATGCAACGGGTCTCGAAACAGTGTTTTGGTAAAAATTCAATTTCGTCATCAAAGGCCTGCCGTGGCAAAGGCTCTAGAGATAGGTATCAAAAGCCAATAACATGCAGGTGTCATCAACTACGCTCTCTCCCACATCATTCCATCTAAATGCATTCGCTTACACATCTTCCAGTTCTTCATATTACGTATCAACTCCATGAAAACACCCGTTCACAACATCCCGCTTAAGCACTCTCCTTGCGGACGTGGTTGTACGGGTTGTTGGAGGACTCGACCTGGACCTCGACGGGGGTCTTGTGGTCGCTGGCGTTGTCGACGGCGAGGTTCTTGTCGGAGTCGTACTCGGTGACGCCGAAGAGCTTGTCCATGTGCTCGAGCGAGACACCCTTTGTCTCGGGGACGAAGAACCAAACGAAGAAGAACATGGAGAAACAGAAGCTGCCGAAGATGAGGTAGGTTCTGGGGACTTGTTAGCACGGTTGTGTCAAGTGATGTTCATGGCCATAACTTACCCGTAGCCGTGGTTGCCGACGGTGGCCAGCATGTTGGGGACAGTACGGGCGACGATGAGGTTGAAAAGCCACTGGGTGGCAGCGGCGAGGGCAACGTTCAGAGAACGGAGACGAGCAGTCGGGATCTCAGATGCGTAAATCCAACAGGCGGGACCCCAGCCAAATTGGAAGAAGGCGGCGAACAAGAAGATAGCAACCAGAGCCATGTATCCGGCTCCCGGGACCGGCTGGCCGTCGACGGGCGGAGAGATACGGACGTAGAGACCGATGTAGAACATGGCGATACCCTGGGCGATGGAGGTCCACAGCAGCGAGCGACGACGACCGAGAGAGTCGGCCATGAAGAGCAGGAAGCAAATGCAAGCAAGCACCTTGACAATGCCGTAGACACCGGTGGACAGAAGAGGGGTGGAGCGACCGGTGACACCGAGATTCTTGAAGATGGTCGGGGCGTAGGTGTTGATGGCGTTGGTACCGGTCATCTGCTGGCAGATCATGAGGAAGATGGAGATGAGGGCACGGTTGCGGTTTCCCTTGATGGTCCACATCTCCTTCTGCAAGTTCATGAAAGTGGCCTCGCCGATGAGTTGTCTCTCGTGCTGAAGCTGGTCGACAATCTCCTGGAACTCGTCCTCGAGGTAGGGATGCGTTTCGGGTAGGTTGCGAAGGACGGAGAGACCCTTCTTGGACTCTTCCCATCTGTCCTGGCGAGCAAGCCATCTCGGAGACTCATTGCAGAAGAGCATGCAAACGAGAAGGAGCAGACTGGGCAGACCCTGGATAGCCAAAGGAAACACGTACATCGTCTTTCCGGACAGGTTGACTTCGGCACCGTACTAGGGTAAAGTTAGTAGGCTATTCGGGGTGACACAGTGTCGGTTCCGAGTCATCACTTACATTAATCCAGAAAGCAATCATTCCACCGGTGACGATGAACAGTTGGTACATGCCGGTAAGGAGACCACGGATAGCACGGGGCGCGTTTTCTGAGACGTAGAGAGGGTTGATACTGGAGGCGGCACCGACACCGAGACCGGAGATGAAGCGACCGACGAAGATAGGAGCGAGTTTACCGAGAGACGCGGCTTGCATGGCGACACCGACGAGGATGACAGCAGCGACACCGACGAGACACCACTTGCGGCCGTATCTGTCGGTCAAGGGGGAGGCGATGAGAGCACCAACCAAGCAACCGGCTTGGAGGGTGGAGACGATGTTACCAGTAAGGTTGGCGGTTTCGACCTTGGAAGCTTCTCCCAAGCCGTAGTCGCTTTGGATGAAAGTCAGTTTTCCGTCGCCAAGCTCGCTGTGTATGGATACGGTATACTTACTTCATGAAAGGCTTCATGACAACGACACCACCGATGACAGAACTGTCCCAACCGAAGGACATGGCACCGAAACAGGCGGAGGCGGCGAGGGCAAACACTCTCCATCCGTAGATCTCGGCGGGATCGGTTTGCATAGCATCGTTCTTGACGATCTTCTTGAGAAGACGTTGCATGGTCGCCATTTTGACGGTTGTTCTCTCTGCAACAAGCCAGGCTCTGGCGGGTTGATGTTGCTGCTGAGCAGATTCGGTCGATTGGACACGACACCCTTTGGTGGTTGGACCTCTACAAGCCGATGAGTTGGCGGAGAGAGGGGTGAGGGGTGTAGGAGAGTTGTAGGCGAGCGACGAGGAGAGGAGGAAACATTGGAAGTGAGGAGGGTGAGATGGTCGGCCTAGATATATCAAAACCCCAGGTCGGTGTTTTCCTTCCTTGCTGGTCCCAAGTCTCCTCCTCTCAATGTTACCGGGGACCCCTCACAGCCAAAATAGTCAGCAATTTGCCATCCACCTCACATTGGATGCAACAGAAGTTCCGCAACGGTACAGCGTGTGCGTGAGGAGTACTTCTCCGTCCAGGGCCTTGGTCGCAATCGCTCCTGTGCGTCCGGACAGAAAACCCCTGCTCCGTCCATCCAGTCTCTCCTACCGTCCATCCACCAACTGAAGCTAGCTGTGCCTCCAGAATCCCCAGGAAATCGAGCCTCAATGAATACCAAGACGGACGGCGAATTGTCCATGGGATTTTCCACCATTCACAGGGGAAGGGAGGATAGCCCGAGAGCGATGGACCGACGGGGGCGGCAGAGGAACGTCTTGGCCTTGGGGCTCGCGTTTTTGCGATCAGCCGACCAGGTTGTTCAATTGGAGGTTTGGGTCAAGCGTGGGACTGAGAAAGCACTTTCCGGGGTGTGCGGCGTGGCAGACTTGGTGTGGTGGTGTCTTCTCGCTGTGTTTTGGATGGTCGTGGCGGCCGGATGGGATGCAGCAACAGGCACATCAAGCATGGCCATGGCCGGGCTAGTCTCAGAGCTTTGGCTCGGCAAGCTAGTCGAGGTAGCCGGATGGCACTTCACTCAGACCGGACGACAGGCCGGTAGTAGCCAAGGGATCAACATGGGCCCGATCAACGCGTTCGAGCAGTGAAGGCAACAGCTGATGTCCATAGATATCGGCAAGTCCAACGTGTTTTGAGTACCTGGGGTGATGGTTCATCGTATCCATGCGGCCATCTTTTAGAGTTACCGGCAAAAGACATTCGAGATGAGACCGGGGACGGGAAGTGCTACTCTATACGGCACAATTGCTGTCAAATCTGTGGCGGGTCAATGGTGGCAGGCGGCAGGTTAGCTGCAGAATCTTCTCCGCGAACTAGCAGTCAAGCTTAACAGGAATAGAGGTGATTCTCTGGGGCAGCTCTGGGGACTGTATGGGGCCCCGGGTGCCCCAGGTTACGAAGGACGCAGCGGATATGAGAGGTGAGAGAGATCATGGGTGAGTGAGCTGACGGGAGACTCACTTACGCTGAGCAAGTGACTGAAAAGACTGGGACCTCCCCCCGGATGAGTGGACGTGGCCATGCTTATTGCGGTATAGACCACCGAGCGATGAGCCGTTCCCTACGATGAGAATAGGGTGTGATTTGTTGGAAGATGCGGTCGTCTCGTTTCAATCACGAATTTAGGCTGCTGGTGGGGGTGGAGAAAGAGTTGCCAGAGGAGACGAGGCAAAATTGCAAATGAACAAGGGTAAGCAAGTTGGTCAAGGTATTGGAGACAGGGGGGAAGCAACATAGTGCAGCTTTAATGAGTTTAGACCGTATGTATGATCATGGATGGGACATGTTCACGGTACAAGCACACAGGGGGTTTGGTAGGAATGGGACGATGGCGACGATGAGTGAATCGTCTCAGTTGGCGGCAGCAGGCTGACAATCCGGTAAGGATACCGAGGACGAAATCGTATTCAAGTAAAGATACAAGATTCGACTCATCGCAGCTTCTTGGAGGCCTGATCTTCATAGTGGATTCTGCGGAGAGCGGGCGCTTGCGAGAGACAAAGGATGGAGAGCATGGAGAAATATTGGAGATCGCGGGGGTGTAAATGAGGGGCTGGCACACATCGGACATGGGGGCCGCGCCGTGCCAACTGGAGACGAACACCACCACATCACTTCAGAAGAGACTTGCACAATGGAAGACAACTTTCAGATATGGAGTGGCTGGATCACTGCATTATACATGTCTCTGTCGATGAGTGGTCGGTTGGAATTGGCGAAAGTGTATGCCCAACGAAGACGCTGCCACTCTTCTGGATGCTCCAACAGTAAAGTAAACACGACTCAAAAGTCACCGTTTATGGCTTGATTGACGAGTAAGTGATACGGACAACTTAGTTCGGATCCTCAGAGTCTTCGACGAATCCCGGCGTACCAGAAACTGAAGACGGTGTGCCAAAACATGCCTAACCCAGGCTGCATTCCTCCCCATCGTGTCCTCCATCCTTCATGGCCAACCCCAACGTTGTGGCGATGGGCCAAAAGTCTTGGCTTTTTATCGCGAACCTCTTTCATTTGACGGAAAAATTCATTTGCGTCGCTGGCCTGGTGAATTGAATCTACTCTAGTCCGGTTTGGCCTTCATGGTCCGGATACATCCAGCTGGTACTCAAAAACCTCGATGAAATCTCGGCGGCATCGACATGAATCACATTTGGTTTTATCTGTTCCTTTTGCTGATTGATCACATACATACATACATCCAAACACGGCTGAGGCACACAGGGCGCTAATGAAAATGTTCGCCCAACTCGGCAAACATCATGCGATGCCACATACCACACTGGCTTATGTCCTGCTTGCGGACCCAAACTCTCGGGCCCTGCTTGCTTGCCAAACACCAAATTGACAGCTTTCAGTCTAGACCAGCCATGCGACAAGGTAAGCGACCGATGGCTCGGGTTCGGATGCATACCTGTCGCGTTTACCCCAGCCTGCGTCTCCCATCTAGCACGACCACGGCCAACGATGGGCTCGTTTGTTCACATCCATGAGTCTAAAATTGTCGCTCTACAACATCTTCATGAATAACAGGACGGAAGAATTATATCTCCAAGACTCGACGTTGAAATTCGATGCAGGCCATCACAAGAGCCTCTGCGCATGCCCAGCTGCCACGCCTCTTGTCTCATGTGCCAACATTCTTGGTCGATATTCTTGCGTCTTTGAACACCCCAAGCATTTTACAGATGCTGCACCTTGACTCTGGTCGCCAAGACTCTTTTCAATCCGCCCATGGCCCGATTTCTATCGTATGAAGATGGAAGTTGACTAGCTAGCAGCAATGTTCTCACGAGGATTCTCGTCAGCTCGTCGAGGTAACATCCGCCATATTCGGCGCATTGACGCGTGAACACTGGATCATTCTCATTCAGAAAAGAAATTACCATGCTCTCACTCACCCAGATCTTTACTTCCAAACCTCTTCCCTCACATTGACAAGCTTTAGATGACTAGCAAAAACGAAGTCTACCTCGCATCCGATACTCGATAACCTCTCCCGACTAGCCAGATTCCAGAAACAACACTGGGATTCATCGACGACGAGTTATCATCCCATCGATCTTTAATAAAGACTTGCTCATACACCATACGTCGGAGTGGGAGGGACACGGCCGAAGTTCCTGGGCCAGGGCTTCGCTACAGATGATCAACAACAGCAACGTCAATCTGCTGGTCCTTTACGCGACTTCGTGGTAGACCATCGCGATGGAGTGATCAGCGGTCTTCACAAGACGAAATAATGGTAGAGCTGTATGCTTCATCATCGATATCAGGCTCGCAATTAGGTCGCTAGCCTGGCTGACTGAGCGAATGAGATCCTTTGGGTAGATGCGCTTTCTTGTCATTGATACGGAGCACCCATCGTTGAGATCGACTCGACTGGCCTGGCCTGGTCCGTCTCTCCATGAGATAGGGCTGAGGCGAATGTCGATTGGGAATGACCGACTCCTACCTACAACACGACCTCCGTGTCTTCTTCGCAAACTCAATGCAATTTACGCTCAGCGAAATCGAGCTTTGGCGCTCAAGGGAAAGACATCTATAGTAGCGACGGATTCTCAAACGAAGGACGAACATCCCCTCGGTCCCCATTCCCGCCAAGACGGGTGTCTCCTATAAGGATCGTCGAGTCGTTTTCATATTCGCGTACAACCTCTTTTGGGGAGAAGAAACGGTCGAATCGAATCCAAGAACCTCAAAATCGCGAATAGAGCGAACTCGTGATTGGTTGGTCTGAGAATTCGATGGCACAGCAGATGACAATCCTGCACCCGCTAAGTCCGAGATGGACACCCTCTCGCTGACAGGGGAGGATGATCAACACAACTCAGCGAGCATCGTTCCCTCCTCCATAATCCAATGGCCACTGCTGTTGGCCATCACAGGTGAATATCGCCTCTGCCCAGTCCGGATCACAATCTCGTTGGGCCGAATATCCATAAAGTTCTCAATGGTCGTGCCAAGAGACAATAGAGAAACTCACGCCGTTGCCTTCACCCACGGAGACAGTTCCAATTGGAGGACTTCAAAAATGAATGAGGCGCATCGATTCTGCAAGACCGAGTTCTCAAAATGTCCAACACGAAGTAGAATATCCCGTCACGCGAAGCCCCGGCGCGCCGAAGAATCCAGCCAGCATCTCGGTAACAGCCAGCTCCAGTCACCGATCCTTGGCTCTATCGATGACCCCTTCAATCCATCGAGAGAGGGTTGCTTCCCCTAAGCCACCGCCTGCAACTCGGTGTCCGCGACCCGAAGATACCCTCCCTCCTGTCTCGCCCATCCCTTGACCAACAATGAAGGGTCCAGGGGCCTCGAGGCCTGTGCAGGCTGGGCAATCTACACGGGAAGAGATTCCTCCTGTCGCCAAGACGCAGATGGCTTTTCCCGCATGCCAAGTAAATGCCAGCTCAAAAACGTGGTTTGAACATCGGGGCGATGGGAAAGACGGACGGGAATGGGTGTGGATGAATGGCGGTTTCTTCGGCGCGAGTTGGAAACTTGCGCCTTGGCAGACCGGAAAAAGCTGTCGAGTCAAATACGTACACGGAAAAACAAACACGGCTGTTTGCGAGGTGGCTTTCATCCAACGTTGTTGTATTGAATCATTATCTCAACTATAATGTCGTTATCGCTCATAACCTGCCAGTAATATATAATAAGGGAATTATGTATAAGAAGTAGTGACTTGGGACTCATCGTCCGTCACATGACTTGTCAGATGGCTCCATCAAACGCCCTCAGTCATCCGTCCTCAGGTCCTCGATCCGGATCTTCCAGGCGCTGATGTGAGCCTCTATTCTCTCTCTCTCATTTAGTTGAGGGTCTTCTTGGCCCAACCAAGGCGGTTGGAAGCACCGTCAAAGACGACGAAGGCAGCCTTGAGCGCGACGTCGCCGAAGATGTTCACACCGATGCCGGAGCTGCTCTGGAGACCACCGAAGCAGGTGCTGGTGCTGACGGGGGCGTAGTTCATGTAGCTGGCGGGGATGGTGACGCGGGCGCTGCCGACACCGAAGGTGAAGGAGGGAACGGTGGCGGAGCAGGGGAAGGTGTAGCCACCCTGAGAAGAGTCGTACTTGGCGCCGGTGATGCCCTTGTAGTAGGCGGTGACGACGGACTGGGGGAGGAGGAGGAGGGTGGTTCCGGTGTCAGCGATGCCGTTGAGGGAGGTAGAGGTGAAAGTGGCGGAGCCGACAGAGTAGCCGGAGGAGGTGAACTGCCACCAGCCACCGGAGTTGTCGATGGAGACATAGGTGATGGCGCCGGTGTAGGCAGCGGTGTCGATATAACCGAAGTTGTACTTGCCGGCTGTGACTTGTTAGTATCGAAGCCCTCTTATTTTTGTATAAGACTACTCACGAGTGTTGTGCTTCAGGTCGGCGGTGAAGAGGTAAGCATCGAGCTTGGACTTGGCAGTCTCGAAGAAGGTCTTCTGCTGGGTAGGGGAGACGGTGTTGATGGAGCTGAAGCCAAGTCCAAGGAGACCGTCCAGGTCGCTCTCCTCGCTGAAGGAGCTGGAGACCTTGGAGGCAGCCTCGACGGCCTGGCCGGTGACGGACAGACCGCCGACGGAGACGGTGTCCTTGTAGACGATACCGCTGGAGCTGGAGCCATCACCGTAGGAGATGGACCAGGTGGCACCGGTGAGGCGGGAAGCGGTGCTGCTCTTGCTGGGGTCGTAGACGGTCTGGCCGTTGCGCTGGCTGGACGGGGTGGAGGTGGAGAAGACCCAGAGATCGGAAGATCCGGTGTCGAAGTCGAGGGTGAGGGTCTGGGCCGGGGTGCCGATCTGGACGGGGCTGAGGTACTCAACGTCGTAGTCCTGGGGCGTGGCGGCCACGCTGCCGGTGGCACGCTTGGTAGCGCCGGTGGAGGTGATGTTGGCGATGACCTTGGAGAGATCCTCAGGGAGAGGAGCGCCGTACTTGCGGTAGGCCTTGGCCAGGGCAAGAGGGCCGTTGCGGACGTAGCGAGGGTTGCGGATCTGCTCGACGCTGAATCGCTTGTCGTTGGCGTTGGCCGCGGGGAGACCGGCGGCGGTGGAAGCCAGAGCCAGGCCGGCGGTGAGAGCCGTGATGAGAGTCATTTTGACAATGGACAAGAGACCAAGAAGCCGAGAGAAGGCAGAAGAGAGGATGAGGACGAGGACGGAAGTGACCGATGAGGATGAGGAGGAAAAAGACGAGATGAACGGGTGAAAGTGATGTCCTTATATCCTCGTTGTCGACTCCACGATGGATCGTCGGTTTGTGGGAGGAGCCCACTTGGTTGGATGGGATATCGCAATATTACTCGAGTCGACCAGCGTTCACGAGGCTCTCTGTGCCAAGATGTGCCAACAAGGGGATCAACAAGTCAAGCTTTCAAGGTGTCCGGCACGAGATAGCCGGGAGAAGAATACCACCTTCCAAGAGGGAACATCGTGCCATAGTATCATAGCCAGGCTGCCTGTCGCGACTCCATGGACAGAAAGGCGCAACCGGGCCTGGTGTGCATCGTGATTCGAGAATACAGACAGACCGGCTTAGATGAGAAGAGAAGTAGTTCAAAGAGGAAGGAAAATAAGAGAAAATGCGGCGCCAATAACGGCTCGACTGACTAGCAACACCACACCAAGCAGGGGACCTTGACGTAGCTCCATTCCTCCCGCAGAGCCAAATCGCAACTGCCAGCCTATTCCCGGCCTGGGAGCGGACGAGAGGGGTGCAACCTTGGGCCTAAGCTTTTTCACAAGTTCCCAGCAGCGGGAGACTAGTTGAAAAAGAGGCAGGTCGAATACCCCGGGCCAGCCAAACCGCGGCTTTCCGTTCGTCCAAGGCAGGAGATGAGATGAAAAACAACAGCAGACGACTGGAGCAGCTGATGGAGGGGCCGAGGAGGAGGGCGGGGAGGACCGGGCGGAGGAGAGGAGACTTCCTCCAGCTTGATTCAACAAGGAGCCAATGCCGCAGCTGAAAGGCCCCTTTATTTCGAGATCCTTGTTGATCTCTTCTCTCGCGATGCGGCGATAGCCCAGGAAGGCTCTTGAGTCGAACAAACTTCAAGGGCGGAAAAAAACCACCTACCTACTCGGGACATGACTCCGGGAGTCGCAGACCGAATAGCCCATGGGGCTCCGAGACACAACCGGGCCTGACCATGCTCCGATATGCATCTTGACCAACTCGGAGTCTTCAATCTTCCCAATCACCCCAGCTCAGCTCAGCCTTCGTGCGCCTCGGCATTGCAAACAAGCTTTACCGCCAAGTCTCCACCCGCAAACCCGCATGCGAGCGACGAGTTCGATTGCGACCTCCAAGCATCGCCAAGTCTGGGGCCGCTCCAGGCACACGATCGAAGCCAAGACGGGAAGAAAGGCAGGACAGCTGGGGGGGGGAAGCGAGGGTAGATGGAGGGGAGATAGAGAGAGAGGGATTCACATCCCATTCGTGTTCCCGCCGTCGTGCATATTCTCTGTGTCAACGGTTCCGAAGAGCGGGATTCGGATACCGTTGCCATCTTGGCGATATTCGCGCCTTGCTATTGCTGTCATGACGTGCTGGCGGCTATGCTGCACCGGCCTGGACCCTGTCCCCCGTCGCATCGTCTCATTGACTTTGTGCGTATCTGGAGTCCTGAAGGGGTCGGTCACCTTTGCAAAAGTTCGCGTGCCAGTTTAAACTGAATTCTGCCCAGGTCTCCATGACGAAAGCCGTCGCGTGAACCTTCGTGGCCTTCCTCTTTCCTGATTCATCTCTCGCTCCGATGTTCAGTCGTTTTAGAGACGAAGTGAGTTGACGAGTTTCCTCAAAGGCTTTGGTTTGGATCGAGAAAATTGCCGAGTCAGCCGGTCTCCCCCTCCTGGTTTGGAGATAAGGAAGTCTTTTCAGCTCAAAGCAGAGAGCGCCAGCCACCAACCGTTCGACATCGCAATCTAAACAGTGGCGAGAAAGCTCTTTCGACTTCCCGATAAGAACCGTTGAGCGGAAACCACACGAATAAGCATGATTGAATTAAGATTGCGCCGTCGGGGGATTCAGCTGCTTCGACTTGGGTCTTCCCTGGTGTCTTCCTTAGGTAAAGGAACCATTTCATTACGTACCGTGAAGCTCCTTAGGTAATGCCATTCATTATCACCGGCCCACAATCGCTGCATCCATGATTGTGACCATCTTAGCGAAGCGGAGGTGGAGCTTAGTTCGACGTCCCAATTGTCCCGTGCTTTTTGTTGTTATTGTTGTCGTCGGTTGTTGTGGTGTTGTCGGGGTGTTCATGATGGTGGTTGCGGCTGTCATCTGAACTCGAAGAGACTCCGCGCTTGTGTCACAAACCCGAACATTGTTATTATTATACCCGAGGTCTGAGGTCATGGCCGTCGGTGGTCTAGACTGGAAGGCTCTAAGCAAGATGCTCTGGACGCAATAAATTCGGCGACGTTGCTTAATGATGCCGTCGTCATATTTCATTCCGCTGTTGTCCTGGCCGTCATCTCGGCCCTCCAAGCTCGTTTCATTTGTCGGGTTGCATCTTCACCGAATACCGCTATCCGCAGATTCCGACTCTTCTTCCGACGGGCTCTCACTCACTTCGGGGAGATGATACCGCCCGTGTGGAAACTTCCATCGGCGATGCGAAACTTAGAGTCGTCCGGTCATGGTTTTGAATTGCGAGAATCGCGAATCGCGAATGAGATGACGAGGCGTCATCACCAACCGGTTATGTCGGATTCCACCCCGCCGCGGTAAACGACCAGAATGTTAGAAGTTGCCAAAAATACCAACCGCTTGCGAAGACCGCGGGCGAGGCTTTCAGTTCGATTTAACAGCTGAAAGTCAAAACATGACCTCACCGGCCATGGAGCATGGTCTGCCCGTCTTCGCGCCGACACGAACTTCTGCAAGCCAACCAGCCACTTGAGCCACATAACACGGCCACTCGACCGATTTTCATCCCATCCTTGATCGATCACAGAAACTTTCCGCTCCAAGAACACATGCATTGTCATTATATGAATTGTGAATATGACCAGACCAGGACTTATTGATACAACAGCCTAACCAGGCTCTTCGACCAGACCCGCCAGACGATGTGTACAGCCAAAAGATGCCTCGATGAGTACTACAAACTGAACCAACAGTGCCCAACGCCGTCATATGGGGGAAGCGAAAACACAACCGAGACTCCCCATCAATTGAGGGCAACAACCAAATGGGTATGATGAAACCAGGAAAATGAAATCAACGCCAGCCGGCCACCGCCGGTCTGGATGCCTTCTCTATCTTGCCATTGGCCGCGAGACTGCCGATGGTGATGCGCCTGTTCCCGAACCCGGCGCTAGCGACTCTGTGTTGCTGTGGGCTTCCTCCGTCTCCCCTCAAACTGCCTCCGAGGTGCATTCTTCTGGCTTGACCAGCAGTGAATGCCCGATCTCCTCGGACGTCAGGCGGCGAGCACGTAATGGGTGGCGAGAGTCTCCGCTCAGCACTAGCTCGTCGGTTTCTCGAGATACCGTTAGTACTGCTAGCCAAGGGACCGGAGAAGCTGAGTGATGCTCTGTGGTGTGAAGCATTCGAGTTGATGGAGGAGTGTCGCTTTGCGTTCGACGACGCCGTACCCGACACGGAAGAGATGCGGCGATGGTCGCCACGAACCTTCTTCATGTTCTGCAACGCGTTTCGGATCTTTCTGGGGTCGATGCTAGGAGACTCCGAGTCGGAACCGGAGGCCGCGTGGGACGAGGGCGGATTGTTCTCGTCAGCAGAGAGGCCGTTTCCTGAGAGGGAGGTCCTGGGTGGCGGGCTAGCTCTCGCGATTCTTGAGCGAAAGGCTGGAGGAGAGAGGTTGGAGGACCGGTGAACGTCAAGGGCTCGCAGAGGAGCGGAGCGACCGCTGTCAGAGAGCGGCGACGAACCATAAGAAGCCGACATGATCGGAAGACTTGTCGGGGATCCGGACATGGAACCAACAGATGACACGCGGGTCGCCCCCTTGGACAGGAACCCAGCCTGAAATCTGTTGGGCTTAGCCATCGGCATGGAAGAGGTCTCGGGCAGCTCCAGCGTGGGACTGGAGTCAGAGATGGAAGAGGTGGTGTTGTCGTCCGTTTGCAGGTAAGAGGGGAGCGCGGGCATCCTCAACGGGGGGCCGAACTTTTCGGGGGAGTTGCTCTGCTCTGGTGTCGAGTCGTACTTCTTCGGCGTCTTGTCGTAATCCGCTAGGGTCCCTTGCTCCGTCTCGTCGTCCCTCCAGCGAACCGCACGCTTGAACTCCATCTTCTTCTTCACGGGCGTGAAAGAGACCCCTTTACGAGGACTTCGCGGAGCGCCTGCCTTCTTACGACGGGGTGAGGACTTGAGCGGTGATGCGTGCGTCTTTTGCGGCGAAGGCTCGGGGGCCGGGACGAAGGCAGGCTGTGGTACAGGCGCGATGTGGTTCACAACCGCCTTCTTGCGCTTCGGGGTGCCCTTCTTGGTGGGAGAAAACTTCTCGATGGGGATCTTCGCACCGTCGGGCTTGACGATATGGGATGCGGCTGAGAAGCCAGCCTCCAACAGTCGGTTGATGATTTGCTTCGCGTGCGCGACCGCATCCTCTTCGTTCATGGCAAGTGTATCGGCGAGGGAAGCAAGCATGTCGAACTGGGCCGTGAGAAGAACCTGCACCATGGCGGCATCTCCTGCTTTGTCCATCTCCAGAACCTCCCGGTTGGCTTCCCGACCAAAGTTGGACTTCAGAAGTTCTGCCTCGCGGGTCAGACTGTCCACCTCGGCGCTATCAGCATCACCTCCTGGCAACTGCTGCAGGCTGTGATGCAGCGCGGTATCGATGGCTCGCTCCCATTTGGTATTCTCTAGCTTCTGGTGAATATGCTGGCGGCTGTGCTCCAACTCAACCATGATACCCTGCGCAGTCTTGCGGATGGCAACAAGAGGCGGGGGCATCATGTCTTCCTCTCCCCTTGTGTCGCAGACGGTGTCGAAGGACGCAATCCAGGCAGAAAGGAGACCGATTCGCCTCTCGAAAGCCCTCAGCTTCTTCATGTTGTGAATCTTGTCCTTGCGCTCAGAGCCAGAGTTATCGTACGCCGCACGAATACGCTGGATTCCCTCGCGAGCGACGGAGTCGCGTTTCTCCATCTGCTTGCGGAACTTGGCGTAGAAGATCTTTTCGGCATCCTTCTGCTGCGCCTTGAGCTCGTTGATCAACGCCATCTGCTCATCGATCTTGACCAAGAAATCCTTCACATGTCTATTCACGTTGAAGACGTTTCGGGTGACCTTGGTCTGGATGTTTTTGGCTCGGTTCGCGTATCGGAGGGTGTTTTGCGTCTCGTCGAAATGCACGCTCGAAGGACTGACACAGACAATCATGACCGTCTTGCAGTTGCCGCCGAGGGAGAACTTGAGCAGTCGAGTGAGTTTGCTGTTGCGATATGGTACGTGGTTGCGCTTGCGTGGGTCGCACAAGGCGTTGATACAGCTTCCCAGAGCCAAGAGGGACTTGTTGATGTTTGCACCTTCCATGAGGCGCTCGCCGCGGTTCTTTGTGGCGCTAGCACGCTCGCTGCCTGCGAGATCGATGATGCTGAAAGTAGCCATGGTGTGTGGTTCGTTGACGGACGCGCTGCGGTCCTTTTGAGCGACGTTGATCTGGAGGACGGCGTGGGATCGCGAGGATGTTGCGTTGGCTTCGGTCGGGGAGACTGTGCGATACTCGTTACCCTTAACAATCATGTCCATGACCTCCTGGACGTCCTTGGGTTGGTGACTCGTCAGTCCAGCGACCGACACGGCCTGGTTCGAGTCCTCGCGGAGCATCAATCCCTGTTTGCTGCCTCCGGGGACCAGCAGGTCGCGGATGGTCTCGTTGTAGATTTCGAGGTAGGACAGGGTGACCTCGGTGGTTTTGTCCTGGCTTCGCTCCTGGATCTTCTCGAACAGTTCCTGCATGGTGAGGAAGATGATACCAGGATGCTGCGATGTACCGGTGATGGTATGTGTCTTGCCGCAGCCGGTTGCGCCGTAAGCGAAAGCGGTAGCATTGTATCCGTCCAGAACGCTGTCGATCAGCTGTTTTGTTGTTCCCTCGTAGACATCGTTTTGTGTGGCATTGTCGTCGAAGATTCGATCAAACATAAAGGTCTGGTCCTTGACTTTCTTGCCGTTGGGGACGACGGATCGGCCAAATCTGTGAACTGGGTTGTCCTCAGGAGGATCGAAGACACTGCAAGTCTTGTGTCAGAGCGGAACGGGGAGGATCTGGACATGGACATTCATCACTCACAGGCACCTGTCGTCGACAACCTTGATTACGGGTCGAATACCGCGTGTCTGGAGTTTGGGAGGCGCAGCGGCAAGAGAGCCGTCGCCCAAGAACATGGTACCCTCATCGGTTCGTGTCCTGCTCCTGGTCAGCATCGTGCCACGATTCTGTTGATCTGTATTGGATTGGCCTACAATTGAGCAGCCTCTCGGATCGTAAATGGTCGCACTCGAACTGTCCATGGCCCAAGTCAGCGTTCACGTCAGGCAAGATAGAGCCAGTAATGGTCGGACGAACCTGCGACCGTGATGGACGACGCTCCGGGGTCGACGACCATGTTGTCTGTTGTTATGATTCTCTGTCGTCTCGTGTTTCGCGTGGAGAAGAAAAGAAGGACTCGGAGCCGTCTCAGGTAGGGTAAACAAGAAGAAATCGAGGTCGAGGTCCAAAGCTTGGATTTTTGGTCGGCTGAGGTGGTGCAGCAAACGGAGTCAAATCAAGAAATAAACAAAGCCGCTCTGCAGCGCGGACCAAGCATCAGCAGAGAGGAACAGAGGAGGGAGAAAAGAATTAATGAGATGGGCGAAGCAGCTGTTTGGTTAGTGAATGAGGATTGCTTCTACTGCTTGGTCGCAGAGGACTGTCGAGGAGGACGGGAGTGGATGGATGCTGCAGATGGATAAGAGATTAAGTAAGGTAAGGCAGGAATGAGCGTGAATGTCTCGAAGGGTCTCTCTCTCTTTCTGTCACCGACTGGGCTGCAACGCTCGGCTGCTGTGACTGACGTTTGTTGTGTTTTTTTTGGGGGGTTCTCAGTGCCGCGTTGCCCCTGACGACCGGGAACGTTTTTAGCGAGGCATATATGGGTCCGCTAGTCTGTTTTGGTCCTTTTGCAGTCCACATTTTGATGGACACGTGCGAATGAGGGAAGGCGCGTCAGACGCGCCACACTCCACTCGTTTAGAGGCTGATGAGGCGGCTTCAGCCACAAACAATGTCCACGTCTTTCCGGTCAGGTCAAAGGAAGGACGACTCAAGGAAATAACCACCCAACCGTTGCACCTAGCGGAAGGTATTCAAACAGCCATGATAGCCAATCATCCAAAGAAAAATCGGTTACTGTGATCTAGCCTCGTTTCAGATTCACCAATTGCGACCTCGAATAACGACGATTTGATGCTTTGGATATCCTGTCACTTTCTGATTCCTCCACCCAAGGACGTCCAAAACCTCAGTCTTCTATCACAAGACTATTCCGTCAACCGTGTCAAGAAACCATAAGCTTTCCCATGTTGAACCCGTCCAGGCCGTCTTTATCTTGTTACGAGACCTTTGCCAGAGCCAGACACGAGAATGAAGCTTTCGGGGTGTTGCGGGTTCCTGACGAGAGTCTGGTAAGCAAGTGGTGAGCAAAAACGCATGAGGTCGGTAGGTGAGTTTCAAAAACGACATAGAGGACAAATTGCGTCTCTGCTTCCGAAAAAGAACCGATTAGTACTACTGAGCCCATATCATCCTTGTTTTCTTTGTTATATTATTCTACGCTTTTCGTTGTGATCTAACTTGAAGAGTTGCCCACTTTGGCCCAGACTGAGCTGGTCCTAATCTCGTTCCATGCCACTCGACGACACTGGAGACTCTCGTTAGCTGATCACATCCTTTTCGACTGCGAGGATGGGATGCTACCGAAATGGCACTACTCGTCGTCGTCGTGGAATTTTAGATAACGACTACAGCCAAGGCCCAACTGCAGCGCACCATATTGTGTACCTATCCGGATGAATTCCCCTTGCCCGCCTTGTCATGTCTCAATTTGGTCATTTGTGCCTCCAGTCTCTCGAATTGTCGTTATGCATCTTCTCCATGCCGAAAGAAAGAGATGGAGAATGGGGAGTTGACAATCACGATGGCTGACGTTGCATATAGGATACTCCATGTTGGTCATTAGATACTTATTGATATATCAAAACCATCTGCCTCAGAACATCGTCAGGAAGACACCCAGAGCCATGGCAAACACCCCCGTCATGACACCGTTGGCCCACATCCTCCCACCGGCGTTCTTATTGTTCGTTTTTTGCGCGAGCCTCGTCGCGTTCTCGTTCCCGTGACCTCCCACAACACCCGGACTACTCGTAAACGTCGTCTGGTTGTACTTGCCCTGCTCATCCCGCCCGAGCAAGAAGCTCTCCGGGGGTCCGAGATACGACTTCCTCACGCCTCCAAGGTCAACGACGACCTTCTGCACGATAATGTTCGGCATGAGGGCCCAGATGCGCAGCGTGTAGGCTCCCTCCTGAGTGACGTTGAACGAAGTCGTCGTGTAGTTGCCCGTCAGGCCCCAGACGGCGTCGCCCACGGCATACCCCCAACCGTCGGGCATGTTCTGTCCCTCAGTCTTGCCAACCGGTCGCACCGTCTTGGGCTCCGGCTCACTGCCCCCAGTCGGGTACAGGGAGATGCCGTACTCTAGTGGGTTGCCATCTCCAAGATAGTTGGAAGACGGTGAGATGTACAGAGTGACGTTGGCTTTGCTGGTGTTGGTGAAGAGGTACATGTTGTACTCGAGAGCCGGGCCTTCACCGAGCTTGATCTTCTCCGAGTCGGCCGGGTACAGTCCCACGCCTCCCAGAGTGCGACCATAGTTCTCGAAGACGTGGTACTCGAGACTATGGTTGCTGCTGGAATTGGATGTCGTGGGCGAGACAATGTTCTGGTAATGAGGGCCTTCGATGGATACGTGTCCATCAGACTCGACGAAGCCCTTGGTGAAGTTGGACGGAACAGCCCGGTTGACGAACGGGATGATGACTCTCTGTCCCTGCCCAGCATATCTCTCCAGTCCTCGGCACGGTGTTGTCACGTTGATGTACACCTGCGTCGCGTTCGGGGCAGCAGGTGCATTCGCCCAGTCGATCGACACGTAGATGCGAGCGTCAGTTCCGTTGTCGCCGCCTACGGTGCCAGTGTACTGCGATAACTTGACCCATGGTTGCCACGGGCTAGCCTTCCATTCGCAGGCCTGCGTTCCGCGCGTGAAGATCTCAAAGTAGCGAGAGATCGCGCCGTACGGGTCGAGAGGAGGCGTAGCGAGGTCGTTGGCGGAATTGGTGTGCCATTTGTCGTCTCCTTGTACGCTAGCATTGGAACCCTCAACACCAACGCCGATCTGGCCACCCAGAGATGGGAATGCCGTCTGAACGAAGCGCATATCGGGCAGGGTGTTTCTCATGGGCTGTTGCCAGTAACCGTCGTATCCCAAATGTGTTTCTGCTCACCGTCAGCATTACGTCTTGGGCGGGGTATCGAACGGACTTACGGTCAAGCATGTGCTGCCACTTGCCATCGAGCAGGTTGTTCCATCTAATGGTCAGGTTCGCATCGGCAGCCAGCAAAGCCCTGGACTCGTCGATGACGTCGTTGGCCAGGTTCCGCTTCTGTCCAGCGTACAGCTGATTCTTGGCACCATTGATCTGGATCTTGTGAAGGATCTCGCCTGCCATGACGGGATGCAGGATCATCTCAAAGAAGGCGGCTTGGTATTCTTTATCGAGAGAGTCGTAAACAGCCTGGGCCTGCTCGTGAAGAATGGCCCACTGCTCAAGAACAGCATCGGCCTCGTTGTAGTTGATGACCGAGTAGGTCTGGGGCTCAACGAGCTCGTACTTTCTGCGAGCAGCGTACATGCCATATCTAGTCATGATTTCGGTAATGTTTGAAGCGTGGTCTGCGCCAAACTCACGATCAGCCCAGGAGTTGAGCCATTCTTGAGTGTTGTCAGGCCCCCATTTCTCCGTGTCATACGCCAGGTCGAAGAAGTGGCTGATGGGGATCTCGAGAGGCTTCAAGTCGCCGACGTTGACGATCCAGATCCTTCGGGCATTGCGTGCGTAAGCCAGGTACATCTGCATATGTTAGTTAAGCACCTATTTTTAAGAAATCTGGATCTTACCTGCTCGGCGGTCTTCTCCAGCTGAATGGTGTTAATCCACTTGTAGTCGCGAGGGTCGCCAACGTAGTCAAAGTGGTAGTAGACGCCAGCACCACCGCTGCGGTCTGTCTCGTTCGTGAGAGGCAATCGTCTGACATTACCCCAGTTGTCATCGGCCCACAGAAGAGTGATATCCTCAGGAACGTGAAGACCCTTCTCTTGGTACGACTGCACTTCCTTGTACAAACACCACAGGGACGGCACAGTCGAGACATCCTCAATCTCAAGTCCTTCAGCAATGATCTTGCGCTGGTTGCTGACAAGCTTCTCAAGCATAGTGACAATAGCCTCAACACCCAGGTTGCCCTCGATAGCTGTGTCGCCAGTACCTCGCATGGCCATTGTCCAGAGGCTGTTGCGGGCATATGGCTTGGCGCGCTGCACACCGTAGCGGAAGTACTCATCGATGGTATTGTTGTTGAGGTTATAAGCCCATTGACCTTGATAGTATGTCCTGAACTCATTCTGGGCACGCATCAGAGGCTCCGTGTGAGAACCACCGAGTACAACCTCGTAAGCGTCCAATAGAGGCTGGTTGTAGGGGTCGTCTACATAGAAGATGCTGCCCCAGAGGGTTGGCCAAAGGTAGTTGGCACGAAGACGAAGCAGGAGCTCTCCCACGAGGCTGTAGAAGTGCTGGTTGTAGGGGGCGGCATTGTTCCACGTGTCGTTCCACTGGGTCCTGGCTTGCCGTTAGCAATGAACGTCAACATATTAGGGTAACACATACGACACCCAGCTGGAAAGACCCGGCTGCTCATCGTTCAGGAAGAAACCACGGTACTTGACCGAGGGTGAACCCTGGACCTTGCGCTCGGGCAGAACGTAGATCTCCGTAGCCTTTTTTGTGGGAACATCGGCCCAGAAGTACCAAGGGCTGACGCCAATCTGCTCGCTAACATCGTAGATGCCGTAAATGGTACCTCGAGGGTCGCTACCGGCAATGACGAGGGCACGAGAGCATCCCGCGATAGGCTCCTCGACCAATTGGCTCACAAAAGCCTCCCATTCTCCCTCGACCTCACTCACGTTGAGCTTCTGGGCCTTGATGAGGTCGTCGATGAACTTGGAGTGGCCAATGGTGCCAGCAATGACGACCGTAGAGCTAGGAGCAGGGTCGGTATACTTAGGACCGGAGAAGGTTTGCTTGTCCTCGACGCGGAACTGGGCCAGTTAGCTTTCTGCTGTCCTTGTGTGTCGTGAGCACCTCCAGACTTCAACGTCCTCACTGAATTCATGATAAGTGTCACTCACAATGGTGTTGTTGCTAACATCAACCGGCGCAAAGCTGTAAACGGCGGGATTTGAGCCACTCTCGCCGTTGCTGAGTGTGTAATTGGTGCCGGTGACACGGCCAAAGTCCAACGCTAGATCGCCAGCAGCTCGAATAACGCCCCAATAGTCGTCGCTGGACACGAGTACTTGGCCAGCTTTGACATTGCCACCGGCAATCTGGAAAACGTCGGGGGCACTCTTCAACGAAACGATGGCTTGTTGCCCAAGAGCCGAGACCAGAGGTGCCAGGCTCGAAAAAGCCACCAGAGCAATGGACTTCATGATGGAGGAGGTCAACCTCCGCTCTTCGGACCGAGGCACCGAAACGATTCGACGGGTCTGCCTGTTGGGTCTGGAAGAAGACGACAACTCGTCGCTCGGAACTTTACGACGAGAGGGAGAACGCGTACACCAAAGGCGCCCAGGAGGGTAGACAACGAGATTCAAGGGGAAGAATTAGCACGGGAAAGGACTCTAGCTCTTATATAACCCCAAAGAAGAAAGCTCACTTGAGCGGGACGATCCCACCCTCAGGCCAGGAACGGTTGGAGAACCAGCCCGGGATGATGCTTCCATGGGGAAAGTAGATTGAACAGGCATGGCGACGTAGCATCCATGAGCACACATAACCAGTGGTATGGCACCACAGACGCAAGAGCTGCTCTGGGGCCAGTAGAGGGCAACATTTGCACGCAGGGACGGTCGTAATTAGTCGTCTTTCCGCATGGGAAGATCGTGTCTGACCGACGGGTAAAGAGGGGCTCGAAGAGAGCAAGCCTCTTGACGACGGGCCGGAGAGAGGGCCGGCCAGTGTCTTGGCCCCTGTGGGAAGAAAAGCCGTCGTTCCACGAGGTGAACAAAACCCACGAAACCCCAGCCTCCAAGATGCTTGAGTCGAGCTTCCCCGCAGCCCGGCGCACCGGCTGCTCGAAGCGAGCGAACCTTGCCGACATGTTTACCCCACGTTGTTTGTTTGGATCAGGTCACGAGTGCCTACTTGCCGTGTGCCGAAGAGGAGATCTTATACAGGACCTCGATGCTGAAAGAGAAGTCCAGTCTCAACAAGGCCTAACTGTTGAGGTTGGCAACTCTTCGATAATGGCATCTTTCAAGAATCGGAATAGCGAACGACATGGTTGAAGGTCGAACTACCCCAAACCCAACCCCATTTGGAGAAACTGAACGATCTGGGCGCCAACCCACGGCAAAAGTCGCTGCGGGGAATATGCATTCTTGTGGCATCGAAAGTGGAGATGTCGCATTTAGCCGTGAACCGACCATTTCCACGTTGAATTTGCCTGATAAATCTGGGACCACGATATCTCGCCCTTCCAATTATCCGGTGAGTCGTGACGCATAGACCCAGCACAGCAGAGATGAAATCATGCTGGCAATGGAAGTGCAAAACATCTTGCTGGAAATTCCACGCTCCGTATTTATTCGAGGTGTCGACGCCATGGCCAATTTGACGTGGATATCAAGCCCAATCACATCGATATGGTGTCCTGAGATCCTCAGGGAAACGCATGTCATGAGACGAATCGCGTTGCCAGTCGCAAGCACACATATGCGAGTCCTCAGTTGATATTTCACCCAGCCCTCGGTCGTCATAGCTCAACACGTAGAGAGCCTGACGATCGCGGCTTTACGGATTGAGATTGACCAGGAGCGCCTTCGAGACATCGAGACAGGGGAGCGGGATAACAGCTTTATCAAAGAGGCTGCCAAAGATCGAAATCTGCAAGTGCATCTCCAACTCATCAGTAGTGAAGACTCGCTCACAAGGCGATGGTATCATTTGGAGCGCCGAATCTGCGATTTTGCTCAGCGTCACAGCCTGCGATGAGAACAATGACGGAGTTTTCAGTGCATTCCTTACAGTTATATACATCCTAAACCCATCTACGCCTTTAAAACTCCGCCCAAATGGAGTGCCGCCTTGGCCCCGAGTTTGAAATTTTGCGCCATTCACGTGGGCATTCGAAAGGAGATTGAAATCTGGCGATAGCACTTCAAATATTCCCGACGTCCGACGTTCGACTTGCGCAAAGCCACCGATCATGATGTAACCGCGGTCCAGGCGTACTTCGGGAGCTGTGCCATGCGTTCCTCCGGACTGACTTCCGTGTCTGCGTAAACCATCCTGACGTTCTTCTCCTTGTCCTTCTTCGACTTCTTGTCGCCGGCAGCCTCCTCTTCGTCCTCGGGCTTCTTCGGGGCCTTGATGCCCGACTCAGCCCTGCGGATGAGCTCGTCAATCTCGTCTCCATGTTGCGCAGCACCAGTAACCAGCTCGTCGACAGTCTGACCGGGGTATTGGGGCGGAGCGCCGGCGCCGTTCCAAAACTGGCCGCCGTACTGGGGCGGCCGTTGAGGAAGGCCAGGCGTCGCTTGTAGGCCACTGGTCGGTCTTGCCGGGAGAGATGAAGGAGAGAAGCCATTGTAGTTGCCCGGCGGGAACTGGGTAGCACCAGGCGCACCTCCAGATGGGTATGGCTGATCGGGAGCGGCACCGTATGGCGCTTGAGGCGGTGGGTATGGGGAGTTGTTCTGGGGTATAGATGTTAGATAGGAACGCTTCTCGTGACGAAACAAAATACGTACGAATGCACCAGGACTTGCGCTTGCAGGCGCGCCGTTGGCGGGACTGCCGCTGGTTCCTGCGGCCTTCTGAGCGGCCAATTTCGTCCTGTGTTCGGCAAGACGCGCCTTCAGCTCCTCCGGGGTCTCCACCTTGAGCTTCTTTCTCGGTTGCTTGGACTGGCCTGGCAGCGGGTTACCGGTGGCAATACGGCGGTCCTCCTGTGCTTGGTAGAAGTTCTGGATGATGCGATTTCTGTGCTGGTCCAGGATGTCTTGTGGGATACCCTCCATGCCGAAGATCTCGACATCCAGGCCTTGTCGATTCGGCAGCGCATTCTCGACTTGAGTGAGCGTCTCCTTGTGTACTTGATTCAAATGGACGGAGAGACCTGAAGGAGCAAGCGCGTTAGCTAAGGAGACGACGATGGCGATGGCGCGCATAAAGTATACCTCCAGCAGTGTTTAAACGACGGCCGCATCTGTCGCACTTGAAATGCTTGGCCTTCTGATGAGAAATCAGGAGCTTCAAATCCTCGAAGTCACGCTCGCCTAGTAGAAGTCAGCAGGCGCATCCAAAAAAAAGATGCGGGGAGCAAGAGATGGTATACAGTAGTAGCACCACGGGCGAGAGAGGACGTCCTCGACATCGGGGTGACCGCGCTTCTTCTTGCCCATCGCGACGACGGTTCACAATCGGATCGGGAGGAGGCAGTCGAGAGGATTTCGTGGTTGATTTCGCGCGACTAGATGACACGAAACGATGAGGTTGTTGAGTTCGCTAGGACGATCTGTAAGGCTGGCGCGGCGGAAGGGATTTGACGCGAGAGCTGTCGTCCAGCAATCCGCTGAACCTTCGCAACCTGGAAGCACTGAGCAATTGACCGCTAGCCCGATTAGGATTAGCCGACTGCGAGGCCGGTCTGTGGCTGAGAGAGGCTGGCAGAAGTGGCTGGTGCTTAGTCATCGAGACGGCAAGTGTCAATTCCCATTCGCACTGTCGGTTCTCACGGCCTTCTTTTCGGACTTAACCCATCAGCCCCGCCGCTCCACTCGCCTCTTCTGGACGGGAACACTACACTGTGAAGCCAAGCGAAGCGGGATGTCCTTAACTTCCATGCAGGACATCAAGACCGGTGCCCAGATGCCCAGCTCACCAGATGTTTCCCTCTTGGCTTTGATGATCGTATTGCATTCACTATCATAGATATCGTTTGGTGTCATTTGAAGCCGTCAAATCTTACCGTCTCATCTTCCCGCTTGCGAGAAATTCGACCTGTTTGTGCCTCTCCTTAAGGACGTCGATTTGCATACCTATTTCCTCCGAGAATCATTTCCCATGAGTACTCACTGAATCGCCAGCTCAGTTCTCACTGGCTCTGCAGCTTAGTGCTGCATGCCGCTCGCCCGCGGCTCAAACAACATCATCGAGCGGCCACTGAACTCCTTTACCGCGACTGATAAGACTCGTATCGGACAACTTGTCGCCAGAAAAGATGTTTCAAACGCTCCCAGATGAGCTTTGGGTCTCCATTCTATCCCACCTGCCCGACTTCAACACCCTGAAGAATGCAGCACTCACCTCTTCAACATGGCTCCGCTGCGCCCCCTCCGCATGCCGCCAGGTCACTCTGAACGAAATAGGACCAAGTATTCTTCCAGAGGCTGTCATGGCCCTCGAGTCATCTAGATTTGACAGCAAGGACTTGAATCTTGTCGTGAAATACAGCGATAAGTATCTCAAGAGACGGCCCGTCATCCCTCCGACGATCAGCCTCGCAGACGGTGCCGCTTTATCGGAGTTACACAAGTGCGGCCGGCATCTGGCAAGCAAATACCAAGACTTCGCACTACATCGCCTCACGAGAGAGCAGTGCAGTCTAGCCAACGACCGTCGCGACTGGCCGCAGCCACCTTCACCAGCGGACGAACCCACGGCGGCAGAGACGGCTCGTTTCCAACGAGCTTTGTACCGCTTCGAGGTCTACCGTAACTTATTTAAGGACCCAGAGGTTGTGATATTCAACCTAGACGTCGTCAATTTCCAGAGGATTCACTTTTTCGACTTCCTCACTCCCTGGGAGATGGAACAGCTGGTCGCGGTGAGGGATTATCTCGCAGCTGCTGTCATTGGTCCTCGTGAGTGACATGTATCATCCTATGTTGGTTACCAGTGCTAACACCAGCTCAGCACTACATACGCTCGTGGAGTTGAGAAAACTTCAAGCGTTATCAAAGCACCATTGCGGCCCCGTAAACGGACAGGTGGTGTACTGGACCGATCCCATCCTCCCCCCTCATTTGGAGCGCGGCGACTGCCACATCAGGCAAAACCAAGCCCGCCTCCTATGCTTTGGGATCAAGTTTCTCTACAAAGTCTCCATCACACCCACCACTCAGTTTTACCAACTGCTTCTCACTCTTCCGCAACAACCACGCTACGATAGCTACAACCGCGTCGGCGAGATTTACGTCTGGTTCTCCGACGCCGTCGACAAGTGCAACGAATTGAGTAATTCCGAAACCCCACGAGACAGTCCCGTGAGTGCATGGTCGCCGGAGGACTACAAACAACGTGTAGGGCAGTCGATGGTCACCGAAGACATGGACAAGGGGCCGGAAGAAGCTTGGTACTGGGCGTATCAGTCGTTCCTGGGATTCCAGAATAACGACCCGCGGATGACCAACTGCCGTCTGTTTGGACTCTTTTTCTGGGATTCGCAGCGTCTGGAGAAGATAAACTTCTTTACGCGGGTGGACTTCTGGTGGTGGAGATGGGAGGGTGGTCGCCAACCGGATTTTGACTGGGATATCGGGGCCATGAACTTTCGCCGATTCTCATAAGATAGAGCCTGACCGGTGGGTGTGGCGGGCAAGAGGAAGGAAGGCCAGCTGATATGTCGGGATTGGAGGGGTCACATGACTTGCGACTGTGCCTCATGGAAACTACAGCACGACCACAAAAGGACTCCCCAAGAGAAATAGGACATTGATAAAGACCAATGAAGTATGGATCAATCCCATGTAGGAAGCGAACTCGACAGTCCTTGACCAGTCAATGACAGACCCCATAAGTCTGTATGCCCTAGGTAAGATGCTGCACCTGACTGGAAGCCAAGAAGGAGATTCTAGACATTGGGAGAGACAGCAAGCTACTTTGTGATCCCAAAGCTTCAAAAGCCAGAGTGAATGACCTCTTGAACGTCTTCGACGATGACAAAGAGCAGAAAAGTATCGTCATTGCTCCCACTGGGCGTCTCCGACCCAAGCACCTCCAGACAGCACCGATGGCTTCCAGCAACCTCCAGACAACTTCCTCCAACACCGTGAGTCATTGCACCCATCCAGTGCTTCCAGGAGTTCAGAATGGCAACAACATCCAACTTGGATACGATGAGGAAGAGGAACAGCCCGGTGCAGGCCCGGGTGCCGAATCGGGGGAGGTTGTGCTAGACGGGGGGTGAGGGTAATTCTGCGAGCTGATTGGCCAACATGGAGGAGAGAGTACCCCAGGGACACTCACCACATAAAACCCCCGGACATCCCACCACCCTCCATTCCTCAACCTCTCCTCCTTCCTCTGGATTCTTCACTTTTATCAGAGAACTTTCTCCTGGGTCTCGAAAATCCCTTGGGCCATCACCTTGCATCTCATATCAACTTCTGAAGCCAATCAATCCTCCTCAGATATCTCCCAGAGCACATACTGCCCCCTCCCAGAGCCCTCTCGCCTCACACAGACACTTCCACCACCTCGACCTCAACGACTCTCAACGACTCCGTCGATTGTTCGTCAGACCCATTCGGTAAGTTTCAATTCATCATGGCAAACATTGCTGTCCATCCCCCAGATGATACTCATCACTGGTCAGGACCAAGCAATCATGGCCTTCATGCCTCTTGCCTTTGAAACTCGCTCCAATGCCACCAGGGCATCCTACACCAGATCACCAATGAGCCCAGCAAGCCCGATGGATCATTGCATGCCGTCATCTCGAGGGAACACTTCCCCTCACCACTTCAGCACAGGACATGCTATCCGGAGCCCACATGATCGCCTTTCGCCCGTTCCGCATCAACAAGTCTCACCGCGAGGATTTCCCCGAGAGGCCTACCCAGCCAATACCCTCCCGGGTCACATGACTGAAGAACCCTTCCACAACAGGACCTCGAGGCCTCATCAGCGCTCGCGGAAGTCGAAAGCGAGCTCGCACCGGCGTCGTCGCAGCCCAGACTCCAGCCTTCTCGCCGTCGGATCATGGAGCAACCAAAGCCACCGTGACGACGGCAATCAGGCCAGAACTGGGCGCTTCGACATGTTTGCTCCCGTCAATGATGAAATCGCCGCTAAGAGCCTGCCGATGGATTCAGCTTCGGGCATGATGGACGACTTCGTCCTCTTCCCTGACGACACTGCAGAGGATGCTCTTGTGCCGTATGAAGAGGCATTGCCACCGTGCGCGCCCTGTATCTCACGTCTTCGCACTCCAGACCTTGCCCCGATGTCAACGGATGTGCAGTTCTTTCCCTGTCTCGGTGACGAGAGGGAAGAAGACCGAATCAACGAGGCCTGGTATCTCGCCGGACGAGAAAAGATGGATTCTCAACGTCAGTACCATTTCTCGACTCACGATCTTGGTCGAGGGTGTGCTCATAAGAATATTTCAAGGCTGACATCTGCTGTAGTCAACGATGCCTTGGCTTACATGGCAGGCACAGAAGGTCGGAGGAGGAGGCTCGGAAACTGAGTGATGCATTATGCGGAGATGACGATGGTTGATGATTCTTGGTGGTTTCCCTCCATCTTTGATGAAAAGGTAGTTCTTCAGAAGGATTGGCGGGTATGAAGAGTTCTGCGCCCAATCTGGACATGGTATTGGTTTGGAGTTTGGCGTTGGGCACGACGAAGCTGTTGAAAGTCTTCCGAGAGCGATTGGCCGAATACTAGGGTATCAATGAATCAAGTGTGTTTCTTACCACAAAAGTGATGATATTCTCAGCTTGTTCGTGATAAGATCGAATGCGCCCGAAAAGACTGGTGATGATTCCTTGAGAACATCGTCAACGACTTACAGATGTCCCAGAGTCCTGGAAGACTGAATGGAACCCTAGGGGTCCTACGAGGTGTTGAATAGAATGAGGATGATGGAATGCGTTAACAACTGTTGAAATCGTCATCTGCATTAGGTGAGGGAGAATGCATCGTAGGACTGATGGGAGGGGTCCGCCCCGAGGTCCTAGGCGGACCTGAGGAAAAGAAGGAAGTGACGTTGGAAGAGGAAAGAGGTGAGGATGCGGGTGGGGGGAGAGACCCTGAAGACTGATGATGGTCCGTGCACGGGTTCCTTCCTCTCACCGAAGGCAGATTTATTGACCGAGAATCTTTCACCGAGATTCACCGAGGTCGCCTTACCGAAAGTCACCAAAAACCAGAACCCATCAATTGCACGTTGATGTTGCATACCTTCCATCGCCAAAATTGTCGCAGATCCTAGCAGTGACGAATAAAATTTACCCATTCATTGCTATATAACAGCTCCCTCATTGTTCTTGCCATCTTGGGTGATGTTGTGGCTGTCCTCTTCGTCTTTAGCGTCCTCGTCATCCGTCGTCGTTCTATTCAGCGTCATTATTCCTATCTTCACGCATACAAACTTTGAGATATAGAAAGTATATTAGATTTACTCAGTTTATGGCGCTTAGGAACAGGAATTCGAGTGGAATCGATGTGGTGAGACACACTCGCTCGTCGTACCTTGCTGTTCCAACAGATGCAAAAAGCTAATAGCAAAGAGCAGATTAATCACCTACCTTGTTACCTACCTAGCTAGCTTCCGCATTCAAATGGAAGCGAAAACCAAACAGTCAATTTTATTTGCAGGTAGGAAATATGGTTTTAGCTGGCCGTGGAAGGACCAAAGCGCAGACCGTCACTGCCACAATGAGGCCTCAAGCTGCGTCTGGAACTGGAATTGAGGCCAAACCAGCGACCTCCACCGTCAGCACCAGCGATCCGCCGTCCGACTCACACGGCAACAACAGAAACCTTCGCATAGCGGCCTCAACAGCTTCGACATTTATTTAAGACCGCAGTCATTCTTGTGTGATTCATTTAGTTCCCATCACTTCTCTGCTATCACCCGACATCAAACACTTTCCAAAACCTCGAGACGAACTCAGATTGGGAACGACGTCGTTGATGCGAAGCGAAGACTAGCGTCCATTACTATCCTTCTCGATTTCGATCCTTTTATCGTCCCCCGGAAAATCGCGGTCGTCCTTCTCGTCGTTGGCACCTTCTTCGAGGTCATCTCTCCTCTCCAGCCCCCCCTCCTTCTCGCCATCGTCGTCGCCAGACTATATAATGGCGAATCACCTCAAGAAACGCCTCCTGCAGGATATCGCCGAGCTACAAAGAGAGCCATACCCTCGTATTACTTTACATACGAGAGATGACCAGCTCGACGAGGCTTGCCTCGTTATATTGCCGGAAGGATGGATGCCGATTCATATGACGATTATCTTCGGAAGTCGCTACCCACTCGTAGCTCCCCAAATCAGAATGGACACGAGAATGCATCATCCAAACGTCTTCAGCTCCTATATCTGCGCATCGATCCTCAACACTTCCGAGGGATATACCCCTGCGTATACACTCAAGGGGATCGCCATTCAGATGCTTAGCTTCTTCAACAGCGAAGCTATTGAGCAAATACACGACGACTCGCGATACAGTCTTAAACAATATCGACAATACAGTCTAAAAATGCAACAAACTTTCGTCTGTAGGCATTGCGACTTCGATGGAGCCAAAACCAAGGCGGATATTAGAAGAATACGCCGACACGCCTTGAAAGCAGTGCCGTTAGGCCCACAGACTTCGCCAGAAGGTTGCCAGTGGCGAAAGCAACAGTGTGCTCTTACGTCGCTTCCCGACGAACTCCTCATGGCCACGCTCGAAGACCTCGAGTTTGAGGATCTCATCGCCTTCTCCCATGCCTGGCCGAGGGTCGCCAATATCGTCGCCAGTTACGACCTGATCCGGTTGCGAGAGCTGCAATGCTTCTTCTCCAAAACCACCTTCCGGAACACGAAGCTCGGCGTCGGAGTCGACGTGTCCAGCCTAGGGAAAAGATCCATCGAATCCGAATTCGATCTAATATCCCAGGAGGCTTTCAGAGATCTGGCTATACGGAACTCCGTCCACAACATCAGCTTCAAGCACTGGCTGCCACTGCCTTTGTCCCGACGTCATTGGAAGTCTGTGGAGGGGGATGTGGCTCCAGTATTGACGACGCTATCTACGGAAGCCGGCTTACTGAGCAAGTCTCCCATTGAGGTTCTTGCCGCCTTTATGAACGATATCGTTGTGCGCCTCAACATGATTGAAGCACATCCTTCCAGGAAGACGCAATACCACGCAGGGCAGAAGAGCACCTTGCGCCACGCATCGGAAAAGGCGATAGAGTCGTACTTTCACCTGTTTCATCTAATTCTTTGTCTAGCGACTGAGAACGAAGAGCTAGTCAGTGCTGCCAACTCGAAGATAACTGGATTTATGAATGGGCAAACGTCCAAGGTCGCCTGCCCAAATCTCGGCCATCTACTGGTGTACCTGCTCATCAGCGACATCCCAATAACGGACATGGTGCGAAAGACCATCATTACTGAAGCAATTACGCGCAACGTCGTCTGGATGCTAGACAAGCGGGGTGCCAACATGCCGGAACTGAGCTACCTGGAGCCGGATAAGGTGTCGCATTACCGCCTGCGGAAGACCTTCGAGGCCAGTCGCACTTCCTACCGCCTGCTGATGTTCTCCGAGCTTTTTCGTCGCATCGCGCGACCCACGAATGGCAGGAGTCTTGTGAAACTTCGGGATGAACTATTCGACCGTCACGGCGCGCCACCCGCCGGCGCTGCCCTCCATCTGTCGACTGAAGTCCGCCGTCTTCACGACATAGACAACTTTTGGGATTTTTTCGTCGAAATGGGCATAGAACAGAAGCCGGGCATCGAATGGTTTACCGCCCATCTGCGGGATTGTATCAACAACAGTATGGCCAAGGGGTATTCGATATGGGGCTTATCTGAATACACGGCGCTGGCACTCCGATGCCAACTAGAGCCCACAGTTGGTTTATACGCCAACTTATACCCAGGATATGCCCCTAGACATTGGGAACTTCAACAGGCCACATTCTTTCCGAATAAGAAGCGTTCGCAGAAACGATCAAGGAGATAAACCCGAATAATCCGACGACGGCGGACGACAGCAAGAAGGACAGCAAGGACGAAGACAGCAAGGACAGAGACAGCAGGGACAGTGACGATACTAGGAACAAGAACCAAATACATTAAGTGATAGGCACATTAACCATCATATATTTGAATTATACCACATGACTGCTGCGCTACTTGTAATATCAACTCACGTGTCGACCAGATGGAGCCAACTCGTGTCTTCGATCGTCTCCCGCCACCTCCGCAGGCCTATCCATCCCATCCATCTCAAACACACCCTGTCCACCGATCTCCTGAGCGCCTTTGTCCTTCTCATATATAACCTCCCTCTGAACACCGACCAAACTCCTCCTTCGCCGCCGGTAAAACAACACAACAACACCCAGCGCTAAAACACCAACAACCAGCCCGACACCCAGCGCAATGCCCACGATAGCCCCAACACTCGGCCCAGAAGACGTAATGGAATCATCAGGGCTATCAGTCGACGTCTGCAGCGACGCCGTCTGCGGCGCCGTAACCGTATTCCCATCCACACTCGTCGAATCCACCGATGTCGACGTCGAGCTCGACGTAGCCGCCAACACCTGATTCAAGGCGTTCCCAACCGTGGCCGCGGGGAGCTTGAAGACCGCCGCGGACGTGCTGCAGCACCGCGTCTTTTCCGAGTCCGATTCGCAGCAGTAGTTCGCTTCCGTCCCGTACCCCCGCTGGTCACCGCACTCCCAGACCTGCACGCCGCTGCTGCGGAAGTCGTATGCCGAGGAGTTGTTTGGAGAGTCCTGATCTAGATGTCCCGATTAGCTACGACAAATTTCCAGGGCAAGCGAGCTGCTCACTTAGTAGACATTGCCTCGGACACACCCCGCTCGTCCATTGAGCGTCCGTACAGGTCCCGCGCGCATAGCTGACGCCGGAATTCTCGGTGGTGTCGTCCAGCATGCAGAGGCCGTTGGACAAGCAGGCCTTGGCCGAGCCGCAGCACATGCTCACCGGCGCTGAGATGTTGCAGGGCACATCGGGGCTTTGCCTCCCGTTGGGATAGTAGCAAAGCTGCTGTGCTGTTGAAATCTGCATCAAGCAGAGCGCAGAAGTGAAGAGGAAGATGCGACAGAGCATTTCGATAATGATGTCCGTTGTGTGTTATGCTGAGCGATTCGGAACAGCAAAGAAACAGCAGGCCTCGTGTCCCAAATCAGCCATGAATGTCGACAAGGAGATAATGAGACGAAAAAGACGGTAAAAATCCCGAATGGACACGCAAAATGATAATGACGATTGGGTTTTCTATCGAAGAGGTCCGGCCGCTTCGCCATCATTAAGGATGTGGAGGCTGATACTCTAGTGGGACGTTAGCCTGCACTCGGTGACCATCTGGGGTCCTTCAACCTCGCTGATCAATTGCCTTTGCCATTGCGGCAATCACGTAGCGCTAATTTGCGCCAGTGACATATTCAGCGTTGCAAGTCAATGCGAACTGTCAAGGAACTTTGATGGTGGCCACGAGCGAGGGACCGCACACCTGAGCACGATAGCATGATTGAGAGTGGTATTTGAACCCCTTTCCCGGTCTCAGCCGGCTGCTGAGCTCCTCTATGGTATCTCGATAATGAACAAAAGTAAACGCTCGTTCCACTGTATGGAATGCCCGTCCGCGATCTAGGGGGTCTCCGCTAGACTTCCAACTCCAACGCGAATCATAGTTGGTGGTGGTATCATGCCACATGTCAACCCAAACGAGACCCAAGGTAAATGCTCACCGCTGTCCCAAACGCCGCCAATATGCAATGAGTAAGAATGTCTTCGTTCAAAAGGTCTAGCTCCGCGCGGGGGCTTGTTGCTTCATCTGTATTCTCCTGAGCACCATGAAGGTCGACCTGGGCTCAAACATCTCCGTCTTGGGATTCCAGTGACCCCAGACGTCAACGACAACGTAGCCCCTCGGCAGCTCAATTTCGACGAACCCCGACACGAGGATACAACCTCGCGGAGGGTATGCTCGGGTGGGTTTCCAGGACTGAGCCAGTTTCCTGCGGAATTCCCTGGCAGGACCGTCCGTAATCTGCTTCATGCCTTCAATATGGGAGATGGCTGTATCCCTGACGAAATTGGTTCTGCCACCGCTCTCAGGTTCTTCTGGCTGCCGAGAGTCAGAAGTCTTGCTGACATTATGGGAGGCGTTCTCCGCCGGGGTACCATCTGTCGTTTGTCGGTTGGTGGAGGGGAGAGGTCGTTCGGTCTTGGCGCGTTGCATGTTGCCACCGTTTGGTGGCGGGAATGGCTGGGCGGGTTTGCTCGGTTCGAAGCCGAGGGCTCGGGTTATGTCCATGAAGTGCTGCTTCATAAGTGCCGACGTGAATGCCCAGGTTGAAACAGTCATGGCCTCTGGCCAGAGAATCTTGTTCAACCTGTTAACGGTCAAGGAGTCAACTGGCTGGGTTGACCAATACAGTCCGTCATCTTCCATCAACAGACTGCGAAGGGTCAGCGGCTACGTGGGATAGAACTGGGGGCGAGTTGATCGGTACATACCCGGAAGAATAGTAGACCGGAGGTGGACGATAGGGAAAATCAATATCGAGCCAGTATCTCCGCAGGTTCACCACATTACCGCATCGCGCGATGATGGTGGGGTGTCTCTCGACAGCGCTCCTCACCCAGTTCGCCAGGTCACCTGCGCATCGAAGTCAGCAAGGTAGTCTATCCCGAACGGTGCGTGGCCATCCTTACCACGTATATGGTTTTGAAGCTCCTTGTTCTTGCTAATCTTGACGTATTGTTGCCACTCCGGATCGGAGCCCTTGTATGGCGGCTGGCTGACTTGCTTTGTCGTGAATGGGAATGGTATGAACCAAGGTTCCGTCTCTTCCTCCATCTCCTCGTCAAGTGCTTTCTTTTCGGCCGCGGAAAGACTCTCGTATTCGCGGTCTACATGTCGGAAGAATGGATTTAGGACGGTCGACCAGTACACGTGCAAGCACATAAGCGAGATGCCAGTGCCGATGAGGATTGACCTAATGAGAAGTCAGTCGTGATCGCCTGACAATGATAACCTCGACTCTTCTTACCTGGGCCTGAACCTTGCCTTTGAGATCTTGACCCTCTGTATAGTGATGGTTTCCCGGCCTGAGACCTTCGGAGTGAGCGCCCGAGTAGCGGCGGCGCTCGCGCGTGGTCGGAACAGGCGCCACATCGTGGACGTAGAGGGGCACGCCGGGCGACGGCGGCCGTGAGTTATTCGTTGGCAGGAGTGATTCGCTCTCGTAGGGCGATGGACCGATTGTAACCTCGAAAATGGTGGACGGAAGTGCGTTCGTCACGTCTGATGACTGATGCGAATCGACGACGGTGGCAGCCGAAGGAGGGACGGACGGAAGCAAGTGACCATGTGCAGAGGCAGCAAGATGAAAGAAAGCCCGTAAATAGTGCAGAAACAAAACCCGCCTATGATAAAAGCCGGGACTCGGATGCCGATTCTACAGATGTTGGTGCGAACAGTAGCAAACTTACAGCAGCGACTTTCAACATCCGTGTGTGGATTCGTCTGCTGAATGCGCGGCGGCGGCTGCGCGACTGTTCCGCTCAGGATCGAAGTTCTGGGCGAATGTTGGCGCACAGTGTTTGCCATGTCTGTCATCTAACCCCACCACCTATTTGGTTGTGCAGAGGCGGGCCCGAGGACAGTGTGAGAGATGACCGTATCGCACATGCCCGGAGCCCGACGGACCTGGGACGGGACCCATCATCGGATGAATAGTTTGGCCGAGAGAACGATCGCCCCACTAAAACGGGACACGGTGGGCAGGAACCAATGGGTCCTGCCTGGGTCCTGGGACGTGCTCTGCGGCAGCTCGACTTACGTGCCGACTCGACGCAGCTTTGGAGATAGCAGCATCACGCCGCATCAAGCTCGCCCCCCTTCGAAATACCATCGCCGCAATCCATCCTCGAGCTTCGCCCCTGAAATCAGACATCATGAAGCTCTCCGTGGGGCTTGCGACTGCCCTGGCCGGCGTCGCTACCGCGCTATCCTCCGACCAACCCGCTGACGTATACGTTCTGCAATCGACGCAGTCCTCCAACTCCGATATCCCATCATTACCACGACAGATTGCCCGCCTCGTCCTCCTCCAGCGCCTTTCTCCCGAGGGCCAGCACGGCACCTGGGACCTCCCCGAGTCCATTTCGAGCGAGAAGGCTGTCAGCTACCTGAACGAGTTCGGCATGGCGCCGCAGGGTCTCTTCAGCAACGCCGCCTCTACAAACCCGTCACAGCTCGTCGTCATGCTCGAGGGCATCACAGGCGATGACGCCAAGACACTTCAGAAGTCCTTCGGCGCAAGCCCCAGCTTCAAGGTTGGAGATGCCCCCTCCGCCGCGGCCAACAGCTTGTTGCTGGCCAACGACTTCCAAAACATTGGCGTCACCAACAAGGGCTGCCGGTTTGACAAGGCCATCAACCCCTTTGCGGAGGAGTGCTGGAGTGGCAAGTCTTCCGTTGCCAGATACGACATGAAGAAGGTACGGTTAATGCTGCGTCAATGCCCATTCTCCAAACATGCTAATGCCCCCTAGGACGACTCCATCATCGCTTCCATCGCCGAGAACGCTTCCCTCCTTCGCCAGCTCGCCCAGAACGGCGAGATGGAAACCACCTTCGTCGTTATGCCCGAATCGTCTCGTAACTCCCAGGTCCGCCACTGGTCGTCCAAGCCCGAGGAGCTTCGCCGCCGCCAGGTGGAGGAGGTCATGAAGACCGAGTCCGACAAGACCACCACCTCCAAGCCCGCACCCACCAGCCCTGCCGAGTCCTCTACTCCTTTCCCCGGCCCCATCAAGCGCGGCAGCATCCCCGCATGCTTCTCTTCAGAGGAGGCTTGCGACAAGGACACGAGGAGCTGCTCCGGACACGGCAAGTGCGTTAACAAGTACCAGAAGGCCGATGGCCAGTCCACCGGTACCTGCTTTGCCTGCACCTGCTTGAAGTCCAACAACACCGGCAGCGTCACCTACTGGGCCGGCCCTGCTTGCAGCAAGATTGATGTCAGCGTCCCCTTCTGGCTCTTTGTCGGTTTCGGTATCGCGTTGATCGGTACCCTCTACTTCGCCATCTCCCTCCTCTTCAACGTCGGCGAGGAGCAGCTCCCTGGCGTCATTGGTGCTGGTGTCTCAAAGTCGAAGTAAAACCATCGAAGATGATTGTGCATTAGTCAGGGGAAGTAAGCAGAGGCTCGGAATGGATGTTGTGGCTGTGATTATAATTGGCAAGTGGTAGTTTGTACCATAGGTGTATTCTCATGCGGCGTTGGCATTGGCAGGACTTTCTCTCTGTTCATGGAGAGGTTATTTCTTAGACAACCGAAGAATTGAAGCAATGTTTCCATGGATTAGTCTATTTTGGGTATCATTAAGTACGTAAAGGCTTTAGCCCAGGTCCTCAGGATCGGGGCGCTCGTTTGGTGTTGCTCCGAGGCTTTCCAGACCCCTTTCGACCTTGAGCTCGCTTGCGCCGGCATTCGTGATCTGCCTAGCCGGCGACTGCGCAGCGGATTCCGCAGCCGACGAAGTGCCCACTGCGCTCGTGTACTTCTGTCCAGCTTCGTTGAGCAGCTGTTGTACTTCGTCCTTTCTCGTCGAAATGCCCTCCTTCTCCCGTCTCAGTTCCTCCACCCGCTTCTGCTTGTCCGCGAGCTCCCTTTCCATCGCCTGCATCGTCATCTGCAGCTTGGACAAACATTCTGTCAGGCTCGGCAGTGGTGTGATTTTGGGCGGGACCTGCAAAAGCTGCTCGGCCGGGTTATGCTGTGGCTTCTCCAGTCCATCCATGCCAGACCGCGTCTGCGCCGCCTCGAACGCAGCGCGCCGTTCTGCTTCGGACGCATCCGACTCATCGCCCGAGTCGCCCTCGGCCATCTTGATCTGCTCAGCCATCTCGCGCCGGCGACGGAGCTTCTCCTCGTTCACCGCCTTCCTGCCCAGCGAAAGGCCACCATCTTCGACAAAATCGTCGAAACCCTCGCCCAGATCTTCATCCTCACGAACTAGTCGTGTGTCGTCCTTCTTTTTGCGCAGCGATGCCCCACCATTGTCATCATCGAAGGATATGAAGTCGTCGGCTTGCTCTTCCTGCGCCAACCTCGCCCTCCGTTGTTTCCTCTCCTGAATTTCCGCCTCGGTCAAGATGTTCGTCTGCTGCGGCCGCGAGCTCAACTCGTCCGAGTTGACAATCATGGCGCCCTCCAGCTCAGAGGGGTCCAGGTCCATTCCATCCTCTTCCTGCATGCGCTGAGAAGCGAGGTGCTGGGGTGTATTCGGCGTCGAGTTCTGGAGTTCGTCAAGGTACTCCTTGCTGTACTTCGGTCGATCCTCGTCCTCGTCGCGGAATGATCGCATCGGAAGACGGTTCTTGAGCGCGCTGTTCTCGAGAGCCTGGTGACCCAGCGTCGTCGATTTTTTAGGCGTGGTGTACCCCGTCTTTGCACCATCATCGCCATCGTCGTCCCCCTTATTGCCGCCGAAGGATAGTCTCGAGGACGATTGTCGCTTCTTTTGCTTCAGGGAACCCGATCGGCTGACTGTCGGACGGACCACAACAGGGCCGTCGTCTTCCTCCTCGTCTTGCGCTGGGGCCTTGGCTTTGACGGAATCGTTGACAGCAGCGCCGCCATTGGAGTCGTCGACCTCGTTGAAGTTGATGCTCTTGCGCAATCCAGACTGGCGAAAAGGTTTTCTTGTGAATTTTACTGATATCGGCGCACCCTCTGCCATCCCGTCAGCCTTGCGAACGGCATCAGCGCATAGTCTCTGGTCTAGGATTGCGGACTTACCATCCTTCACGGGCTCTTGGCCTGTCGGCGAAGACTTTGACGCATCGTCCTCGTCGTCATCGTGGACTTTGATGACGCGCGCCTTTCGTTTGGGCGTGAATGAACTCATATTGGCCAAACTCTCTTGTTTGTCGGCCAATTTGTTAATGTTAAGCTCCTAAATTCCAAGGTTGCTTGCTTCAGCAGGCACCTTGGTGACACCCGATAAGCTTTCTTATCGCGGCAGCACGTGACCCCACCCAAATTTCTGATAACGAACAGGCAGGCTCCCCTCGGCCAGGCTGCGAGCCCAGAGAGCTCCGTCGCGTCGCAAAGCCATTTCGCGCCTTCATTGATTTCGCCAACCACCACGAACCCCCGTACACACGACCGACAGACAGGACAAGATGGCGCCCGCACAGCCCGAGTTGAAGAAGGTACGGAGACCCATTTTCCTGACGGACATTCCCGAGTCGCCAGACTTGTATGATGTACTATGATACTACTGTAGTGCCATCAAGCACAGCTATGGCACTCCTCTATCAGCGCATTCCCCTCTATTCTGAGATCAAGAAGGCTAACAGCTATTCCAGTACCTCGACAAGAGGCTTTTCGTCCAACTGAACGGCAGCCGCAAGGTTATTGGTGTCCTCCGTGGTTACGATGTATGCTTTCCCATCCCACCGCTTGTCCCTGACCCGAGCTAATCCTGCTGTCTAGGTCTTCCTGAACATTGTCCTGGACGAGGCGGTCGAGGAGAAGGAGGGCGGCGAGAAGGTCCGGTTAGGCATGGTTGTACGTATTCGACTCTCTCATCTCGCTGTCTGGCTCAGCGCTAACATCGACTAGGTCATCCGCGGCAACTCGGTCGTCATGTTGGAGGCCCTCGAGAGAATTGGCGGCGACGAGCGCCACCAGCGGTAAACCTTTCTTACCAGACGGTCGACTTCCAGAAGATGCTTTGCATGGGTTTACATTTCGGCGTTATGATGGCACAAAAGAATGCATTTGGTTCAAGACAAGGGGCGGGGATGAAATATGGCTAGATACCAGCAAATGTCACCTTCATACCGACCACTGCGTCACCGGCTGCGATACGCCGCAACTGGACGCACCTCGGAGAGATCTCGGAAAGCCCCGCAGACGCCTTATTTCGCGACCTCCGTCCAGGCCTGCTCGTCGTACCAGTCCATCATACGGCCGCCGTACTTGCGCACCCAGCCCTTGATGCCGCCCTTGAGGATGACAGCCTGCACGGCGGTCTCGCCGATTTCATCGAAATAGTCTTGCAGCCAGTTGGCAGAGCGTGGGCCGCGGCCGTTACTGCTACCTGTTTGACGACTTCAGCAGGGGAAGAGTCCTATTCCGGGAAAGCGGGTGTGTATGTGTGTGTGTGGACAGATGATTAGAGCGGGCGACTACTCACCGCAATAAAATATAACACGCTTGACACCAGCCTGCTTACACAACTGATGGATGACGGGTCTCGTCTGGTACAGAGTCTGGGCGGGGAAGTTGATCGACGTCGATATGGTACCGCCCTCCCAATCATTCCTTCGCACGTCTACTAGGAGGAACTCACGGGAGCTATCACTGCCAGCTGCAGCTTGGGCCTCCAGCAGCTTCATCACCTCATCGGCCTCGATTTCCAGAGACTTGGCCTTGGGGGCGGGAAACGCTGCCCACCAAGGCGGGGTTTCAGTTGCAGCCGCGGGTTCTGCCATTGCGTGATCGATCCGCCTCGCTGGGACGTAATTCTGCTCAGCTGTTGCAGCTGTTCCTGACCCGAATCCCAATATCACCGGGGGGTTGCGTTTAGCTGCGATCTTGCGGGCGCACAGTTGCGGGCGTAAGTTACCCCAGAATCTGCACGAGAGACGGGAGTTGAAGGGACTGGAATGGAACAGCAAAGTGTTTGAGTTGGTTGCAGAGCAGAGCCGCAAACCCGAGCGAGGCCAAGCTCAATCTCCAAATCTCTCGGCACTCTACAACTGTGGAGATTACCGCACGGAGACATTTGTCATTCCGGGCGCCTAATTGGCTGTCAATGATGCCATCACGCCAAAGGACGCTTCTTGCAACTTGAACCCTTGCTGCTGTCACACTTGACGCGCTTTAAAGACATTCAGACTCCCGAAACTCTGTAAAACACCAACTTCAATTCCATCTGTGTCGGTTTTCCAACATCACAACCTCTTCAAGTGAAGACCGTTTGTCCTACTTCTTGGACCTTCCAACCAGTTTCTGGCCCCGCCCACATGCCGAGACTAATTGACGCATCTCTTATCTTTTCCCAGCCAACTCGATCGTTTATCTCAACCAATAACATGAACGGTGGAGACCGGCACTCCAGTCTTCTCTTTTATTGCCTGCCCGCGAGTGCGTGCGGCATTTGTCCTTATCTTTCTCATCGCCAAAAGCTTCCGTTAGGGGTTTTCTTTTCTCTTTCGCTCAGGGCTACGTTCCATTCTCTGATTAAATATTGACAACCGGCCCGGTTGAGGTCTAGATGGAGTCATCTACCAACACGCACTCACCTTGAGAGCTAGCCGTTACCGGAGTGGAATACGCAAGCCGCGGGAAGTTGGACCTGGTGTTCGGAGATGTCATGGTTCTGCTCTCGTCGTCTCGGTGTCGTCCTATCGGGTGTATAGCACAGTTCGGACTGCTATCTATCCGCAGGCTGTCTTGTGTCTCTGGGAAGGATTACGCCAAGGGCATCGATCTGCAAGTTGAGCACTTCAAGTGATCCTGGTGATGCTTTGTTACACCGTCACACAGCTCCTTATGGCCATTGGTTCCAATAAGCCGTAAACATATGGCATACTGCCCAATGCTGACCGCCAGCTCGCTCACTGCAGAACCTATCCGAGTCCTATCCGCCGTTCATCGGTGCCGGTCGCTTACATACTCTTTGCCTTATCTCTATATCTCGGAGGGAGCCGGCGAACCACAATAGCATCCCCAATGTCTCCATCTCGACCCGCCTCGTTCATCCCAAGGGAGCGCAAGGGCGCAAACGACATTGATAACTGTTGCCAGGAAACAACTTCCCCAGTCCATGCCCACGATCCATCTTTGTTTCCCCCACTGCGGGATCCGAAGGCCAAGAAGACGGGGACGGATGGGATATCGCCCCGCCACGGGGGTCATCGGCAACGACATCCTCGTCCCTATCTTCCCGTCTTATGCTACCTCCACTGATAAGACCAACACCCAATGACTCGGGCCCTCGCGACCGTTGATGCTCTATGCAACGTCAGTCTGCATGTCAACCACATGGGAACGCATGGGAGTCGCCCTCTACGAGTTCAAAATGGCATTTCGCACCTTCTTCTTCAGGCAAGGTTGACTTTCCGGGAAACTCTCCGATGGGAGCACTTCGGCTCTTACAAACGACCCTTGACGTTGCCGTTTGCTGTCGAAGTCTAGAGTCCGACACCGCCAGACACAATTCCGAATTCATGACCAATATTGTGTTGTTCATGGATTAGATGATGCCGGCACGGCTCTCGTAGCAGCTCGGGCGAGTCCTAGGTCGGGCTGAGAAAGCCATAGACCGGTCCCGGCCCGGGCATCTCAACTACACCTCAGCCGAATCTATAAAGACTGGCGGGCGCATCACCATGATGGCAAGACCTAGAGAATCATCCTCACGCCAATCTCATCTGGACAATCTCTGACCAGCCCTTCTCTTTCGCAATGGCTAGGTGGCTCCTCTCTTTCGTCGCTGGAAGCGCCCTCGCGGCTGCTTCTGGCCTTCCCCTGAAGCTCGAGACTCGCAGCGCAGTTACTTCCCGCGTGTCCAACATCCACCTGACGATCGAAGAGCCCGTCGATGGTTCCGTCACCTTCACCTACGGATCCTGCCGCGGCGTCTCCCTCGACGATGCGCACCACACCATCGTCAAGTCCGAGATCCGCGATTCCCAGCGTCTTGTCTGGGTTCTCCCCGAGGACGCCCACTCCGACGGCTGCATCTCCGCATGGAGTGTCTCTGGCTCTTTGGTCGGCCGCAGTGAGCCCCAGACCCTCCACCACAGCTGGAAGCGTCGGGCTGAGAAGAGATGTAAGCCACCCCCCCTTGGTCTAAGATGTTCACGAGCTAACTCGACGCAGCCATCCACATGAGCAACGAGACCGGCTTCGACACGCTCGGAGCCTGGTTTGAGGGTGTCAACATCCTCAAGGACAAGGAGCCCGCCGCTGTCGACGTCGATGCTGCCAAGTCCAAGCAGGTCGCCATTGTCGGCGCCGGCATGGCAGGTCTCATGAGCTACCTCGTTCTCTCCCAGGCCGGCATGACCAACATCAGCATCATCGAGGCTGGCCAGCGTCTCGGTGGTCGCGTGCACACCGAGTACCTCAGCGGCGGTCCTTTCGACTACTCCTACCAGGAGATGGGTCCCATGCGTTTCCCTGAGCACTACGTCGACCCCAAGTCCAACACCACCTACAACATCTCGGACCACCAGCTCGTCTTCCAGCTCGCCGCCGAGATGAACGAGCTCAACAACCACGACAAGAACCTCAGCGTCGATTTCATCAACTGGGTCCAGACCAACAGCAACGGTCTGTCCTACAAGAACGGCATCAAGCTCCCCAACGGCTTGCCCCCTACCCTCGCCCAGATCGCCGCCAACTCTTCGCTGGCTGTCAGCAAGGTCTACGACGATGGCACCAACGCTCTCTCCGCCGAGGTCGACAAGTACCTGCCTGGTTCTGACTTTTCCGTCGCCATGGCGAAGAACATGTACAAGGCCCACGGCGATTGGGTCCGCAACGGTCTCAACGGCCTCGGCGGCGACTCCTGGTCCGAGTATGCCTTCATGGTGAACTACCTGAAGGGCTCCCTCAACTCCACCGACGCTCTCGGCATGTACTCTGCTACCTCTTTCTGGGACACTCTCTACGAGGGCATGTACTTCGAGGCCGCGACCTACAAGACCATTGACGGTGGTCTCAGCCGTCTCCCCCTTTCCTTCCACCCCCTCGTTGACGACGTCACCACCATGAACCGCAAGATCGAGCGCGTCCAATTCGACTCCGAGAACTCCAAGGTCAACCTGCAGTGGCGCAACAACTTCACCGAGCAGACCTTCCAGAACTCTTCCTACGACTACGCCCTCATGGCCGTCCCCTTCTCCATCATCAAGAGGTGGCGCATGCCCTCTCTGCCCCTGACTATCTCCAACGCCATCCAGGAGCTCAACTACGGCAGTGCCTGCAAGGTTGCTCTCGAGTTCTCCGAGCGCTTCTGGGAGCACTACGAAAACCCCATCGTCGGCGGCTGCAGCACGACCTCTGACATCCCCGGCATTGGCTCCACCTGCTACCCTTCCTACAACATCAACGGCACCGGCAAGGCGACCATGCTCGCGTCCTACATCTCTGGCGACTGGGGTCACCGCTTGGCTTCCCTCCCCGAGGCGGAGCACGTGCAGTTCGTCCTCGACGCCATGGTTGAGATCCACGGCGAGAACACCCGTGAGCTGTACACCGGCAAGTACAACCGCCGCTGCTGGGTCCTTGACCCTCTCCAGAGCGGTAGCTGGGCTAGCCCTCTTGCTGGCCAGCACCAGCTTTACATCCCCGAGTACTTCAAGACCTATGACAACGTGAGTGCATCCTTCTCCGGCGATGTTTAGGTGCTTCTGAATTGACTAATCATGGCATAGATGATCTTCATTGGCGAGCACACCTCCTACACGCACGCCTGGATCTCCTCCGCTCTCGAGTCCGGCATTCGCGGCTCAGTGCAGCTGCTCCTCGAGCTCGGTCTCGTTGATGAGGCCAAGGCTGCCGTCAACAAGTGGATGGCTAGATGGATCGATATTGTAAGTTAAACACCCATTGACACGCCGCACTGCGCCGTAACTAATCTTGACTTCAGTGATCTGATTAATGAGAGGCTGTTTCCATTCTGGAAGACGAGTGGCGTGGATAATGAAGAGTGTACATAACATGAATGGGCGACAAACTCCGGAACATGACCGGAGGATGGCAAGAGATGGTTAATTACATAGTGTGACGAACTTACGAATGAAAGTACAAATGCCTACATAACCAGTCCCAACAAAACTTATTGCATCCTACAACAACCATGTCCAACCTGCACGTCCGCCTTGGCAAGTTCTATTAAACAGTTTACGATGCGCGCATTCCCCATCAAACAAGAGACGACAATCCACATGGCCATGCACTTCGATCCTCCGGCCCCCAAACTTCTGCATGCCCTGACAGATGCCAATTCCTTCCGTTGGTTCTGTCGTTCTTCTTCCGCCACGCCCCGATCCCACCATCTCAGCCTTGCAGATATAATCATGGTTCGATGTCGAGGTCCACCGTACGACGCAGGGGTCGGCCGGACCCGGAAGCTGATCGTTCGGCATCTGCTGACAACGCCGCGCTTCTGCAGCACCTCATTGATCCTTTGACGCTTTTGTCATCTGCGGCGACGACTTTGTCATCTCGGGCAACTTGCATGCAGGGCAGCAGGGTTTCTCTTCTCAACGGCGTACCACACTCAAAAGCGTAAAGTCTGATGAGTACTACCGTCTACTACGTACATGCGAAAACGGCTCTCAGCTATTCATGCATGCTGTCAAATGGGCGTTAGTCGGAGATGGAATCATGCACTATGCGGGATCAGGCGAGCAGCTCGTTTTCCTGTCGCTGCAGCCTGGCCTCGCTTGTCTCGAACAGCCGCGGGACTCCAGACTGGGAGAAGGGGATGTCGTCTCTGACGATCTTCGCCAGGCCCTTGGCCGTGAGTAAGATGAAAGCCATGCCGTGGCCATTGAAACCCGCAGCAATATATTGGCCCGGTTTCGACGGCACGGCGCCGACATGGGGAAGGAGGTCATTAGTATACTACCACTTTGGTCAGAATCCATCGTGATCTACACTGACATCGCAAGCGGTAATGTGGGAGAACTTACGCCCATAATTCCGGTCCAAACCCTCTTCACTTTGGCTCCGCTATCTTCCCACCCCCGGAAGTTTCTCTGCATGTAGTCGTTAAAGTAGGTAGCAGCAGGCTCAATCAGTTTCGAGTCATCCCAGACGTTGTACCACTCGTCGAGACGCTTCGGGAAGAACTCCGTCCTACCGCCCCCGACGATAATACTGCCGTCAGGTCGCGTGATCTGGTAATCGTACAGCCCGGGTCCATGGCGGAGGGAGTACGTTGAAGGGAGATGCGGCGGCTCTGATCCTTCTGGGACAGCCACATGGCTGCAGATACCGCGAGCTGGGATGATGCGGTCTTTGTATTGGGGCAGAATTGATGAGGTGTACCCGTTGGACGCGAAGAGCACTTTCTTGGCTCTAATCGCACCTCGTGGTGTGGTTACGGTCCAGAAGCCGTTCTCCTGGGTATCGGATACTTTGGTGACGGGAGTATGCGTGTGAAGTTGAACACCCTTGGCGACGGCTTGCGACAAAAGGTGCATGACCAGTTTGTAAGGCCTGCAAATGTCAGAGATGTTCGTTCTCGATGTAGCAGTGGACGTACCAGATCGAGCCAGCCTCAAAAGAGAATGCAGCTCTTGCATCTTTGACGCCGGAGTAGGTCTCGGCTGCTTCACCCTCGACGTAGTGGACAAGCTTAGCAGTTGGTGAGCCGAGCTTCAGTAGTTCATCGATGCCTTCCTTGAAAGGGGCAGCTAGAGCCACGTCTCTGAGTACAGCCATGGAGGTGGTGACTCTGAAGTCGCAGTCAATCTTTTCCTCTCGCACCAAGTCTCTCACTGCATGGAGGTTGGCTAGCTCAAAGAGGGCCATCTCATCTGTGGCCTCTTGGCCGTGTTTCCTCATGAAGCTCGGGAGCCCTTGGTATAGATCAGGTCTGACATGACCGCCTGTTCTCCTTTAGTGCGAATCCCATCGTAAACGTCACAATACTAACCATTGCGGGCCGTAGCTCCCGAACAAGCCTGTCTGGCTTCAAGGATGGTGATCGATGGCCGTGATGATTCATCGAGATCTTCCAGGAGATAGTGGGCGAGCGCGGCGCCTGTGTACCCAGCGCCGATGATCACGATATCCTGCTCAGCAGGCAGTTCCTCAGAACTCTGATGGCTGTCGAGTTCATGCAGCTCTGTCCGCCAAAACGGAACAGTGGCGTTGGGCACTGGGAAAGGGGCGGGTGACATGTTCAGACTAGGTAGTGTGGAGGTGATGTTAGTGTGAGGTTAAGAGCCTCCCAAAGGAATGGAACCCAATCGGAACCCCCTTTTTAATGAGGACAAACGTTGGGAGGTTGCAATAGGCGGAGAGGATGATGCAAAGTGTCCAGTATCAAAGAGACGGCCGTCAAGGTCCGCGAATGGCTGGAAATGGCGGATGCAGCCCCGAAAACGCGGGGGAGGCCGGTTACCTCCGACTCGGAGCCGACTTCCCGGTGTTAATTCGCCGGCGGCCATCGGCAGCTCCTTGGGGGTCTTTTAGCGAGGACAAACTGGGGGTTAGTGCCTTCTTTGCCCCTGAAGGACCGATGTCTCAGCGACAACGTTCCCCAGCTGCTTGCTTGCTCTCATGGTGGTGCACTACTCCAGCCGTAAAGCACTACAAGGGACATCTCCAGGATTCAGCCAGCAGATCACCTCACCCAAACTCTCTTTCGACTTCATTCTCAACTTTCACATCTCAACTGCAGTCTCCATATCTCTCCCTCTTTACCCACTTGCTTCTGGGGCCCTGGCTTTTACCTGACTCGCGGCATCGTCAGATTCGTCTTGTACGCCACGCTAAGATCGTCCGCTTTTACGGAGAAATCGACTTCCATCACGCTATCGAATGCGGTAGTTCTAGAGCATTGGCATGATCTAAGGATAACAAGCTGCCATGTCCCCTGCGCCTGTCATCTGTCACGATTGGATCCTCTTCATTTGGGAGACCGATTACTTGGGTGCCCATGATGAAAACGTCCAGCTGTCAGTGTCAATGTCAATGTCACCGTCAAACTAACAGCCACGAGGCTCTGGAGTGCTTCGGCGTGGGGATTGCCACGACACGTGCGACGAGGAGCTTTTTTGGTACCGAGGGCCCATGATCCTTTCACCGCCTTAACCCTACATCTTGGGATTCCTTTCCGTGTATATCGCGTTTGGTGGTACTGATGAGTTGTCGTGCAGAGATACTTGTAGACTCCATTGACACAATCTGCCCCAGTCGAACTTCTTTACCTTTGTACGTAATTACACGGCGCAACAGAATTCAGGGCTTTCAGACAGGACCTTCCATCGGACGTATGGTTGAACTCTCAATATCGAGACGACAGTGCCTCCGAAAGCTTGTCAGAAGTTCAAGCCGTCCAGTCTGCTCGTCAATCCTCGGCGAGTCATGATCGAGGGCAGAATCTTCTAATTCGGCAAAACTCGAAACACCACTTTGTTAACGGTGGTTCTCATTGATAGAAAAGGAAGCCTAGAGACTGCCGTCAACTTCTTAGACTTACCTAGGGGGGCCAAAGAGACCTTCAGACTCATGACCGTGTCACGTCTTCTGGCTTTTTGAATACCTTTAATTCAACAACACCAACTTAGCAGACATACTTCCAATTCTCAAAGCGGAACGACCATTCAAATCTGCATCTCCTTTAGGACAAACAACGTCAAGGATGCAAGGGACTTCGGTCACTACCGACATTGATGAGACAAGTACCAGGGAAACCCCACGTTCGTCACGTGTTCGGTTAACTGCCTCCCGCTCTTGAATGCTTCGGGAGCGGGACGGCTCTTTCATTCAGTTCTGTGTATCAACATCTACCGAGTTGAAGGCAATAACAACCAATGCAGGAAGCGCGAGTGGCTGAGCTCAAGCTTTGCGAAAATCAACAAGTTGCGACGTATGGTCTCCACGGCTGCGATGCCCGGTACACAAGACAAGGACTACAGGGATGCGAACGAACTGCTTATCATTCATTCCTATTTTCCGTGTGCGACTACTTTCGAATATCGAGATCACATGTAAGTCCTGCGTGGGCATCTTGTACCACCTTTTCCGTTTTACTATATGAAATCTTCGAAAATGGGCGTATCCGCCAAAGAACGTACAGTATTGGCTTGTGCTGATGGCCGGCAGGCTGGAACTCCCCAAGCAGTCCCGTGGGCCAATGTTACAATATGTTTTTGGAGTCGACGGATCTGAGATATGTCTGATTGATTGATCACATTTCTTTTGACTTGAGGTCCCACGCCCAAAAGCATGGAGGCATGCGAGCTTCGTGGGTCTCATTTCTGGGGTTTTTGTTCCTGGGACACCAAGTTCGCCGAGGGTGGGGCCGGGGCCGGAGCAGGGCTCCGGAGCACGGGCGGAACGGACCGGTCACGGCTTTGACCTGCCACGGGTCATCCAACAATGTCGACCTCCGCTACCAAATTTTCCAACAGGTAAACTGTTGATGACTGTAGATTGCCGAGCGACAGCGAACTCTGAAGTCTCTCGGTCAAGATCACCTCCTAGAGAACCGGCCGAGGCCCATGATTTTGACTAGCGAGGCCTAAGAATCTGGGACCCTGCTCATCATGGTGTGAACCTCGCTCACTCTGAGCATGTTCACAAATACGGAGCGAATTTTCATCTTGACACCGGACTTCGACCAACGCAGTCGGACTAATTATCTGTCCGACTCGGGAAGATTAAGGTGTGTTATTACAACCTGTGTGGAACTAACGTGGCACTGTCGTCGGTAGCAGACCTCAGACACCTGGTATTCTGGATGATGATGCGCGCTGAATATCCGTTCGATCGCTTTACGCGGATGGTAGGTCGAAATGGAGACAGTCATCCCGCCACATGGTTATGATGGAGACAATCAAAATCGCAGCAATTCGAGACACCAACGCCGCTATCTCGGGGCAAATAAGGGTGTCACCTTTCAAAATCCACCCGCTGGCATCAGCGCGTAACCCGAATGTCATTGAAGGGTGAAGCCGAGGCTGTGATACGAATTCGCTCCACAGAGCATCCATGTAAGCACTGACATCCCCTGGAAGAAGCGTCAATCGGATTCATATCCACTCGCAGATTTTCAAGTGCAGGCATCCGATTGTGGCCAGGATGCTGGAGACAGGTTCAGACTAACGACTAATCAAATAATCGTTTGTGACATCTTGTTGCCTGGGAAGGTGGAGGTCAGGCCAAAACACTCCAAGAAGCGTGTTCCTCGCTTGACGAACTTGCAGGACGAATAGCCTCTGACAAACGTTGCACAGGTGGGGGTTGAAAGAATTTTCCTCGATACCTTCGGCTTCGAGCTTGTCAGAATTTTACCCGCCCGGTATTGACGAAGAAGACGGCCGGGATCTTGTCATTACGTCCGGATGGCGTGCAGACCGGGGAGAAGTTCTCGCGGCATCACGTTTCTTTTTCCAGGCGTAACATCGTGGGCGCCATGTGGCTTGAGGATTCCAAGAGCCGGTTGGATGTGCGAGTCCAAGCGACTCCAGGCTATTCGAAATGTTTGCTTGTCAAATATCAACATGCGAACGGACGGACCTTGCTTCTTCACAACCAACAAGCGTGTGGCAGAGTCGACGAGACGAGTATGCTTGGCAGCAGAGTCAATGTTTGCTTGCCACCGTAGGCGGCCGCGGTCACCTCCGTGATGCACCACGCGTCTTGGAAACATCCCAGGGACGCCATGTTATGTGGTCAAATGGCTCTTTCGCATGGACCCAAACTTGACCGAACCCTTGGTCACATATGCATTGCATCAAGTCTCATTTTGGGACGCAGAAGAAAAGCAATCAAATGGGCGCCACGATTTCCAAGAACCCCGTGTTGATGGACTAGTGGCGCAGACGAGAATGCCCCAAGGAAGCAAATTTCTTCTTCTCTTTGAACTGCGCAAGAGGAAAACACCTCGGAAACGACATGTCACTTTCCCTCTCTCTCGCACCAAGTTAGCGCACTTCGGCCAGTATGAAGACGGTGGTTGAACTAGCCCGCTAAGCCTGTTGGAACTTCGCCTAATTGTGTATTGCACTACTCCTAAGATGGTCGGTCAACCGCCGACCACCGATCATCTTCTCGGATTCACAGATGAAGCGCCATGTTTGCATCAGACGCGTGGAGAGGATTGCCCTTTTGAAATGTTTGTGTATCATTTGACACCTGTCACAAATGATGAAGGGTAGGGGGACCGTTCGAGATTCGTCAAGGTACCCGCTGAAAACCTCTGTTGGTTGTTGGTTGATCCATCGAGATCTTTACAAGATCCTCATCATTGGAGCTGGAAAGTGGACTCTCGAATGCACTGGTAAGGGTCACACTGACAATCTGACAATCGCGTGTGAAGGAATTTGATCCGCTGACGGCTGCCAGTACAAGGCCGGGCAACCAGGCCACCGTCAGGGGGACCATGCGGGGTGATTCGGTGCCAGTTGATGAGCTTCACATCTTCGACCCCGGGGATTCCCGACCATGACCGCCTTCGACCGGTGATAATACTGAAATCTCGATTAGTGTGTTCTGAAGAAAAGAGCTGAGAATGTCGGTTCGTGGCGTGACAGCCACCGGTAGAGGTGTTGGAGTATTGACAGTGCAAGTGTAAGCTCTGGTGGCTGAAGAGCTGTTGAAGAGGGACTTGGCTGGTAATGAGATATGATACATCGATCAGCACTGCAATTCCTCGACAGATACAAGCGGACTTGCGAATCGACCCCTGATAGGACCTCGCCAACTGAGTAGTACTCTTTACGACGGCCAGTGCTAATGGAACATCAAGACCTCCACCCGATCCTTTGGGCTCAAGTTGAAACTCGAGGAAGAAAGGGTATGATTGCAACTCCACCACGTTGTTGGTGAGGGCAGTCAGCAGAATTTTGTTTTTGCTATATTCTTGCCGAGGTTGCAATCAATCTAGCAATCTATTAGATGAGATTGTTACTGCGTGTTGGTGCCGTATTCCACGTCTATTGTATCTAAGTAACCGCATTCGTTTCTCTCGACGGAGTGGGCAGAAAAAGTGGTCAAAAAGACAGAAAGGCACACGGACATCCCCCTCATCGGAATCGGGGACTGAAAAGCGCTGGGTTAACTGGGGAATTGTCAGAGTATCTGTGGCTCCTTTGCCCTAAACCCCGGTCGAGTCTCACCCGTTTTCTCTCTGTCTCTTCCTCCAAGCATTAGCTGCAGCTCAGAGCCGATGATTGCTGCAACCTGCAAAGCGTGTCCATGGATTGATATTAAGATAATTGGGCGCAACGTGGACCCCCAATTGGGCAATCCGGAAACCGCAAATCTCATCATACGAGTTTGCAATTGCAACTCGGCAATTCCCTGCTATGGCGTGTTGTTTTCTCCACTGAACATCGCGTGTCACTGACGTCTGTTAGGAACAAGGGATGAGAAAAGGAACCACACAACCGCCTCCGTCCGCTCCCATCTCCGCCGGGGGTTCCTGTCCGAGTCTTCAAATTTTTTCTTCCCTCCAACCTCCGGGCAACATTTGGGAGTTCCGAGTCGGGACTGACACGAGGGCAAGTCGAAAACGACGGACTTGGCAACACGCCCGGTCATTGCCTCCACGAGCCCATCGTTGTCTCCTCCTCGTCCTCTTGCTCCGACTCCATCACTGCTGCAAGTCACAGCAGACTCCATTCGAAACCTTCAGACCTCACCGACCCCAAAACCGTTGCAAGCGCTTGTGCGGAATATCCACCATGAACCGGGCCCGTCCCTTAGCGCACTTCTAGAAGGGGCTGTCGCGACCTCATCGCCGCTTCGGTTTCCTCGGCAGCTCACGAGCGGTGTCCCACTGGAGAGGCTTCGGGGTCATCCTCAGGGTCCAGTCGAGATCCCTGCTGGCGTCCTTGAGACCCTAGTATCCTGGGTACATCCGGGGGTCCCCCGGCCGTGTACAACCGTCGCGGACAGGGCTGACTCTGAACCGCTTCTCGGTTCATCGCGAACCACCGGCTTCCATTGGTGCTGCTCGTGTGCGAGCCATAATCAGTGTCCACGAGCGTTCTCCATGGAGCTCATCCTTGAGTCCATGCATGGGGGCCCATGAGCCGTGCTCAAATGAGGAGTCAGCTTTCTTTTCACACTACGACATACAAATCATACGATGTCTATCTGTCGAGACGGGCGGTGCCTGATTCGAAGCATGGAAGCCGTGAAGACTTATACGCACGCGGCAGCGTCGCACGACGAGGGGAGGGGTGAGACCAGGCGACCGTCACTGAGGTCGGAGTGATTCTACAGGAAGCCGACTTTGACCGCATCAGAGAGAGATTATATATATCGTTCTCGAGGAGCCCGAGTCGAGCGCCTTCTCATAACGCGTGCGTTCTTGTGTCCCAAACCCTCGGATCCGGCTCTTATTCCATCTCGCGGACGGCTGCCAGTGTCTGTGCAATTTTTTTGATACCCCCTTACCATTCGCACCCCTGTTCACGTCGGCGGCCCCAGAGATCCATCCTCCATCCCATTCCATCCCGTCCCATTCCTAGACTTACAAGCAAGCAGCCGCAAGGCTTCCCTTTTTTGGCTTAAAGAACACGCGCCATCAGCCGAGAACTCGGATCTCGAGCTTCAGCAAGCTAAACGACCTGGGAGAACAAGCTTTCCCTTCACATCATTCTCTCGTCACACACATAGTCAGAGCCATGGCCTTGACATACAAGCAATCACAACTGGTTAGGGGCACCATCCCCGCCCTGCGCGAGCATGGAGAGACCATTACCTCTATATTCTATGCCAACATGCTGCGAGCTCACCCGGAGCTTCACGACCATTTCAACAAAGTCAACCAGGCCAACGGGCGCCAACCACGTGCTCTGACGGGCGTCATCCTAGCCTTTGCCTCAAATCTCAACCACATCAGCGAGCTTATCCCCAAACTTGAGCGTATGTGCAACAAGCACTGCTCACTTGGCATCCAACCCGAACACTATGACATCGTCGGCAAGTACCTCATTCAGGCCTTCGGCCAAGTCCTCGGGCCTGCCATGACACCTGAGATTCGCGAGGCCTGGACAAAGGCCTACTGGATCCTCGCTAAGATGCTCATCGGCCGCGAGGCCCAGATGTACCGCGAGTTTGACGACGACAAGTGGAAGGGATGGCGCAAATTCCGTATCGAACGCAAGGTTGCCGAGACGGAAGACATCTTCTCCTTCTATATGGTTCCCGTCGACGGCAAGCGTCTTCCCGAGTTCTACCCAGGCCAGTACACCTCCCTTCGAACAACGATTCCGAATCTCGGCCATCTTCAGTCCCGGCAGTACTCCCTCAGCGACTCCCCGCGACCGGATTACTATCGTATCACCGTCAAGCGCGACCAAGGCGTCAAGGTCGGCAAGGGCAATGCTGTGTTCAACCTCAACCCGGGTGTCTTCTCCAACCACCTGATCGACGAAAAGAAGCCCGGCGATATCGTCGAGCTAACACACCCTACGGGCGACTTCTTCTTCGACACACACGCCGCTGGCACTCTCCCCGTCGTCCTCATCTCCGCTGGCGTCGGCGTCACCCCCCTTATGTCCATCTGCAACACGATCGTTGAACGCCAGGCGGTCCGTCCCATCTCTTGGATTCACTGCTCGGCACGTAATGCTCCGTTCGAGGAGCATATCCGCAAGATCGCGTACAGCCGCGCCAACTTCATCACGAAGTTCTTCCGTTCTCAGATCGCCGATGTCGAAGACGACGACTCGCTCTCCTCGTCAAGTGACTTCGGTCTCCGCATGGACCTGGCTCGTATCGATGCCCATGAGCTTTATCTCGGCCATGGGGGCGCTGAATATTACATCTGCGGCCCAGAGATCTTCATGGTCGAGATGTCAGAATACCTTATCAACCAGGGCGTCGATCCTGCAAGAGTCAAGTTTGAACGGTTCACTACCGGAGACCTGGAGTTTAAACATTGAGAGGTCAAAATGGAAATTTTCATATTCACGGGTTGCATTGCTTTCAAACGGTAGAACGAAAAGGGACATTGAGACATCGGGTTGAATGATTGATGGAGTTTCATGAGCTCAAAGTTGGCTATTTGGGAAAGGGTTTCACATATCCAAAATCGCCATGGTAATGTCTTTACTGGAAGGATATAGAGGGCGGCACGGGATGATCTTTGATTTGCGGGTTGGAAGGGTGAAGCATAAACGATTGCGTCAAGAGAACAACAATCTTATACCCAACTCTAGTGCCTCAGCTTTCCGACAAAAACGATGGTGACACAAAGCCAATCGCATGACCAATTAACAAAAGAAAACTCTAGTCCGTCTCTAGGCACCAGCAGAGGCGTGATCGCAAAGCAAATGAAATGGCCCTGGTTCAACGTCAACAATTCCTACTCAGTAAGTTCTCGACATCATACGAGAAAAATTGGATTGAACGCCGCACAATGCAACCGCCTGACTCGCCACTATTTCTCGCGCTCTGCGACCCCCCGGGGCTCCCTACGGGTCACCTAAAATGGGGGACTGGAGTGCAAAGGCTGGGATGTTGTGGGCTTCGGAATATCCATGAGTCCATTGCAACCTGAATCTTACATACATCGCATGTATTTTATATCCACGCAATTCACAACGGCCTTCAGTTGGTTGGCAATTGTTGCCCCTGCAAAAAGAGCCACCAACAATCACCAACATCCCACAATGGCGTCCGACGTCGCTCCGCAAGCGAAACATTGCTGGGGGCTTTGCCGTCATGAGCGCGGTCCATGAACCGAAAAGATGCGATCTGGCAATTTTCCCCCGTCAGTTCTGCCATCGGCATCAAGAATTGATGTTGATTCAGCTTCGGCCCCTCCGCCACATGGACACCGATTTGAGAAGAGGACAACGCGAAAACTGCTTCGCCGGCTAACCTCCGTGACGACGAAAGACAGTTACTGGCGCTAGACACAGCCTACCACAACCGAAGTCCCTCTGTGCCGGTTCCCTGTGAGATCGTGGGTCAAGCCTCCAGTCCGGCAGACGACTTGTTGGGATGTTTGTTTAACATGGCTCTCTATTCTCCCGCAACGGCGAACAGAGGGTCTTGACTTGCGAGAGCCGCCCACATAAGCCTACTTTGATGATGACGCCAGCTTCCTTTCGCTCCGCCGGCCGTCTTCCGACAGCGGGATTTACCAACTATTGGTGTTGATATCCGTCGTCGGCAAAGGGGCACGGCTATGCCGCTATGTTAGTCTCCAACGGCGTCCGTGCCAACCATACTAGATCCCGCTCGTCCGCTCACAGGTCCGCAGCCGGTGCAATGGCCGTGTTTGATGCCGTGAACTCTTCCCGGCACTCGAAGTTTTCTCGCTGCAGGGGAGACTTTTCTTGGCTGTTTTGTCTTTGGGGGCGCACATGGCGGTCAAGATAACTCCATTCAAATTGCCGCAGTTGTTGGCTCTTGAACTCGCCTGGGTAGCATGCAACACGGATCTTTGCTTCACCCAAAACTTTGGCGGAAGGGAGGAAACGGAACATGACCCGGGACTCAGGAGTCAGCTCCGGTCAGCACCCGGCAGTAAACGCCCACTTGAACCCATGCGCATTATCTAAGGCCTCATATACCTAGCCAGGAAAACATTCGCCGCGGAACACCGGGAGACTGGACAGCCTACAGCTCAAGGTGTTGTTTCCGGTAGCATCGCTTCGCAAGTCCCAGGCGCTTTCGCGCGCGCGTTTAGCCTCCGTATCGGCGGTCAAGCATTGTGTCAACCTCCGGCCGCATTTGCTGCTCGTCAGGCGGCAACACGACGCTGAGGGCGGTTTCATAACACAGCATCAGCAGCTGTTGCTTCTTCGCCCCGTGCATCGTTATGCAAGCCGGGAATTATGGCATGTTTATCGACAGTGAATTTTGTGATTTGCGACCAAAGTTTCTTTTTGATGCTAGGGTCTAGTTGTCAAACCAAGTCAACTACTGGTGGCCATTATCGGCAGTTGAAGTCTTGCTACCACCACGACTTGACCATTGAGTTGTTCAACGTTACTTTGATGTAACATAAAACCGCGGCTATGAATCCGACCTCCGCGACATCAATTGTCACTTTCAGCGATAGTAGACTTAACTGAGAGGTCGTGATCTTGAGTCATCTGGCTTAGGAAATTCGCCAAGGTATGCCAAACGAGCAGCTCTAGTGGTTGACTGCACAGATAATCTACTCATGCTAAGCAGCTCAGTTGAAATTTGGCGTCTAGCCGCCAAACGGACGTCCCCTACTAATTTCTAGAGACGGATCAATATTTACCAATAACGAATGCCACATTAAATAAAATTTGAACTCAGGCAGCGTAACTACCATCGTATTATTTCAAGTTTTCTGGAGGTCTCTCGAACCAAGATCCAACTACAGGTTTGGACCTAGACGGCTGAGCCGACTTGTGTGATCATGTCTAGCTCCATGAGGACTCCAGCAAATTATGCATCGGAACTCAGACATCGTCATTCATGAGACCCATCTCATCTTGAGTACAGTTTTTCAAGTTGAGATAATCTGCCGAGAATACCACGGCTTCACGACATCATGCGCAATGAAGAGCGGGGGAAACGTAACCCATGTGTGCAATGAAAGCATTGATCGAAGCTCAGCTGACGCCACACTGGTGATTGCTTCGTAATATTTTATGATGGTAGCTGAGACTCAAGCAACGCTGCAATTCGTTGGTAAGTGTGTGTGGATGCATGGTGATGCATGGGTCGTTCAGCTAAACGGTGAGCTGAACGCCACCACACGGATCTAGCAACCTGGAAGATGGTAAACTCGTATTCCAATTTTTGCCTTCGTTTCTTTTTCCAGAATTTGCCCGAAGAATCTAGAGCTCATAAATGGCCTTGATACTGACCCGGTGCAGTTGCACCTTCTGGAAGATTTGAGTATCGTGTGTTTCTAAGTAGACAGATTTGGATGAGGTGTCATGTCAACCCAGACCAAGATGTACCAAGTTAAACAGACGTACACAGCTGCATCTCCAAGAGAAAACCGCCCACTCAACAGAACATCGTTACACAAAAGCCACACTGCATGGCGGAAGCAAGCTATTGACGCGGGCGTCATGCGGTTCCAGGTTGCTCCGAATACGAAAGTCGCATGTCCTCGTACATAAAGGACGTCGGAGGCATATAAATGCAGAGCTCATGAAGGTTTCAAGGAGTGTTTGTCAGTAGCCGAGATCTTGGTCCACGCTGTATCTTCTACGACTACAAATCTTTCAAGTGGCTACCTCAACATCTAACAGTACACCCAGTCTCTCTTAATCATGGTCTCGGTCAAGAACATTGTGCTTCTTCTTTCGGCAAGTCTCCAGGTAGCAGCAGCTACTTGCAAGGACTACGGATCCTGGTATATCCATATCAGACTTGATGCCGGCGCCCAAGGCCACAGGCAGGGAAGACTGCGTGCCGAACACTCCAAAATACCAGGGAATGTCACAAGCGCAACATGGCTCTATGACCCGGAGACACAGAAGACTACCTACACCACAGATGATTTTACTCTGAACAACACTCTAATAGATAGTCTCGGCATTCAAGGTGCGTTTTCAATGGCGTATACTAAGTCGAATATTGCTGATGATTTTGCAGACTTTGAGATATTCCAGACCGTTGACGGAGTTCCCTTGAAAGGATCCGGGCCCATCAACATCTACTTTGCCCCAGCGGCGAACGGACGAGGCGGCGAAGGGAACACAACCATCGTTTCACAGAAGGCCTTCTAAAATCATTTGAATTTCGTCATGACTTACTTCTTGAGTAAAAGGGGTGTCTGGGTCGATTCACCGGCTTGTTGAAAGGGTGGATGATAGAGACCACGCTGCGGAAGTGGCATGATGGCTATCGTTTCCACGATTAGGCAAACATTGTTTTTCATGGAAGAGGGATGAGATCCAATGCAAACACTGGAAAAGAAACTTGTGGATCACTTCGACTTGCTTTTCTGTGGCGAAGTTCCCATGTGACTCATTCTCTGCTCTTCGACATTTTGAAGCCATCGCTGACTCAACTATGAAGGCTTATTTGAATGAAGTTTCTACCCCTCTGAGCACTTATCTTGATATATGGACATTATATGAGTAGTTGACTTATTTATGGAATATTGGGTTGCAGATGTACATAAATAAATGAACATGAAATGCTCTTCGACGTGCCAGGACGAGTAAGGTAGTCGAAGGTTTATGCCTGTCGACTCTTACTTACAAACCCACTGCCAATTCGGATACTAGGTTAATACCACTAGCAGTGCATGACTAATTCAGAAACCCCCTCTGGCGTTTAGAATGAACGACGGTTGGTGCGGGGAATATTCTAAAGCCCGGCAATTAGTGCGTTAACTTCATCTAGACTTGAACACCGCGGTGTTCATAAAATTCACCACAAACCGTCTTACTGCAGCATACGCATTGTACAGATTACCGATGGATGAGGATCAATCAGAGCAAGACTTGCAGTTGACGAAGTCAGCACAGATTCAGTTGGACCCCGAGGCGGGAGCCACCGAAGGCCAAGAGCAGAATATGGAGCAGTCTGTCAGTGACAAACGCCAGGCCGTCAACGGAACGGCGACGGACAGGATTGGACAGTATCGCACAGCCTGCTTCAACTGCCGCGCAGCGAGACAGCGTTGTGATCGATACTTGCCCTGGTATGCTGATCTCCATTTGATTCTGCTCGGCTATCATTGATATCTTTACCCATGTAGTTCGAGATGTACATCTCAAGGCAACACGTGCCGATATCCTCTGAGATCCAACAGGGGCCGTAAAGAGGGAAGCACTAAGTGAGTTGCGTGCCCGAAAACACGAGCCACGACGTTTTGTTAGTTGCAGTGCTATTGCAAAGTCGCTGACACGGTGTCAGTAAACCAGACAGTCTGGAGAAGCTCCTGGCACGCATTAACGAAAGCCCTGTGAAGGACCAAGTCATTGCTGCCGTTCTCAATTCCCTCAACGTTGGGTCAAATACCTTATCTCCTCCCTCGAGTACCTCGCCAAGAACCTTGAATCCTACTCAAGACAAAGAAGCACCCTATGAGCGAGAATTTGCAACGTCGGCATCCGCTGTCACCGCATTCGAAAACCGCCGTTCAAGTACTCCCGAAATACCAGATGCAACCCAAGTTCCATGCCCATGCTATAAACTCAAGAGGAAAGGCGAAGTAGTCTCTCCGCTTCAAATCATGACAGCAGCAATAGCTGCAGACGCCCCCACCACAGATTCGTCTCTCAGCCAGCCGGCACATACGAGCAAACTTGATGAAAGACTTGTGGAATATCTCAGTAGGTCACCGTTCATCTGCGTCAAATTTTCTGCTTTTTCGTTGCGAATTCACTAATCTCGCATGCATCCCTACAGCTCCACGATCTTCTCACCAGAAGGATTGGCAAGTTCTATCATCTCAGTCTAACAACTTCACTTTCAAACTTGAGTCAACAGCATGTGACCCAATCACCGCTCGCCTGGTGGATCAAGAAGACGTCAAGCTTTATTTCGAACTGTAGGTTTTGATACAGCTTCAGTAGAACCGCCAACTTACATGTTATTTTCCCGGCCAGATTCTTCAAGACGCGAAACCCACTGGTTGGCCTCCTCGATCCCATCCTTCATACACCCGAATACGTCTATTCCGAGTCTTTTACCCTATTCTCGGTCATATGCGCATTGGGATGTGCCATTTCAACTCGCCCAAGAGATCGCATCATCTATTCAACACTCCTCTCCTTAGCCCAAGCAAACATGATGTGGTCTATCGCCACCTCTGTGAAGTCGCTCGAGACCATTCAAGCAATCATCTGTATGCAATATTGGACGCCAATCTACCAGAAGCAAGCCGATGACCCATATTGGCTTCACTTGAGTCATGTGAGTGAAATCATATTTGCGCCTTTACAGTCACCTCAACCTTGAAACTTGAAGATTCGCTAACCCTGTTCTAAACTAGGCCATACAGCTTGCGCGGGAGCTGGGCATTCACAAGCCGGCAAAGGTTGCAGAGCAAGTCAATGCACTGGCATCCGATTCAAGCACTGAGTTTAAAGAACGATTGATGAGGAATTTTGAACGAACATGGCTTCAAGTCTTCATTGCTGACAAAGGTTTTGGCATCGTCACAGGACGTTCGATAAGTGTTGCTTGGAACGAGCTTCCACCATGCCCTTGCCAATGGTGGAAGTTACCAAGGACGAGCCCATCGGATCGCATGGTTAGCGGCATTATCGAGATCAGAGTCCAGTTGGTACGTTGTCCCACGACAGGAGCATCATGGTCCATTGTAGTGTTTCTAGACTAACTGTGGATTGTGATTACCCATCGTAGCTAGGGGCATTGAAACAACTGGAACGAGGAATCAAGACTCCAGAAGCGGTCTTGAGCTGGCACTCGAAGGCGTTCGAGTCATTAGAGCGTACAAGAAACACAACGTGTACCGGAAATGGTCAAAGATCCACACACGCACAATCTCTGCACATTCTGGCCTTTTACATGGACCACAGCATTATGGTTCTGAATGCACAGGCTATGAGAGAGTTGAAGAATATTGATGACGTTGATATGTCGACGGAACTTTCCACAATATCCAGGAAGGCATTTGACGTCGCATGCCGAGTTCTGGATCTAGTTCTCTGGGATGCTACCCTTCGCAAGGTCAGACTAGGATGGCAGAACAACCAGTTCATCATGATTGCGCATGCAATGACAGAGATACTTCATGTAAGGCATCCTCACTTGGGATCACTTGGCATCATGCGGCTTATGGGTTGTATCATTTCTGACGGTCAATATCTTTAGGCCATTACGCGCGGGAATCTGCCGTCTCCAGATGTCACCGAGGCGGCAAGCAAAGTGCAAGGTGTTTCAATATTGCTCGAGGACATGGCGAAGTCCCTTCCAGATTCGTCCGCCGCTCATATATATGCTGCTCTCTCACGAGTCTTTGCCTCTCAGGTTGAAAGAATTTCCAGCTTTACCGGATGCGGGTTAGACTCAGGTATGGACATCGACCCGACTCTCTTTGTCCCGGATTGGTTGCGAAGTGTCAATGGTGCTTCAATAGACCCCGCCTTCTGGTTTGATGTTGGTTTCCTCAGTGTCGAGCAGCCAAGTTATGGTGGTGCAGACTTCATTGGAAGTGGGGACTTGGGCAGCTTGACGTTCGACTAAGTCTGCTCATATCTGTGCGGATTCAGTTAAAAAGTCACGGAAGGAATAACAAAAGAATTCTCAAGTAAAAACTTCTCAAACTTCCGATGGCTCGTGATAAGCAGATTAACTAATTGCCTCAACGCCTGGTAAATACCACCGATACCTTTGCCAGGGACGATCAAAGATCAAGCATCCTGAAACGCCCGGCATCTGCCACAGCACTCGCATTTCTACCCAGAAAACTTGCTACGGTGATGGAGGCAGAAACACGAAAATCAGGACGTCATGTCGGCTTGGGTGATCGCGACATGAATGTTGAGCGGTAGGCCGAGCAATCGAACTTCACCAGCCCGTCTAGACCAAGGCTTGCAGTTCGCAACGCCTCAAACGCCTGCTCAACCATTCTAATTAGCCGTCACATCAACAGGCATTAGCTTCAAGCTAAAAGCTACTTCACCGGATTCGGGCAGTAGTAACCATTGTGTACTAAGATCTTACCAGACACGCCACCTTTTCTTTGACCGTCAAGCCAATGTCGATATTGAAGTGCTTGCTGATGTCAGCTTCCGGGTTTGCGCTGACCCCAACTCCAAAAAGCCGGGGGATCTTAGCGGTATTCATTTCGACGACGGTTCTTGGCTTCATTCATCCATGGTAATCCTCCTTATTACATCTTGATGAAGACATCACAAGAAGACCAGCTGAAGCAAATACATCAATATGCCGGATACTACGCTGTCTTTCGTTGTTTCAAACGGCCCGAAGTTGCAGAATGATCCCCAAATCAGGTCAATAAGTATGTACCGGTTGACGATTCAAAGTGGAAATATTATGTATGTACTGATGATTCTTGCTAGTACGGAAGCATGCAATGAAGAACGTTGCTCTGACTCGAAAGAGAAGAACTAATTGTGGGCGTGACAATGTCGCCCAGTAAGCATCATGTTCAACATCGTCTGCATTCCGTTGAGTAGACCGGCTTACTCTTTTGGAGACTTCCAACTAGTACCCCTATGCGGCCAGCGATCAGAACGCCAAGCTCAGATGGATTCGGTACTTCCGATGACGCTTCATGGTTTCTGGATTCAAGTCTGGTGGTGCATGAGCAGCGACTACCGCTGGAATGGAATCTTACTCAATCGGCAGTCCCGTCCAGTTCTCCTAGCGATGGCTCATTTCGTTCGCCATCACCAATTTTCAGGAGTCTGTTCACCAGCTATGAAGCTGTTCGATCCAAGTTTCAGGTCGATCTGACGGATTTCTCAATGCTTACCAACTTCAATGTTGGAGAAGGGACAATGCATGTCTTATCCGCCGAACCTACTAGACTATTGAGTCTGTTGGGATACTCTCAATGGTTTGTGTTTCAGTCTGAAAATCATTCTGGCTGCCCAAGTACATCTGACACTAGAATTTTCAAGGTCATATCTTCAATTCATCCCGAGCCGGTATGGAAACAGCCAATGTCTTACTGCTGCAGCCAATTCCTTGCTCGTCAAAGCTCGCGGCATGTTGATGCCAGGCAAAAGGAATGAGGCTCTTGAGCTGAAACTGCATACGATCGCTCTTCGAGGCTTGCAGGACGCTTTGCAAGATGACCTGCTTTGTATGAGTTCGGACGTACTATGCGCGTCGCAGCTGCTGGGTCTTCATGCAGTAAGCTTCTTTTTGCCACACCTACATTTCGACATATTGACACGCCAACTGCTCCTTAGTTCAACTCGACAAAACAGCTGGTCAAATCACCTGCAGGGCTCGACGCGCCTAATTCGCCACAGGACACCAGCGATGTTTGGAAGTGATTTTGATAAGGCCTTGCTCACAGCTCACATTGGACCAATTGTTTTCGGGTCCCTGGTGCAGCACCAACCTTGATGGCTTGCACAACCTCATTGGTTGCATCTTTATCAGTCTCTTGCAGAGGAAACCCCGCGATTGACTGAGCGAAGCCCTCTGGCTATCTCCGTTCGATCACAAATGATCAAGTAGGTATTCTAGAGGCCTTCTGTGGAAAGAAGGAATTGCTACTCTATGTTTTACGGTACTGACAACATCCATCATCCAGGTTACCGGGCTTGTGGCACGATATTGATAACGTCTTGAGAGGCCCAGAGTTATTCAACGAAACGGTTGTAGGCACTCTAGCGGCGCAGTGCCATGCATTCAACGAGAATTTCATCAGAAGTCTCAACGAATACAAGGAGTATTGCATGAAGACATCACTGGAATCTCCCTCAAATCAAGAGTTGGCCATTCGAAGAGAACTTTATGGGATAACATTAGAGTGTCTGGTTGTTGCTAAACGACTTTTGTCGGCTTTAATGGAACACGATAGACAAGAACTAGAGATTGAGACGCAGGAAATGGCTCGATCACTGCTAGAGCTGCAAGAGGAACCATCCACTCAGCATTCTTGGCTATTTTCGGGCCATGAGATGGGAGTTGCTCGAAGTATTGTTATGACGAGAGAACAATGGGAGGGCTCATTCCAGTATAACTCGGGATATGAGAAAGGAATGGCGTCTCGCGAGAGATACGTCGCATGGGACTTGCAGTTGCGGCAAGGCACCTAGCAAAGCTTTCTTGCGTCAAACGCTTTGCATATTCAAATCTCAACAAAGCCCATTATTAATTCATGTATTTTGGAATGAAGATGTTCTGACAATAACGTGAGACCAACGTTGCGATCTCTTCAAGTTTACACCAAGACGATTTGGCTCCGACCATGCTAGACCAACTAAATCACATTCAACAGACTGATCTGAAATACAATTCCAGAGCCACACGCGTCATAAACGTCCATGGGTTGAAGGACGCAGGCAGAAGTTTTAGTGCTTACCGAAAGCCCGGCTCCTTATCCACGCTTAGTCTGAGGATGTTAGACTGATTCTTCTCGTCTGGATCATAACGCTTCTATCGTCCGTGACGCTAGAAGCATTGGCACTTGACCGTTTCAGTGCAGTGGTTTTAATCGTACAGATGCGCTAAATGTGACATGGCCAGATGCGGAGAATCAACCAATGCCCAAATTCGGTAACTATTCAACCTCACGACTATCTAATGAAACTCAACGAGATTCACGAATACCTTCGTATCCAAGAATTGTGATGGAAACAATATTTAAGGAATGAAACATCTCCTCCATTCCCTATCTCAACCACACCTTCCCAACAACTTGAACTTACTCAACCCAATCCATGTTCTTAGCACACCATTACCAACAAAACCTTACCAACTGCAACCTATACATCTTCAACATGTCTTCAATCATGGATAACAACAAGATTACCCTCTATGACCTCGCTCAGCGTGGTGAAACCAACCGATGCTGGTCTTATAACGTCTGGAAGATTCGACTCGTCCTCAACTACAAGAAAATTCCTTTCACTACGGCCTGGGTTGATCACAATACCCTGGGACCCACACTAAAGTCCCTCGGCGTTCCCCCCAATACCACCGGAGGGTTTGAGTTCACCGTGCCCACCATCAAACTTCCGGATGGGTTAATGGTCACGGACTCTGCGGTGATCGCCTCGAGGCTTGAGGGTATATACCCTTCTCCAGCTTTGCACCTCGATCTCGAACTACAGGCTCAGGTAGACCGCGTGGTCCACATGACTTGCATGCCTCTCTTCGCCATCTACATGCCCCAGGTGGCTCGCGAGCTCATTGACAAGGCGACTGTCCCAGCCTTTTCCAAGTCGCGCGAGAAGCGCTTTGGAATGACTCTTGAAGAGCTCGAAACCTCAAAGGGAGCAGAGAAAGCTTGGGTCGCGGCTGAATCTGGTTTCGCTGCCATGAAGGAAATCCTGACTAGCCACAAGAAAGACGAGGGTCCTTTCATTCGGGGCTCTCAGGTCTGCTATGCGGACTTTGCTCTGGTCGCGGTGTTTGAAGCCTTCAAGCGCGTCGGGAATGGCATGTTTGAGAGAGCGCTTGAGTGGGACACGGCTTTCAGCGACTTGTACCGAGCATCTCAAGCTTGGCTCCAGAATGACATGTAGAGCGGGAGCGAACGTGGAATACCGGAGCATCAATTAGGTTTTGATATTGAGTTTTCATATTTAGGCCTTTACTGGGACTGGTTGATCAGTTTACTTTGTCGACTAGTTCTTTACAATAAATGACTTGGTTCCCGTTCCAACTACTGCTCCAAAAGCATAATGCAACTCTTTCTCAGGCAACCGATGATACCGGGGTTTCCATTATCACAATCCTGTGCTTGTATGCTTTATGAAGCTACGATCGAAAGAATTAACACGGAAAGACTCTAACATGCTGGAAACAGATTTGCACTTGACGTCATGGATGACATCCATGCCGCAAGCCTCCCAAGCATAATAAACCCCGCGGTTGTGCTAGATCACAGGCCCGACGGTCGTGTTGTTTGCGTCGGGAATAGCAGCAACCTAACAGCTTGATTAATGGAGATAAGTTGCATATGCCGTGGATTCAAGTACTTTCACTCGAAAGAAGATAAATTATAGCCTAGTGTCTTGAATGTGTTATGTTATGCGACGTGGCGGATTGCGGCAGTAAAGTGCAACCAATTCTGGAATCGAAGCCACCTAAACTATTGTGGTTATTGGCAAGCCCCGAGCGATTTCACTCATTTGGTCAATTCTACGAAGTATTTCACTCGGCATCTTAGTGGTCTCACGCATGCACGTCGTCGCGCTAGTGTCACCATTGCAGGGATGGTAATGCTGATGAGAGGTGATGCAGGATGATTCATCGCCCCTAACCAGAAGCGGAATTAGGTCTTAGCGCAGGCGCAGGTAGTAAAGGCAAAGGCAACTGGTTCTTCGGAACTACAAATACGATGGAGTTGCAACAACCTTCGCCTCTTGTTATCATCTTCAAAAGAACACGACGATTCGAATTTTCATCGATCTCAACTTGCACCAAACTTCTTGCGACGCCAGCAACAGAAACTCGTTGAGAACCATGACTGTCAAGAACGCGTTGAACTCAAGTTCTTCATCGCCTTACCCGATTCCTCAAGGCGTTTCCGTCATTCCTCTTGATCAACTCGACCTCCGACCCGATGCTGAAGTTGACAATACCATCAAGTCCCCCCCGCCTGTCACTTCAGCCAAGAATCTTTGGTTCTTCTGGAACTCAGGATACGACAACTTGCACCCTTATGCCAAGCGAAATGTCCGCACGTGGCACCGTCGTTTCTCTAAGAAGGGGTGGACGGTCAGAGTCATGGATCTAGAACCGGATTCGCCCAGTTATATCGGCAACTGGATTGACGTGGAAGACGCCAACAACGTACCCAAGGCTTTCATCGAAGGCACATTGGACGGAGAGTTTGCGAAGCAACATTACTCCGATCTTGTGCGTTTTCCTCTCCTCCTGAAGTATGGTGGCGTGTACACAGATGTTGGCTATATGCAAATTGGCGACCTCGACAAGCTATGGGACGAGACAATTGCCAACGAGGACAGCCCCTACGAGGTGCTATCATATAACGCTGGTGGTCCCCGCGACTACAGTCTAATGAACTATTTCATCGGCAGTCTCCCAGGGAATGCGTTTTGGCAAGCATGCCATGACCTTCTGTTGAAGTTATGGGAAGGCCGAACGAATACGGAAGGCACTCACAAACATCCTCTGCTGAAAGGGTTACCGTTGATGGGAGAGACATTCGCCGAGGCAGGACGTGCGAGTATCAGCGAGAAGCTGACGGATTACATCCTTCAAGGCCAGGCAATCACGATGGTCATGCGCACTATCGACGAAGAGAGAGGTTGGAACGGCCCAAAATACGTCACTGAGAAGATCTTTGCACCAGAGTACATGGTCGGCAGCCAACTGATCAACGAGTACACGAAGTGGAATGGTGTTCAGGCCTATGGTCTAATGAGTCAAAAGATACCAGAGCTCGGACAGCCAGAAACAGATGATCAAAAGCTGGCAAGAGAGATTGTTGAAAACTGTTTTTCGAGAAGCTTTGGATTCAAGCTGGCTCACGGGCTGATCGTACAGGTATTGGGACCTACGCTGGGAAGTCTCTGGAGGAAGCACGAGGGGAGTGATGCCGTGGAAGGAACGTATGCTCATTGGCTAAGGCATGGCATGGAGCGTTGGAATCCAGGTCATTTACCTGAGAGAGAAGCCTATGAAGAGCTGGAACCAGTCAAGAGAGGGTCTTTAGTTCTAGAGATGTAGCGTATGTACGGACGAGATAATGGATGGACATAGATGAAGGCAATGGTATACACATAAACATGCAGTGGTTTCTCATTATAGGAAAAGATCTCGACAACAATGAGACGCGGTGGCGCATGCGAATCAATTTTCTGGGTCTTACGTCCGCCTCTACACCCTCAGATGCTACATCCCTAGACCAAAATGCCTACTGCGACAAGACAAGCTATTCCTAGGCCAATTTCGGGCTTCAATGAGGTTCCAAAGCTACCAACCAAGTCATATCCTTCAACTGCGTATTTCTCGCTAGGTTCCATCGCGGCATTGCCCGAGTTAGGTGCATGCCGCCTGAGCTCGAAGTAGAACACCTTTTCAGATGAGAGTCGGTTTTTGGTCTTTTCGAATGATTCCAAGATTGTCGTCGGATCCCAGTTGTAGCTGTAGTTGCCATTCAGTTGGTTATTGGAGCTGGTGATGTTCTCGGTGAGCGTATGTGAGAAGGATCCGCCGCCACCAGCAAATTCGCCGTGCCACGAGAGGTCCATTTCAGTGTACTCGGGGTTCCCTTCGTTGTTAAGCTCCCACTCAATGTTGATTGCTGGCGCGGAGAGGTTGAGCTTGTCGTTGGTGTTAGGCGCTGTGAACTTCAAGCCACTAACGACTGACGTCAACGCAAGTAGCGGCGCGAAGGAGAGATTCGGACGCATGATCAATTATGGGCTGATAATGGCGACGTTTAGCAATTACGTCTTTAGGTTGTTGGTGATGGTGGGCTTGTTGATTAAGTGCTTTGGTTGTAACGCGGGTAGCGTGAATGATGGTAGGGAACGGTAGCTTCTCGTAGCGCGAGAACTAGGCGACTTAAATAGCTGTGACTCGGCTGAAAATCCAGGCAGAAATGTCACATAACAACATCAGGGTTTCTTTTCCCGCTGCTTGTTGGCTGGGGGCTGTAAATTGCCAAGAACAGGGCGATGTTGGTTCTACCGAAAATGCGGTGAAACCAACCACGGGCGGAGTATGGTGTTGGAATGAGCGAGAGGCGCAGGCGATGACAGCAGCTAACCGCATTTGGGCAGTCGTGTAAGTTCGACTACCGCCTGTTTTGCGTTAGATCTGCCGGAATGCTTGAGTAACCTAAATGAAACTTCGACCTTTGCTTACCATCACATTCGACGTCGTGTTGCCATTCACAACATCATGATGGCGCTCTGAATCTATAAATCATCCGCAATTCGACCTTTTCTTCACATTCACTGCTTCATTCTTCCCAACTTATCAACTCTGAACACACCTCTTCGGCTGCGACTCGGTTACTACAGTATCTCAAAACAAGATGGCGAACTTGGTCGAATTGGACTCTCTTGAGATCTTAGCCATCATCGACAACGAATTGGACCCAATCTCGCCTTGCCCAAATTCGTTGATCGAGCAATCCGGAGGAATCAAGGACATCAGCGCACGGGCCTGTCGAGAATCTCCTCAAGAGGGTGGCCCTGTCCGAGAACTTCGAATGGGCAACATTTGTTGCAGTGCTCATGGGTTGTCTTTGATGATCACCGGGATCAAAGACGGTCAGAGGCGAACGATACTCTTCGACACAGGTCCGGAGGAAGACGTATGGGAACGCAACACGAAACGCCTCAGCGCCGACATCGGCCACGTCGAAGTCATCACGCTGAGCCATTGGCATCGAGATCACTCCGGAGGCATGCTCAAAGCCCTCGATCTAATCTCTGACAACCGTCGAGAGAAGAGCATTGATCTGCCGCCCATTGTTGTCGACCTTCACCCATCTCGTCCGGATTATCGCGGCGCTCACGTCCCAGGCCTCCCCATCATTTCTTTGGAAGCCGATCCAAGCTTCCAAGAAATCGAAAGACATAATGGTGTAGTGGTAAAGAATGACCAGAGCCACACAGTGTTGCAAGACACTTTCTTGATTTCTGGGGAGATTCCAAAAGTAACCGGATATGAAGCTGGTTTCAAGTTCGGCGTCCGTTATAACTCAAAGAAGGGAGTATGGGAAGACGACGAAAACATGCTCGATGAGAGGATCTTGTTGTGTCGATTGAAAGGTAAGTAGAACTGAAAGTTTGGAGGCCTACGGAAGCTAACCAGCACACCCAGGCAAAGGAATTGTGATGTTCACGGGTTGCGGTCACGCTGGAGTTGTCAACTCAGCAAAGTACGCCGCAGTTCTCGGAAACGAGGTGCCTTTGTATGCGATCATTGGCGGTTTCCACCTTGCCGACGCGCAGCCTGACATTATTCAGCGAACTGTGTCTGACCTGAAAGAGTCTGGAGTCAAGGTCGTGCTCGCTGGCCATTGTACCGGCTGGAGAGCTAAAACCGAGTTGAACAAGCAAATGCCCGGAATATTTGCTCCATGTTTTGTGGGGTCGAAGTTCGTTCTGTAATAGCTCGATGAATTTCACTTTGGCTGAGTTGTATGTAATAGCCTTAGTTGTGGCCATTGCCCGCCGTAGACTCATACGGCGAAAACTCAAATCAAGTAGTGATGGATAGCCCTAGTAGATAAGCAACACGAACTACTGTGGGCAGAGCTTGACGTCGTTCAAATTAAATTGATGAATTATCAAACCTGGCTTCAAAGAGTGCTCCGCAAACACCCTAAACCACAGTATAGTTTTGTCCAATTCAGAGCAGTCAGTTGCGGCGGGGTCAACATAAACTCAGCTTAAAATATCTCAAAGGATGGCGTCGTGGACCTGGATCAGTATCGACTCAAAATTCGCCCCGACCTCAACGCGAAGGCTTCGGCCCATACTCGAGTTACATGACTTAGACGCAGAGACGATACCGGCTGCAGTAGATGTGCGATCGAATAAGATGGTCCTAAGTTATTGAAGTGGACCGGTTCGCTAACATTGCCTTCTGGTTTCCTTACACCAGCTTTCCAACCTGAAACAAAAAGCAACAACAATGCATGTATCGTACAATATGACGGATGCCAATGAAGAATCCGAGACAGATCCCACCTTTCTCTCCAAGCCCTGCTCTCATAGCCCGAATGGGAGATTTATTGGGAGCCCGTTCACGAAGGGAACGTTGACGGGCAGTCTTCCGCCATTGTTATTGCGCCCACCGAAGGGAAACGCGGAGTCTCCAAAATTGACGAGAGAGGGTCCAGAGCCGCCAAAAGGTGTTCCACCGAAGGGTGTTCCAATATTAACGTTGGTCCGATCACGGTCGTCAGTATTCCAAGACCAAGAACGGCCTCCATCGCCACCAGTGTCAACGTTGATATGTACGCGGCGATAGTTCCCATCTCCGTCACGTTGTTCCTGGCGATTCTGCTGGTCTCTCCGATCCCGCCGGTCTTGTTGGTCTTGTCGGCCTGTCCTCTCATTCTGCGGGTTTTGGCGTGTTGTGTTCGCCCGTCGTGGCTCGGGCCCAGGGCTAGTGCGAGCCCGGTTGTAACGGGGTCGCTGTGCCTCTGGACTTGGTCGCCGTGGTACTTCTTCGTCATACGAGTCTTCGTCCTCTTGCTGCTCTTGCTGATACTGACGTCGTGATTGTTGATTTGGTCTTGGTGGCGGCTCCCTGGGAGTCTTCATATCGCCGTACATTCCATAGATGCTGTCCTCCCAAGCTCTGCCAGCTTGCTCCCGCCTAGGCTGTTGGCGTGGAGGGGACTGCGGTGGGATAGTGTAGTCGTTTCTTTCCTGGCTGTAGCGGCTCTCCTCGGTTCTACCAGTGCTGAATCTGGCGTTGGATCGGTCAAAGTTGTTGCTGTATGAACTGGTGTATGGCTGACTTGACTGCGATTCTGTAGGCGTTTGTCGCACTAGAGGTCCGGCTTGTGGAAAGGGCGACTGTCCTGGTCGCGGATTGCTAGAGTTCCCCGGCCCGCCGGGACCAGACTTATTGTTGTTGTTCATTGCGAAGGGTGGTGAAAATAAGGTATCTGGGGTGATATGCTGTCATACACAGACTTCGGCTGATGTTTGGAAGCAGAAGATGGCCAGAACTCAATGGCGATGAGCCTTCTTTTATCGAAAATGTGGTCAATCACGGACCTCTTCGATGGTGCCACGAATCTCCACATGAGTTGCAATGCGTTTCAAGGTCGTTTATGGGGGCGAAAGGAGTGCGAGGTTCCCCGGAATGAGGACTGGCGACCTTACGACATTGTTGCTGGGAGTGTTTCAAATCCAACCCCCGATGGCCTGGAACACCACAACATCAGACCACAACCATCATGACGGCGTGGAAATTTTCGCTTGGCCTGTATCGGCCTGTTCTATTAAACCAAGTCTCTCTCCAAAATATCAAAAGCATTTGATCTTGCCAACCTGGTATGTAGCCGAAACCTTAGTTCAGAATGGATCATTCATCGGTAGGAGAAATACTGGCAAGTACACTCCACTTCGGTTCCTTGCCAGAAGAGCAGGGATTCTGGCACCAATATGGGCTGATCATGACAAGGATAGTTCAGACGGACAAACGCCGTACGGTAAAACGGTATTAGACCGCTGGTGATTCAGCAATTACATGCTTGGGGGTCATCGCAGTTAACATGTTGTTGCTAGCAGGTGGTATTTGCGTGACACTTCACTAACCTTTCAAATCGCTGAGCAAGTACCGAATGTTCCGGCTTGACTTGACCATAAAGTTCAGCTGATCAATCACGATGTTGTAGATTGCGTCCTTTTTCGTCCGAGCCTGGACCCGAGCCCGGACGAAACAATCAAACATGATTGCCGACTACTATTTCGACGTGAAGCCGGCACTTTCGGGAGAATCACGTACTAAACTCTTAAAGCACGACATCATCCTTCACTTGCATATAAAATAGCTGGATTGCGCAACTGGTCACCGCAGCCTTCCTATTACTACACGTCCAGGAAACCAAATATTTCTCTTTCATAACCTATTCGCGCTGAAAATATTCACCATGTCGCATTCAGCTGCTGTCATTCCTGCTGCCAAGGCCCCATTGGTGGTGCAAGATGTCAAAACTTCACAACCAGGACCCGGCGAGCTTCTAGTCAAGAACGAACTGATTGGCCTTGTTCCAGTCGACGCGAAGATCGCTAAATTGGGTGTGTTTCCCATAGCATATCCAGCTATCCTGGGAACATCTTTTGGCGGCACTATCACGGCTGTCGGTCCCCAAGTTACCGACTTCAAGGTCGGCGACAAGGTCGCATCAACGAAAACTGCTGGCGCTGAGGGAGACAAGTACGGCTCCTTCCAGACACAAGTTACTGCAAGAGCGGTTACAACAAGCAAACTTCCGGACTCAGTCGACCTGGACGGACCTGTTGGGTTGATTGGCAACCTCAGCACCGTCGTTGGCCTTTTTAACGCCCACGCTGGTCTGCAGAAGCCGGATCCCAGCATTCAACCTCTTTCAAATAAGAAGAAAATCCTGGTCTACGGCGGTACTTCAAGTTTCGGTAGTCTTTCAGTTCAGTACCTGACCCAAGCTGGATACCATGTTGTGACTACAACCTCCCCGAAGCACGCCTCGTTCGTCGCCAAGCTAGGAGCCGTGAAAGTCGTGGACCATACTCAAGATCCCGATGCTCTTGTTGAAGGCTTGACCGCGGAAGGACCTTACGATCTTGTTGTTGACTCTATTTCACTTCCCAACACCATCAAGATCAACGGCGCTGTACTTGGTGCTCAGGGAGGTGGCAGTATTTATGCGTTGCTACCGGCTTTCGGAGAAGAAGACCTCCCGAAAGGGGTCACGCGCAACTTCGCTTCATGGTCGGCATCTCTGGGCGAGGAGAAGAACGCAGCGCTTCTACGTTGGACTTTCGGGACGTACTTCTCGCAGGCGATCGCGGGCGACAAGCTCGTACCCCTTCCTGTTCGTAAAGTCAAGGGTGGGCTTGCAGGTCTCAATGAGGCACTTGATATTCTCATCCAGGGAGTAAGTGGTATTAAGGTCGTGGTCGATCCGCAGGAATAAAGACCCAACATTTTGAATTCGGTTTGCAAGCCTGCCCCAAGAAATATCGCAACACAATGCTCAGGCTAGCAACACCCTCAACTCAGTCGACTGTAGCCGTAATAAACGTTCAACAACTTTAAAACACTCCATGTTCTAGCAGTAGCCGACCCGGCGTAGAGAATAGCCATCTGGAATCTTTTGGCTGCCAGAGAAGCTCAGACCACAGTTGTTATTGGCGTTGACGGTGTAGCCAGCACCTCGAGTGGAATCTCTAATGGAGGCATAGTAGTTGAACGGGACACAGCCACTTCCGACGACAGCCTGATTGATGTTCAAGAGCTCGACCTGGCAACCGGTTGCGGCGGTGGCAAGGCCGACGTATGAAACCACAAGGCAGAGGGTGGCAGTGATCTTCATTTCTAGTATCGGGTTAGCAGGGATCTTTTCCAGTATTGCTTTCACATTCGTTGTGGCTCGTCTTACTGTTGAATGCCAGATGTGTTTCTGTAATAATGTTGAGTAGAGATTTAAGTAAGTGGTCTTGCTCATTGAGACGAGAGACATGAGCACGACACCTTGGATCGGGATCTATCAAGCTTTATGTATCGTTAGACGCCGAATGGGTATGAACCCCCTTATCCATTTTGCGAAGCTGCCGAAATTTCCATTCTTTCTTGGGCTGATTTGGCTCCATACTGTCCCCCATTCTCTCCACAGGTTTAGCCAACTCCAGATCGTGAGATTGCTCGTACAAAGAGCTTGAGTCAAGTAATACGGTCTCCAGAAACCGACTGTCCCGGTAGTGGGACCAAGGCCGTGCGTGGCTTCAGCGTCGTTTCTGACAGTTGACAGATGCCGCAGGGCAGATTGCAAAGCTTTCGGGCTAGAAAAGGACTCGAAATGAATCTCAGTGTTTGACTAGACTTGCTCGGTATTTTGTAGTTTGGCGAATCAATCCAAGTTGATGTTAGCATCTGCTACAACTGAACTGGACCTGTAAAATGCCAACATTGAAGGACAGCGCACCCTTGTAAACTCTATTAGAAGGATTGATGCAGCTCCCACAGACCTTCTTCTGTTCATTGCAGCATCACAACTGACTCGAGCTCGGATTCGGACATTTGGAATCGCCGCCAGAGAGGTCCTCGTATCCAATGTGAGCGCTTGGGGGATATCGGATTGGTCTCTGGCGTTCTCACCGCTCTGAGACCCCGGCTACTACATCTGGGAAGGGGACGGGTTTCGCTTATGGAAAGAAAATCCAAAACCGTTGGTCAAAGTCCACGTGTAAAGCTACCAGTTCGACATATCATTACTATCCATGTCACTATCCTCTCCCTAAATATCATGCCAACTCAAGGCAGTCGTATGGTCCGTCATTTTATTAGGCGTCCGCACGTATGTGGAAGACAGAAACTTCTGAAATTCTGTGGCTGAGCTTGTAACCCTGAGGTTGACAACGACATAACACTCGAAGTTGTGGAAACTAAGAAACTTTTGATCGAGGTTTGCAAAATACTCTTGAACTTTCCTATTTCAAATCACAGCATAGTCAGGCAGAATGATTAACGGAATTATGGATCATCAAAATTCAAGCTTGTGGTCGACGCATGATACTGCAAACGCTTGCGGAGTATAGATGTCTAATAAGGATGACATATATTCCAGCTCTTCTTTGCTTGATCTCTCCAATGAAAAATCCAAATGTTTGAGCATGTTATATGATCTATGGTTTGCTATAACTCCCTATGATGACATACATTTGGTCTAATCGACAGGTTAACTATCTCTTTGGAGAACGAGTAGCCAAGGTCACCGCTCTATTCATGTTTCTAGTTGGTGGAATTGGAGGTAAACACAGCAAATCATCCAGAGTTGAAATCGTCAAACTGGTCTATAAGTCTCATAGTGCTGCTAGGAAGAGCCTTTCTAGACGAGCACCTTCAGTATCCGCAACCTCGGTATACACCCTTGGACCGAAGTGAGGGTGGTAAGGATACGGACTGTTGGGGTATCACCAATATCAGCGTGTTATCAGGTAGAATTTCGTGACCTATTACTTACCCGTACTCTGGAGTGAATGTTATTTGGAAGTCTCTCCCACGAGTCTTGATAGCGTTCTGGACGATCTTTATCCAAAGTCTTTCAAAGAACTCCCTCTCCTCGGTGTAAACTGGGTTAGACGGGTCGGGACATTGGGATGACTGTGTCGTGCCGATACGAGCGTGGATGTGGTGGACCTGAGATATCATTGTCAACATGGCAAAGACTTTGTGTTTTGCGAGTGCGTAGAATGATTTGATGACTTACGTGGGGTATGACTTTCTCGAGAAGATCACGGTCTTCTTCGGAAACGTCTAGTAGGCGTTCCCCTACGACCACCCAGTGGGAAATATCGGCGGTGATGCGGAGGCTTCAGTATTGTTAGGAAATTGACTGGACGATTGGGTGAACGGGAGTGGTTGGGGCGTACTTTGGCACTCGATCCAGCACGTATTTAGCAACATACGGATGGTAGAGGGATCGGTTTCGGTGAGTCTCGTGGGTGACTCTTCCGTTAAATCCCAACTCGTCGTCAATCTTGAACGTTCCTTGGTAAAATTCAACTGATTCATCAGGTGTCCAGATGTCGCTGTTGGGTGTCACCGTCAGTCTACGGCCTGTCATCTGTAACACGCTTGACGTGGAAAAGCCTACCTTCCGGATTGCGCATTCACTTTCACGGGATTCAAGACTTGGGCACGTTCCAACTGCTTCCGGTAAAAGTCGAGGTGGTCTTTCGGTGTTAACCCAGGGGGTCTGGGCCCCTCGTATCCGGGCCACGAGGACATGATCCTATGAGGAATGTCAGCATAGATAACACACTGCCCATTTACCACAAATGACGCACTGGGCAATTAATTGGAGGCCATTGTCCTCAAGTAGCTTTCTGAGTCCGGGGAGGTCCTCGGTCTTGACAGCTCTGTAATCGATCTCCACTCCAGCTGTTGAAACGCGCCTGTTAGCCAGTGTCGATGTAGCTAAGCCAAACTCTTGGTCGTCACCTACTGTATCCCTTTGCTTTCAGCTCAGGAAACAACCCTCTCCAGGTTGCAAAGTTAGCACCCGGAGGTATGCCCCAAAGAGTTCGGAAACGAGTAATGTTCGTCATGATGTCAGCCTCCAAGAAGATTGTGGTGAACAGTGAGTAGGGATTGTCAGGACGGAGGAATCAATCACACAGATGGGAGAGGGGTGGCAGCTGAGCTTTTAAATTCGACTTCAACGTCTTCATTCTGGGGAAAGCCCCGATAGCTCCCCCACGATTCAATGCCCCGCGAAGGGATTGAGCTGTGTTTCCCATCTATAGCCAGCCAATTAGATCGTGGCAATTGGACGAAAAAGATGCAAGCGTGCCCCGAACATGGGCCGGGTCCCGCCGAGTCGGCGTCCGACCGAATTTGAGGCAGACTCATCGGCCGGATCATGTCAGAAACGGACATATTCGGCGAGTTCTTGCCTGATCAGCCACTTCCTACGACTCGTCAATGAGCCAATATCCACAAAAAGGCTGGAAAGCACGTGGAACGTCAAGAAATGGGACAATCAAATGGCATCATAGGTGCTCATCCCGCGGATTTAAGACGCACGACCCATTGGAGATTCCCGAAGAGGAAATTATCACCTCGGAATCCGGGGAACCAGAGAAAAGTGGGGTTTCAAGATGGTTTAAGATGCCAGTTCTAAGGATACGCACGATGAGGTGTTGTGATGGAAATTTTCTGTTCCTGGTTTTCTTCCTCGGTAGGTCACGGGATTCTCATTGGTCTGGCTGCTATTGTGAGATGTATCAGTCACTAAATTTGCTCGGAAACAAACGCTACAGTCTGGTTCGTCCATCGGAACTTAGAGGCATTCTCGGATCGCTGGCCAGCCATGAAATGCAGAGACCCAATGGAATACTTGATTCAACTATCAACCACTGAAACATCTACCAACAAGAGATAACAATCTACCTTCGCCCTTACCGTACGGGTAGGTTCTTTCCATGATCACAAATACCCAGAAAGCACAGTAACACCCCCATTCTCATCGTCAGTCTCCTCAGGGTCAATCTCACCAACCATACTGAAACCGTCATCATCGTCCACTGTTGGGTACGTACCATTCCGAGACTGTGATCTGAGCAGAATACGAGGCACTCGCGAGGGAGCGTCGCCCAGGCTGATGGAGTCGTCATTGATGTACTTGTAGTACACCGGTACGGTGGAATGGGTGTCGGAATCGTGCTTCTTGCCACGGGGAGACTTCTTCTCCAGCGTGTCCTTAGCGTCGTCTCGAACACTATCAATGATCTTGCGCAGAAGTTCCAAACTTCTCGCATCAGAAACAGTAGTGTCGTTGTTCTCGAACATACCCGGGAGTCGCCAGTTGGGGTAGAGATTGAAGTGCGTATCTCTGACCGGTACCTTGTTTGGGTGTGAGGTGAAGTAGTAATGACACAGTCTGCAAGTTGGTTTGCTTCCACCGATGTACTCCCAGCCGTTCCAGTAGTCCCAGCACTCTTCTTCGGCATGACGAAGGAGGTAGTCATGGACAAGTATCTCGGCGTGTACATAAGGCCTGAAAGTTCTCTTGCAGAGCTGTATCCGGATGAATTCGTCAAGGCCGAGCTTTTGCATGTCTGCCGCATTCGCGAGAAGCGCTTGCATGTCTTCATCGTCTGAGGCCATGTTGCGAATGATGGATGCGGCCGTAACCAAAGACGATTTCGGAATAGGCTTCAGAATTCGATCACTCGATGGCACCGCAATTACTTTGAAGTCTTTGAACATCGATTTGAAGCGGTCACTGGCTCCTACGATGACTTCCGCAGCTTGGCGGAACGACAAGAGACGTCCGAGATAGTGACGGAGCTCGCACCAGGCCTCAGAGCTGGTGAGGTCTCCGTCTTTGGCGTTGTCTCTGATGGCCTTATCCATCGAGGTGTTCTTGATTGCGAGAATAGCCTTGATAAGCTTCTCACAGTCGCTCAAGACTGTTGCTCCTGAATCAGTCCATGTTCCAACTGCGGTAGACTAAACATGAGTGAATACTCACACTTATCCTGCAGTGAGGAGGATGCAATGTCTTGCGGAAACTCAGCTTTTTCCTTGAGAAGTCGGAGCTCGCCAGTGACTTCATCCAGTCTCTTGAGCTCAGAAGAAGAGGCTTTGATGCAGGAATCATCAGCAAACATTGATCTCAACATGTCATGTTGAAACTTGAGATGGACTATTCTTACTCTGTGATCTCTGTCGTCTGTAACTGTCTTTGATGCAATCTTTAAGGCTCTTCGATAGCTGTTCCAGATACGCCTGAACACGAGGAAGGTTGAAGAGAAGAATTCTCCACAACACCCGCTTCGTGAGAGGCTTTTCCTTGAGTTTCTCTGGGTTCTCTCCGACAAACTCAACAAGGTTCTGAACGAACTCCTGAGCTTCGATGAGATCATTGTGGTTCCTCGCATTGGACCCAAAGACGAACTTAGGGCCATCGCGGCCCTTGAGAATAGCGAACGAGGTGACGGTATCTCCTCCCCGGCGATTGTCGCAAACCTGAGAGAGCTTGTCGACAAAAGACTGAAACGCCTGTCTTTGGGTCTCAAGATTGTTCTTGGGCTTTGCTGTTGGTTCGCTGAACAAAATGCGGTGGCTCCGACATGATTCTTTGAGAGCATGCTCGAGTATGATGGGCTCATAGAGGAGCTGTTTGTGATTTGGTACAGATGTTGCAGGCATTTCGTGTCGAGTCATAATTGCCTGGTGTTCTAAAGATCAGAGTGGAAAGGCTTGAGCCAACAGAGCTTCATCACAATTGAAGCGGAAAATCCAAGTCGTGCTGTTGAAACCCAAGTAAATATATCAATTGGGTTGAGGGCGTGGACAGTAATTCGTGGCTTTAAATACGGACGCCTGGATTTCGCGAGGCTTTCCGGGCCGCCTCGTCCATCGAGCTGTGTTCAAGTCCTCCATCCCCGCCTGTATTGCAGGTAACATTGTAGATCGTCTACCGTTATCTCGAACTTTTTCCACTTCCACCTACGTCAGGTCATGATACCAACGATGTGCACTTCCACGAGTATCGGTATGCTTCGTTGGACGCATTGCGATGTAGGAGGGACACTTAAAGAAACCAATGAAACAAAACCGGTGACGGCGTGGCCTGCCATTAGGGGCTGGGCATCAGACTGGCGCCAGAATTACGTGCATTTCGCACTTTCAATGCAGCCAGCGGGCAGCCAGACTCGGGCCTCAATGCAGCATTACCGCAGGAATCTGTATGCCACTGCCAACCAACGCCGCTGAAACCTGATCTACATGGTATCTTTCAACCAACCTGCCGTTCCATTGGAAGCCGAGTGGTGTCGCCGTCATTAATTCGCCTGATGTATCTGTCGGCAGATTGTTAGGCCCATCCAACACGCGGTTCACCGCCTACAATCACAAAATTACAATTTGGTTCCCTCCAACATGATGCAGGCCAGAACCTTCACTGGCAAACCACATCACTTGAAGTATTGTAGGGCGGCAAAGATGCTGGGGATTGGGTCATTGGAGTGCGACTCAGGGGCAAAGCACTTGGACCCTCGTCTTCTACGGAGGGTCGAGCAGATTATGGGGGTGTTGGAACTGGCCCGACTTGAGAGCTGATCAGGTTTTCTCAATCTATCACCTTTCAAATCGATGCGACTGTGTGTGGTAGCACCATCTACTTCAGTATTGATCAAGATCTAGATGCCGACACCCATCACAACCAGAACACGGCCTCCTACACTCAAGTTACAGCCAGTTGCAACTCCCGATGTAAGTTTGACCTCTCTATCGCAGCTCTTTCGGCTTCAGTAGAAGCACTCATTGACGTCTGTCAGGCTGCAGTCATGATTCCCCGCGCGTTTCGGGATGGCGCGCAAGATCCCACACTATTGGAAACAGGGGACGAAGAAACCCTTTCTGTCGCGAACGATTGGCTCGAGAACCATGGAATCAGCCCGTATGGCTACCTTGACGGATCACAGGACAATGGGACCGTGAATCCAACCCTCTTACATATACAGGATGGTGTCGTGGGAACCCCTTTTGAGATGGCAGCGTCACCGCGTCCATAGATGTCGGTCGATGCCCCATCCACAAATGCCGTTGGTTTTCTAGGTGATAGGGAGAACAATGATTTTCCAGCAGTAACGGAAAGCCCATCCACCGAAGACTTAGATCAGGGTTTCCTTTGGCACTCCATCTCTCCTGTTGCACATGCTCAACCAGAACAAGTTGTAGCTCTCCCTGCTGGCAGCGCCGAGACAGTCAATCGTTCTACGAGTCGGAAGAAAGGACGTGTTTCGTGTTGTCACTGCGGCGACTGGTTTCCTAGAAACACTGAGCTGAAGTAAGTGAACCCTCTCTGCTTTATTTTCTGTCACGCTCTTACGCTCAGTCGGCTAATGTATATACTCCAGCAAACATATCAAGCGATATCATGAGCGTACTATTTCGTGTCCGGTTGGCTGTCTTGGTCTTCTGTTCCCATACAAGAAGGATATGTATCGCCATGTTCGGGTCTCTCATCAGCGCTACGCAGCAGACCCAACAAACAACATTCCATTTGATGGAGGAGAATGTCCTTACGGAGGGTGTACAAAGTTCTGCACGCGGCGAGACAATCTTAGGAGGCATATCAAGGAGAAACATCTCAGCATGAAAAGGTCCTGATCAGATAGTCACAAATCATCATGGTAGCTGTTTCCTTTCTATTCTCTGCTATGGCACCGTAGAGCCTAAAACAATCGGATGTGAAACCCCAAATCAGCTCGGAATAACATCAATTCTTGGCGGGTCGTTGATCAATGGCTCAGGGGTGGCTGAGACATCAGCAGCTCTGACCAAATCTTACGTTGTATTACGCTTGGCAATGTCAGATTAAACGACCCCCTCTCTTCCTCGACGAGATCTTAAAACAGTTGATAATCGGCAGTCACCGCCATCTATCAGCAACGAAACCAGTTCGGATATTGTTAATACTCGTCAACGCGGGGCATCCTTACCTTAGATCGCGATGCCTAGGATGCAGGGCATTCTTCATTCCCGATCCTTGCACGAGCATTGCATCAATCTTCCACCGATAGAAGATATTGCAAACCCAGACATCAGTGGGATTGGGGTAAGCAGCCAGACCATTGCCCGGTATCACCGCTGTAGCAAAACTAATACCTTAAAGGTGACGATCGGCTTCGTGGGGACTGGATTCTTGATACTCGTCCTTCTGATTATTTACTTCGTCTTCGCACATGATCCTAAGCTTGATCCGCTTCGGGCTTTAGACAGACCCAACCAGAAAGCCGACTGCCCCAATGCTGTCGATGTGGCTTTCCTGACGAGGCTTCGATGGTGTCTCGCATTCATCGGTCTCGATTTTCGGCACGTGCAAGATAAGAACCACAGCAAGAAAATTCAAAGAATATTCAACAAGGTCTGCAGAAATCCGGTGGTAGTTTCAAACAAGTATTTTGCTCATTTTGTTAGTGTGTTATTACCATGAGCGATGTTCAAATCGTCACGGGACTTGCGATTCTGATCAGCGCGTTCCATGGCTTAATGTACTCTCTTTCAGCCTATCACTGGCAAATTATCATTTACACCGCGTGAGTTTGCATCGCGTTTCAACATCATATCTTACTGTGCCATTGCTGACTTCGGCCCTCAATGTACTCAGGTGGTTCTCAACAGTAACCCACTTGGCCGCCCTTTCATACCTACGAAACTTCTACTTCAACCACATGTCAAGATGCATATGGAGACTCGTACTCATGGCTTGTGTCGTAATCATGCTTCTAGCCGCACTGATAATCGGCATGCCCGGCAAGGGTCGCGAGTCGTCACCCAAAAACACGGATTTTTCCACGACCCAAACAACGTACGCCATATGCTATTGGGATACAGAGAGAAAAGACTGCGTCAGAACTGAGCGTGAGGGAGCTGAAGACGGATGGACTTGTAGAAGCGGAGGAGGCGGTAGAATGGCCGAAACGGTCTTCTCTGCCTGGTTCGTCGTCTTTGGTTTCCTGTCCCGCGCCGTCAAGATGAGCAAGGGATTCTCGAACTTCCTCCGTGCTCGTCGGAGAAACTCAAGAGAGCAACTCAGTCAGCTATTCCAATGCCAGAGCGCATGGATGACCCGCGGACTGAAGTCTAGGCTTTACGGTTTATTGATTGTTTGGCCGTTGCTTTCGGTTAGGCTGTTCGGACGCGTATATCTGGAATTATTCACATCATTCCTGTCTGAGGTGAGTATCAGACCCAAATCTGATTCCAGATTTAGTGACAAAAGTTACATAGGTCTTCTGGATAATGGTCACCGCGGCTTGGGGATTCAATCGGCTTTGGGATTCCCGAAAAGATGCCCCCGAACAAGAAGATGAGTGGACCTTTGGACAAGTTGCCGCCGTTGTGCTCTTCGCCAGCCCTGTACTTGTGGTAGTTGAGGACTTTTCTAGAATATGTAAGTTTTCCACCATCTCGTGAAAGAGTCGAAGCGCATGTCATCTCATACTTGGTGGTTCTAGACCGATTCTTCCGTCAATGCTTCGATACGAGTCACCGGCAAAATATGAAACTTCAACAGCAAGATAGCCCCACGCAAGATCTCGTTTCGGTTCTCTTGGACCCTTCACTTTTCTGGTCAATGCAAACAGCCGGGGTGGTCGTGATCAACCAGGTCTTATTCAATATTGCTCTGGTGGTCATCCTATTCATTCTTAAGCCAGATCAGAATGACAAGTTCGAAAACCGGCTTATATACCTTTCTTTGTACTACGGTGTCTACCAGCCTGCTCTCTGCATTGCCTTACTGCTGATAGGGTTGACTGTGGAGGGCCACTCGTTGCAATGGTTGCAATGGCTGCAAGGGAGGCGCACATTCTGGACCGGTCTGGTTTCATCATTATCGTTGTTCTCAGCGTCTACTTGGTTTCTTTGCACAATGATCTTCAAAACATCGTTTAAGTGGGAGGCTTTTGACATTAGGAGGCTTGTTCTTGTCATCTTTATGCCTCTCATTGTTTTGTACTCTACGTACGTGTGTCTTCATTTGAGTGGCTGGCGCAAGCCGAGTTTCAATTCCGAACGTTGCGGAAATAGGTCAGATGTTGGATTAGAAGGCTAGCAAATCATGACATTTGAGGTTTCATACCTGTGGACGTCCTTGACTGCCGTTTTAAAACCGAAAGAGATCGATTTGGCCACTGTGGATGATGCTGCAGTGTTTCTGGTGTCAATGGTGTAAAACGTAGACTTAGCCTGGAGGACGTGAAAACAGGGGTAGTCCAGCGGAAATATAACAGTCCACTATCTCGAAAAGGACATGAGGTACTTGGTCTGCCCACTGTAGCTGTCAAACGCATGATGACAGGAAGGTCTTCCTGTAAGGTAGCGCTCCATCGAGAAGCAATGTATCTTCCAGCTGGACGCATGACTTGGGTCAACTGGACCAGGCCAACATGCCGTACACCAACCGAGCATATCTGATAGGGCAATACCAGTCAGCAGCACGTCGTCCATTCGTTCGTGTAGTACCCCAGAGACTTGAAGGTGTCATCAGCAGCCCACAAGAGCCCCATGTACGATGGCATGACAGTGGCGTGCGGGAGCCTTTTAGGGAACTACGGAGGATAAGGTTGTGAACATGAGGAGGTTGTTTCCCCGGATCGACAGACCCCTTGCAAGGATCGCATAGCGGTTTCTTCTGGGCAAGATGGCGAGACGTAAGCCGTTCGGGTTGGATAGGGACATAAATATGAAGGTTGACCCCCCTCATATTGGAGGTTTGCACGACATTGGCATCGACAATCAGCACTCGAATCCTGAATTATACAACAGCTGCCACTCATCCTGACAGCAGCGACAGGGCAGTTCCATACGATACGAATCCTTTCATACCGAAAATGAGACGGGGCTCATGTTGAATGGACCTAGCCCATTGACCGGATTCAGTACGCCCCAGGATCGTATGAGAGTGAACGGTGAAGTCGGGATTTATGACAGACACGAGAGACTCGGCACACACGAGAAAGACATACGGAACATGAGAAGACAGGAGTCGACCTAGGTTCTCAACTTCTCAACAGAAAAAAAGGGGGTTATGGGGCAGTACAAGACCAACACGAGGGACCGCAAAGTTTGTCGTACCACATGACAGAAAGCTCGGTCTCGAACAAGGAGACTTGCAGAGATGAAAATGAGGTGAGAAATCAGCGGTAAGTCTTTGAGGGTGAGCATGACCCAAGATATTTTTCCAGTGTCCCTTCCTGCCGAAAAGATCGTTGCTGCCCCCACTGGCTTTGAAGCCCCGGATCGCGGGCCCCACTGGAACCCAGCTATCGGATCAAATGGGAGGTTCCTATTGGAGCGGGTAAAATGCTGGCTAAATAGACGCAGGACGCTAAGGTCGGGCCAGTGCCGTCCAGTTGCGTTGCGCACCTATCACCCGGGGGCTTCAGCGGGACCGGTGCCCCTCCCTCCCGCGGGGTTCCTTCCCCCGGCGGTCACAGCTGTGAGCTCACGCTGTTGCTATGACGCGCCCCTCTAAAAAGTTCACGATACGGGCAAGAACGTGTTAGGTACCTAGGTAGGGAAAGAGCTCTCTGGCAGCTTCCTCCTTGCTTCTTTCCTTATTTCAATATTGTTCAAAATTTTTATTTATTTTTTCTAGTAACTGCACCCCGCTTACCTGCATCGCCGACAGCTCTTTCCCCGGTCGACAGAGAAGAGTCTCGACCGGGCGAATGCCTGCTCAACATGGCAAAGTCGGAGCAATGGCAGGGAGAAAGGTTCAGCCAATGGATAATATCGAGGAAAATTGTCATGGTGACCAAAGCTTCAGACGCGCCGCAATGAGGGGCACTTCAACGACCACCACCACCACCACCACCACCGACTTATCAGTTTCTTCTTTTTCTGATCCCTTCTCTGCCACCGTCTCGCATCCCTACAGATTCCCCATTTCTCTCCCAATCTTTTCGTCCACTTCCCCCCAATCCCCGTCGGCCATCTGCTTGGTGCGGGTCAAGACAGCTGTCATCCGTACTTACGTAGGTAGCTATTTAATCCATTGCGCGCAAGCCCACGATCTTAAGAGCTTTGCCTTGCCACTTGCTCCTCTCCTTCTTCCTCTTCACTCATATTTCTCTCCTCTGTGCTTCCTCTGCGATACCCCTCGGAATACTCAGCTTGCGCAAGCCTACGAAAACTGCACGTTCTAATAAGCTTCTCCCCTCGGTGAAACGACCCCCGACCGCAAAAGTCAGATCTCCAACTCCTCTCTCCAACACCAACAACCCGCAAACCATCATCATGGCCGGCATCGAAGGCAAGAGCGTACGTTCTATCCGGCACGATACCACCACTCACGGAACAGAAGCTGACCGTCGCAGAACCTCTCTTTCATCCTCAACAAGCCCCACGACGTCGAATTCGCCGAGCGCCCCATTCCCAAGCTCTCCGACCCCAACGATGTTCTCGTCGCCGTCAACTACACTGGCATCTGCGGTTCTGATGTCCACTACTGGGTCCACGGTGCCATCGGCCACTTCGTCGTCAAGGACCCCATGGTCCTCGGCCACGAGTCCGCTGGTACCGTCGTCCAGGTTGGTGATGCCGTGAAGACCCTCAAGACCGGTGACCGCGTCGCCCTCGAGCCCGGATACCCTTGCCGCCGCTGCGGAGACTGCCTTGCTGGCCACTACAACCTCTGCCACGAGATGCGCTTCGCCGCCACTCCTCCCTACGACGGCACCCTCACCGGCTTCTGGAAGGCCCCCTTCGACTTCTGCTACAAGCTTCCCGAGACCGTCTCCCTCCAGGAGGGTGCTCTGATTGAGCCTCTCGCCGTTGCCGTCCACATCACCAAGCAGGCCCAGGTCACCCCTGGCGCCAGCGTCGTCGTTATGGGCGCTGGCCCCGTCGGCCTGCTCTGCGCCGCTGTCGCAAAGGCCTTCGGTGCTACCAAGGTCGTCAGCGTCGACATTGTCCAGTCCAAGCTCGACTTCGCCAAGGACCTTGCTTCCACCCACACCTACCTCTCCCAGCGCGTCTCGGCCGAGGAGAACGCCAAGAACCTGATCAAGCAATGCGACCTCGGTCCCGGAGCTGACGTCGTCATTGACGCCAGCGGTGCCGAGCCCTCTATCCAGACTTCCCTGCACGTCGTCAGGATGGGCGGCACCTACGTCCAGGGTGGCATGGGCAAGGCCGACATCAACTTCCCCATCATGGCCATGTGCCTCAAGGAGGTCACTGCCAAGGGCAGCTTCCGTTACGGCCCTGGTGACTACAAGCTTGCCATTGACCTCGTCGCCAACGGCAGCGTCAACGTCAAGAAGCTCGTCACCGGCATCGTCAGCTTCAAGCAGGCCGAGGAGGCCTTCAAGAAGGTCCAGGAGGGTCAAGTCATCAAGATCCTCATTGCCGGCCCCAACGAGAAGGTCGAGAGCGAGATCAGCACCTCTGTCGATCCCAAGAAGGTCGCCGAGAACGGCAAGCAGGGCGGATGCTGCTGAAGATCAGTCCACACCACAATCAAAAGCGAAGTTGGCGAGTAGGCGTATCGGGCGGTTGGCGATTTGTTTCACGGCGCATGCAGCATGTACGGTTTGGCGGGGACATGTGTATTGGTATATGATCTGAATGAACATCTATTGTTATCTCACTCCGACTCCGCAAGCAACGACCAGTACCCATCCTCATCCGTTACCCCAGGCTCGTGGTTGGGCATGGTACGACAATCCACGCCCGGCTGGCTAGTGTCGGCTGGTGAAACGCTTAACGGCAAAGATTATCGGCCGGCAAACGGAGCATGCCAAGTCGTGAGGCTTCAACGGGTGTTATTGCTGGTAGGTGGACTCATACGGTCACTTGCTCGCTGGATGGCAGCATGATCAGGTATCTACCATGAAACCCATTTCCTCGTGCTCATTAGCGCCAACACGTCCAGAAAGAAATGAAAAGCTGCGCAGGAATCCGCCCACCCGTTCAGCTGAAGACGCCACAGCAGACTAACGACCACAAGCATCACCTCCAGCCCCCGAACCGGCCTAGCCCGGCGCCCCGGTCTCCACTCATTCCGCCCTCTGCCCCCGGTCCCCGCGGAATCAATGTCTGATATTCCGCTACGCAGTCGCTTCAGGCTGCCATCCCAAGACACGACATCGCCAGTCACAGCGCAACGTCAATGCCACGAACGAGTCATCGCCGCAACATCTACCGCGTGCGTGTCCCACAAAGAGACCTGCCGGCATCGCAGCCCTGCCAAGACAACCCGTTCAACACCATGCAGGAGCTGAACCCCTCTCCCCTGGCCGCTTTGAGCTCGATATGTCCACAGTTAGGCATTTTTACCATACGAACCCGAGAAACAAGACTCTTCTGCCCGCGAATCCCTGAGACTTGAGCAAGGCTCTGGGATCGCAAGCGGCTAGAAAGGACCCTGCAGAAGGGCGTCCTCGAGAGTTGACAACGGATGAGGGTGGCTTCATTGGGCGTCGACAGATGAGATGGCGTTTTCTCCTACCTTGACTCGTCGTAGAATCTCTTCTCACATTCTTACCGTGGTCTCAGCCCATAAGTATGCCCATGCCGCCCAGCCATGGCGCCCTGACATCTCACGACCTTCAGTTTCCCTTAGCATCTTGGCTGTGATCCTTTTGCGGTCCTACTTCAGACCCTCACGGAGCTGTGTGAACGCCAATATCTTGTCAGAGACATTCTTCAACAGCCATCACGATGGATAACACACAACAGCAGCCTTACGTCCAGCCTCAGGCGGCGCCGCAACAGCAGCAGCAGCAACAACACCAGCCGCAGCATCATATGACAGCCCCATCCTCCGCCACCGAAAACACCATAATCACAACCCCAGTATGGCTCATGGTCATCCGCGGCTTCCAATTCTTCCTTGCCATCATCATCCTTGGCCTCTCCGCTGCCATCATTCACTGGGTCTACATGGACGAGCTCGGCCTGTCCCTGGCCATGGTATGCCTGCTCATCCTGGGAAACACAGGTCACCAACTAACACCCACAAGTCCCTCTTCACATGGATCATAGTCCTCTACGCCGTCCTCACCGAGAAGATTCCCGGCCTGCGCAAGGCGTATCACGTCTACGCCGTCCTCGCCCTCGACCTCTTCCTGTGCATCCTCTGGCTCAGCACCATGGGCGCCACCGCCGCCCGCCGCTCGACCTTCACGGTCTCCGTCACGGCCTCGTGCTCCTCGGACGGCTCGACGGTCAACTCCGGCCGCTGCACCATCCTCAAGCGGTACATCGTCATGGGACAGGGCGCCTTGGCCATGTTCTCCGCCATTGCCGGGCTGTCCGCGCTGCAGCTGATCCTCTTCCTGGTGACGTTCATCTGGACGCTCGTAACGTTCCTGAAATGGCGCAAGACCAACGCTCCCATCGCGGCTGCTGGTGCAAGCCAGGGCGAGATCCAGATGGAGACAAAGCAGCCTTTGTATTCTCAGTCGACGTACAGCCAGCAGCAGCAGGTTCCCCAGCAGCAGCAGCAACAGCAGCAACAACACGTCCCTCAGGAGCAGCAGCCGTACTACCCGCCTCAAGCTCCCCAGCAGCAATACCAGCAACAGCCGCCTCAGCAGTATCAAGAGATGCCGGCTGGGCAGCAGTACCAGCAGCCCAACACCCAGGCGTATGAGCAGCAGAACCATCTCCATCAACAGCAGCAACACCCTCAAGCTCCGTATCACCCGTCTCCTGTCTCGGCGCCGGGTTCGCCGCCTCCTCAGGAAGGGTACAACTACCCTCCCCAGGAGCTTCGTTAAACGTTTACATCTAGCTTAATGAAAAGAGTTGTGATACGGGGGTAATGCGGTCATGTCATTAGGACACAGGACGAACGTTATGGATATTAATGTTTGATTAATCAATGATACCTCGACTTTTCTCGTTCAATCGTCTCTTCCTATCCTGTGACTCAGTTGAGCATGCCCAAATATCTCGTCTCAATGACAGTGCCATCATTTGCCCCCTTGACCCCGATCTCGACAACCTCCCCGGGAACAACATCAACCAGGTTATCCGCAAACACGACCCCATCATCCTCACATTCCAACGCGACACCCTTGACAGGAACCTCTGCACTGACCTTGACCACCCCACCGGCCAGCTCAGCCTTCAACTCCTTCGGCTTCTGCAGGTGCAGGTACTTCAACGGCTCCGGCCAGTTGACGTACCTCGCGATCTGCTTACCATCTCTCACGAGGTACGCCGCGACGACGGTCCTAGCCTCGTCGCCCTTCTCCCTCGCGGGGACTTCAAACGCCGCAATCTCAGTCGACCTGTTCTCCGGAAGCAAGAACCCGCTGTGCACCGTCTCCGCGTACGTCTCCTCGCCCGTCTCGACATCCCACGCCTTCACAACACAATCCACCGTCAAGTCCTCCAGCATCAGGTTCGACCCCCAGATCTCGACCCGGTGCTTCACCTCGACGTCCACGCGCGTGTACTTGTCCCTCGCGTGCTTGTGCTCCGTCCTCGTGATCCCGATCGAGACGGGCGCCATCTCGCGCTTGACGGTGTAGTACGCGTGCTTCGGCCGGAGGTAGTAGTCGCAGATGGCCCACGACGTGACGGGCCAGCAGTCGTTGATCTGCCACACGAGCGCGCCGCCGCAGTACTCCCGCCCGGGGCCCTTCCACTGCCTCTTCCACAGGCGGTAGGCCGAGGCCAGGCACTCGGCCTGCATGAGCTGCGTGCAGTAGACGAAGTGCTCGAGCGGGTCGGGCGCGTAGCGGAAGTTCTCGACGAGGTAGAGCGCGATGCGGCGCTCGTGGCCGTCGGCCTTGTTGTGGAAGTCGATGGTGGACGACTGCGGGTAGCGGTCCGGGTCGTCTTTGCCCCTCGGGAGGAACGCGTCGATGGTCTTGACCGAGGGGAACGCCTCCATGCCGAACTCGGAGACGAAGCGGCCGACGAGCTTGTCGAAGTTCTGGTACTTCTCCTGCGTGCCGTGCCAGACGTTCCACTGGTGCAGGTCGCCGACGGTCGGGTCGCGGGTGTCCTCGCCGGACCAGGGGGAGCCGAAGTGGTAGTAGACGTCCGGCGTGAGGTCCTTGCAGGCGTCGACGAGGATCTTCTCGTAGATGTAGCGCGCGGGGAAGTCCGTCTTCAACCAGCTCTCCTCGTCCTTGTTGGCGAGGTCGTAGGTGAGCTTCTCGCTCTCGGCGTACTGGTAGTCCTCGTTGTTGCCGACCCAGATGACGATGGACGGGTGGTGGCGGAGCATCTTGACGTTCTCCCTGGCCTCCCTGTCGATGGACTTGAGGAGGTCGGGCCAGGTCGGGTAGTTGCCGCAGCCGAACATGAAGTCCTGCCACACGAGGATGCCGTACTCGTCGCAGGCGTCGTAGAAGGCCTGTTCCTCGTAGATGCCGCCGCCCCAGACGCGGACCATGAACTGGTTCCCGTCGGCGAGGAGGCGGATCCAGTCGTAGTAGCGCTCCTTGGTGATGCGGGGGATGAAGTTGTCGGCGGGGATCCAGTCGCTGCCGCCGCAGAAGATGGGGACGTTGTTGACCTCGAAGAAGAAGGAGGTCCCGGGCTGGTCTTTGACGGGGCGCTGGACGAGCTGGGCCTTGCGGAGACCGATCTTCTTGGAGAGCGTGTCGACTTCCGAGTCTCCGGAGACGAGGGTCGCGGTGACTGTGTACAGAGGCTGCTTGCCGTATCGGACGGGGTACCAAAGCGCCGGGTCTTGGATGTGAAAGGTCGCGGCGACGTCGGAGTCGGCTTCTGCTGCTACGGTCTCGGAGGCGACGGATTTGCCGTCGAGAGAGACGTCGAAGCGGACCCTGGACGCCTTTCCCTCGATCGCGGCGTGGGCGACGACCTTGGCGCTCTTCAAAGAGTCGTCGACGGTAGTCTGGAAGTAGAGGTCGGAAAGACGGGATTCGTAGATTTCGAGGTTGATGGGTCGCCAAGGACCGCAGGTGAGTAGCGTCGGGCCCCAATCCCAGCCCTGAGAGTGTTAGTGAGAGAGAGAGATGAAGGAGACACGATTGAATACACACCCAGTGGTATTGAGCTTTGCGGACGGCCAATCTCGAGTTGTCGCCGTTCCAGCAGCCCCATTTGTGATCGGGATACTTCTCCACGAGCTTCCAGCCCCGAAGGTAGGCGCTGTCGAAGGTGATCTCGAGCTCATTGTCCCCATCCTTGTTCAGCACCGACGTGACGTCGACCCGCTCCGGAGTGAACATGTTGTCTGTCTCGAGGATGGTCTTGCCGTTAAGCACGACAGTCGCGAACGTATCGAGACCATCGAAAGCCAGCACCGCCTTGGCGTCGTCCGGTACGGTCTCGGAGGCAAAGGTGGTCTTGTACAGCCATTGCGCCTCGCCGATCCACTGCACGTCGAGCTCGTTCTTGCCGATGAAGGGGTCGGGGATGACGCCGTGGTGGATGAGGTCTAGATGGACGTTGGTCGGGAACTGGCTGACGGCGAGGAGCTTGCTGTCTTCCTTATCGGCCTGTCTGAACTGCCAGTTCTTGTCGATCGGGATCACCGTTCGGGGAGACATGGTGCTTCGCGGTGTGTTAGCTGCTGTTGAGCCGTACGGGAGGCTTGCGTGGAGGCGCATTGAGAGGGCAATTAGGGAGGTGCGCTTGCCAATTGAAGGCGAAGGAATCACGAAAACAACATACGAGTTGGGGGAGTATGTCGGCTTAAGACTGCGAGTGTGACGAGATGATGTCTCGTGTCCAGCACCCTGCGAGCGTGGTGCCCCGCGGTGGATGGCGGGGTTCTGAGACTGGGGTGTTTTCTGGGGTGAGGGGCAGGCCTCAGCGGTTGTTTGATGAGATGAAGGACAGAGCTCGAACCCGGACAATGACGATGAAGATGATTTTAGTTAAAACAAATGAGCAAGACGTCAGTTGTCTGTCTGCGAGCTAATGGAATATGAACATGAATTGACTTGATCTCTAAAACAGAGCTAACGGCGGGAGGTGTGCTGAGTTCAAATACTCATGAGCACTCCACCTCATCACCTCATACAGCTCTCTTCATACCTACCAAGTGAGCTGCCCAGGATGCAGGATCAGGATCAGCACCTAAGTCAGGGATCAGGAACCATTTCTCAGTCTGAACGACGGGACGACATCCGCCGAGATGCATCTCCGTACCTCGATGCAGGTTGCCTGACACCGACACTAGAATAATGTTCCTTCTCCACACCATCTCCTCGGCGAGTTGTTCATTTCTCGGAGAATGAGGGACGCCTCTTTTCTCCAACTCAAGCCTGGAGGCCAGTCCTTGGATCATGCAGCTTATGGACAGGCGGTAATGACGAGTAGGCTGAAGGATGAGAGGCCGAAGCGAACCTCGGGCCTCAACCTCACTCAATATTGAAGAGGCCCTGCAGTTCCTTCATTCTCTGAATCGAGGCCTAAAGGCATTTCGGCATCTCATCCCATTCGAAAACCAACGTCTTGGGTCCAAAAGTCTCACCACTCGGGAATATAAATCACCACTTCGAGTGGAGAGCTCTCTAGTTACCCCAAATACCTTCCCCAAACCCCCCTGGCCTGCCACACCTCGGTGGGGTTCTGGCACGGAGGGAGGCCTTCCGTTTTCCTCTTCGGGGTTGGGCTCGTCTTGTCTCCGATGCCATCGCATCCTCTCGACGCCGAGGATAGCCTCATGCCAACTTACACCGAAGTTCCCTACGTCAAGCCAGCTTGTCACCAACCTCGAGACTGACAAATTGCTACGTCCTATGTTGGATTTGTGGTACCACTCTGCATCTCGTTGCTCCGGTCTTGAGGTTGTGGATCTCGACATCAACCACTGAGGCACTGGCATTCCCGACCATTCACATGAAAAGAACCAGAATCTGTCGTCGCCTTGTTTCTTTCACGTTGGAAGTCGATCCTCCGTCTTCCTACATATCCAGATGAGTTCAGTCGCATGATATCTATTCGTTGCAAGTTGAACGACTGCAGCACATCCAAGGTTCACCTGTTTCGTCCCTTTACAGATGGTGAAGGTGTCATTAATGTATGTAGCTGTAAGCAAGTGTATGTGTACGGCCAGGCCCGACCTGGGGAACGAGGTATCTATCCCGGAACGCCGACCCGACTCGACATGTGAAGCGAACCTCCACTGTCGTCAGGCAAACCAGATCCCCAAAGCATCTCCTCCGACCCTTGTCCGCTCTGGCATCAGTAACACAATTTCCCATCAACTCCTCGCAAACTCCAAGCCCGCAGCAATAACAAAAGAAAACATGTCCATACGAAGCCTGCGCCTTGACTTGCAGCAGACGCCTGTTGTTTCCCACCTCTTCCCTGTCGGTGTCGACATTAACAGCAGTTCCTTCCCCTTCGTCTATTGGATAACGTGAATACTTCTTCCCAGTCGCGCAGGCCCCAGTTTGCGCCGCTTCTTGTGTTCCGTCGACCCCTCCGTCTCCGGACAGAGCCCGCTTCGTCGAGCGTCGCGCCGGTCATCGAACTCTTAATGCTCGCGCCGTCGCTGGCGCCCGCGCCCCAGCCTCCGCCGTAACCGTCGCCGTACTGGATGCCGCTCATCGGGTCGTCCGGGTCGATTTCGCCCAGCTCGATCTTGGTGAGGATCGTCCGCGCAAGCTTCGCAAAGATCTCGTCCACGTTCTCGCCGTTGAAGGCGCTCGCCTCCATCACCACGGGTATCCCCACTTTGCTCGCCCACTGGTTCGCATCCGAGTTGCTGACCTCGCGGCCCTCGGGGGCCTCCGTCGCCTTTTGTTGCGTGCCGAGTGACGGCAAGCTGGTGCCGGCCGAGCCGTTTGTGAAGTAGGACATGGAGCCGACGCTGCTCGGCGTTGGCGGGGGGAGGCTCGTATCGATGAGGGGATCGGAGGCGAGGTCGAGTTTGTTTCCGACGAGGAGGCAGGAGAGGTTCGGCGATGCCAAGGCGCGGGCATCGTTAAGGAATGGTTGCAGGTTGCGGAAGCTGGTATGGGATGTGACGTCGTAAACGAAGATGGCGCCGGCAGCGCCTCGGTAATAGGATCGCGAGACGGAGCGGAAGCGCTCAGTGCCGGCAGTGTCCCAGAGCTAGATTCAACCATCATTAGCATCTCCGTCCTTACATATATAATAGAAGAAGCCATAGGCAGCGCACCTGCAACTTGATCCGTTTCCGCCGATTTCCGGTGCCGACTTTGATGATCTTGCTCGCGAACTCGACACCGATGGTCTGGGACGATAAGACGCGCCACTCATTCTTGACGAAGCGGTGTAACAGACAGGATCTGTGTTGGGGAAACCATCGTCAGCCATGTCTCGAACCCTTGGGGTATCTTAACCGGAGTTGCTCGCGTGCCCTCTTCGGGGCTCAAACGGGACTCACTTTCCAGTGCCGCTCGGTCCCAGCAGGATAATCTTGGCGAGATAGTCGTACATGCTCCCCAACTCCTGCGCGTCCAGTCAGCCATTCTGTCGCTCAATATCGGGGTTCATCCGTGGGCGATGCTGACCTGCTGGCCGGCGGTGCCATCGCTCTCCTCGCTGGCGGCGCTGGAGCGACGCGGTCTCGTCATAGTGGCGGTGCGGAATGTTGATTTCGGGGTTGCGGTGATCGGGCCGGAAAAGTCGGGCGTAGGCGCAGCGCAGCGATAAGGACGGGATCGCGATGTTTATAAGCAACAAAAACCAAAGGCGAAAAAGAAAAGATAGGCAAGTTGGCTGTCTCTAGCTTGGCGCGACGTTGAGGTCGCAGCGAGCAGTCCGGCCTGCGTTTCGGGTCGAACAAGGGAGATGATGTGATGCTGCAAAGGTTGAGGTGCAGATGTCAAGGCTGGCTGTATTCTTGGAAGCAGCGACAAACAATGACGGCAGACCAGCGGATCTTGGACCTGTGACATGGGACGGTCGGTGAGGTGGACCGCCCTGGAACTCTGCTACAGGGGACGGGAGGCTTGAGCACCGGACTCTCAGTGGGTGCCCGGGTGACGGCCGCACCTGATAAAACTGATAAGGTACCCGACATGCTCGCTTATCTTATCAGTCCTGATAAGACATGGAAGGCCGTGAAGCCACACCGAGCCTTCGTACCGAGGCTTGACCTCACCTGTACCGAGCTTTAGGGGATCACCCGCTGTAAGCAAGTCATGTCACCAAAGGTACAGACACCAGTCAACAACACACTCTCTCCATGCCTCATACATGTGACGAAACATTTTTGACTTCCATCCAACAACTCTCGGCATCATGAAGATTGACGGCCGCACTTTTATCATTTCGGGCGGGTAAGCAAGACATTCCCGTTTGGATCCCAACGTCCCCGTTGCGTCGTCCCTGATCACATGCCAATACGTCAACGATACCCAAACAGAAGCTGACTTTCATCCCAACGCAGCGCCTCCGGGCTGGGACAGGCCTGCGTGGAGGAAATATGCAGGTCCGGGGGAAATGTCGCCATCTTGGACATGAATGAGGATTTGGGGAACGAGTTGGTCTCCAAGCTGGGCTCCTCGGCCAAGTTCTTCGTCTGCGATGTCCTCGAGACCAAGAGCATCGAGGCCGCCGTCAAGGGCACCGCCGAATGGGTGAAGCAGACCGGCAAGCCAGTCGGCGGCGTCATTCCAGCCGCCGGTGTAGGCAACCCGGCGACGGTATGTTCTTATCCGATTTCGAGGTGTACAGTAACTGACCAGGACCAGATCCTCGACCGTGATGGCAATCCCTTCAGTCTCGACCAGTGGGACTTTGTTCTCAACATCAACCTCCGCGGCACCATCGACCTTACCCGTCAAGCCCTCGCCCTGATGGCTAAGAACGAGCCCTCCGCACCGGACGGCGAGCGTGGCGTTGTCATCATGGTCGCTTCCTCTGCTGCCTTTGACGGCCAGAAGGGCCAGGTCGCCTACGCTGCCAGCAAGGGCGCCGTCACTGCCATGACGCTTCCCATGACCAGAGACCTCGCTCGCTTCGGTATCCGCGTCGTAACCATCGCTCCCAGTCTTTTCGAATCCCGTATGACGGCCGTCATGGGCCAGAAGGTGCGCGCCAGCCTCGAGAAGGCCATGGAGTTCCCTGTGAGAGCGGGTAAGCCCGAAGAGTTCGCGGCACTGGCGAAGCATGCTATTGAAAACGTCATGCTCAACGGGACGGTGTTGCGACTTGATGGCGGCATGAGGATGCCGAGTAAGATGTAGACTAATCCATTGTAAAAGCAAATGCTCCCCACCTTTTCTTCTGTGCCACATGCTATTCGACTGCGTCGGAAACAATGTATGACCACAGTTTGTTGAAAGGCTTTGTGGTGATCTCTGGTTCTATCTATTGATCTTGAGTTATGGGGACGAGCCAAATACTCAGCAACTACCACGACTTCGCCATGTGGCAGAATGTTCCATCACGACCACTCGCTGTAAGGCTTTTGTTTTCTTTTCCTTGAGAAATGGCTTTTTCCTCCTCCTTCTTTCAACTTTCGCCCTCGAGGATCGCTTTTCCTCAGTCCTTTCATCAACAATATCGGCACCCCAAGGCTTCACTTGCAACAGCCATTCGAAAGCTTTCCGTCTGGCGAGAGGTATTCCAATGTCCTGCTCCATGGAATCAGACAACCGAAGCGGCCTCGTGATGAAACCTCACTCGCCTACTCCTACGGACGCCCAAGATGTTGGCAGTCTCGGTTCGGGATCCTCTCCCACCAAGAATTGGCTTGTCTCCTTACCCTTGGAGCTGATCCTCGAGATCACCGAGCACTGCGCGTTATTGGGTGAGGGAACTGCATCTGCTCTCTCCTGCGTCGACACCAGGCTGCGATGGCTCTGTGCTACCGTCCTCTTCCGCAAAATGCGCATCAACTGTCCCGAAGACGAGCTCGGCCGTCATCTTGCAGCCATTCAAGACAACCATCGCATCCTACAGAGTGTTCGGTAGGTCCATTCTCCTGCCCGTTCATTTCTTCTAAGCTCATGATATCTCTGCAGTGTCCTGGATATTTGCACTGAAGGCCCTGACCGTTCCTCGGGGCGTCCCTGGCGTTTCATTCACTCTCGTGTCAGCGATGCTTGCTCCGACGATACCCCGGTTCTTCTGGCCACTGTTCTGCAGCAGATGACGAACCTCAAGGACCTCTGTCTCGACCTTCGCTACAGCAAGAAGACACTCCTTGGGCCCCTTCGCAAGGTCTTCCTCGAGCAGAGCATGACCTTCCCGACTGTCAGGGGCTTTGCCTGGGCTGCGGGCACGACAGCAAAGTTCATTCCTGATGTGTTCCCAAACTTGCATGCTTTGAGTCTACACCTCAGCTGTGCCCCCAAGTCGTCGCCTGGTCTAAAGGGGATTGCTCCGAAGCTTCAGCAGCTTCGGACCTTGGAGCTTTACAAGCCCGGTTGGACTTGCGAGAACATCGCTCAAGTCCAAGAGATGTTCCCGGAAATTAAGTGTTTGATCCTTGGTGGTGGACTCAGAGATGATCTTTGGGTAAGATGTTTGGCCTCGCGCTTTTGTTTCTCTTTGCCCTTCATCACTATCACCATTTCTGTCCTCTTCCGTTCCGGCAGTAATCTCCTAGGAAATACACCACTGACCACAAACTGTTTCCAGAATATCACACCCTCCCTTGATCTGTTCCAGAACGTGAAGACCTTAGCCCTCGGCACGTGTGCCTCTGGTGGTCGTGTTCAACGGGTAGCGAGGTCAGACCGTGGAAAACCGAACCTTGACAGTCGGTGGAGGTCAGACAGTCAAGCTTGGAGGGCCGATGATATCTTCAGCATCTGTCGTCGACTAGAAACGGCTTACCTGATGTCCCCGAACTACCGATCAGTTCGGTGCACGCCCAACCTGGAGAAGCCCACGAAGAGCGACGGCTTGGGATTGATCCACGTTGACGCCGTGGCTGACTGCGGCGAGTACGGATGGCCTTCTTTCTGAACGAGAGTCTGCTTGGTGGACCGGAGTATGGGGGCGAGGTAACGGGTGGATGGGCAAAGTTGACCCAGTTGGGCACATGCAGCTGTGTATGAGTAGCCGAAGTACGCGCATGGCCAATTTTGCAATGTCGACAAATTGAATCAAAGTGAAGGAATAGAACAGGCAGGTCTTACGTCGTGCCGGTGATATGGTCATGTTAGAAAGCTGCGATTTGCTATCTACTCGTAAAGGTAGGATCTGCACGTACACCAGCGTCTCATCTTTATTGCCAGCAGTGACTTAACAGTAGGTATGATGGACTTCCCGTTCTCGTTCCGCGCCAGCTTTTCGTTCACTCCGATCACCATGTCTCCATCCTTCAGACAAACTCGGAAAGACTGGGCCAGAAATGACCCTCCTCTTTGCTGACCTCGTTGACCTCTCCAGATTCCTCGTCCTTGACGGGGCGGAAGCGACATGTGTCAGCCCATTCAAACATGGTCTCAAAGACCATATCGACAAGCTCGGGGCATCCACGGAAGAACTTCTTCGCGACGACACCCTGGTCCTCCTTGAGAGGGTGATCCTCCCGAAGCTCCTCGATCTCCATGAAGTACCACTTGGCGCGGGTGGTCTCGATGTCCGATTCAGGCACGACGACTTGCAGATCGGTGAGGGCCAGGTGCTTGAGGTTGGTGAAGCGCTTGAAGATGGGCACCAAACCCTGAAATTACTCCTCGTCAGTTTCATCAAGCTTCGGCCGGTGTGTATATGAGTGGAAATACTCACGGAGATCTTCACATTCTTTACCTCTCCTCCTACCGTCAAGTTCTCCACAGCCGGAAACAGGTCGGCAATCTCCCGGATACCGTCTTTCGTCCAACCGGCCTTGTAGAGGTGCAGAGTGTTCAGCTTCTCCTTCAGCTTGGGCGCGATCGCCGCAAGGCCGGGAGTCTTGCAGGGTGTGCCGCAAACGTGGATACTGAGGGCGCGCAGCTCACTGAAAACCTCGGGAATGAAGCTGACGGTGAGGGTGGTGTGGAAGATGAGCTTTCGGACGGAGGGCATGACCATTCCCTTGAGTTCCTTGCGCAGAGGGATCAGCAGCGACTGGTTTCCGTCTCCGATGATGAGGCTGAGGTCTTGGAGGTGCGTCATCTGGCCGAGGACCTTTGCTAGGAGAACCGGGGCCTCCTTCTCGCAAGGTTGGCTGACGATGTCGTGCTCGTCGAAAGGCTCTCGCCTAGGGCCGTTGGTATGAACACGCAGGTAGCTGAAGCAGTGTTAGTGTTCAGGCGGAGACGAGGTGGTAGACTTGACAGCCGAGGAAGAGAGGAACATACCGGACGATCTTGAGAAGGCGACTGCCGTCGATGGCTTGAAGGTGGCTACGAAGCCGATCCTCCTTAGTCCACAGGGTCATGGTCTCAAACATGATGGGTATACAAGCTTCGCGGAGCTGCTTGTTGACTTGAGACAGCGCAGTAATCGCGCTGGGCCGGCAATATCCGCGACTTGGCTTCTTGCACAGCTCGAGAATCGCGAGGATCAGCTCTGCCGGGAGAGTAATCAATTGGGCCTTGGCCGAGGTCGAAGCGCCTAGAGCGTGAGGCGGCTTCGCGATGCTCGTATCGCTCGCAACAGGGTGATCAATTGGCTCCATGGTGTCTATTGTGAGGCCTCGTCAGGAGTTCGCTGCAGGTAGAATCTGTTGCGTGTAGAGAACTAAGGTAGATGAGGGGTTGAAGAGATGGAGTGTGGAAAGTTGAAAGCTTCCCTCCGCAGATAGACTTCCAAATGGTGCTGATAAAGTGAGGTAAAATCGCAGATCAGATGGTTCCAGACAATTCCCACGTCCGCACGAAGGTTGAAGCAGGGCCAAGGCATATTCACCAGAGATTTCACTTTACCTCTTTCACGTCAAATAGGTACCTATAGGCAGCAGGGCGTACTACATCAAAGCCAAGTAGCAATACACAAAGACAATATGACTTTCTCCATTGATTGGATTCGAAGGCAAATGTACGTGGATTGATTGAACAAAACAGAAGCATCTGCAGTATATTATCCACAAAGCAAATAGGGGATCCTTCCTTGACAGAGTCACTTCAACCTTTGGACGTTGCGGAGAGTCTTGGTCTCAGAAGGGAGTTGATCATGATAGAATAGATATTTTTTATTATATGCACCAAGTGCAATTGTCTAGCTAAGATATTGGCAACTGGTCCAAGCCAACCACCGGGGAATCATTTGACGCGGGAAATCATTACAACCAAATGAGCATAGGGTAAGCCAGCGCTCAATCCTGTCCAACAAGAGGGACAACCGCAGAGACGTGGCGACATTATCGGAAACACGTTTCTCTTTAGACCTTGTCGGAGTGGACAGGCGGGTGGATGGCGTCCTGGGCAGCAGCGGTGGGCTGGTTGTTGCCGACGAACTTGGTCTTCTTGAGGGAGTTGAGTTGGTCCTCCTCGGCGTCTAGGTGCTTGAAGCAGAAGTAGAAAGCGACACCGCCGACGAAGGCGATGATGGCGACGGAGGCGTAGTTCCAGACGAGGAGGGGGTCCTCGGACAGAGGAGTCCAGGCCTGGCCGATGGCGGCGGAGATGGCGCTCATGGCGAGGTTGACGGACATGACGAGGGACTTCATGTTCTCGGGGGCCTTGGAGAAGGCGTACTCGTACGAGGTGACGTTGGTGAAGATCTCGGCCAGACCGATGAAGATGTAGGGGAGGCACTGGGCCCAGACGTTGATGTCGGCGGGACCCTCCTCGCAGATGGTGGCGTACTTGCCGCAGGGGGACATCTGGTAGATGTAGTGCTGCATGACGGCGGCGGCGATCATGGAGGCGGCGGCGAAGAAGAAACCGGTGGTCATACGCTTGATGGGGGTGAAGTTGAAGCCCATGCGGCGGAAACCGGGGTAGACGAACTTGTCGAGGATGGGGATCATGATGATGATGGACAGGGGGTTGAGGTTCTGGATGACGTCGTTGGGAGCGCCGTTCAGGACCATGGAGCCGGCCTGGGAGGTCAGGTTGTTGGTCATCTGGTTGTAGGCGAGGAAGAAGACGGGCAGGAAGAGGAAGACTTTGCAGGCCCGGAGACCACGACGGCACTCGTCGACCCAGGCATCGTCGTAGGTCAACCAGCCGGGGCGCTCGGCGACGGGGACGTTGCTGGGCTTGGCGTGATCGAACTGGATCTTGGTGATGCCGCCGGAGCGCTTGCGGGCGAAGTTGAACATCTTCAGGAACTTCTCGAGGACGGAGCCGGTGGGAGGAGTGAGGTGGTATCTCTTGTAGTTGGACCAGAGGACGACGGGGCAGATGAGGAAGAGGATGGTGGGCAGCAAGAAAGCAAGCCAGAAGCTGTGGTATTTCTCGACGAAGACCATGGAGATCTGGCCGGAGGTGGCACCGACGTTGATGGCGAAGTAGAACCACAGGAAGATACGGGTGTTGGTGACCGCGGGGTCGACAATCACGCGCTCGCCCTTCTGCTCAACGACGCGCATGTGGGTGTCCTGGTTCTGCTCAGCCAGCATGGGTGAGATGTTGGCCTTGAAGAGACCGGTTCCGGTGCAGAGGGTGAAGAGGCCGAGGAAGAACGGGGCGAAGGCGACCTTGCCCTTCTCGAGGACGGCGGGCGCGGCGGCGATGGTGAGAATGATGTGGGCAACGGTAGAGACGACGATGGCGATGTGAATGACCTTGTAACGACCAAACTTGGCATCGGCCAACCAGGCACTGGCGGAAGTTAGCTATCCTGCTCGCCCACGCGTGTAAGTCAGGAGTGAGAGACATACCCGAACAGAGGAGTGATGTAGGCCCAGAACATGTTGACCAGCGAGACACCCTGAGATGCTCTCTGACCCATGCCGAGGGCACCGGGCGTGCGGTTGTCGCCGCTGTAGGTAGCACCGGTCCTGGAACCCTCCGGCATGGGGCGCATGACGAAGTTGGTGTACAGGATGGAGGAACCGTAGTAGGAGAAACGCTCGCACAGCTCGGCGAAGGCGATGGTGTACATGCTCCAGTTGATGGGACCGGACACGCGACGGAGGGTGCGAAGCTCCTCCTCCGTGGGCTTGTCCGCGTAGTCATCGTCGGACTTTGAGTCGTAGACCTCGTCGATCGGGGGAGCGGCGGCGGCGGTCACGTCGAACGAGCCGCGGCCGGCGTGGATCTCCTTCTCGGTGCCCTGGATGGTGGCCGAGGGAACGTGGGCCTTGGCCAGGACATCGTCCTGGAAACCTCCAAGGTTACTCATATTGAGTTGTTGGCGGGAGTTGTGTGCGTTCCTGGGAGTGTGATTGTGTTGTTGAACTAAGACAGGAAGTCCCGGTTAAGGATACACGACAAAGACACGAGTTAACGAGTCTTTTCGACAGCAATTGACAGGTGGAATCCTGTTGGCCGTGGTTGAGAAGGCTGCTGATCGCGAGAAGAGGAGGGGAGGGGAGGGCATCGTCCGGGAGGGCGTCTCGAGGGACATGTTTTATATTTCCCAGCAGCGATAATGGCAGGTCGCATCACAGCTGCATTCGGCAGCCGGTAGGTATCCGCAGATAGAGAGACATGAGCGGGATGGCTAGCGTGTGGAAGGGTGGGAGCGTTGACCGGGGTGAAGGGAAGGGGTGAGGAGAACCGGGGTTTGTCATGGACCAGGACTCACGCCTAGCGCGGAGGGAGATGGCATGGATGGCATGGGATGGACAGAGAACTCACGGGGATGGCTCAACGACAACCTCAGCGATGAGCAAGGTTCATGTGGGATGAACATGGGCGGTCCATCTCGCGCATACCGTCGCCACGGGACGGGAGGCGAAAGCACCCACGCCATGTCTGCTCAGTACCATGTACGATACTGGAAGTATCACATCGCAGGGCACACGACATGAGCATCTAGGGCTGCTCTATCTGTCTCTGAGGAGGTCACTCTGTAGCGATGAAGATGGTTACAACGCCGGGGGCCGCGAGGGGTCTGGGGTCAGACAAGCCGACAGGGAAGACACCCAACCACCAACTCGAATCACAGTCTGAGTCCGAGTCGTCGACTGAACTGAGCCCGCTGCCCCAAGTGGCCATCTCGGAGATGGGCGGGCAACGCGCAGCGTGGGATGAGACCGGAACGATCCAACAGGTGAGAGTCGGCCTCCCAAGACCAGGCTGGACCGAGACAGAGGGCTACGGAATTGTGGACTGAGAGGAAAGGATGGGCCTCTGGATGGATCACAGACCTGACAGACCTGATGGACCACGATGGGCTTCCCAGGACGAATGGCCCGATTAGGCAGGTCGAGGATCGGGGGTGGTAACAGATAGGCGGCGGCGTCGTCTGGGGGAGAATCAAGACTTTGTACGAATAGAGAGGGAGGGAGCAATATGATTCGCGATTCGTGGTTCGAGGCACGCAGTCAAAACCCGGCCAGCAACTCAGCTTGCCGGATCATATCAGCAGGCTCAGGCACGGCAACATCGAATCAACTGACTGGCTGTTGTATGGCCTCTCCAAAGTGGTGAGAGGTGAAGAGACTTGCGAAGAAAAAGTCGGCTCTGTGAAATGCGACCGCCGAGTCTCTTGGCAGCAACGTTGATCGACCTTGGCATCGCCGCCACTCGTACTCTGAGAAGCACTCATTGGCGCGCTGCCCGGCCTTGTTTGCTTCTTTGGTGCTGGTCGGAGGCGCCCGTTGGTGTTGTGGTTCTTTCTTCTTTTCTTGTCTTTCCGTCCCTCTCTCGTGTGTTGCAGTCAGTAAGTCGCAGAGTCTGAAGCTGAGTGGTGAGTTAGTCGTTGTGATATCGATCCTCCCTGGCTGGTCAGCCTGCCACCACCACCACCACCTAGGCATTCCTCCCGCGGGAGAGCGACCCATTGCCAATCCTGCCCGGCCGCATGGCCGCCTTCTGGCGCGGCTTCGAGAAGAAGTTTGGTCTGCACGATGGACGGGAGGCGGTCCTTGGAGGGTGGCTGATAGCCGACAAGTGCCACCACACCCAGTCCCCGATTCGCTCAGTTCATCGAGGAAGGATTGTCGTGTATATTACTGGCAACGTCCATCCGCGGCACAGCGGCGGTAGCGAGCAAGTAGGAGCCCGTTGATGTCGGCTGGTGGTGTTGACAATCCTCTGCCATTGCGCCCGTCCATGATACGGTTATGCTTCGCCAAGATAGAGTTGCGGCACAGAAGGGAAGGAGCTGCTGCTTCTGTCGAAGGATGAATGGGTGTAAACGGCCTTGGCCTTTGCTTTTATTAGGCAGTTGAGTGAGGGGAAAGTGCCCGTATCCTTTCGTCGAGTCTCGTTGGAGATGAAGGTTCAGGCAAGTTGGAGTTGGAGCCGAGGGTTGCCGCTTGAATGACGCTGTCATCGTTACCACCTTGCTGTCTGCCTGCCAGATCATTGACACCCTTCGAGTGTTTTCAGTCTTCTTCAGCTGGTCGTCCGGCTTCTTCGCACTCGGGGGTTGACAGGCGCGTTGACTTTTGGCACCATATCCAACACAGATTGCCTGCCTGTCTGCCGTGCCACTAGACCCCGGCGACCTTCCCAAACGATAAGAGCCGTTTCCGTGGTCCATGAGCTTAATGTCCCTGTCTCCACGGCCCTGCTGCTGTGGTTGGTCTGGTTGGTTCCGGGACACGAAGCTATTCCCAGTCCAGACCAGACGCGGCCAGCACCACCCCGGGGGATTTTTGTCTGCAGTTCTTGGGTCTGCAGTTCTTGGTACTGACCCCATCCCAAGGTCCTTTTGGGTCTTGGATCGTCTCTGGCCGGAGAGATGGGCGAGTCGGATTGGTTCTTCATATCGCACGTCCGCTCGTACCCCACTGAATACCGCCGAAATTTGTGCAACAATCCCGGGGGTGTGTTGGGAATGTGGGAGTGCCCGGTCTCACGTTGCCTTTTAGTGCTTTAGTGTAAAGTATTAGTCCGTCTAACAGATATCTATCTGGCATATGGGTCTTTGTTGTTAGTCCAACGGCGCCAGACACCTGGGAAATGGACTCGGTAGACGGTAGACCACATCAAAAGATATGGAGCCCAGAAAACCAAAACGAAAGGTGGTAAGGGATTCATAAAACCTCGGTCTTGGCTTCATGTCCCTTTGGATTTGGCTTAAAACAGTGCCCCCGTCGCTCTCGTTTTCGTCGAGAGCCAAGACGCCAGTTGCAGGCATCCCCAAGGCCGCAACCTTCGCCTCATCGCTTGTCTTGTTATTGGCAGCATTAGCGGTATTGGCATCTGGCAAAAGTTCGAACGCACCCCTGCGGTACGCCAGACCCCGCGACATCAGAGCTGTCTTTCGCGGTGTCGCGTGTCAGCTGCGAGTGAGTGTGTGCCGCGGTTCGAACACACGAGGCAGAAAAGGGACAGAAGAGGTGCCCGACTCTGCTGCTGTTTTGTTGTGAGGAGTCCGAATTGACACACAGGTGGTGGCGCACCGGTGCGGGATGTCGCATGTTCTCTCACATCATCACCAATCCCCTCATATTGATTCGCTCGTCTCAGGCTGATAGGGCGCATCTCGATGAGATATGGAAAGTGCGACTGGTCTGTGGCGTTGGCGGCACGTCAAAAGAGGTAATGCGATGAATGTGAGTAGCTGACAGCTATTGCGTGCGGGCAGGATGAGCAGAGTGATTGAAACGAGGGAGAAAACATGATTTCTCGTGTCATATTCCTTGGCCAAGTCCTTCATGATACCCAAATAGGCATGTGTGTCGCTCAGCTTATCAGGCCAGGGAGATGAGTGAGGCGAGATACTCTGGTTCTCATTGTTGGCGAACGTGTTCTTCAGTCTACGGATACTTCGCGACTACTCACAACTTCCAACATTCAGGGTCTTGGTGTTTCTATTCCGTCAATCTGATGAGACGGTAAGGGTCCATTGCCGATCGGTGAAGTGATGAGCAACCTCATGATTTCATCCGGTTCATCGCATCGTCTCCTGTCTTTATGAATCGGCTGTTTCATCAACATCGACACCGAGATAACCACTTACAACCACACAAACCACAATTGAGATGGTGTGCGATCACCCCCTTCATTGGGACGAACGCCTGCACAGTGATGGAGATGGCGCACGCGGGACCGAGGAAGTCCCCTGGCTCCCCTGTCATGTCCGCCGCCTCGCGCGATGCAGGTGGCGTCCGGGGGCTCAAGCAAGCAGTACCAGGCCCTTGAATCCTCCGAAAAGCCTGCGAGGCAAGGTGACAAGGTAGCTTGCCAGGCCCCTTCAGTGAGCAACGCATCGAGTCTATCGGGACGACGCCTGCCTCTCTCCTCCTCTCACTGCCTGCCCAGCCGTTTCCCGCCGCCTTGGCTCGCCCAGTCTTTGCCCTGGCGGAATGAGCTCGGCGTCTAAGAGACTTGGGCAAGAAAGGGAAGAATGGTGCGGTTCCCTCGGATGCTGCCGGTTTGCCCTGTTGCGAGTCACGGCGGCGCGCCGTGACGGGAAGCGCGCCTGGCACAGCTGTGTCTAGGAGAACAAGACATTTCCAAGGAGCGCCGAGAGACACGGACAAGAAGACCGAAAGCCAGTGGAAAAGCTTATCGTGTCGACAACACGTTACATGGCGGGATGAGCAGCGCGGTCTAACGAGACCCTTGGCCACGATGAACAATGTCGGTTTCCCCAGACTTGAATGGGAATTGGGAGTGACAGATCTCGACTCCAGGTCTGAGATGCGCGTGTGACATTCAACTAGCACGCGCCAGAGCCCAGCCCCAAGCCTCGAACCGGCCACTCGGACTTGAGATTCTCGTAAAGGAAAGTAAAATCGAGTATGGATCTCCTCAGAGGCGAAAGTCCGACAGTCCAACCAACGGCCTCTCAGGCAATACTCATTTGTCATGAAAATTTTGAAGTTACTTGGCGACAGCGAACCGATTTACCGACTTGGTAGGTCGGTGGTGTTGGTGGTGACCAGCACCGAATTGGCACAGATGGGAATTATGCGCCGCTGCTCATTCTTGGTGTTAGGGAATAAGACGGGGTGTGAGTTCATAACAACACTGACAGTTCTGCATGACTTTTGCTCAGTGACATGTGAACTGAAAGGCTCATGATGCCAATCAAAACTTATCTGCGCTGCTGGGGAAAGTCGAAATATTTTACGAATGTTTTCTCGATAGCGCCTGATTTCAAAATCGCGTCATCGAATGCTCTGCCGATTGGATGAGGAATACTCCGTCGCTAAAGACAATTCCCACCTCCATACATTGACCCTCATTTCAGCTGAACGGTCACCGCCGGTCAACGATTCCCAGGCGCCGACGCGCCGTTGTTCGTTCCGGGGGTTTTTGCTGCTCAGCAAAGCTGTCAAATTCCACAGTGTCCGGGCAATCTCCATTTCAAGTCCATCGTTCTCATCATGGATGTCCCTGGGCTGGTGTCAGAGACTCACTCCGCGACGTGGTCTGGCCTGATCTATCGCGGAGGAGCAGAAATTGGGGGCCAGGGATGTGGGTGAAAGCACGCGGGCATACGTGTGCGCACCGCGCAGACACTGGGGTAATTGGCGGCAGCTTTTCTCCCGGTGAAGACTGAGGAGGGCTCGATAAGATAAACATCAACTCCATCCGTGCCATCCCAGCTTGATGAAGACACTGATGAGTCGTCGGCCAGAGCTTCGTGGAAATACCGGCGTGGAAACCCATCTGTCTATTTTAACACGGGGTTTCTCGCTGGTTACGGCAAGAGATAAACCTCAAAAAGGTGAAAGAAAAGGCCTATTGCGTTATGCTGAGCAGCAAATGAACTGGATGGTCTCACTGGCCCTCTCATAATGCTGAGAAGCGCATTGCCGCAGCGAAATGGCGACTTGCAGCGGGAGTTCAGCCACCCGCATCGGAGTTTCCGGCACCGACTCGGTCTCTTCCCCTCTTTGCCGACCGTTTGACCTCTGGCAGCCGGGGCGAGTGCATCTTCAGACTCACCGTTGCGATCCCGAGAGGAAGAACCGGCCTAGTCTTTATCCGGAAGCGTGTTCTCAAACACATCCAGTTCGCTTTCTTACTTGTCAATGACTATCGGGGAAACAAAGCTGTGTGCTGAACGTTTTCCCATTGTAAGCTGAGCATCTCATGCTTTCTAAGCAAAAAGCTGTGTTGGAGATGCCAAATTGAGCCCTCAAAATCCCTCCAACATCGATTAATATTACCAAACGGCAAACGACATCTCGCGCAATAACTTACTCAGTATCAGTCTCGTCCAGACTCTAGCTTGGCTGCGAAGAGTGTGATTTCATACCTCGGTTACGTCACGGCCTCGCATGAGTGCATTCCGCCTCCGATCTCGCCTCCGTTGTCTAACGACCCCGCCAAGCCGGCCTGCCGCGATCACGTCTTGTCGACCATATTCACACCCGCAGCCATTGATTCCAATCAATTCGACAAGACCACATCACTCCGTAATCACGAGAAAGCTCGCGACGATGGTTCAAGTCACTCAACTCAAGATCGCCGTCCTCGACGACTACCAGGGCATCTCGGAACCCCACTTCAAGAAGCTCGACAAGTCGCTGTTCGACGTCACCACCTTCAGAGACACCCTGCTGCCCTACAACCACCCAGAGACCCCCGAATACGTCAAAGATGGTCTGGTTTCGAGATTGGAGCCTTTCGATGTCATTTGTAAGGATTCCTTCTGCAGCAGCTTCATCCATTGATCTCTTATCCTATACACGTGTCAAAGAAGCATCATGACTAATATGCATCAGGCACGATGAGAGAACGCACTCCCTTCCCGAAGGATCTCATCACCCGCCTCCCGAACCTCAAGCTCCTTCTCACAACCGGCCTGCGGAACAACAGCCTCGACCTTCCCGCCTTCAAGGACCGCGGCATCCCCGTCGCCGGCTCCGCAGACAAGTCCACCGGCAAGCAAGTCGGAACGAACTCGACGACAGAGCACTGCGTCACCCTCATTCTCTCCCTCGCGCGCAACATCGCCTCTGATGATCTGGCTGTGAAGTCCGGTCTGTGGCAGACCGACCTCGCCATGGGCCTCACGGCCAAGACGTTCGGTGTCGTAGGGCTGGGTCGTCTGGGTGTATCGACGGCGAAGATCATGCATCTAGCCTTTGGCATGAAGATCATCGCCTGGAGCACGAACCTGACGCAGGAGGCCGCGGACGAGAAGGCGCGGGCCGAGGGTCTGCCGGTCGAGGGACCTGACGGGGAGAAGACGTTCAAGGTGGTCAGTCGTGAGGAGCTCTTCAGTACCGCGGACGTCCTTAGCGTCCACCTTGTACTTTCCGATCGCTCTCGCGGGCTGATCAACGCGGACGATCTGTCCAAGATGAAGAAGACGGCGCTGTTTGTGAACACTTCGCGAGGTCCGTTGGTGGAGGAGAAGGATCTGCTTGAGACGTTGAAGAAGGGCGGCATCCGCGGCTGCGCTTTGGATGTCTTCAATCTCGAGCCGTTGCCGACGGATAGCGAGTGGCGGACGACGGAATGGGGACGGGATGGGAGGAGTAGAGTGCTGTTGACGCCTCACATGGGCTACGTCGAGGAGAAGACGTTGAACGCCTGGTACGAGCAGCAGGTTGATAACATCAAGCGATGGCAGGCGGGCGATGTGCTTGTCAACGTTTTGGCATAAGAAACAAATGTCTTATTCCCACCCGAGGTTGTTGCTTTCACGACTTGATCTACGTATTTGGTTCTGAGTCCGCCATACTTCGTTTTCATCCATGCGTCGCTATCCCCGACGGTTGACGTACACGATCAACGAAGCATATAGAATGTGCACGTTTCTGTTGGGAGGAGTCCTTCCAGTATCAAATAACGTTTGTTGAGGGACAGCCAGTAGCTAAAGAGTTTCATTCTCATTGTTCAGCAAGTGACTTGAAAAACCAACACAGTCCCTATCCGAGGGAGGAAACAGCCAAATCCAACACTCCACGGGCCAAAGTGTCATTCATCCTCGACCCACGCAAACCCAGAATCGTCTTCCATACCCCCGTCCAAACATCCGTAAAGAGTAACCTTTCCTGCAAGAACCAAGCCGACAGTCAGTCCCAAATCCCACTTGAGCCCCTCGTCCATGCCTTACTATGCAAGCATCAAGCCTTCCACCGCTCTCTTTGATAATTCGTCTTGAATGCTTGGTGAGGAATGAATGTTGTGTGTACTATCAGTGACGGAGTCGTAAACTCAAGACATATGGCTGGGAATACAGCTTCGCAAGAGTGAGACTCAGAGCCCCAACAGGTGGGCAGCAGCCGAGACAAGGACTTCGTGGTTGTCTCGGACGGTTGATACCTAAGAGGAGATGTCAGTCTTGTCCGAAAACACCGGCAATCCGCTATGGCTGAACTCGCCGTCCATAGTATCATCGTAATCGCTAGGATCGGAGCTTTAATCAGCCTCGTCTTCGCTGGAGTAGTCATGCGAAAGGTCCTCATCAAGGACACCAATCAGCTCGCCAAATTCGCCCCTCATGGGGATGTACTTGACCGTATCCTCCTAGAATCGGGGCAAGCGGACCGAATGAAGAGACGGCAAATCCTCGAAGATCTGAAGCGCGTTATCATCCACATACTCGTTCAGCGGGTGGGTCCGAGACAGAAGGGCGAGGTCATCGGCGTGGAAGGGTTCCTCATCCTCTCGAGGCACAATCAGCTGCTGGGCGGTCAAGGTGAGGTGACGAAGCATCTTGAGCTTCGACAGCTTTGACGACAGAACGTCCACCAGGTCCTGTGTGGCGCAAAATGTGTCAGTGAACGTTGAGAAACGAGTAAAAGGGTGGCGTACCGAAACTCTGACTTCGTAAAGCCAACCATCGAAGGTGAGGTTCCTGAGAGATCTTTGGCCTGACAGCGGCTTGACAATATCCCGAAAGCTGTCCAAAGTCCAGTCTTTCTTCTTGAGAAGTATCTCTTGAAGCTGCTGGCGGTGAACAAACTGTCGAAAAGCTACCGAGGAAATGGGGCCATCCATAAAGGCGAATCTGAAGACCTTCAGCTGAGGGAATGGCATCGACAGGTCCTCGATGTTAATGCCAGGGGTCTGACAGTCGAAGACCTTCAGGTGAGCGAAGCTGACGCCAAGATGGTTCAGGGCGGTTCCGAAGGAGTTAGCGAGGCCACTGGAGCCCACGAACTCGAGCGTGATGTCCTCGAGAAAGGGCATGCGCTTGATCATGCCAGCCAGGCGAGAAGGAAGTTTGCCATTGGGGCGGTCGCCCGCATCGATCATGGATGACACGCTCAGGGTGAAGAATCTAGAAAGGTTAGATGGACATCTCCAACAACGAAAACCGCTGACCACAATCGGAGGAATGCTCACCTAACAGACTTCAGAATGCCGTCTCTGTTCTCGACGGCTTGGAGGCGCGTCGAGAGATTAACCTCAGAGGTATGGAGGCTCATTCCGTTGAACATGGCCCTGATACTCGCGTCCCTGGTGCGCCTGTTGATAGAGGCAAAGTTGGCAGTGCTGCCCAGAAAGCGGTAAGGCCATGATGAATCGAGCAGGATCTCCTTGTGCTCCTCAGCGATCTGAGCGAGAATCTCGCAGGGCAGCTTGTCGAACCAGCAGTTGCCGTTAGGGTTGGGTACAGATGCAGGATGCACGTCCTCGACGATGACAAGCTCACCAGAGTGGGCGGAAGTAGCCCTGACGACAGCACCAGGGGATGAGATGCGACCGGAGTCAGAGGACTTGGAGTCTTCGTCAGGGGGCAAGGGGTCCTCGTCAGTGACGGGGCCCTCGACATCTTCGTCCTCGTCAGAGAAGACGAGGCCATCATCAAAGGAGATGAGCGGGGTTTCTTGGGTGGAGGACATCTTGATAGTCGGGAGACGGTAGGGGAGATGGAATGTTGCACGCTGGAAATTGTTGTCGACGGAGGCTTTTCGAAGCAAAGGGGTAATAGCGAAAGGAGGAACCGAATAGTTCGCGTCGAAAGAAGAGCAGAAGATGACGAAGGAGAAAATGACGGGATCTCGACAGCGTCGTCGTCGAGGAGAATTTGTGATGGCGAGAACGAAACAGTAAATATTTCGCGGTTGGTGGGATGTGGGAGGTGGAAGGATAAAAGTCGCGTCGAGGGCACCGTAAGCGAAGAAAAACAAAACAGTCAGAGAAACCCTCGAGGGGGAAAGGTCTTTTCTGGGTGCAACAGCCTCAGGTAACTTGTTTCTTCCCTCGGTTGATCCTCCGCGGCATCCTCAACGATGGGGAGTGAGAGGCAACATCAGGTGACCAAGTCTGGCTTAGTCGTCAGTTTGAACGAGGGCAGGACGGGCTGGGATTGAAACGGTGAAAAGATACTCAGGTCCAAGGACATGCCGCTCTGCTGAACAAGACCAAACTGCAAAGAGTCCATGTACATAAGCACCGACTTGCCTGAAGAAGGGTGATGTCAAGTACATGTATGCTTTGGAACATGAAGGTTCACAATATCATTCAAAGGCCTTTGCTATCAGTTGTAAAGAAGGATCCATGACATACACCAAAGACATAAACCGAATAAAAAGGAACACAGGAAGAATCCCTAGATCTAAGTCAGATATAAAGAGGAAATAGGTATTTGATATATGTATGTAGAGGGTAGGTCGAAACATTAAGAAACTGGCATGCTCATCTCGCGCTGTGATGACAGGATATCTCAAACTTCGAAACATAGAAACCGACGCTGCATAATAAACTCCTGCCGGCCTTTGGTATCGTCAAAGAAGACCCCTAAGCCACAGGCCCCTTGGTGCTCTGCGCCTTCTCGCCTGTCTTGAAATCCGTCGATGAACGGGCATCGTCTCCCACGCTGGTATTTGACTCGTAAGTCAAATTGACGTTGGTAGTTCTGATAATGCCGTTATATGTCATGATTTCCTCCTCAGATCCCGTGGGAGAGGTGCTGCGAATCTCGGTATGATGTTGCGAGCGCGTCATACGCATATCCTTGAGAGTGATGTTGTCGCCGTCTCGCATCGTATTGCGCTGTCGGGAGGCGTTGCCGTAGTATTTGAGAGCACCGCTGGTCTTCCCAGAAGAGATGCCACCGAATAGCTTGGGCCACCACCTCCGGAACATGGGGCGCAGCGCAGGGGCTGAGGCTGAGATGATGGCCAGGTTGACCTCGACGACGTTGTAGACGACTCCGATGTCGTGGAAGGGGTCCTTGGTCGGGTCGGGCGGTACGTAGAAGAGTTTATAGATTGCGACAAGACGGATGATTGCGACAACGGTAACACTGTTGAGAAGATGTCAGTAATAGTCACTTTTGCTTGGATCTGCCGAGGTTCCCGAGACAAGGGGTAACACTTACACAGCACCGACCAAGAAGACGCAGATGACTGCAATCTTCGCTCCCAGGGGCATCTTCAGCCCCAAGAAGATCCAGAAAGGAAGCGCGAGCACCAAAACGTCCATGAGTACGTTGAGGCACGAGATCGAGACGTGGAAAGAGTTGTCGACACACTTTGCCGTTGCTCTCACCACCGGATCCCAGTTGGCTTCGATTGGCAGACATTGCAAGAGAGCAACGAGGAAGATTGCAATGGCCATCAGAGCGTTGACGATGTTCAGTCCGTGAATGGTCCATCTGACTCCCGGCTTCTGTCCTCCAAGGCGAAGGAGGAAAACCAGGACTGACGCCCTGACGAAGGCCAAGACAGGGTTGTAGAACATCTGCATCAGGAAGAACCACCACATCGCTGGTTTCGAATCGAATGTCTCGGGCACGTCGACAGCTCTGTATCCGAAGTACATGAGCTTTAGGTCTGTTTCTCCTTGTTAGCTTGGAATTGGCCACCGTAACTGGCTGTACGGAAGAGCGCAAGGCATAATGTTCACTTACAAATGAAGAAAGGCGGCGTCATAAGCACTGCGCATAGCTGAAATTGACTTTATTAGCACATCGTCGAAACTTTCAGCGGGCAGCCTTGTTGATGGTGATCTACATACCACGGCCATGCCGCAAAGCCAATCGTCTATAATCGCGTCAGCATGCCTGCACTTCTCACTTCTCATGAGCACGGAGCATATGCACAACATACCAAGTCCCCATTGTCGAGTTGAAAGTCTGCTGTACGTTCGAGCCGCGAAGATGATAACCGAAAGTGCCGGAAAGAAGAATGTGATGAAGATGGCAGTCGCTTGATGAGGCGGAGTCGGTATCGTCAGAACATCGATGTGCTCAGGGCGCCGGGCAACTAGAGTTGCGAACTCCATACTGGACTCAAGAGCGAGAGAGCCAGTCTTACACGGAATACCCGCAAAGGAGCGAGGGACGATCGGCCCCCAAGGCGAAGCTTTGACAACGAGTCGTGTGTTGCCTGCGTCCAGTCCCAAGGAGCTGGGTCTGGGTCTGGGTGGGCAAGGGCCAAGAAATCGCACGCAAGCAGACCGGAATCGAACCGAAACAGAAGAGCGGTCAGATCGATGGTAGCAGTGGGCAAGAAGGCATGATCCTTCTTTATGTAGATCGGCGTCCCATTATCACCTCGAGAGGTCCACGATGTCGCCACGGTTGCCCCCTCTCCTTCCCGCGCAGGCGAGACGCTAACTCACGGAATCGAACTATTCTACGCTAAATGTGATACACGGGAAAATAAGCTTGACAGGCTTCAGAAGATAACCGCTGTAGAACTTCGTAGAGTTTTCTGCACGTTCTGGGATGTGGACGGCGTGATCCTGCTTCCTCTCGTGTTCCAAGGGGGCCTACACTGGCGAGGCGAGGATAGGGGGCCGCCTTTCGACAAGGCTTTCCGTTCCTCCGCCTCCGCCTGGGTGAGTGATTGGCTTCTTCAGACTTCACTCATCTCAAGCGGACGAACGAGATGTCAAACTCCAAGTCGCTAGCGGAGACGTGAGAAGGAACCGGGAGCCAGGTTGGATGTTGGTCTAGGCTGCATTTAGACCCTTGCTCCGCAGACTTCGCGAGGTCGGATTGCCTTCACTCCATGGCCCCCACGGCCCACGCTAAGATAGGGTTGACTGCCGTGAGCGGCACGGCAACTTGTCAAGCGGACCACTGTGTTTTAACGTCTGCAATGTTTGAGGCTATCGCCGCGGAGTTAGAGCTAGATCCAACGTCCGGCTGAGAGCTGGTATACAATATCAGCCGCATCAGGTTGGTTGAGACATCACGAATGGTGAGAATAAATCCATCCTTGCCATCTTCTCGGTTCGGCAAAAACAGCGTAAGGCAACTGCTTTTCATATCGTGCGTTGCATTTTTCCTCAGGGGTTTGCAGACTTGTTCCTTGTCCGCCAAGCCGCTTACAACTCCTTGCCCGGCCAAGTTGATGGCGTGTCTGGGCAACACAAGGGAGACGACAACGGATGAACTGGAACCGAGAGACGGGGTCGAAGTCCGTGGGAAAAGCTCAGATCGGTTCTAGAAGATGATTGACCTCTTGGCTCTTTCTCCCCAGAATCGTATGCTTGCGGTGCGTGTAAGTTGAGTTATCTGTATCACGATAATCGGTGCTCTCTGCTGACTGAACAAACAAACTCTCTGAGTTAGTCTGACTTACCTTCTCTCACGTTTCAACCCCAGACCCCAGACCCAATTCACCGCCCTTGCCGTGTTCTTTAGCGGTATTGTCGAGGCGTTTTAGAGGCGGCTGGACCGGAGCTAGACTCGCACCGTAATCGTCAAAATTGTCTTATGTCGATCCCTACCGTGCACGGTATTTCTTCCAAAGACCCTTGCGAAGGACTCCGCAACCCATGCAAGCGAGAGCGACTAAAGTTCTGAAGCCCCTCCCGCCGACGGGTCTGTATCAAACCCTGATTCATTTGTGCGCAATCTATCAATTCTTCTATGAAGGGGCCGCGTCTTGTCCTTCGCCAGGTCGGACATGACTTGTCTTTTCTGGAAGCCAAGTCCTGACCTCGTGGCGACCGCCGTGGGTCTCGAAAGTCTGTTCGTAAAGAACGCGATTCTCCCGACTCCCGAGGGCTGTGTCGCCAAGACAATGAACGGCAGGGTACAAGTGCAATATCAGAGGGCAGGCCAATTGCATCTTGTGGTGAGCTATCGCCAATTCAACTTAGGTTTCGACGGTGGTTTCTGGAATTTCTAAGTGTCGGGCCGCTGGCGCCTGTTTCAGTCATATCACCGGCAGTTCAGATGCGTGGAAAAGCCGAAAAGGTGTAGGACTTTGCAACGGTGGCTTGTTCCGCTCCAGGACGGTGTCAGTCATCGGCGCCGGCTGGTGAAAAGGATTCATCATCAAGTCGACCGGCTCCGACTTGCAACGGAGCTCCGAGCTGGTGGCCCCGCCCACATTCCGTGTCACCGGGACGCTCCGTAGCTCGGTGGATGCCAGGCTAGAGAACAATGTGAGAGAAGATCGCCGTGGCCGAGTCAAGTCCGTCCGGGATTGGGTGGAACTTGACCGATACCAGCTGTCTGAATTTGTCCAGTCACTTTTCCCTACACGACGCTGGATTAATTATCGACTCTGTCAGGTGTAAGTGATGCTCACTGCAGAAGAAAAACAGTGTGCACAGCGGCGGTTGAGGACAGTTGATCAACAGTGTAAGTCATTGATAAGCTCATGTCAACAGAACGGTTGGTCTTCACGAATGGACATTGTCCGATACGCTATCGACAATAGTCTTCAGTCACAGAACTTTTTCCTGATGTGAAACGACGACAAGGAACGGTTCATTTTGGAGTAATACAGTCTTATGTGGGCAAGCTCATGGCCCATGCCTATTTTACACCCAGTTCAACAACCGATTACCCAAATAAATGCTTCAAACGGCTTTTCGCTAACATAACATTCATGGTCCTTTCCTCCACAGACTTGCTTACAACTTGGCGGGGAGACGGCCAGACTGCTGACCGGTCCAGGTCGCGATGAGGTCCATCAAAGGCGGCGACAGGGTGTCGTAAGTCTCCAGTCCAACCGACTTGAACTTCTGGCGGACCTCGTCGATGCCCTTGGGGTGGAAACCCTGCTCAATAATGGACGACACAAACGCGGCGAACTGCGGCTCCTGCCATCCCTTGGAGTCGGAAAGCTCGACGTGAACAAAGTCCAGGCCCTTGAAGGGGTGGTCCTTCTCGATGCGTCCGTACAGATGCACCCCGCACTCCTTGCAGGCGTTACGCAGGATGACTGCGGAGTTGTCGACGACGTGGAGCTTGTTCTCGTTGGCCGTGACCTTCAGCTGGTCTCTGGAGATGACGCCGACGACGGAGAAGAGGGCGCCCTCGGGCTTCCAGCACTTGGAGCATCCGCAGGCGTGGTTGTGAGCGACGTTGCCGCCGAGAGTGACCTCGACGGGGTTGCTCTTGCAAAGGCAGCGGAGCTTGCCCCCGGAGAAGTTGGGGTCGCCCTTGGTGAGGCCGTTGTCGATCAAAGGGTGAAGCGAGGGAGCCATGGTGGTGGATAAGACCGGTGTTGATTAATCGGGAATAATGATGGTTGATTCTTTTCGGAATAGTAATCTTAGGGACCTTGATGGACTAGAACCTTGATGGCGTGCTGCAATTGATATAAAAACGAAGAGTATTTCGCTTTAATACCAACTCATGACCGGTCGAGACGGGCACATCTACCGACAGCTTGGCGGCACGGTTCCCGAAGGATCCCCGAACAGGCCGGCTCTGATTCGCGACTCCACGTGTTGCACTTACTTGATTCGATGACTTCCCCGCATTTTGACATCGTCAGAACGCCGGCCAAACGTTGATTCCGATCACGCAACGGGGGTAGACTTGCCATTTCCGCCTAATCTACACGGGCGCTGATGTTCTGCCGCTGTTGTGAGGGCGCCGAGTCCGTCGGATGCGCACCCGATTTGAGCGTGATGGCGATGATACCCCGCAAAGTTTCAGTCGAAGTCAATGGCTTCGCCGCAACGCCAACCCCACTCGTCCGACTTATCCCCTTTACCCCTCATCGGGACCTACGGATTGATACACCGTGTCGGCGTTAGGTCTTCGAAAGATTGATGGAATGAGACTCTTAGGTAAATCGGGGATAATCTTCTCGGAGTTGGGCTTTATTATGGCAGAGACAGGGTATTATGAGACGTATTGCTGCTAGGGGTTGTTGGAGCAACCGAAACGCAGATTCGGCGATAAGTATTTCGGCGTTGTGGATAACAAGAGGTCATCATAGCTTCAATGATGTGATGAAGAGCTGTTTCATAAGGGCCGTAAACCTCCGATGAAGGATCAATCACTCACTAGTCGACCAGACTGTTCGTCGTCTGATGAGAGGAACTGAACTGAACATGAATCAGACTCCTGTGGTTTGTCAAGTCATGAAAACGTGCGGGCTGTTCACGTTTGCTTGGTGCTTGCGAGACTAGCGGAGCAACGCATCAGAGACAAACATGTAATTCGAGTGCCCTCAGCGGGCGAAGTAGCTAGACAAAGTCTGCTCATGGCTGATACCGGTCTGAGAGTCTATTGCTCTTGCACTCGCCAGACTGTAGCAAATTAACGGCACATTGGCGGTAACAACTACTCGCAAATATGAACAGAATCAAAGATATCACCATGAATATTGAGCAACTGAAGATAGTTTCATGGGACAGTAGATAGTTAAGGTGTTTGTCACGTCAGACGGTGCTTGTAGGGCTGAGCATCGACGTATCAATATGCAGCCCATTCAACTTTGATACTAGCTTGTTCCAATAATAGAGTCTGAAGCCACTAGCTATATCTGCAAGATTTATATTTGTACGTGTAGCTTCATAGGGAGTACATGCTCAATGTCATGAGTGAGTACTGAGTCGAGCACTGTCGTTTACAAGTGCTGGGGCCCGAAAGTGTCTAGCAGTATATTTAGGCTTTTTCAGTAATCTGAGGATGACTTGAAAGCCGAAGTATTTATTGGGGTTCTGTGAAGAAAAAAAAATGTTTTTGCTGAGAGCCGTACACAGAACAGATGTCTTGGAAGGGTGCTCAAAGTGCGATGTTAGTAACTAGTTGAGAAATGGGTGTAAGGGCAAACGAAGGTGTTAGTTAAACATGGAAAGTTAAGGCAGATAAATGGCAAAACGAAACAGGCGTTTTTTATGACGCATGTTACTGCAAATGCTAGGGCACTTATTACAACCGAAAGCGGGACGTCCGGAAGTTATGCGATCAAGCTCTTTCCTATCAGTTTTCTCCTTGCAGCAGATGACTAAAGATAAGCAGTGATCGATCGTGAGATTCTTCCGGCAGTTCAAAGCCAGCTAACCCCTGCTAGGCCTAGGTTGGCAGGTTGTAAGAGTTTTAGAGTCTTGCACACTGGGGACGACAGGAGTGGAATCTGACGTAACAGTAGTTGCCGCGTAACCTAATTTGCACCCCAGTGTCAGTTTTCTTCATTCAAATTCTAGCATCTTCTTCAAAACAGTGAATTTGTTGCAACGTCAGCTGGCTGGATCTTTGAGAATCACATGCTTCACGAGTGCGGCCAGTCAAGCGCGATTTCACAGAGCAGGCGAAAACTTTGCAATAATAGGAACTCTAGGCGCCAATACCAGGCGGACGGTTTCCCCACGATATCACATGCTGTCTTGCTCGATCTTGTCAGTAGTGGCCGTGCGGCAGCTTTGGGCCGGCCCTGGCGGAGACCCGGGCGGACAATTGTGGGGCGTCACCGGCGTCTCGGGCAGATTGCCACGATGGAACAGTAAACGGAATACTAACGGTCAGAAGAATTGAGTGGCATTCGGGGCATTCGGGACATTCGGTCCAGTTCCTGCATTAAGACATGGGGTTAAAAGAATGCGAGGTCCTCGGGTGCGATTTGGCATGTTGGCAATGACCTGTAGCTAGCAGGATGCGCATCCATCTCGACGACAGTCGCATAGAGAGCATGTATCCGATTGGCTCACAGGAACCAACAGGCCGAGGTTGGTGTACACTAACAGTTCGGGCGATAGTCCAAGGCCCGCAGGAGAGTGGTATTTGACAGCTTCGCCATTCTGGAACCATCTTCAGAAACGTTTGAAGTTGAGCCCGCATCCCTAAGGAAGCATTGTTGGCGCTGATTCCAGTCGACCAACATAGGCCGAGGCATATTTGACTTCGGCTGACGTTGTCGTTCGCACTCGCATTATCTGTGTGGCTCAATACAATGCTTCGACAGGTTACTGACAGTCCGATCCAACCAACCAGCCGTGGCGATGTATGAGGGAGAAAATGTTAAGACATGCAAGCCCCTGCATGGCATCCCTACGCCCATCCATTTCGCCGCTGCAAGATCTACTTTTTACGCCTCCAGTACGCGCACGTCCCACCAGAAAAGCCTCGGCTGGCATTCGCCTCAACAAAAAAAATCCTCTGATCGCATGAGTTGAAGCCATTGATAAGATCTCGACATCTCCAGCCTGGTTGTACGGTGTTGCTTAGGCAGACAGACAGTTACCAACAATCATCACAATGGCAGAAGAACTTGACATCCTCATTCTGGGCGCTGGTATCTCTGGCATCAACGCGGCCTATCGCGTTCGGACAGAGCTGCCACAGAGCAGCTTCGCCGTGCTGGAAGCTCGCGATGTCGTCGGAGGCACGTGGTCCTACTGGAAATATCCCGGATTCCGCTCCGACTCGAACATGACCAACTTTGGATTCGCGTGGCACCCGTGGCCCCACGACAAGAAGATCATCGAAGGCGCGCCGATTGCAGAGTACATTGAAGACGCGGTGAAGACGCACGGCATCGACAACCACGTCCGTTACCGCCACAAAGTCAAGTCGTCTAGCTGGGACAGCGACGAGGCGCGGTGGACGGTCACCTGCGAGACTCCTGAGGGCAAGAAGCAGATCAAGGCCAAGTACTTGTTCGTGTGTTCTGGCTACTACTCGTACGAGAAGGCCCTCGAGACGCACATTCCTGGTATCGACAACTTCCAGGGCAAAGTCATCCACCCGCAATGGTGGCCCGAAGACCTTGATTACACCGGCAAGCGGGTTATCATCATTGGCTCGGGCGCGACGACCATGACTCTGTTCCCGAATATCGCAAAAACGGCTGGCTTCACCACGATTCTTCAGCGCAGTCCGTCCTACGTGTTTGCCCTTGCAGCGGAATCAGGCTTCGACAAGACACTGAAGAAGATCCTCCCGCTATTCCTTGCCAACTGGATGATTCTGTTGAAGGACCTCATTCTCGAGACGTTCTTCATTCAATTCGTTCTCAACTTCCCCGAAGCGGCTAAGAGCTTCCTCAGAATGGATGCCAAGCGCCGGCTACCAAAGGGCTACCCTGTCGATATTCACTTCAAACCAGCGTACAACCCCTTTCAACAACGTCTCAACATGTGTCCCGACGGCGATGTCTTCAAGACGTTACACCAGCCCAATACCGAGATTGTGACGGACCATATCGACACCATTACGGCGGATGGCATTCTCACAAAGTCGGGCCGCCACCTGCCTGCCGACATTATTATTACTGCCACCGGCTTACATGTACAGCTTTTCGGTGGCACGGAGGTGACGGTTGATGGAGTTCCTGTCAAGGTTGGTGAAAAATACAGCTGGCGTGGATGCATGCTTGACGGCGTGCCAAACGCGGCCGCCATCATTGGTTACGTCACACAAACCTGGACACCCGGCGCCGACACCGTCACACGACTCTTCATCCGTGTCATCAAACAGGCGCAAAAGGCCGGCGCCGTCTCAGCCACGCCGGTGTTGTCTGACGAGGAGAAGCGGAACAGCCCCAAGTTGCCATGTGTGGATGCCACGTCCAACTACTTCAAGAAGGCGCATGGCCGGATGCCTGTGGTGACGAACCAGGGCCCTTGGTACGGGAGGAAGAATCTTATTGTGGACAAGCTTGCGCTGTGGTTTGGAAGTGTGACGGTGGGCATGGACTACCGCCTGGCCACCAAGTCCAAGGACATTTAATGTTCGCGCTTATGTTGATGATAGTAATGCGATGGACACGGTCGAAGGAGTTAGGTTGAACGGAATAGATTCAGAATAGCTTGGCAGAATGACGTTCGAAATAAGCTTCTCACCAGTCTCCAGTCTACTTGATGCGTGTGTGACTCTGGCCTGCCGATCTTGGGGCTAACCATGGGCAGTATTGATCCTATTCGGGTAACTTGTTGACGACCCCTGCCGGCAACGTAAGTGGTCACATTGCCCGTGACTCAAGGGGCGATGGCACTCAAGACCTAAAGCGAATGTTACACGACAGCTATCACAATATCTACATCGTCCTGGTCCTCAAACAGCTTTAGGAAAAATGCAGGGACTGTACTGATAGAGGTCTAATCAGATCAAATGCCGACGACGACACCTACCCAGGGCGGAGAGTTCATCACCCAGGGTCTCCGCGGCAACCTCTTTTCGAGGCAACACAATGCATAAGATAATATTGGCTGATTAGATGGCTCTGGGAGATACGTAGCTGAGATCTCGTGCACAGTCACGTTGCCCTGGCTATTTTGGGACAACCCCAGACACAAAACGAAACGCCGCAGCGGGATCGCGGTTAAAACTTCCGACACAAAGAAGTCTCAGGAAGTTTCCAGCAGGAGTCCCACGGGATCGACAAAATCCCGACGGCACTTCCCTTGATTACGACTCTGCCCAACAGGATACACAGTCAATTCTCCGATGAGCATCTCAGCCGCTAATCACTAGTGAAGCACTGGTGAAGACGGCTCATCTTTCTCACCCATAGCCAGCTGAACTCGGCCGCTTCGAGAGTCAGGACTTTGACGAGGAATTCCTTCTCTGTCACAACTGACTTTGGACATGTGACGGCCGCAAACCTTGTTGCGTCTGAGCATGCAATGCAAGACATGAGGCTCAGAGCACGGAACTCCCAACCCCCGACAGGTATCGCTTCACCCGATCTCTCCTCCTCCGCAGCTTCACGACCTTCCGTGCGGGGGATTCCCACTTTCTATTCCTCATCGCCTTGTCTTCCACAAACAAGGCTCAATCTCCTGTCCTCCCGGGAGCTCAGTCCCTGTCCCGGCCGCTCCACCCCCACGCGAAGTCGGAGTTGCGATTCGTGGACGACTTGAAACCGCAACACCACAACATCCCGTACCAGGTAAGCCTCGAATCGTTCGCCAGACTGGCCTGTTTCGGATGAATGTGCTTGCGTTACCAAGAGACGTCAGTAGAGACGCCCGCCTGCCATTCGATATCTAAACTGAGTCGGCTGTCGCGGCATCAGTGCGGCAAACCCGCCTGGCAAGGTTGCCAGAACTCTCCCGCCCCACCGGTGCAGTCGTCTTGTTGTTTTGCCCAGACATTGAAAAACCCATGCTGTCTCCCTGCTCTATCTATCTTCCCCATTCGACGAACACCTTCTCTACAGTGTCCAAACTTCGCGTTGTGCCGGTTCACTCGATAATCTCCAAAGTCCTGTCTTCAAGAGCTGTGCTCGTTCTTTACAACAACCTAAACGTTTAATCCACAATCACTAACAAACCGCCACCATGCGTTTCACCATCGCTCTCACCACTCTGGCCGCCGTTGCCATCGCTGCTCCCCTCGAGTCCCTCGTCGCCCGCCAGGACGATGTCAACACCATCATCGCTGCTCTTGCGGCCGAGAACCCCGAGGATGCCGAGGCCGCCAAGAAGGGTCTGAAGGCTCGCGAGCTGAAGCTGACCCAGGATGAGGAGGAAGAGGAGATTTTCAAGCGTGAGCTCAAGCTCACCCAAGACGAAGAGGAGGAGGAAATCTTCAAGCGCGACATCAAGTTGACTCAGGACGAGGAAGAGGAAGAGATCTTCAAGAGAGAGCTCAAGCTCACTCAAGACGAGGAGGAAGAAGAGATCTTCAAGCGGGACGTGAAGCTTACCCAGGACGAGGAGGAGGAAGAGATCTTCAAGAGAGACGTCAAGCTCACCCAGGATGAGGAGGAAGAGGAAATCTTCAAGCGTGATGTCAAGTTGATACAGGACGAGGAAGAGGAGGAGATTTTCAAGCGCGATGTTAAGTTGACCCAGGATGAGGAGGAGGAGGAAATCTTCAAGCGTGAACTCAAGCTCACTCAGGACGAGGAGGAAGAGGAAATCTTCTAAGCGACTTGAACCCTGCACATTCATGGATGGTCGTAGCTGGGGATGTGGAAACGTCGTTGGATGGACACGTGGGTAGGAGAGCTTTACTCTTGACCGTGCCATAGGCTGTGTTAAGAATAGGCAACTCATGGATTAATTGGAAGTCTACCTTCACTACCTAAAAGAACATGAGGTGTTTATGTGCTCTAAGAAACGGGACTGTTTCCGTACACATCCGCCATGATTGTTGCGTTGGCGATAGTAGTGCATCGTAATAAGAACATTGAATTCGTCATGTTCTTTCGGTCGCTCTCATTACTCTCACAACAATGACATCGATCGCCTCGTTTCTTCCAGAGCAACGCGTTCATGCTGATTCAACGCCACCGATGCCTTCCCTATTGCATGATTAGATTTATTCTATCTGCACTATGGGCCTTAATGTGCAAGCTCTGTGTTTCATCTTCATCATTAAATCGACCGTGTGAGGCCAGTTTCTTGTAAGAACGCGTCGATAATCATGTTCGCATGATTCTTGTTGGCGGATACAATCTCTTAGCTCGGGCGTCGTGTGAGCCTCACCCAAAAGTCTCTGGCGACGAAGAAGATGGCGCTGAGCGTCTTGATGGGCTTCTCTGGATTCATTACAGTGAAGTCATATCTCCTTAGTAGCTGTTATGTGTCAGTAATGTAATCAAGACGCCCAAATCCAATGAGGTGGCAACATACTTCGACAAACACTTTATTCAGTTCCATCATTGCGATCGGCTTTCCCAAGCACGAATACTTGCCATGACCGAAATGCGTGTCGACGGCGGCATTCATCCGCCTGAGTTCATCTTGACTCGCCGAGAGCCACCTTTCGGGGCGGAAAACATTAGCATCGGGGCCCCAAACCCACTTCGAGCGCCCGACGCCGAAGAAGTTCTGTCCGATTTGCGTGCCGCCCGGGACGTAGTAGCCATTCAGCACGTCGCCACCGTCGGGAGCCTGCTTAAAACCGAGACCGGTGACCGGAGGGTAGAATCGAAGACCCTCGCGAATGACGGCTTGTAGATAGGGGAGTTTCAAGGCCTCGGTGTTGGTGATTGGGGAGCTGACTATGTTGGATGACACGGCATTGTCGATTTCCTGTTGTAATCGTCGGTAGGCGACGGGGTTGTTGATTAAGCAGAGTAATGTCATGCGCATGGCTTGCGCGGCGGAGTTGGTACCCGCGATCCTGGAGCCTCCATGTAAGTTGTTGTTTTCGTTTTGAGTCGGATCCCCCAACTTACATATGAATGTAGACAATCTGGATGAGCTCAGTCAGCCCGAGGCCTTGATTGATAAACGCCTGCATCATGTCTTTCCGGGGCTTCGCGCCGGGTTGCAGTCTCATTTCAGCATAATTCCTAGCGAAACTACGCCATGTCAGTAGTGTCTCACTCAACCTGTTCAAAGTGCAACTCACCCCATGAGTCGTCCGAACCCGACTTGGTCGTTCTCCTTGGGAAGTAAAACGCGAAACGGCCATTTATGAACCAGTCGTCCTAGCCAGGGTAGCACCGAGACGACGTTCATAATCGGCAAAGACGACTCGTTGATCTCGATGTACCGAAACAGGTCGCGGTCTTCTGCAAGAAACCCGAACGCGCCGCCGAAAGAAATGTCGCCGATGGCGTCTAGCGCGAAGAACTGCGTCTTCTCGGCCAGGTCCAGCGGCCGAAACACCGCATCGGTAGAGACATAATGCTGGTCGATTAAACGGATGAAATTCATTAGTTGGCGATCGATTCCCGTCTCGAAACCGAAGTCCTCGTTTTCTTTGGCTGTGTACTTTTTGGGTGACGGTAATTAGCTACCGAGACATTGGAGCCAACAACGCATGTTGTGTCGCATAGCCACGCTGCTGGCGTCGACTAAGGCGAATCAAAAGTAAAAGAAAAAGAAAACCTACGGCCGGGGCCATCCTCGCCCTCATTGCTTTGTGCTCCTCCTCATCCCGCATCGAGACGACATTATCAACGCCTGGAGTGATGCGGCCCGAATCGTAGAAGTCGCCTTTGGTGTAAGTTGAGCGGACGGCGGACATTTTGCGCAGTGAGTCGGGGTCTGTGCAAAGCAGTTCGTTTGGTCCGATGCGGGCCAGGGGTCCTACGATGATCTTGATTAGCAGTTGATTCAATTGACAAGCCGTGTTGGATGCACATGACCGTCCCGGGATCTTGGTTGGTCGAGATATACAACAGAGTCCATGGGCAGGAGAAGGGCAGGAGATTTGAGTACATACCGTACTTCCTGGCGACATCATTCAAGTGTTCGTGATATGATCCGCCGAGTGCTTTCTTCAGCTGCCACAACACCGATATCGAAGCAAAGAAAGGGCCCGGGATCTTTCGAAGTCGGTACCAAGACCGGAATTCCCAAACGATGAAGATAACGAATGCCAGCAGTCCAACCAGCTTGAGCAAGAAACCCGAAGACCCGGAGCACGGCACACTGGCTATGGTGGAGGACAGCATCCCCGCCATCATCTCTTCTAAGTGCTGCTCGCCGGCACCAACGACAACTCTTCTTCGTCTTCTCCCGTGGCCACGCTGTGCCGCTCGTGTGCTGGGCCTTTCGCCGTGGCACGTTGCACAGGGTTCAGCGACACGCGGAATGCTGTTGGTACTGTCAAAGACGCATGCCGGGCATTCAATTGCCCCCTGTTGCCTCAATTCGATTCGTCCCGTCCCGTTCCCGCACTCGATTACCGTCCGGTCGGGTTTTCGTGTCTTGCAATTGAACACCGTGAGATCCGCCGCGTTTTCCAGTGTTCGGCTTGCTGATATCGTATACTGTTTTGTCGCTCTCTTGTTCCCAGGCTATTCTGTCATTTCTCGTTATTTGGCGGAACCCGACAGTTTGGTAACGAAAAACGACGTGCAAGGCACAGCGGCGTAGCGCGGTGAAGAATGTCCCAGCGCCAGAGTGTCGGGTTCAGAAAGCAAACACAATGTTGGCCCGCGAGCGAAATATTCAATATGTGTACCACCAACGCAACATCAAGAATGAGACGACTCGCGAAGAGTTCGGGGGATAAGCTCGACTTATGACTGCAAACGCATGGTTAAGTGCAGTATTAAGACTGAAAGCTCGTGGCTTGAGCCGGGGACAAGCCTGGACCTGGACCGGCTGAGGGTGTGGCCGCTAGGTGACGCTAGGTGAGAGCTCATCGTATGAGCGGCCTGAGATGGGCTTGGACGCTACTTGGGCTCAAGAGCCATGTGACGGCTGCATCTAGCGTACGCAAGTAAGCTAAGATCCCTGGATTTGATGTAGTCTGCCGAAGTCGCTTGGTGAGTAGTGCAAAGGATGAGACGGGATGGCGGGCTAGGCTGGTCCATCATCACCGATCGAACGAGTATGGATTGGGAATTGAGGAGTTGAATCAGTTGAATCCAACACATCTTGCCCGTTGCTCAAAATCATTCGAACCATAACTAGATCAAATGCTATCAAAGCCAGACGCCAAGTGAATAGACAGCTCGTCACGAGTAATCACTATGCTGTCCTACCTACATATGCATGTTGACAATGTAAGCCATGTGGTGTAGAAAGCGCCACATGTTTCTCACCGGTTGTCCCATTCCATCCCGTTTAGGGCATCGGAATCCCCAAATTGAAGCGTCGGGTCTTATCCTTGGACCTCCTCCTCACCCTGCAGCACAATTCGCGCTCTCTTAACTGACTGTAGGTTACCGGCGACCCTTACTAGTTCGTCCCAACCCTAGACCTGTTCAATGCCTCGTTGCATTGATGACTTGCACTAAGAAGCGCGCCCGCGCGTGTTCCATGCTCGCCGTTCCCGACCCGCCAATCACGGCGACCCGGCCAGCGGATTCGGGCGACGGCCGGGTTTTGGATGCCACACTGCGTCCCATTTTGTGGCCGGCTGCTCGTTATTGTGCCGTTGGAAGCGGAGAATACACGGTTCATACGGCCGGATAGCTGTGAAGGCATGCATGCAAGGTAACACCGAGAGGCGATGGCGTCGAAATCGAGCCTCTCATTCCCGGTAAAGCGTCCTCACAGCAGACGGGGAGAGCATTCGTCACAAGCGCAGATGATGACTGATGGCCGGGTTTCTGCAGCTCTTACCTCATACAATATCAGTTCGCAAGGAAATGAGGCCATTTTGAGATGTCTCTGCAAGCAAGCTTTTCTCATTTTTAACTTACCCAAGGGAACAAGCAAGCTTTGAGGCGATTAAAGTCCAGCATCCTGACAGATCGTCCCAATAATCCGCGTTCATCTCCTGCGCGTAAGTCTCAATGCTCGATAACAACTTGCACGTAAGCATCAATAACACCTAGCTATTTAAAAGGTATACCTGACACTTTGCAGAAAACAGCTTGAGTCTCAATTGAACCGTGTCACAGTAATTCCCGGCTGAAGACCCTGCTCCACACCTCTCAGCGTTCCCATGAAGTTGATGGTCAAAAACACCAACATCTCGGCCCCAGCATCAAAAATTCAAGCAACTAGCAAAAGAATTGGACGAACAGGGAATCGAACCCTGGACCACTCACATGCTAAGCGAGTATTATACCACTAAACCATTCGCCCAATGGATGATTTCGCCCGGACTTGAACCGGAGACCTTCAGTGTGCCAGGCGAGATGCCAGAGGACCTCGATCTGTTAGACTGACGTGATAACCAACTACACCACGAAACCATTGTTGCTTGATGACTCATCTGGCAAACAAATGATTTATGAAGGTCTGGAGGTGTGTGGAGGGTATCGTGAAGCGAGGGCTGCATGGTTGAGTGGAACATCGTGGGGCGCTAAGATGATGGGTGGGTAGACAGGCTCGGAATTGCACACCGAACTTGTGGGACTTGGCAGCTCTAAATTGCTCCATAAGAACCACACGGGCGTCTGAGTTTGAGCGTTCAGATCAATAGCAAAGCATCACATTCAGAGGACACAAACTGAGGCCAGAAGACGCAAACAAGAGGACGCATGCTTAGAAATAACTCCAAATGCTTTTTTTGATTTCGTCTATCTTCGGTCATAACACATCATCCGTCAAACACCGATCTCAACCGCGCCAGACAGCCTCAATAACGACGAAGAAAGACAACGGGTTGGCCGTGACGCGAGCAACATCGTACCTCTCATCCGCCCTCTTGAAAAGCTCCTTCCACGCATCGACGTGCCTCTCCTTGGCGCCGAACAGACCCATCATTCTCAGGTCCGTCGACGTGCCCATCTGCTGGATGGACTTGGGCAGCGCGGCGGCCGCGGCGGCGTTCTCCTCGACGGTGCCCTGCTTGCCGACGTAGTCGATGAAGAGGACCTTGGAACCGGGGCGCAGCGCAGGGGTGAGGCCCTTGAGGATCTGGATCGACTCGGCGTCGGGCCAGTCGTGGAGGATGAGCTTGATCATGTAGATGTCCGCCTGCAGGGTCTGGGGCTCGAAGAAGCTGTGGGGCTGGAAGCTCACGCGGCCCTTGAGCTCCTCGGGAATGTTCTGGTCGAATGAGGACTGGCACTTGGGCAGGTCCTGCACGGTGATGTTGAGGTTGGGGAAGTTCTTGGCCAGGACGAAGCTGTCGTGGCCTCCGGAACCGCCGAGCTAACGCCGTGTTAGTTGATTCCGACCCAGTTTCCACAAGTTCCAGGGCGCACTTACATCGACGACCTTGAGGTTGCCGGCAGATTTCCAGTCGTAGGCGGTGTTGAGCAGTCCCTCCAACTGGAAGATGTCCTTGATGTAGTTCATCCACTTGACGAAAGTCCTCATGCGGTAGCCCTTCCTCTCACCCTCGCCGTCCTCCTCCATCATCTCCCACGAAGTCTTGTAGCCCTTGGACAGCTCACCACTCTGCCACAGGGCAAAAGCGGTCTCGCTCATGTCCTCCTTGAGCTCCGTCTTGCCCTTCTGGAACTTCTCCAAAGCATAAGGGAGAATGGCCATGGGCGGGCCCGCATCGTTCATGATGTTGGCGACGAGTCCGCTGAGGCCCTCATTCTGGGCCAAGGCCGCGGACCGCGCAGTGTGTCGTACGCGGGTGGTCAGGGGCTTTCCGGGTTCGGTCTCCTCGAAGATGCGCAGAGTGTACGCGTGCTCGAGAAGGCGGTGGACGACCTCCTCTGGCAGGTTGACGTGCTTGGTGATTTCGGCGTAGGAGGCATCGCCATTCAGAGGGACCGCAGACCAGAAATCGAAGTGGTTGATAGTATTGATGCAGGCACCGTCGGGTCCGTACTAGGATCTGAATGTTAACAAATCTGCTGAGATTACGACTCGGCAAGGATGAGAAAATCTCACGTTGTGGGCAAAGTTGAAGACACTCTCGCTAGGGCCCTCGACGAGGTAATGCAGGTCATTCAGGGTGTCCAGCAGGTTCTGTCTCAACAGAAAAGCCTCTGATGTCAGACCACTGTAACTGCGCACACTATCCGCGGCAAAGGTAGGCTCGGGGATCTTGTTGTCGCCCAGGAACTTGGAGAAGTCGGCGGACAGCTGCGCGACCTTGGCCGCGAGCTCCTGGATGGTAGGCTGCGATGACGCCATCTTGTGAAAAGAAACAACGGAAAAGGGTATCTGGAAAAGCAGGAATAATGAGATGGTGCGAGAGATCGATCGTCAGACCACGCCGCACCAAGACAGGCCGGGGAGATCCGTCTCTTATTTACGTCCTCCCGCCCGCCATCCTTCGAGATCTCGCCAAGAAACCCTGCGCATCTGCCTTCCTGTACCTGTCCGTAAAGGTCCGCCGCTGTCGGAACAGCTGAGAATGACACCTTCCCCTCCTCATGCTCGTTAGGTAATTACTCCGAAGCTCTATGCGGTGATCACGTCTCACGAGCTCGTGGTGAGGATTGTGTGATGGGGAATGCTACGCACACTGCAGATCAGATAAGATTATCTTATCCATCTTGATGGCGTCTTTAGAGAATTACCCCTCCTCGCCAAGGCCCTAGACGGCGAAGGTGAAGCCAAAGTGCCGTCAGATCGAGAGAACATACGAGTCTCCGGTATCATCGTATTGGTGGTTTGGACAACATCCCGTCGGCTTGTCTCCATTTAGCCCCATTGTATCCTTATTAGACTATTATGGGGTCGGTGGCCGAGGACCGACACTCAATGTTACGTCGAGAGTGAGCGACTCGCCTGTTCAGGACTAGCCATAGAAGGGTAGAAACGGCCCATACTGACCCCTCCACGAACGGCCGTCCTTGCAACCTGTTGATAGCTTGCGATAGGCTAGGGTGCGGTATTTTCTCCAACGGCTTGCTGCAGGTTGCCGCTGGAGAGATGTACGATGATGTCGGCAGCGTCTGGCACGCCGCCTGGGCTTCGGCAGTTTCCGCCGGCGGTTCTTCGCGCGCGTTCGGAGTTGAAGGCGGATCTGCCAGCCGCCGGCGCCGCTTAGACTAGACTCATCTTGCGTTGTATGAATGGCGCGGCAATTAGACTTAATCATCAATCTTAACCACACTGCTGGGTGTTCTTTCGGGATGTGGGATGCGGGATGGAGGCACGGATAACCCTTACCCCAGATGACTCGCCGCAAACCCATCGATTAGGCATCTTCCGATGATTGAATAGAGTATCAATGAAAGATGCAATCCTAGATTTCTCTGTGTGAGCCCTCGGCCGAAAGCCAGTCGGCAGTTTGCGGTAGGTAGCCGCCGCTAAGCCGCCGTTCCGCCGCACCGCCGAAGTTCATCAGATGTTCGGGGTTTCTTCGATCCACATAGCTGTCTCTTGGCCGAGTCAAGTGGGCTCCGTCTCCGGCAAACATATCTAAAAGAGTTCAAGTGTGAGGCATTGTGATACGGATTTTGGCGCGTTGAACTCCTTCCCCGCAATAACACACACGTTACACCCTGTCATTCTAACTCCCTCACTGTCGCTCATGCCGCGACAAGTTTGGCCAGTGATGGGCGAACCGGACCATCGATCGGCCTACGGAGTAGTCTAGACGTCCGCAACTCGTCGTAGAAGAATATCACTCGCATAGAGCACGCAGCACTCACTCCGAGCACTTCTCTCTTGGCGGGGTACAACAATGACACATGAATGTCCAAGTCTTCAGAATTGCAGAGTACTTACAAGACGTCCTTAGAGCCCTTCAACATGCTGCTCAACACATCACAGCAAATCCTTCATTTACACTGTGATTCAGTATGGCAAACATAAAAAGAATCAACGCATGCTTGAATCATGCAGCAAAAACCAACCTCTCCTCAGACGCCATCGGACTGTAAACAAATCCATGCCCCGACATCGTGAAGAAGATCACTTAGACCCGCAAATCGCCCCAGTTTGCTACGACACTGCCACATGGCTAGACTCTAAATATGGATATCGTTGGTTAAGTACTGGACCCGATTTGTCGTTGACGCTATCTATCCTATCAGATGTCGCAGCAATCAGGTTAATCAGGCATGACATCCAGTCAAAGAAGAAGAACGTGATTGCTTCGCCAAGCCCAGGATGCCGTTTCTTCAAGTCAAGGCGGGAATACTTGTCTCATCTGGCAGTCTGACAGTCTTCTTCGGCCGCGTTACCCCTGTCCACCGTCGGAGGCACCCCGACGTGTGATCTCCTAAGTCCGAGACTCCACGAGAGCTACATATTACACTCAGGACCTTCCTGCAGTCTCGTACGTCCGAGAATTTGCGTCGATATGCGACTTGAACATGGGAATGGCCCATCAGTTTTCTCGTCACATGAATCGAGAAGGTCGCGGTTATCGCTTTGTACTCTTTGCCTATTGATTAGCAAAAAAACAAAAAGACAAGGAATAGTAATACCATTTGTATTTGAAGTAGTAACCTTGATGGCATGAATATAAGTTGTAACAATGTTCAAGTAAGAATGCTTAATGTGTACTCGTTGGACCTGGCAAGCAAGAGAAAATAAGGGTGTCTGCATTGTATTGCGCGGCGTATTGCGCCTGTTGTAATGATGCTCAACATGATTATATAGCGATGTTAACATGGAAATAATTCATCACAGACGCAGTATAGTCTCAGCTGCAAAAGTTATCTGGGGATGACTTCGTTCAATTCTGCCTCCTCATCGACTGAAGCATCGTGTATTCATGAGGAGATACAGCTAGAACTTGGAGTTGATAACATGTCGTTCTTACAATGTCGAGCTTCCTGGACTCAATATAAGCATCGTCGGCGGACGATCACCCTTAACAAATTCTGTTTAATAAGTTTGCAGAACACCTGTAAAATTAAAATCCGTGAAAATAACGAAATTATCCACTGAGGTTGCCTAGATCTTACCGACATTGTCACGCAAACGTGACTTTAAACGAGGTAACCTAGATGACCTCCCACGACGGAGATCATAACGTATCCCCCATCTATCTGCCAATTTCGGCTCATGCCGTGGCCATCCCTCATTCCATCTACTTTTCCAATCCAACTGCAGCTGTCCTGTTTATTCTTAAGGCTGGCTCCTCCCATTATTCCCCTCCGCCAGATTCTCCGTGCTCCTCCCGGCCTTGACCTCCTCCCTCCACGTCGCCCTCTCCAGCTTCGTCACCCCAGGGCCCTGATACACACTCCCATACAGCCCAGAAGCCCAGCTCGCTCCGTCCTTGGCCTTCTGGCTCTTACTGTTCTTGAACTTCCGACGATACCACTTGCCGTACGCGAGAAGATAATACAACCTAAAACACAAAAACGCAAACTTGTCGTGCTCCAGATCCTCGGGGTACTCCGCGCCCATGTCCACGGCGGCGGCGATGCCGGACATGATGGCGACCTCGTGGGCATTCACCAGCGTCCACGAGGCCGCGAACCGCGTCCGCCGCTTGGCCTGCAGGAACATCATCCAGGGGATCACGAACGCGTAGTGCGTCCACGAGTGGCACAGCTGGTGCCACCAGTCGCTGCGGATGATCTTGTCCTCGTCGATCTCGCCGTCGGTCCAGTGCTTGCGGTCGCGGCCCTTGTTGAGGTAGATGGTCTGGAAGACGTGCCGCTCGAACGGCACCTTCTCGGGGAACTGCGACTGGTAGTTTGTCGTGTCGAAGCACATCTCCAGCTTGGAGAGGTCGTCGTCGTACATGCGGATGTAGTACATCGGGCGGAAGTTGTCGCGGGCGTAGGCGAGGCGGGCGGACTGGTCGACGTCGCGCTTCGGGCCGAGGGCCTTGACGGCCTTGGACTCGTCGTAGAAGTTCTCGTAGTACTTCTTCATGTACTCGGCGTCGTTGTGGGTGATGGTGATGTCGTCGGAGAACTTGGCGGACCCGAGCACCTTGCGCTCGCGCCAGGAGGACGTCTTGCCGAGGATCTTCTTGGCCGTGTCGGCGAGGACGCAGAGCACGATCTCGTCGTAGTGCTCCTCGGACTCGGGCGCGTCCGGGTCGCCGCCGTTGGGGTTGTGGCCGTCCTCGACGGGCGTGCGCGACTTGACCTTGACGAGGACCCCGCGCTTGTTCCGGTGCACGACTTCGGTGAGCTCGGTGGAGAGACGGACTGTGACGCCGCGGGCTTCGAGGTCCTTCTTCCAGGCCTGGTAGAAGTCGCTGAAGTTCGGGAAGACGACCATGGGAGGGAGGTTCGACGCGACGCTGTGCTTGTCGGGCGGGTACCACATGCCGTACGTGGGCGAGGTACACAGGCGCTCGAGCATGATGGCGGGTACTTCTGGTGTGGCATTGCCTGTTCCCAGGAAGAGCGCGGTCATGGGCAGACCGATGACGTTCGTGAATTCGTCGGAGAAGCGGAACAGCTTGAAGAGGATCTTGAGGGGCATCAGGGCGAAGAAGACCTCGAACCAGCGCATGAACTTGAGCATGAAGGCCAATCGCTGGACCTCCTTCTGGTGCTTCAGCATGAACTCCGTCGGGAAGACGTTGGACCAGAACTTCTCGTCCTTGCCGAAGGAGACTTGCAGCTTCACGGGGTCGGCGTGGAAGCCCTGACGCGCGAACATGGTGAGGGTGTGGTGGAAGATGTAGCTTCCTCCCTGGACTCCCTGATTGAACCAGCTCGCGCCGTGTCGTTCCTTGTCGAGGGAAATCGAGAAGGCCTGGCCCCCGCAGTAGTCGACCGAGTCGATCAGGGTAACATCGAACTTGTCAGGATGGTTCGAGAGATGGTATGCTGTAGACATGCTGTTTGACACACGACAAGTCAGCCATCGTCCAATCTTGTAAGAATGTATTTGATCCGTGAAGAAACATACCCAGCTGCGCCGGCGCCAACAACGAGAACCTTCTTGCGGCCATCTTTGCCAGTGTTTCCGTTCGTCGCCATCTTGGGGTCGGCGTTCTGCTCAAGGTCACGCTCAGACGTGCGGGTGTCCATGAATATGCAGAATAGAAGATCGTGAGAGCTTCCCTATCGAACACAGGGAAGAGCCTTGGAATGCACCAGACTCAAATATGGGCTGACCCGCGTCGCTTCGCGTGTCTATGACGCTGTGACATTTGATTCGGATGAGGTCATCCACCCGCGAGACCCTCTCTTTGTTCCGCTAAAACTCGATTGATCAAGGCCTAGAGATTAGCGATGGCGGCGGGAGATCACCCCTCACCGATCGGAACTAGTGGGGTGCTGTGTTACTTTGTTAGCGGGGGAGCTTAAGGACGCGTTCTTGTGTAACGCGGCGGTCATGATTCAGGGAATCGAGATTGCGACATGAGTTGTCACTTGTTAGTCCGACTTTCATAAGTTGGCAAGATAGATGGCTGAGTGTATTGGACTTGGTAGGTGAGTTATGTAGACTAACACAGAATAGTGCAAATGCTAGAATACTACTCGTAAGTTACCGCTCGACGACATCGAAGTCGCCGTTGAGTTCACTCAACTCCCTCTCAAAGTTCATCTGGATATCAACAACCTGCTGCAGCTGGCTGCAATCAAGCCTCCTCTTCTTATGCGCCGCGAGACTCTTCGCCGTGCGCACAATATTCTTGATCTGCCGACCGTTCAGCTCCCCCTCGGCAAGCCTCTCCAACCCGGCCTCGTCGACATCGACGCCGCCCTCGACCTTGGCCAGAAAGTTCTTCCACACCTTCAGCCTGCTCTCCTTGGACAGACCGTCGTACTTGAGCGGCACGTGGATCCGGCTCTTGAAGGCGTCGTCGAACGTCCGCACCCGGTTCGTCGTCATGAACAGGATCCCCGAGTAGTACTCAAGCGTGCGGAGGAAGATGGACACGAGGCTGTTCCGCTCCAAGTCGTGCAGCGAGCGCCGCTCGAGGAAGACGTCCGCTTCGTCGATGAGGAGTACGGCCTTCCACGTGCTGGCCAGGTCGAGCGTCTTGCTCAGCCTCTCGTCCAGCGTCTCGGCCGCGGTGCCGAGGTCGCCCGACGAGACGATGTACAGAGGACGACGGCTGAACTCGGCAACACACTCCGCCGTCAGCGTCTTGCCCACGCCCGGAGGCCCGTGGAGGACGAGGATCAATCCCTTGCCCTTGCCCTGGACAATGTCATCAAACGTGGACGCGGTGTGCTCCGCCACGAGCGCCTGCACCAACTCCTTCTGCGACTCGGGGAGGACGAGCTGCTCGAAGCACCGCGTGTTCCACTCGATGTCGCTAATCTTATCCACAAAGAAGTCCAAGAACTTCTTCTCGTTGAAGCTGAAGCCGCGGACCATGGAGGTGGCGAGCATGGCCTGCTCGTCCGTGAGGGGCGCAAACTTGACGGCATCCTGGGACACGAGCTCCGGCTCATCGCTGCCAGGCACTTCTTTCCGCTCCTGTTCGTTGGCCTCGAGGAACGCGGTGACGCTGTAGGCATCGTCCGCGCAGATGCGGTGGTGCGTGGCGGTATCGATCATCACGCGCCCGCTGATGTTGTGCTTGCTTCTTTGATCACCGGCCTTTTCGAGCTTTTCACCGAATGCCAGGCCCTTGTACATGCGGAAGTTCTGTCCCGCCAGCGACTCCCAGCGCCGACCGCGCTGCGTGGCGAGGTCGACCACACCGGCGGGGTCGGGGTGGCTGTCGAGCGGGAAGACCATCAGCGAGATGATCGGCACCGCGCCGCTGAACTGGCGGACGCCGAGGATCGCATGGCGAGTGCCGAACTGTTTGCCGTCGAAGTCGACATGCTCTAGATCGAGCTGAAGGGCTGGGCACATGCCGGTGAGGTACGTGTACTTCTTCAGCCTATACACCCGGTGTTGGCCGAGGCGCTTGCTGTAGACGAGGCATCCCGGGCGGAGGATGGCCCAGAGGTCCCCGTAGGTCATCAGCCCCTGCTCGAGAAGGTTCGCCGTATTCTTGATGGTATCCTTGAACTGTTCGTTGATGAAGTCAAGGAGGATCGGGAGGTGCCGGGCGCTTTCCGACCCCGGCTCCAAGTCCTTGGCCTTGGCCGCGAGCTCGTGGCGGTAGTGATAGATGCTGTGCGCAGGAAACTCGACAGTGATGTCCGAGGTGAGGTAGGACTGCCCCGGATAGCGGTCTCCGATCACTTCCTTGAGGATAGCCTTGAGGGAGGGAGAGTTGACATGCAAAAATGAGCGGGCGATGAATTCATTTTTGACGCTGTATTGGTGGATGACCTAAGTCGTGTGAGCAAAATGAAACAACCCGTAAAAACGAACTACTCACACAGAGCGCGTACTTCTCGTACCAGTTTGTGTTCTGCTCAGGGATATCTTCATCGGTGGGTTCGGTGATGTACCCGATATTCTTCTTGGTCCATCGTCTCTCGAGATGCTTCAGCTCTGCCCGCATGGGAGCCTTCTCGAGCTCCTCACGCTGCTTCTTCTGTTCCTCGCTGACGGCGGCATCCATCTCTCGTTTGTCATCGTCGTCGGCTGTCCGGTTGCCACCAAGCTGCAAACGGGCTCCTCCTCTTCCTAAGGCGTTGGGGTGGGGGGCCATGGCTCTGTGTGGTTCTTCTGGTGCTTGTGGTGGTAGGCGATGCGAGGCAGACTTTTTTGAAGGTTTTCCTTGCCCGAAGTGAGGAGGAAGAACAAATTCACCCGCGAAATTGGAAGACATCTTTATATTTCAGACTGTCAATGAGGTGCCTTCATAGTTGAAGAAGCTAGAGCCCAATAGCTCCATCTGAAACCATCACAAGGAGACACCGATATGGCTACGGTAGGCAGCCGTACCCCGCTCGGACGGGCAAGAGTCACCGGTAATGGGAAGAGTATCAAGCAAGAGCTCTATTGGGTTGGCGTGAGTCAGAATGACATCAAAAGGATCAGTTGCACTCAACCTCTCGAATGCACCCTCGGGGAAATGTGCTCGTTGCAGGGGGTGCGACATACGCAGTGCCGTCTGAAGAGCGGCGACTGCTGCCTACGTTGCCTCGGATCCTTCGCCGCGCCCCGAATGGGCGGCCCGGCAGCCTCATGTCCGGAGTCTAGACGCCGGGCGAAGGATTCGAAAAGGCGGATATTAGGCTGTGGATGGACGGAGACCGATTCCAAGGTAGAAGCGGTGACTGCAGATCTGTCTGCGTACGCTGTAAGGCCGCAATGACTCCTTTGACCGCTGTCTCGTATTAAAGGCAACCGGAGATGATTTATAGTCTCCGACTCCGTTTTGCCGGCATATTGTTGTTGAGGCGCCCGGAACGGGTGGCGTATTCTAACTGAACTGGTAATGGAGAACGGGTGTTGTTTGGAGCCCGCTGCCAAGCTTCCATGATGCCGATCGCACGCCCGATGCCGTCAGCGCCACATTAGCGCCACACTCGCTCACCTAGCTATGTGATCTTCAGCCACAAAGGTGCCAGTCCCATCCCGCGTTTTCGACGTGACTTGGGAGTTATTAGTAGTGCGTCACGGCATGAGAAGGACGACCAGAACGATTAGGACAAAGAAGCTCTTATGTATCTGACTCTACATACAGGCTGGCCTTACCAGCGCACCTCGTTATGGATGCTCAGCTTCCCCCTCCTCCGATCACGAGAAACGCAATGCAGCGAATGCGAAAATTGGTGTATCAATCGCCATGTGATGTTGCTCTATCCCCAAAAACTCCGTAATTATTTCATGCAAAATGCGTATATACAGCAATCAGACTGCTCAACGACGTGCCCGGTCGACAGCCGCAGCGCTCATGTTGCTGGCCTTCTCGACAGCACTGGTCATGGCCAAACCAACAGGCGTCTGGGAGCCGCTGGGAGCCGGAGTGTTAGTCCGCGTAGGGGGTGCGGAACGGTTGTGTTGCATGTGAGCCCTGACCAAGTGGCCGGCCGCCAGCGCACTACACAGCGACAGCTCACCAGCCAGAACACCAGCAGCAATAACACGAGCGAGGCGACGGGCGTTCTCGCCAGGGCTCGTTGGGTGGGGGCCGCGAACACCAAGCATGTCCAACATGGCGCTCTGCGGCTCGAGGATGGTGCCACCACCGAGGGTACCGACTTCCAGGGAAGGCATGGACACGGAGATCTGAAGAGATCCACGGAGGCTGGCAGAGAGGTTAGTCATGCTCAATGATATGGGACCAGGGTGAACTCACTTCTTCATGACGGTGATACAGTTGGCGCTCTCGACAACCTGGGCGGGATCCTGACCGGTGGCAAGGAAGATGGCGGCAACGATGTTGGCGGCGTGGGCGTTGAATCCACCGACAGAGCCGGCCATGGCGGAACCGATCAGGTTCTTGTTGACGTTCAGCTCGACCAGGGTATCGACGTCGCTCTTGAGAACGTTCTTGACAACATCGCCAGGAATGATGGCCTCGGCGACAACACTCTTTCCGCGTCCGTCGATCCAGTTGATGGCCGCGGCCTTCTTGTCCGTGCAGTAGTTTCCAGAGACAGAGACGATGTTCATGTCCTCGAATCCTTCGGAAGCCATGACGGACAGGGAGTGCTCGACACCCTTGGAAATCATGTTCATGCCCATGGCGTCACCGGTGGTCGTCTTGAAGCGGATGTACAGGTTCGTGCCGGCGAGGGCAGTCTTCATGGACTGAAGGCGGGCGAAGTTGCTAGTAGAGTTGAATGCCTTCTTCATGGTGGACTGACCAGCGTCGGAGTCGAGCCAGATCTTGGCAGCACCAGCACGCTCCAGGGTCTCGAAAGAGACACAAGGTCCACGGGTCATACCATCGGCAGTGAGAACGGTAACAGCACCGCCACCAGAGTTGATCGCCTTGCAGCCACGGCTGGTACTGGCAACCAAGACACCCTCAGTAGTAGCCATGGGGATGAAGTAGCTCTGACCATCAATCACGAGAGGGCCGGCGACACCGACGGGCAGGGGCAGGTAACCAATGACGTTCTCGCAGCAGGCACCGAAGACACGCTCCCAGTTGTAGCCGGCGTAGGGCAGCTTGGATCGCTCGAGGCTGCCGGTCAGATCAGAAGTGGCGTTGGTGCGGGAGATGATGCTGCGGCGGATCTTGACGGCGCGGGTGTGGTCCTTCAAAGCACGCTCAAGAGAGTAACCAGGGATCTTGCCACGGAGAGACATGCCCACAACTTCCTGATCGGACATCTCGTGGACGCGCTTCTCGTCAATCATCTTCTGCAGCTGGGCAATGGTGCGAGGCTCCGGGCTGTTGGCCTTGGTCATCGACAGTTCCGACTCATCGTCGGACAAGGCGGGCGTTGCGGGCTTGGGTGTTTCAGGGATGTACTCGCCAAGGGGCAGGGTCGCCGAGTCGGTATCGTTAAACTTCTCGGCCTTGGCCAGCTCCTTGGGGTCGATCTGGTGGTCGGGGGCGTTGGGGTCCTTGATGCCCAAGCGAGCGGCGTTGAAGAGGTAGCCGTTGAGAGCGACACTCATGGCGAGAGCGATGACGATCCACTTGGAGAGAACGGGGTCTTCCAGGCTCTTCAGAATGCTGCCGACCATGCGGCCGCCGACACCGTAGCTCTCGAAGTGGTCATACTCGTCGTCGCTCTGGGAGCCGGACTTGCTGGCAGGAGGGGGGAGGGCGTAGTGGATCGAGGGGTACTCGAGCTCGTACTTGATGGGCGTGAGGACGGTGACAATAGTCGGGCGCTCACCGCCCTTGGCCGACTCGAGAATAGCGTCAAGACCATTGGACGCAACCTTGAAAGGGTCGACGGGAGGAGCAGTGACAACGGCGCTAAGACCACCAGTCCAGGACGAAAGGCTCGGAAGAGAGCTCGAGTTGCGGAACGGAATGGTGCAGATGTTGATGACGTTGATCAGGATGAAGCCGGTGACCATGAGAACCTTGAACTTGGGGACGTTGCTGCTCTTCATCTGCCTGCCGAACAAAGAAGCCTCCTTGGGGGCCTTGCCGTTGAACTCGGGCCAAGCGCTGCTCTGGGCCACGTTTTCGGCCACGCGGTGGCTCACGCCGTCGTCCTCCAAAGCGCGGCGCATTTGCACGTGGCGCTTAATTCGGTTGATCTCGAGCTTGATGCTCAAAATGGCCGTGTAGAAGGAGAAGAGCAGGATGCAGTCGAAGAAGAGAATCCACGCAGCAAGGAAACAGAATTGCTGGAGACCGCCCTGAACACCAGAGGCAGCACCGAGAACGAGGATGCCGATCTCAATGGCGTAGTCCTTGACGATGTCGTAGCCCTTCTCCTTGATGGCGGCCTGCACAGCGTACTGGATGACATTGGGAGAGGAGACCTCGGATCTCTTCGAGTTGTCGCCTTTCTTGTTGTCCTTGGGCTTGCGGTGTTCAATGGCGTGCGAGAGGACGGCGCGGGTGAGAACAATGTTCTTCTCGAAACCGATGGTCACGACCAGGAAGGGCAGACCCTCCGAGAGCAGAACCATGGTGATGGGAACGCCAAGCTTGGTGGTAACCAGCAGACCGAAAAGGAAGGCGAAGACGGACGAGAACAGAACGTTGGTGAACAGCCAGAAGTTGGAGCCCATGCGACGCATCGAGAGGAACAGAGAGACGAAGGTGAGGTGCATCGACAGGTAGCCGAGGACCATGATGAAGATGTCCAGCGCCTCGGCGTTCTTGAGCAGGTCGATGAACTCGGTCCAGCCATTGCGAACCCATTGGACGAGGCTGTTGCGGGTGTGCACCTTGGCTGCCTTCATAATCCACATCTTCTTCTCCTTGCCGTGAACAGTCTGGGTCTCGTCGCTCGACACATCGGGGATCTCCTGGGCGAGAGAGAGGAACTCGGGAGCTTGAGAGTAGGGAACGGCGAAGGCGAGGGCGCTGTCCTGAGAGTAGCTCGTCAGGGAGTTGGAGGTCTGAGGTAGCGTGGTGACGGACAAGTTCTGAGGGATCGGGACGGCGTGGGTACGCGGGGCGGTGTTGACGGACTCGGGAGACTGGGACTCGGGGAAGACGAGGGTCAGGAGAGCGAGGTGGTCGACGTCTTTCGGGACGGCGGCCTCGGGCTCGACATTCTGCCATTTCCAGGCAGTCTCGGGGCCGGTCTGCAGACGACGGCTGCCCTCGGTGAGGGAGGACCAGTCGGCGGAGCGGACGCTGATTGAGGCATCGAACAGGCTCTCCTGCAACAGGCCAACGTACGAGGTGCTGGCGAGTACGGCAACGATGACGACAGTATGGATCGGGTGGGAGCAGGCGACCTTGGAGAGGAACTTGAGGCCGGGCGTGAGCTTCTTGTTGAGCCAGGAGGGGGCCGCCGCCTGCGCAGCCGGCTGCTCGCCCCTAAAACGGGTGGGGAGAAGTGTTGAGGATATCATGACGAAGGTAGCGGTGAATGAAGTCGTTGCGATTAGGAAGACATTTGAGGGTTCAACGGTCGAAAGAAAACAACGAAGGGGTAGTCTGGGTCGCAAAGTTAGCAATTGATGCTTTGTCGAGGGGTTCAAACTGATCCCTCGCGCCGTGTTGAATGTGCGAAGGGGTGGTTTTCGGACGGAGGGTGGGCAGGCGGACAGCAAGAGCTGGAATGGATGAGGAATTTTGAGTTGACCGTGTGGTGGTGTGCGGTGCGGTGCGGTGCGCGGCGCGCGGTGCAGGTGCAGGTGCGGGATGCGCTGCAGCTGCAATGCCAATTGGAGGAGGGTGCGCGTACCAATTCAGTTCAGAGTTGACAGCAGAGTTCCAGACGCCGTTGACGTCTTTCGTGTTCGAACTCGCAGTTTAGTGCCTCAAGGGACAGCACACAAACTTTTGTGAGGAGGTCGATCAGGTCGAGGACGAGGACCGAAAGGAGGAGCGAAACCAGAAACGAAAAAAATTAATAGTCGATAGTCAGGTCGTCGGAGATCGAGGACGGTCGGTGTTGCGGACGTGGAGGGCCGAAGTCGCAAGGAGCCGTTGAAGTGCTCAATCGGAGATGGTGTGGATTATGCGAAGCGCAGGTTTCCAGCGAGTCCTGTTGAAGAGGAGAGCAAGGTCGGAGGAGACTGGCGTGCTGAAGTAGAAGAGGATCTCTCTCAGTGCTCGCGATGCAACAGCGGCCAAGTACCTTTTCAGATATGGAGCCCAGGCTGGGTCGGAACGGGTCGAGGGGGTCGGAGAGGGGGGCGCTCAAGGGTGTTGAAGTCCTTGTCTCTGGTGTAAGGTATTCGTAGTGTACAGAAGTATCCGTACTCTGAAGGCGCAATGCGAAGCTGATTAGGAATTGAAGTTGACTCTCACTGACTCTCCCAAGTAAGGTGAAGGCCGTGGGTTGGTCAAAGTGGCGGGTAAGGAGGAGGAACAACTAAGACCTGATGACGAGGGAAGCACGAGGCGTTCGTGGAGGATGGAGGGAGGAGCAGGTTTAAGGATCCTAGGAGGCGGCGGACGACAAGAGCCCAGGTCAAGAAGGGAAACAGAGTTGTTGACTCCCGGATGCCTGTTGCTTGCTTGAGAGGACAGACGAAAGGGCGGACTTGGGACTTGGGGAATCCAGTCCAGAGTCGAAAAAAAAGAGCCAGGACCAGACAGCGACCAAAAGAAATTGGAACTGGCGGAGACGTAGGAGCATGAGGTACCTCTGTTTTGCGTGTGAAGTTGGTGGCAGAGAAAGTACTTTGCAGTCTAAAGCCAGGTCCACACGGGACGAAATTGAGTGATGCTAATCCCAGCAAGTTGGGCTGGATCAAGTTTGTGGTGGGCGTAGCCGTGATGATGATTTTCCCTCCAGGACGCAGGAGAGCGACAAAAAAAAAAGGATTTTGACGTGGATTGGCCTGGATTGGCAAATTTACCGATGATGGTCCGCCCCTCCATGTACCGCGGTACTTCCACCTCGTCTTTCCCTTTACGGAAAGGTGACTGGTGTGCCGAATTTTCCCGCAGGTGGGGGCCCTGTGCACACCGGCCCCCACATGCTGACTGTGATTGTGGACACTGCATGTACCTGCCCAACTGAGGTGAGCTGAGGTTGGGTACCTAATTCGAGGAAACACTGAGCTGCGAAATGGCCTACGGATTGAAATGCAGCTGTCTTTGGCCACCGGTTCTGACAGTCCTTGCCCGTCAGTGCTATTTGGCGTCGCTGTCAGTGCTGTCAATGTCCACTGGACCGGTGGGATTTCCTGCCTCAACGAGGTTGGCTTTGGCGGCTGGGCACTAGCACTGAGCACTTGGCTGTGGCATCCAAGACCGCACAGGTCTGTCGTCACCCGCAAAGGTCCCTGATGTGGTACCTAGAAGCTACCTACCTCCTTAAGCTTCCTTACGAGTGCCTAAGTTTGTCACTGCCTTATCTTCTGCAAGAGCCAAAATGCAACAATTCGGACGTTGACGTGAGCTGGGCTGCTTTTGCTGGTCAGCGTCGTAGCGGATGTGTCACAGGAGACTACTCAGCCTGAAGGACCTAGTTGCAGCGCCGCACAGATGGCGCGTCCTGTCTTATCCACTCGTTTTTCGACTTGGACGAACATGAGGAAGTTGGGAACCGGAGGATCGGGGTCCAGCTGGACATCAAAGCCAGACGAACACTTGGATTGGACCAGTCTAAGACAATAGCTTGAGGATCGCCACATTGTAGTTGCCTGCCACGCTGCCTAAACGGCGTAGCTTGTTGGCTGATGGTGTAAGTCGTGTTTGCTCAGGTCCCTCCTCGAAATCCCGTAGCGTGCCTAAGGTACCTACTGGCTCCGGCGTTGGTACGACCCGTTAGCGCTCCTCGGGCGTCTTATCTTATCAAGGCCGGCTCGATAAGGAATCTCGATGATTTGACATTTGCTGCCTCAACTTCTCAAGCAACACAATCGCAGCAGGATGCCAGAGAGCAGTAAAAAAAAAATACCAAGAGCACCGCCGGTGCCGCGTCACGGAACACAGACACAAACACAGACACGGGACCTGCTGCGGCAACTCTGTCGTGTAAGCTCCACGAGCAACACTTACAGAGGGATTATCATGACACCACAGACGCAGCAAGGACGCCAATAAGGCAGGGTCCCATCCGGCGAGACGACAAGCGTTTATCTTTCTCTTCTTCGAGAAAAGGTCAAAGTCCAACATAATACGTGTTGACGCTGCGGGAGAAGCCAGAAGAAAGGCCATAGCAAACGGTCTAATTCATTCTCTTATCAGGGACTATCTGTCTCCTTTGCAGCTGATGATTTTTGTTTCTTTTCCGTCGCAATTCCATCATCTTGAGCTGATCGGTACGTACCTCTCTGCTCTCTGATTTACACCGGGGTTACATTTTACGTTGATTGGTCATTTAACGGCGGTGGGCCTTGTACCCAGCGCTCTTGCCTGCTGGCAGTCCGACGGCACCACTGAACTGCAACTGAGGTGCGCTTGCCTTCTCTCGTGAACTGTCGACTCCTTCCAATACTTTCTGCTAGAATCAATGGATGGAACCGAAAATAATACATGCTGCACTTTTCTGACGTACTTTTCTTATTTCTCACTGCATCAACCACATGGCCATCCATCCAGCCACCAACACCTTCGGATTTCGGCTTTACCCGCCCCCAAATCCTTCCTTTGCTTCCATTCCTTCAATGGACACCAACTCTTACACACGATCAGCACCCTGGCTCAACCGCTTACTGCTTCGGCCGGTTTGCCTGCTTCAGCGTTGCATGTCTCGCTTCTCCAGGTTTTTTTTTTTTCTCCTCGACATGGACATCTATCCGGATCAGTCTCCCCTGTTACGTTTGCTTGTCCCGCTTCTGCCGTCCTCGACCTCGTCTTTATGCCTCATCTATCACCATCCGACGCGGACCTGATCTGACTTGCCGGGTCCCCAGTTTGTGTCTTCTTCCGGCAAACCATTTCCTACCGGCCCTCAGGTTGACACACATTTTTCAGATCAACATTGATTGCCAGCAATGTCTTGATTCTTGACAGATGCGCAACGGCGGGTACGGCCTGGCGGTGAAGCCGTGAGGGCATTCGCCGGCCGTTGATATCGAAGAGCTGCCAATGGGACGTCCATCAACATCAGATCTTTGCAGCCAACCCCTGGCGATCTCCTATTTTCTTCCCCGTCTTCCTCCTTCGCCTGCATAGGCCAGCTGAAGGCCCCTTGGCTCCCTGGACCCCCTGCCAACGCCGACTCCAGCGTCGCGGGGCCACGGAACCCTCGCAACGCGCCGACACCCAAGCACAGCTTACCACGTCTTCGGCCCAGCAGGTCCCTGTCAGCTGTCACTGGCTGCTGCTTGATCCTGGACACTGTCTGGTTCCTTCATCGCTGCTGGCTAGCGTTGGAGTTGGGGGCCATGGTACGCAGCACTTCTCACTGACTGGGCTGACCCAGAAAACACATTCGAGATATCGAGTCACGACCAATCGATGCGGGAAGAGCTGATAAACGTTGATACGATTAGCTATGCAACACGTGCTGTTTGCGCTATCTCATTCAAGCTTCGTCTTGTCATTCGTCGTTGTAAGGCTGCTTGGAAGCAAACACTACGACAACTACCTGAAGCAAACATGCGCTAGCAGCCCATGCCACGGATTCCCCAAAAGCCAAATACCAACAAGGCTCCCTGGAACATGATACACCATACGGAGGCCGTACGGACGGATACTTTGGTCGCATACCATGTTCAGAACAGGAAACGGGGACATTCGCAACTCGCCTGTTCAAGCAAACCGTTGGCTTGGCGGGAAATGTTGCATTTTTGGCTTTCGTCTCACAAGACGACACTCAGAGAAACGACAATGCCTCGGCCCTTTCATGCCCGTTCCGCCGTTCCAACCTTTCGGACCTCCGGCCCTTCGACACTGACAATCCTGACCCCGCTGGCCTCCAACCCGCCCTTACACTCGTCCCAACTCTTTGGGTCAACCGGCTTAGTTCCCTCTTCGACAATGAAGGTCCGGAACCCTTCCTTGCTCGCATCCAGCGCCGTGAACTTGACGCAATAGTCGCCGGCCAATCCGACCACGAATACGTCTGTGACGCCCTTCTCTTTGAGGGTTCCCGCGAGTCCGCTGTCGGCGACCCTCGGTGACCGGAACGGATCATAGAAGGCGCTGTACATCTCTACCTCCCTCACCTGGCCTTTCTCGATGATGGTGTCGACAGCCGAAGTGTCCAGCTCCGATACCAAGGCCGCGCCGGACGTGCCCTGGACACAATGCACAGGCCACAGGCGGGTTGGGTACGTCTCGGCGCTGTTTCGCGGGTTGACAATGTCGATGGAGTCGACGAAGGGCTCTTTGCCTTGATGGTTGGAGGCGAACGAAATGTGGTCTCGCGGATGCCAGTCCTTGGTGGCTATCTTTGTCACGAACGGCATACGCAGGAGCGAGTTGACGACGGTGTGAATGTCGCGGCCGCCGGCGACGGCGAGTGCGCCATGCTCGGGGTGTGTCAGTCATGTGTTCGGTGAAAGCATCCCGCCATTCTTTCTTGGCGGCTACACCACGCGGGTTTTTGACGACGCTCAGCCTCGTCCAGATCTCAGTCACTTACAGGTGGGCAGAAATCCTCCTGGAAGTCGACGACGATGAGCGCCGGCCTGAAGCACTGGTCCGCCATGCTGGCTGCCTGTTTGCTTGCCTGCTCGTTTCTCCAGCAGTCGCTTATGGGTTCAGTCACTCTTCAGCATGGACAGGCAGTGCCTGTGCGGATCGAAACGGTGCGACGTGTAGTCAGTACGGGTGGACTCGCGCTGACCAGCTTGGCGACTTGTGACTCTGGTTTTTTCGAGTTGGCGATTTGCGTGTTTGTCGCAGAGCGCAGCCTATCCATGGATCCATGCAGTGAGTGTTGGGTCGGCGATAAGGCTGGCCCGCATGTCCAAAACGCTAAGGTGTCTTATCTTGCTCCTATCAGGCCTTATCGCGGCGTTCACCTGCATCCTGCCTTCAGCGCTGACGAAAGCCGCGGCGGGGCCGTCAAGATGCAAATTACAGCGAGGTGATGAACGAAATCAACTTCTACAGCGGCTGGGGCGGCTCATCGAAGCGCTCGGATGCTCTATCTTATCACAATTTAGCAGTCGATTAACTGGCCGATTCATCACCAAAAAAGGTCCCACAGCTTGACTCGCACAATCAGTCCTTATCCCCTTGATCCTGTCACCGGTCCTTTGTCCTTCTTCATCGGGTGCTGACGGAAATGGGAGACCCTTTCCATCTGCAAGGGAACCGCAACAACCATCTTGCAGAAGAAGTCTTGTGTACTTCTGGCCTGGTACCCCAGCAGCTTCCCCAGCAGCAACAGCAGCAGCGCCACTTTCTGGAAGCTGAGATGCTTCCAAGTTCCACCGGACAGCACCGTTGGGGCTCTCTCCACTGACGCCGTGAGCCGCACCGAACACCTCCGCGTGGAGCGCACGAACGGCACGCTCATTCCGGGAGCTTCGCTAAGCTCACCGTGATTCACTCATGGTCGATATTATGAGACATGATCACATTCTACGGCCCATGTCAAGCTGGACCTCTCATCTCGTACCGACCAACAACGTGAGCAACAGGGCTTCACATCTAGGTGAAATCTGAACTCCGTTGTCTTCTTACGTACGGAATTCCCTCTTGAATTCAACAGTGGAGATCCGACGTCGGCCGCCTTGGTTTCAAGACGCAATCAAGATTCAAGAAACTCGTTCGCTTCACCCTGACAATCATTGCCAAACATCTCCTGGCCCGCCGATCGGGCACGTCATGTCTATCCCAGCATTCTCGGCGAACGACTTAGACTGCCTGCGATGAGACCAAGAGCTCATTTCTTGGACCCCTAAGCTGCTCACTCATACCTACAGCACCATCCAAGTGTGAAGCCTCAGCTTGAAGCTCATTGCCGAGATGATATTAGAACTGACCGAGCTGGAGCTCAGCACGCCTCTTGCACAGGTCCAGGCTAAGCGGTCTCAGCCCTGCCGTGTCGACCTCCAATCGCATCCCCACTGAGGTTGCTCAGCTACGGAAGCCCCCGAGCGCGTTGCCGCCGTGACTCGAACGCCACATCGGATGGCAGCCACTCCATCAAGTGACACGCCAACAGTGTGATGCAAACAGCGATAGTGTCACATGAGAGAGGGGACCGATAAGAACGTCGCGTCTTCACTTCACGGTGCTCTTTCAACCTAAACAACTATCCTGTGGTCTGAAAGAAGCCAACACCTCATCAAAATGCGTCTTTCGTTAACATTGCTGGCTGCGGTCGTGCCCTCGGTCCTCTCGTGGGGAAACGTCGGCCATCGTACAGTCGGCTATCTCGCTGAGAAATACTTGACGGATGAAGCTTCAGCCATCTTCGGCGAGCTGCTTGCCAACGATCGCAACTATGACTTTTCCGATGCAGCAACCTGGGCTGACACGCTGAGAGGTCACATGGGCTGGGCCAGCAAGTATCACTACATCAGTGAGCCGTTCTCATAACCGGAGCCTGAAGGTCAAACATACTCACGCTCACCAGATCCTCGCGATGACCCTCCTCATCTCTGCGGGATGAAGTACCCTCAGGACTGCCCCTCAAGCGGCTGCGTCATCTCAGCTATCCAGAACTACGTACGAAGCTATCTTTCCTTCTCACCGAATCCCAAACTAACCATTCGCAGACCGCCCAAATCCTCGACACATCCCTCCCACACATCAACCGCAAGAATGCAACAATGTTCGTTATCCACTTCCTCGGCGACATCCACCAGCCCCTCCACGCAACTGGCCTCCTCCGCGGCGGCAACGACATCCGCCCCGTCTGCTGGCGCCGCCAGCCCAACAACGGCCGCTGCACCGGCCCCATGAGCCTCCACTCCGTCTGGGACACCCAGATCCCGCACCGCCTCCGCGGCCTGCCGCCGCACCTGAGCATCCCCGGGGAGAAGGTGGCCGCCAAGTCGTGGGCGGACGACCTCTTCGCCCGCCACGGCGCCTCGGGCGTCAACACGACGGGCCAGTGCGTCGACCTCGCGCAGAGCGACTGCGCGCTGGGCTGGGCGACGGAGTCGAACGCGTTCGTGTGCTCGCATGTGCTGAGGCCGGGCCTGTCGTGGCTGACGACGCATGATTTGAGCGAGGGGTACTACGACCAGAGCTGGGAGGTTGTCGATGAGGTTATCGGCAAGGCCGGGGTTCGGCTTGGCGCGTGGTTGAATGCCATCGCTGCGAGGTTGTCTGCCGAGAAGGAGGGGCCGGTGTATGAGGAGCTTTGAGGGGCCAAGAGTCCTCGGTCGCCGGTTGAGAGGTGTCGTTGGAGTGTCGGGATGGATTGGGGGATATCCGGGCACTCGGGTTTGGTCTGAAGCCAAGAAGCCGCGTTGTGCGCCGCGGACCGAGGTGCATGCGGCCTGCATGGAGGATTGTTTCGACTCCTACTCGGGAGTCTGATTTTCCATCTGTTGTATCAGGTCTGCAGCTGTTGGATGTCGCGTCATCACGCTGCTTTTCGGCTGATGTCTACAGACTTGAGATATCATTCGGTGTCTCCTTTTCCGCCAAGCGTGGCGATGCCGGGCGTGTCAGTTCGGTGATATCCAATCGATACCGTATTCCCTGGTTTTGGATGTTCACGAGAATTCTGACATGGTGACTTGCCAAATTGAATTTCAAACTTACCGAATCGCTGCTTACAACGATGCTGCGGCTTTCGTTCGCCTCCTGACGTGAGACAGGTACCGATCACCGCCACGCTGGAAGTGAGTTCATGCGAATGGATCTCGAGATGACCGCAGTTTACCTATTCAAACAATACGTTTCCGCTTGAGGAATCCTGCAGCAAATCATAGGCTTGGTCATGAGCCGCACTTCTCGGCTTACTGTCATGACGACTACTGTGGCAGTCACAGACTTTACTGGTAAGTCCAAGTCATATTGTTCACGCTGTAGTGAGCGAAACGCATTCATGTTTGCTAGCTTGGGTATGAGATATTCGGGGTATAATCAGCCAAAGGCTGCCGCTTCCATTCTAACAGCCGATTTGACTTGACGTCAAAAGCTGTTCTATTCTATATATACTTGCTTGACTCAATCTATCTGGGTCATGTCATATGGTCCTGAGTTGGACAGGGTACTAGTTTACATTGAGGGTCTGAGGAACCCATGAAGGATATTGTGTTCTGTGAGTCCACTTAAGTATCCTTCTCTCCCGCGATCTTCTTCTCATCTCTGCCCTGGTGCAGGGTCGTGGCGACCTTGGACGTCAGGAACTTGTCCACGTCGGGGAGACAGAGAGCGCAGATCAGAGCAACAACAGAGAACCCGATATTGGCATAGAAGATGGTCCTGAACGCATCGGAGTTGGCCTCCTTGTACGCCCTCGTGCCCACCGCCAGGATCGTGTCCGTCAGCCCAGCCACACCCTCAAACGTTCCGCTCGTGAAGCCCGCAACGAAGTCCGGGACGCTGGACTCCGGAAGCCCCTCGGCAACAACGGCCGCGGGGACCATGGCCGGGATCGTCTCGGCGAGGCGGTTGCTCAGGATGGCGCTGTAGATCGACGCCGCGATCGCGCTGATCAGGAACCGGATGCTACCCGCCATACCGCTCGCACCGCCCAGGTTCCCCTGATCCGGCGCTGCGAGCGTGGTCACGGTGATGCTGCACCCCTCGACCCAGCCGTTGAAGAAGACACCGAACGACACCAGCACGGCCGCGCGCGTGACGGTGTCCGGGCCGCAGGTCGCCATGGCGGCGAAGCAGACGCCGCCGAGCAGCGTCGTGATCACGCACTGCCACTTCAGGTGGCCGATGTACTTGCCGGCAAACCCACCGACGACGTCGCCGACGAGGAAGAAGAGGGCGACGAAGCAAGACAGCAGAGGCCCGAAGAACGGGTTCTCCGGGTCGGAGTAGAGGAGCCCGACCATCTGCGGCCAGACCAGGGCGAAGCAGTAGTAGACGCCCGCCGCGAGGCCGGAGAGAACGGCGCAGGCGACCCAGCCGAGGTTGCGGAAGTAGCGCATGGGCACGAAGGGCTCGGAGAGGTCGGCGAAGGATTCCCAGACGGCAAAGGCCGCGACGGCGGCGACGCCGACGACGACGGTGGCGATGACGGCCGGCGAGGACCAGGCGTAGACGACGCCGCCCCAGTTCAGGCCCATCATGAGGACGAGGATGCCGCCGGTGTAGAGCACCGCGCCGACGTAGTCGAAGCGCTTGACGTAGGACCACATGCTTGCCTCGGCGCCGTGCTTCATGCGGAAGGTAGGCGGGTGGTAGAAGAGGACCCAGCAGAGGAGGGAGGCGGCGTTGATGCCGGTGAGGATGTAGTAGCCGCCGCGCCAGCCGGTGGCCGGGTGGTACTGGACGAAGGCCTGGGAGATGAGGGGCGCGAAGCCGGAGGCCGGGATGCAGAAGACGTAGCAGACGGCGCAGCTGGCGAGGCGGTACTGCATGGGGACGAGCTCGCCGATGACGTAGTAGAAGGAGAGCTGGGTGGAGGCGGCGACGCCGATGATGGTGGAGCCGGCGATGAGGGCGTTGACGTTGGTCGCGGTGGCGGCGACGATGCTGCCGATGACGCCGAGGGCGGCGCCGCCGATGAAGACGGGCCGGCGGCCGAAGATGTCGGTCACGCGGCCGATGACGGTGATGCAGACCGCCGAGGTGAGGGTGTAGACGAGGGCCACCCAGACGATGTTCGGGTCCTGGGGTCGGTGTTAGTGAGGTATGGGTCGAGGGAGTGGGTGGTGCTCACCGGGCCAATGTCCGCGTTGATGAGGGTCAGGATAGGGGCGGCGAAAGCGAAACCCGCGGTTCCGGCCATCAGACCCAGACTGATACCCAGCATGGAACCGACGAAGAACTTGCTGCGGAAGTATCCCTTCGGCAGAGCATCTTGGTCGATCTCGAAGTGGACGACGCTGTCAGAGTCCATGGAGGACGAAGAGAGGCCGTGTTCGGTGACATGGACGTTCTCCTCGTCATGAGGCTTCTTCATCACGGGGCTCTCCATTATGATGACTTAAAGATGGATGGTGAGAGAGGATGAGATGCCAGGCCGGGAATCGCAACTTTTAGACCTCGAAAAAGGGATTGAAATAGTTCGGCAGAGATACAGGGTCCGGCCCGGCCGAAGGGTTGCTTCCCGTCAGCCACGACAGGTCGGGGGGGTCCAGACCCCAGGAGCTGAAGATGACTATCCCATTGTCCGCGAGGTTTCAATGTAGGAAACCGTCGGGGGGTCCCTCATTGGCATGGTGGCGCGAGAGTGATAGAAGAAACCCATGTCAGAACTCAAGGGAGCCTCGTCGTGACAGCCAATGGGCGTCCAGCGTTCCCACGGTGTTGTTTGCTGCATTTTCCTGATCGGGATCGATAGCTCCGGGAAGAAGGATTGCCTGTGTTACCGCTCATCAGCCGACTGATACGGCCGCCAAGTTGGCAAGCAACATGCATTGTCGCTTGGGGGGGGGGGGGTGTTTTGTTGTTGGGGGTTGTTTGGGGGACGTCTGCGCCGCCCACGAGGACTTGCGGATGCAGGATTGTTTCCGAGGAGCGGTGAGGCTCTTTTCGGGGGACTCTGGCCGCGTGTTTTCGCCTCAACCCACGTGGATTTCACGCTTGTCAATTTGGCATCTGGGTCGTTGATCTGCATGTTCCTCGTTCGGCCCCTCCGTTGGTTCTGGGGGAGAATCTGTTGGTCGAGTTCCCACGGTTTCGCAAACTTGCGGTTGACATGTTTGTGAGCCTTTTTCATCTGCGAGTACGAGGAGGTCGAATATGAGCGCGGCTTTCGCCGTCAAATTTTGCCGTTCTTGTCATATATCCCGGTCGATTTGTGACTGTCAGATCGGCGAACAGGTCAAATCCAGACTTCCATTTTGTCTCGACCAATTACACGGCCTCCTAGTTCGCTTCACGAAACTTTGGCCCAACACGTTGGTGGACGCGATATGCTTCTGGCGATCTATCTAGCCAGCGCAACATATCAGGGGCGGACGTACGTGAGCGAGGCGCATATCACTGCCCTTGCTATTAATAACACCATGGCAGGCAACTCGGGGACTTGGAACTAGTCGGCGAGGAGGTTCGGGAACGACAAGACATCTGAAGGCTATGTTGAATACAGTGCTCTAGATTCCTGATCAAGTCGAAGCTCGTCGTTCGCAGAATGGGTGGCACTGTGGTGTCCGGAAAAGCACCTGCCTCTTGGAGCTCCGTGTAAGTCAATTTTGCTCTGATTTCCTTTCAGCAGTTTACTGCTCGACAGCCATGCCTGGAAGGAATAGCTTGTTCGAATGAAACGATAAATCCAATAGGATAGTCTTTCGTCACATCCAAGAACGACAGAGAACTCATGAGCCTTCGTGAATCGTGATCATACATGAAATCGCTGAAATCAAAGATTTTTGGGGAAATAAACAACCAACCTGTGACCCAAGTACTCAACTAGGTGCTCAGAACCAAAGCCCAAAGATCTCCAATTTAGCCAGAGCTTTTTGGCACATCGGAAAATTTTGCAAGAACGGGCCCCTTCGTCTCTGAATCCTTCTCAGTTGTCATTGTGTTGGCCCAAAAGCTCATATTGGACGCGGTGTCTGGCTGACCTGGATGATCAACCGTGATGACCACCGAACACGTCGACTGAGGACTCGGTTCGTTTTTGTCACGCTATGGGCGATATCTCTTTTGCGTAGCTGAAACCTCTTTAGAAAAGCCCTACTGCTAGTACAAGAAATCACCCGTCGATATGACAAGTCAATACTATGTCAATTCTTCTGTAGAACAATAGATGACAATGAGCTATCATTACGGAAATTGTGAAACTGAGCTTGACTCTTAAGGAGGTGAAATAGGATAGAAAAGCAGAGAATTCAGCAAAGGAGTGTCGACCGCGTGTTACGAAAACAATTCACATCCATTTGAAAATTCAGGGTGAAAAGTGTCTTGATGACTGGAATCGAAACGACACTACCTAGTATTGCTACAAAAGCCCAATAGGAAAAGCATCCGTCGCGAACCCGGGATTACTGACGTCGGAATTCCGTGTCGTCTGATAATATCCCGCCGGCTCCCCTCACGTTCACCGGACTTCCAAGCTCAACGTCCTCCAACCAGCGCCGGAGTGTGCCAGCAGCCGAGGCACGATAATTAGAGTAGGCGCCAAGGAGGCTTCTCCAATCGAGACACTGCACCGGAAACCCAGATATCAGTAGATCGTAAATAGTACATCGCATCAATCCTACCAAGCGAACCGACGCAGAAGTGAACCGACGTAGAGATGCGGGGTAACAGATGCACATTGACTGTCTGGCATTGATCACCGGCCGCTCTGTTTGTTGATTATCGATCAAATCCGATCTCATGATTGCCGAGGTTGAGAGCAATAATCATTGGGAATGACATAAAGGGTGGGCGTCGATGCCTTCGCCAATAGACCGGAGTGCATGCAATTCATATTGCGCAGCACATGCACGATAACTTGGCTAACAAATTGAACAAATCGTCAAAATGAGCTCTACCTCGATTCAACTTCCCGCCGCGTATGCCTCTCTCAGCCATGACAACATTTCGATCTCTCACGTGCCGGAAACCGCCCCGACGGCGACGAAGGTCGTCGTCGTGACTCTCAACCGACCGCAGAAGTACAACGCCATGACGTTGGACATGTTCACGACCCTAGAATCATTCTTCAACACCGTCAGCGAGGACGACAGGGTCCGGGCTGTCGTACTTACGGGCGAGGGGAAAGCGTTCTCAGCCGGCGCGGATCTCGACGTTGGGTTCATGGGCATGGTGGCTCTCAAAGAGACTGAAGATTCTATGAACAGCTTCCGAGACTGGTAAGATTACGGAGAGAATTTGTTGGTCTAGATGGTTGCTGATATATTCACTAAAGGGGCGGACGGCTGGCGTTGGCGATCTCGAATTGCAAGAAGCCCACCATCGTCGCGTTCAACGGGTCGGCGGTTGGGGTTGGTCTCACGATGTCCCTTCCCGCCGCCATCCGGGTGGCCTGGGAGGGCGCAAAGGTCGGTTTCCCGTTCGCTCGACGGGGGTTGGTTCTCGAATCGTGCAGCGCCTTCTTCTTGCCCCGACTCATCGGGCTTTCCAAGGCCTCCCATCTCGCCACGACGGGAGACGTGTACCCCGTGTACGACCCGCTGGTGAGCGGCTTGTTCTCGAAACTATTGCCCACGCCTCGAGAGACGGTTGAGTACGCGCTCAAGCTGGCGCAAGATATCGCCGAAAACACGTCACTGGTCAGCACGAAGATGATGCGTGACATGATGGTGTATTGCCCTCCGACGCCGGAGGATGCCCACATCTTGGACTCGAGGATCTTTGTGCAGATGGCCGGCACGAATGATAACATCGAAGGGGTGAAGAGCTTCCTGGAGAAGAGGAAGCCGGTGTTTACGGATACGGTGACGCGAGAGAGCATGCCGTTTTGGCCTTGGTGGGATCCGACGACGAGTGATCGGCAAATCAACAGGTTCGAGAAGGGCTCCAAGCTGTGAATGAGCCGCATCGGACGGGCCGGGAGGAGTTCGATTGAGAAATTTGTGCTGAAGGAGAGCATAACCAAAATGGCAATGGCAATCGTATGGTGTAGCAAGGCAGTCGGCAATCCAAAATCGGCATGGGCAGCATCCTCGCAGCAGCTTTGGTTCGGGCCTGCGCTCACAACCTACGCTGGTATTGATGCATGGAAATCATTTTGCTGTAGGAATTCAATGTCCGGATATCCATTACTATCAGAATGATGTCATTTGGACCGATAGTTCAGCAGAAATCATCTGGAAAGCGCAACCAGAAACAAGCATTGAATTGGTTCTTCTAAGTCGAGGATATGTGCCAGCCAGCCAGGTGTGTCTGCTTACCTCCCAGAAGAAAATGCTCTTTTTCTCTAAGATTCTCAGTGATTCTTTGGACATTCCATCTCTGCTTTTGTTGGAAGGTGGCGACAGCTGCCACAGATGGGAGCCTGTTCTCTTGATGTGATGTGCCTTCCCACCCTTCTGGACGCTTTGGAAAGCCCGTCGAGCTTGAACGCCCTCCAGAGGACCCGCCAGTCCTGCTTCCATCCGATTTCACAACGTCTTGTGCTCGGCGAGAAGGTCGACGAACTGCACTATTTTCCGCCTTCGAGTCTCCGCCCTCTTGGTCGTCTCGATTCTCCACAGAAATGCGTACCGTTGCGTCTTGCTCAAGGCATCGAAAAACTTGACTGCCTCCTTGTTCCCCTCCAACGCCGCCTGGAAGTCGAGTGGCACCTCCATGACGCTCGCAGAGGAGTAGGCCCTGCCCCATCGCCCGTCCGCCTTGGCAGCGTCGATCTCCGCTTGCCCCGGTGGCTTCATTCGCCCTGCCTTGATCAGGACATCCACCTTGTCCACGTTCCTCTTCGACCAGAGGCTGTTCTTCCGACGTGGCGTGAACCTCTGGATGAAGTGCTGTTCGTCGTGGGATTTCCGCTGCCCATCGATCCATCCAAAGCAGAGTGCGACGTCGAGTGCCTCGTCATAGCTCACACTTGGTCTATCAGCATTCTTTTTGGCTATTTGTACCCATAGGCCAGAGGTCTCGGAGTGGTGTTCGGTCAGCCATGTCTCCCAGGCTGCTTGGTTGTCGAAGAGGAGGGTGGGGATGGAGCTTGCTTGTTTAGAGGCGGTGGAGGCGGGAGTGAAGACGTCTAGTCTTGAAGATGTGTTTTTATTGATGTTCGATTGCGCTTTTGCGCCTGATCTTGTCACTCTGCTCATTTTGGATGTAATCGAGGATGATAAGCGAGCGAACCGGGACGTTGATGATGGCCGCCGGCAATGGAGATAATTGGCAAGGGAGACGGCAGTGACTGGCAATGGACTGCGCATGAGCTAGGAAGAGGCTGATGATGATAGAATGTAAAGGAAGAATAAAGGCTTGATCTTGATGAATTGCATCTACGGCAGGTGATCGGAGCTGAATTCAGCCGAGTCTGAAAGGATGAGGTGACGGGATGAAGTTGGGATGGCCAGGCAACAGCGGGGAACCCCTCCCTGCAGTGGCGGCAACTGTTGGCTGTCAAGTGGGGCCTTCAGGGCCTTTTTCAGGTACCGACCGCCTGTGACTCGCTGGAGATAACTCTAAATCGGTGCCGGGATCGTCTGTGCGTTGCCCGGTATCGATCCTGGGGAATCCTTATCAGATCGAGCTGTAAGTGATGTTAAGAAGTCGTCACTCAATAAGACTCGTCATGGCCTGGGGCTTTGCCAGCATGATTTTTTCTGATTTTTCTGTGTCTTCTCATCGTCTTGGGCTGTGTAGGAGACATCCTGCCCGTGGTAGGGGACGGGACGACCTGACCCTACGGTCGACCTGACCTTGACGAACCCTCTTACAGTTTTCCCAGTCAGTGCCGACCACCGCCCCAAAGCCGTTCCCCGACTAACTGGCTTTGGTAATTTTGGATTGGACCAGAAAGTCTTCCAAGTCGGTACGTTGCCTCTCCCGCAGGTACGTACCTTTGGGCGTTCGTCGGCACTCGATGGGATATGTGCCAGCCTTGCCCCAGACCACCTCACAGTCGGCTGTGGACCGTGTCATGATTTTCTCCATTACTGGTCCGAGGAGAGAATTTTACAAGCAGAAACCTCAATCCTGTTGAATTGGGTTGTCCCGGGGGATCAATGACGCCTGACGATGTTCTCTCCCATGCCCCAACATCCATCCACACAGCTCCGGCCAGGAGTGAGGAGTTAGGAGGAAGTAGCACAACGAGCTTTAGTAAACCGCGGAACATTTGGACAATATTCGAGTTCTCTGACCAGATTCGTCCTAGAATTGCCCTTGTTCTGTGATCGACCCTGCCCCCTCACCCTCTCTGTTCCCGAGGTGCGAAGGCCGGGGGCTGCCTGGTGTCTTGTATTGTATCTCCGATTACACATTACACCAATTTCTATCCAGGTCGAGGCGGCTTGCAATATTATCGTCGAAGCTTAAAAAAGGCACCGGGAGGTTGGCCAATTACTGACGACGAAAAATGGTCACGTCCCGGTTGTACCAGACCCGGATTCTAATTCTCATGGAGACTTCTCCGAAACCTCCAGGTTCAAAAGCCCAATCACCCCTGGTGATCCTGAATGCGTATTCATCTCTTCGACCATATATAAAGACCCCCGGTTCTCCCTACAATCCTTCTTCCCCTCATACAGTTTCAATCACATCGACTCTAGTCACTCAGAAGCTTCTCGATTCTCTGCGTCTAGCACTACACCACCTCTATACCCTCTCATTCGAACGGAGCGACCTCCCAGACTATTCTTCAACATGGCTCTCGTGTCCAAGATGGCTCCCATGGCTCCCATGGCTGCCACCATCCCCGCCACCAACGATTACCCAGCTCCAGCTGTCACGACCAATACGACGGCAACGAAGAAGCGCAAGCAGTCCTCCGACACGTCAGGCAACGAGGACACCACCAAAAGCCGCAAGCGTACTCGTCTCACCAGCCCCTGCTACTGCTATACGAAGGCCCCCAAGAAGAACGAAACGAACCCAGTCACCCCCCCTCGTCAGAAGAAGCAGATCGAGAAGCTTCCCGTCAACTACCCCTTCGCAACCACCGACGAGCAGATCGACCTCTGGACCCCCGAGGAGATCGAAGAGCGGGAAGAAGCTCTGCTCGAACGAAGAAAAGAGTTTGAGGAAAGTCTGGCCGCACAGTACGACACGAGCGACGATGAGAGTCCCGAAGAGGACACGAGCGAAGACCAGATCCCCTTTGAGGAGCACGCGAGAATGTACTACGCAGTACCTGAGAAGGATCGTGTTTATCTCTACGATGTTCTCTTCAACAAGTCCTACCTGAAACGGTCAGGTCGGGAGTCCTCATGAGGCTCTCGGCCAGTGAAAGGCATGGCCTCGGATATTGATTGAGGAGGGAGCATGGTGTTTGGTATGGATTACCTAGGCTACAATGCCCTCTGTTTCTGGTATGGGGTTGGGTAAAATGTGTATTCTTGGTTTATTGTGCGGGTCGTGATACAAGACGGGGTTTTCTCCCGGTGCATGGAGTCTAGTCTAGATTGCCAATGACACTGGGTTTCCCTTCATACCACTCCTCTTCGGTGATTATGTGTGCATTTCGTTACCATGTTATACATTCCTTCTCGTTTCAATGCATATGTTTCTCCCAGTATCAATACTAACGTGAAGGCTGGCTGGACAGTCGGAACGACAGCTGCGATGGGAAGCCCGTCTCCATGTTCACGGATGGAAGATTTATGTTGCCACCTGCAAAACCTATCAAAGTTTAATTGAAAGTGGCTGACTGACTCCAACCAGTCCCGGAGTGCAAGCCATAAAACATAACATTATCCACGTATATTAATCACATGTAGTGTTGTCCCGGTAGCGGTAGGGTGATTCAAACGTTCAAATACCGTTGCGCAGAATGTCACGTTCTTATAAGAACATGTGAAGACATTTAAAAACCAACAGAATATCATAAGACATCTTCAATTTGAAATTAGTAAACCAGAAATCGTTTCCATGATCAGGAAATAAGTAGACATCTACAAATAGCCCAGCGCCACACGCCCTAGTTGTACAATCCCTTTCAAATCCATATAAGCAAGAATAACAAACCACATCAAGCCTCCACCTCCCTGAGCAGTCTCGGGTACTTGTCAACTCCAGGCTCGTCAAAAGTCTCAATCAAAGCAGCCACGGCCGGGTGCATGCCCGCTGCCACAACTGCCCTAGTCCACTGCTCCATCGGCAGCACGTCATACTTCTTGCCCGTCTGCCTCAATCCAATCTCCGCCATGCCCGACATGGGAATGATGATATCGCCGACGTTGTTCACAAAGGTAATGCCCTTGTCCGTCTTAGCGGGACACTTGACGGTGTCCCTGAGCAACTCCCGGATGACATCGTCGCAGCACGTCTCGATGGAAACGAGGTCGAACGCGCCGGCGTTGTACTCAACCCGCGGTACCGTTCGGGTCTTGTGGGCGTAGTGCAGCAGCGAGTTGACCCAATCAAGCCCAGCCTCATCGGTCTCGGCATCGTCGCCTTCGCGGATGATTGTCGACGGACGCTGGACGACGACTCGCAGCTGAGGGTGTCGTTCCATCAGGCGCTCAAGCATCCTCTCGCAAGTCCACTTACCGCACATGTACCCATGCGCGCCGTCCGCCGGGGGCGTCTTGCCTGTTCCCGTGCACGAGGTCGGAGGGAAAGCCTCGAGCCCGGCAAAGAGAGCCACGCCGGCCGAGGAGACGTAATGGAAGGGGACCATGCGTCGCAGACAAGCCCCAACGAGCTGACGCGTGGACTCGACGTTGGCTTGTCGGAGGGCTGAGTAGTACTTCAGGTGGGACGTGTCGGAGCCGTTGTGGATGACGGCGTCGACTTCGCCGAAGATGTCGGCCCACTCGTCTTCGCGAAGACCGAAGCGGGACTGCGAGAGGTCGCCCTCGTGGTAGACGACGCGGCCGCCTGCTGAGGGGAGTCGCTTGGTCTCGAGACGCTCCGGTAGCCGACGAACAGCAACGCATATGATCTTGCGGACGGATGGTTGTGCGAGGAGCGAGTTGAGGAGGTGGTGTCCGAGCAGACCGCTGCAACCGGTTAAGAGTACGACTTCCGGGTTCGCCTTGGGAGCGGGGGCGCTGCTAAGGTCGGGAACTGAGGTGTCGGGCTCAGGGGGAGTCGTCTCAGCCGTCCACTCGACAAGAAGGCTGCTGGTGACCTTTGGTTCAACATCAAATGTCGACTCTGGGGGTGTGGTGACTCCTGAGGACAGGTCGTTGCTGCCGGTGGACTTCGGAAGGACACTGCTCGAATCCTCGCCGCTGCTGCTGCTTCCGCTGCTGTTGGGATTGGGGCTCTGAGGGCCGTCTTGCTGGAGTTGAGGAACCAGCTCGGATGGAATACCTTCAACGGCCAGGTCTACCAGGCTAGACATGCGGACATCGTTGGCCATGATCTTGAGGACGGGGACGCTAACTTGGAAGTTCTTCAGGAACCACGATCGGACGTCGACCGAGAGAAGGGAGTCGAATCCCAATTCGACGCCCCGCATCATCATCAGGTCATCATCGCCGGTAGAAACCTGAAGCATACGACGCAGCTGGGTGCCGTACGCTTCCTTGACAACCTGAAGCACCTCCTGTCGTGATCTGCACTCGCGGAGGAGGTCCTGGATGGAAGCCGAGTTCGTCTTCTCCTGTTTGCCGTCACCGTTGGAGATTGACTGCTGGACGAGGAAGCGTGTGAACTTGGGGTCATGGTACCAAGGCGGGATATTGGCCATGTCGGACGTGATGGGAAGAAGACCCGTGGAGATCTCCGGCCCGTTAGGGTTGTCGAGATGGCCGGCTTCCATGCACTCGGCGAAGATCTGGTGGAAGTCCTGCTCTGAAAGATGCATCATGGCCGTCTTGGCGACCGTCACGTCAAGCTGGCGCTCCGACTGCGTGATGTAGCCGATGCCAATGATGGCACCGACGTTGACAACAGACGAGCGGAGGCCGCGCTTTCTGCGGTTGCCAGCAACACCAATCATGCCCATGTTGGCAGCGGCGTAGTTGGCTTGGCCGACGTTTCCGATCACGCAGTTGATGGAGGACAGGAGGACGAAGAAGTCAAGGTCGACGTCGTGGAAGATGCGGTCTAGATGGATACTGCCGAGGACCTTCGGTCTGGTGACGTCCGTCACCTGGTCGAACTGCATGTTCCGCACGGAAACATCTCTCAAAACCATCGCGCCGTTGAGAAGACCAACGATCGGCGGCAGAGTGTCGACGATTCTCTGGTGTACGGCTCTGATGGCCTCCTCGTCTGTCACATCACTGCGAAGTATTGTTAGTCATGGTCTATTGCAAATTCGAGAGAGAGACATACCATGGCATGATGTGGATGTTGACACCGCAACGCTGATGGTCCTCAACCCATCGTCGGTCAATCTTGGGGTTTCTGCTGGTGATGACAAGGTGTCTCACGCCTCTTTCAATCATCCAGTCGAAGAGGGAGATGCCCAATGCTCCGGACAAGCCGACCAGCCAGTACGTCTTGTTTGACTTGAACAGCTGCTTCGATTCGAAGCGAGCAACACGCGCACATAGACTGGCAGACGAAGGTGTCCAGTCGATAATCGCGAGGGGGTTACCTAGGAGTTCTCCGTTGGCAAGAGCCTCAATGTTAACAGACTTGACTTGGGAAGATAGATTGTGACCCTTGCTGCTGTGTTTCTTGATGGAGGCAATAGCACGCTGCAATGTCTGTCCCAGGAGAGACCCAGGGGATCCGATCTCCACACCACGAGGGGAGTACATGGTGCGCTTGTCTTCTCTGCGGCAGTACGGCGGAAGAACAGACATCATCGTCAGCTCAGTCTCCGAAGGCTCGATCCCAGTGGAATAGGCGACAAAGCAAGCGACGTCGCGAGGGAGCATCTCGGCAACTTCAGAGCGCTCCAGGTAGCTCGGCAGTTTCAGCTGATGTACCGCGGACGAAGAAGGCTCTTCGGAGTCCGTCGTGAGCGTCACGTTGACGCCCTTGGACAAAGCCTGAGAGATTAGTGCTTCCGCGACCACATCCGTGGCGTTGTGGGCGACCAACTTTTGGCCTGCGAGAAGCGAATCCACAACGGTCATGGCAGAAAGCTCAGCGGCCACAAGAAGCAGCTGAGCAGTCTCGGAGCCATCTGGGACTTCGAAACGCACAGTTGACTCGACAGGAGCCTTCAACACGGAAGTCAGAGAGGTGACGAGCGACACATGTCGAGCACCAGCTTCGTCGACGCCCAGCACGAGGAAGTGATAGCCTGCTTGGCTTCGGAGAGCAGATGACACGGCGTGAGTAACGCGCAGTTTGATAGTCTTTCTGCTTGAAGAATAAGGCACGAGTCCTTCGGCCGTCTCGTAGCGTGAAAGCTGTCGAAGACAGACGCTGCCGCTGTTCTGCTGTTGCATTTCAACGACGGACTTTTGGGAATCGACTTCACGGAAGATGGATCTCGAGTCGGAGTTGAGGCGGTCGTTGGCATCCGCGATCGGGAACAGTCGCGGCACAAGCTCTCGGCCTTGGTCGTCGATAATAATCTCCGGCTCTTTCACGAAAAGAATGTCGCTGGCATCAAGCTGCTTGGAGGTGAATCGAAGGAGATATTGGGCGATCAGCTGGGCGCTGGCCTTGCTGGCGTCTGGAACGTCAAGATACTGGACGCGCAAGGTTTCGTCCTCGTGCATGGCCGATCTTCCGAAGCCGACTGTCATGTTACAGTATGGTTCGTCTTGAAGACGCCCACTAGTGAGCCAAAGGATATCCTTGCCCCCCTCGAATAGCTTGCGGAAGTTATACCATCGCTCTGGCGTAACGTCTTTGAACACAGGGGTCTCCAAGTCCACAAGACTGAGAACGACGGAGTTGGTGTCGAGCACGGTTTCATCGAGCTGCTCCAAGGACTTGAACGCGATAATTTCCTTCGCGAAGGGCTTCAGCACGTCGCTAATACCATCTGCCAGAGCGGCAATCTTGGTTGTCTGCCCGCCAAGGATGATAACCCTGTCGTACACGGTACTTCTGGTAACGGTGAGAGGGTCCCGAGCAAGTTGGATGCGGTCATCAACGGCAGTTGAGACGAAGAGAGTGATGCCGAAGGCGTCGAAGAGTCTGGGCGGCGACATGGTGTCAACACCCGAGAAGCCGTTGTTCCGGAGAATGACTTCCCAATCGGCGGTGTCAACGAGAGGAGAAAGGGTTCGGCCCTCCTCGACACCGCGCCACCAGCCCGGCAGAGGCCCGAAGATGAAGCCTGCACCAGCCTGCATGGCACCATCGCCGGCACCTTCACCGAGAATGAGCATTCCGCCTGGCTTGAGAAGCTTGCGCAGGTTTGCCACTGCTTCTCCTAGCCGGGCGCAAGCGTGCACGACCATGAAGGCGACGACGACGTCGTAGGTGCCGGGCTTGAAACCCTGCGCGACGGGGTCATCTTCAGCGTTGCATACCTTGAAGATCATGCGGTTACTCCAACCGGAGAAGGTCTCGGCCGCATTCTCGAAAAAGCTAGAGGAGATGTCGGTGAAAGTGTACGTGTTGAAGTCGTGCCCGATAGTATCCAGAATGCGCTTGGTAGCACCACCAGTGCCAGCACCAATCTCGAGAATGTTGAGATGAGGGTTCCGGTTCGTGAGTTGCTTGATGACACTGCCCACCCACATGGTCGACTGCTTGGTGCCGAAGCCATTGGCGTAGTATTCGTCAAGAAGACCAGACGTACGGAAGTGCTCGAGCATGGTTGTTTCGCCTCTGAAGACGCGAGGCATGGTCTTTCCAACGAGAAGCATGATCCTGACGTCTGAGTTGTCCATAACACCCTTAGCTCTGACGTGATCAAGGACGTCCTGTTCCGTATCCTTCAACCACTCCTTGTAGGCCCACTTGTGCTCTCCACGTTTGAGCAGGTTGGTCATGTGCTGAGCATAGTTGAGGTAGTGGCAGAGCGGGCTCTCTGATCTCGCAGGATGGTTCTGGGGGACAGTGTCATCGAATTGTCTCAAGTAGAACGCCGCGATACGGCTGAGAACAAAGACAAGATCGCGATCAAGATCTGTGACAGGCACGTTGGCAGCTGCGGCCGAACCATCGGGTTGGCTTGGCACCCAATGCATCTTGTAGAAGACGTCTCGGTCGTTGCTCGCGTCAGAGGCGCCGACGGGCTTGAAACGGACTTGGTCAACCTGGATGGCTGCGCGCGACAGGCCGGACGTGTAGATACTGACACAGCCTGAAAAGCCTCCGCTGCTCTCTCCATCTCCGTTGGCAGTACCGGAGCCTCCAGAGTTGGGGCACATGGAGTCCAGCAGCGTGGTGTCTTCATCCGTATACTGTCTGGAAGCCAGCGCGGCGGGATCGATCCTGACCTTGTCGATGCTGGATGGCAGATGGAGCAGTCGAAGCCTGTCATCTCCGGGATAGCTGTATGCCAGCATGACAGACTGGAATGCGGCGTCAAGGTCGACGGGATGGATGAGGAGGTCATCTGCATCAGGTGCCGAGGCCGATGTTCTCGCCTTGTTGGCAACGCAAGTCGCCCTGCCAAGTTTTCGTTCAAGCTTGACGAGAGATCGGAAGGCACCGGAGAAGTTGTACTCGAGGCCAGCCATGAAGCCGTAGAGACGAGATGAATCGACGGGAATCATGTGGGGCGGCTGAATGCGACGCTCAGGCAGAACAGGAGAGGGGGCTGAAGCTGAGTCGTTGGCATCACTGTCTTCGCATAGAGAAACTCTCAGCTTGCCGTCAGCGGCGAGCGCCAAGTCGGCAGAGTCACCTCCCAAGGCAGCCGAGTAAGTGAAGGTAGCGGTGACGTGTTTGGCCTTGACGGAAACTTGGGAAAGTTCAATCTGAATCTCAACGCATGCGTCTCCCTGGTCGAAGGTGATGGCGTTGTGGATGTTGAAGTTACTGAGCTCAATAAGACGTATGGTCTTGCCTCCGGACAAGGAGCGAGCGGCTTCAACGGCGGTGGAGACATAGGCTGCAGCCGGAAGAACAATCTGACCCTGGACCTGGTGTCCCTCGAGCCACGGCATCTCGCTAGGCTTCAAGACGTTCTTCCATCTCAAAATGTGAGCGGCGCTGTCCGGAGAGAGGTTTCCAAGAAGTTGATGGTATGTCTGGTCACGGAGACGCATACGGCGGGACCTCCTCGACTCAGCCCAGTAGGCAGTCTCGTGTTTCCACTGGTAACTCGGTAGATCACCAAGAACAGTGAACTGACGTTGCTGCTGGCTGTATCCCAAGAGGGCGGCATCACAACCACTCAAGCTGACCGAAGCTTTATCGAGATGCATCCAGAGGAATCCGAGGCAGTCGGAGACGGCAGAGGTGGCATCACCGCCACGTTGGAGCGTTCCATGGTACGGGATCTTCTTCTGTAACGTCTCGCTGATGTTCTGCAAAGCCGGGCCAGCAAGTGCGGGATGAGGCCCAACTTCGAGAGCAACGGCAGGGGTGTCGTCTCCTCGGATGACCGTGGCAGACGCGGCGGCTTGTACCGCTTGAGCGAACAACACCGGTCTCGTCATGTTCTCCGCCCAGTACGCATCGCTCAGCTTGTCGCCCGACTCAATCGGTCTGCCGTTGAAGACACTCGAGAACCAAGTGCACCGACTGTCTCCCGGAAGCGCCTTGACGCCGGCTCGCTGGAGAGACGCAACGTAGGGGTCGAAGCAGGGGAGCATGTGCTTGGAGTGGTAGGCCACATCGACTCTAAGACGTCGGTTGAACTTCTTCTCGTCCTCAAGAATGACCTCGAGCTCGGCGATGGCGTCTTCGTCGCCCGAGATGGTCACACTTGATGATGAGTTGACGGCGGCGATGCCCAGACGACCGGCGAAGTCCTCGTCTTCGCACAGCTCAGCAGCGTCTTCTGCCGAGGTTCCGGCGGCCAACATAGCGCCTTTCACTCCGTTCGGGCTCGCAGCTCTCTTGCAGTGTAATCCTCGGTAGTATGCGATGACGATGGCATCTCGGGCGGTTAAGAACCTGGCAGCGTAAGCGGCAGCGATTTCACCGCTGGAGTGGCCGATAACTGTGTGGAACTGTACGCCGGCTGCCCGAAGAATGTCGACCATCATGATCTGAATGGCTGTACAAAGGGGCTGCGAGACAGCCGCATCACCGATCCGGGATGCGGAGGGTTCAGCAAGCAGTTCAGCTAGCATGGTCCAGTCAGGGCGATCCTCATCAGGAAGCTGACTGAGTTCGTTGTCGAGCTTCTCAATAATGCCTCGAGCAAAAGGCGAACTCTCAATGAGCTCGGCTCCCATGCGGGCGTACTGGGCTCCCTGGCCGGTGAAGACACCCATGACTTTCGAAGACAACTTGTTCTTGGACGTTGCCGCCCACGTTCGTACTCCAAGAACATCGGATGAACCGTTGTCCAGTCGAGCCCGAATCTTAGAACCAAGGTCTTCCAGCGACGTCGCCGAGAAGGACACACGATACGGGAGGATGGACCTACGTTCCCTCAGCGTGTAAGCCAAATCGCGGACATTCGTCTCAGGATGGCTGTCGATGTAAGACACATAGGCGGAGAGGTTGGCTCGAAGAGATTCTTCTGATGCCGCCGAGAACACAAACGGCGTCAGGGCCGCGGAGGTATCATTGGAGCCATTGCTGCCCGGCGGTACGTAGCTTTCGAGGATGGCGTGAGCGTTCGTGCCGCCGAAGCCAAAGTTGTTCAGACTGACTCGCTTTGGTTGACCCGGGGCAACTGTTGGCCATGGGAGTGGTTGTGTTGCGATCTGGATGTTGCCATAGAAAGGTGCCACTGCAGGGTTCAGCCGGTTGAAAAGAAGATTCGGCGGCACAGTAGAATTCTGCATGGCCTTGACACCCTTCAAAAGAGCTGCAATGCCTGCAGTGCCCTCCGTGTGACCCAGTACGGTCTTTATCGAACCGGTATAGATGGGCCCGTCTTTGGCCTCTTTTCCAGCACCGAAGAAAGCGCTGCTGAGAGCTTCAGCTTCAACAGGATCTGCGAATAAGGTCAGTCATCTCTGAATAATACACAGTACTAAGTTGAAGGATAAGACATGTTACTTACCACCGGCTGGCGTTCCGGTGCCATGTGCTTCAATATACTGCGGCCAATGGCTTGGGTTCTCCGGATCGAGACCGGCTTTCTTGTAGACGCTGTGAATCAACGCTCGCTGCGCGCTGGCGCTCGGCATCGTCAAGCCTGGCGTGGCTCCGTCTTGATTGACGCCGGTCTCGCGAATGATGGCCTCGATCCTGTCACCGTCCCGTAGCGCTTGACTGAGCGTTTTGAGGACGACAGCGGCTACTCCGTCTCCACGAGCGTAACCGTTGGCATCGGCGTCCCACATCCGGCTGAGTCCATCTGGAGAAAGCATTTTCAGCTTACTCTCGATGATGTACATCTCAGGGCCCAAGATGAGGTTCGAACCGCAGGCCACAGCCATCTTTGAATCTCCGGCGCGAAGGGCCCGGACGGCCTGGTGAACAGCGACTAAACTGGAAGAACAGGCGGTATCAATGGTAACCGATGCGCCGTGCCAGTCGAAGAAGTAAGACACGCGATTTGAGAGGACTGCGCGTGATGTTCCCACAGCAAAATAGGTAGGTGCTTGGTCCAGGTCGCGAAGGAGCATGGCCTCGTAGTCGCCGCACATGAGACCAGCATACACTCCGGTATCACTCCCGCGGAGACCTTCGATACTCAGGCCGGCAGATTCAATGGCTTCGTAGACTATCTCCAAGAGCATGCGCTGTTGCGGATCCATCGCTCGGGCCTCAACGGGGTTGATGCCAAAGAACTCGGCGTCAAACACCCGCAGGTCCTCGTTGAGCAGGTAAGAGTGTAGAACGTTCATGTGTCCATGTTGTGAGGGGTTTTTGTGGTAAAAGCCTTTGGCGTTAAACCGACTTTCTGGGATCTCGCTTCTGACGTCTCGTGGTTTACTTAGAAGTTCCCATAGTTTCGATGGCGAGCTGGCATCGCCGGCAAAACGGCAAGAGCTGCCAACAATGGCAATGGGCTCTGAGGCCAGGGCTGAACTGTTGGAAGGCATGTCGGCGTTGACAGGCATGGTAGCGTTGTGTTGGATGAATGAACAGGCGGTCAATGTGCTGATGATATTGAGAGAATCCTAGCCGAACATGCAAGTGTGATTGGGAGTCTGGGTCTTCGAGTTGAGCTGTTGAGCTGGACCCTTGAGAAGGTTTGAGAATGGCGCGGCCTACTGAGATAGCCTCTGGTTGACTGTCGATTTGCTTTGAACTAAGATCAAGGGTGTGTACATGAACTCTAGAGTTGGTAAACAGAAGGTGAGAAGTACATATATCTAAATTCAAAGATGACCGTCTACATGTCAGCAGGTTGCAGCCTCGATGTCGTTTTCGTAGTCGTGGTTCCTGCAACTGACAGACTTGCTTAACCATGCACAGGCTGATTGGAATCTCCCAAAAGCCCCCACCGGATCACAACTTTCGTCTTTGGCGCCGGCCGGCGTTGTGTCTTGGTAGGCTTCGGTTTCCTGTTACGGAAACAGGCGCCGGTTCCGTTAGGCTCCGGTTACTCTTGTTGGAGACCGGCGCCGAGTTTCCAAGGGCCGTGTCCCACGACATGTTTAGTTCCGACGGGATATTTCATGAACTCAATTCGCAGTTTCGTAATTGCCAGGTAAATGTTTTGCCGCTAGTGGGGTTTGCATGAAACCGCTGAACTCAATACGGCTTTTTGACTCAAGAGCTTCCGAATCTCTTCACCAGGGCACCCTCTCGAAGACAGATCAACTCCCCTTGTCACTACTCAACCGGAGCTTAGGATTTCTCGTGTAAATCGGCATGTGAATTCGATATACTTCATCATCTACCTGTCTCGTTGCTTGGTGTGATTGCGTGCAACAGGTGTCTAACATCGACGATTACGAACAATGGCTGTCCTATCAGCAGTCTCCTCGACGGGGTTGATCTCTTACCTCCCTTCAATTACAGTAGCACTGGTATGTTGCGTTCATTTCAATCAAGCGTATCGGAATCAGACGTCTAACTGTTGATTGATGCAGCTGGTCAGCTACATCCTCGTGCTGCGGCCACTCCGAAATGTGCTCTTCCATCCGCTCACGAAATACCCCGGGCCTAAGCTCTTCGCAGCTTCCTCACTACCATATGGCTTCTGGTACATGACGGGGAAATGGCACACGAAAATCAGGCAATTACATGACAAATACGGCCCGATAGTTCGAATCGGACCGGATGAGCTCTCGTATTCTTCTCCCGAGGCCTGGGAGGACATTTACGGTCGTTACGTTCCAGCCAAACGCAAAGAGAACCCAAAGCCCGTTTGGTACTGCTCACCAGATGCCCACGACATGGTCGGTGCCAGTCTTGGTGACCACGGTCGCATGCGCCGGGTCATGGCCCCAGGCTTCACCTACGGCGCCATGTGCAAACAGGAGCCTCTGATTCAAGAGCACGTCGATCTATTTCTCAAGCGACTTAACGAGATGTGCGGCAGCGATGGAACTGTCGTCAATATGTTGGAGTGGTTTACTTACTGTACCTTCGACATGATCGGCGACCTATCCTTTGGCGAGCCATTTGGCTGTCTTAAGAACTCGATGTTACACCCTTGGCTCCAGCTGGTCTTCGCAAACATCTACGTTACGCATATTCTCATGCTTTGCAAGCGCATTCCCTTCTTCTACCTCTTCTTGCCCATCAAGACCACCGTTCAGCTGTACCGTGACTTCACCAAACACGTCGTGGTGTTGAGGCAGGTTGTCGAGCGCCGCTTGGCTAGCCAGTCGAAGAGAAACGACTTCATGGACGTCATGACATCGAATCCGGGCAAAAGTTTGTACATGACGAACGAAGAAATCTTCAAAAACGCCATACTCCTCACTGGAGGAGGGGCCGAGACGACTTCCAGCTCGTTGACGGGCATGGCGTACATTCTTGCTACGAGACCCGAAGTCAAACGCAAGGTAGTCGAAGAGTTACATACCACGTTTCCCTCGGAAGAAGACATCAACATGCGCAGTGTTGCGCAACTGACGTACACCGGCGCTTTCATCGAAGAAGCTCTCCGATACTATCCTCCCGGCCCAAACGCCATGTGGCGCACGACGCCGCCAGAAGGGAACACAATCTTGGGCGACTTCATACCTGGAAATGTAAGTTGAACAGCACCAAAGCCTAAGCTGGCCTGCAACAAATGCTAACGCTACTATTTAGACGATTCTGGGGATCCCTCACCGCGTGGTGTACCGCAGCGAACGTTACTGGAAGCACGCCGACGAGTTCCATCCGGAGCGTTGGTTTCCTGAAGGACAGCGCCCAGCCGAATTTGATGCGGACCGCCGAGAGGGTTTCCATCCCTTTTCATATGGACCGAGGGCCTGCATTGCGATGAAGTGAGTTTTCTTTACTTTGTGATTGGGACCATTGCTGACGGCTTCTGGCAGCCTGGCGTACGCTGAAATGCGCTACATCCTGGCGCGCTTCTTATGGCACTTTGATGTTGAGATGACGGAGCAGAGCAAGACCTGGATGGACAACCAAAAGGCATACCTTGTGTGGGATAAACCGGGCCTCTTCTTACGGTTGAAACCAGTCAACACAGTCTAATAGTTGCCTATTGCAAATATTCCGTCAGCTAGACAGTAACGCATTTCGAAAAACAAATATTTGCCAAACTTTGCGTCTATTTCAACTACCCACACACGTCAATTGAAGCCGTGAGACAATGTTCTTCTGTGCCAGTTTAAATATCAACATATCCTGGCACGACTGAAAGACAGCAACCTTAACTTGTGCCATTAATTCTTTACGATTGGATATCTATACATTCTCAGTGACTCTAACGTATGGAAAACGCCATATACACATCTAGCCAACATTTTGAAAGATCGTCCTATTAGACTAGGTATTATGAGATATATGATCCTAATATCTACATTTGAATGTTCCAAAGCCTGAAAGCTGTAGCTGGGCTCAAACCCTGCAGATCCTGCCACTGCCATCCTCCACGAACTTCTCAGAGCCCACCGCGGAAAATGCATAGAAAACAGAGTCTGGATCCCACTTTTCCTTGACTTCTGTCAAGCGTGCGTAGTTCTCCCCGTAAAACTCTTTCTGCCATTTCTTCGTGTCACTCGGTGGATAGACGAGGGGATCGCCCTCGTTTAGGTACGCCCCTGATCCGGGTGTGGCGGCCTCGATCTCAGGGTGGATATGGCGAGCCAGGTCCTGTCGACGGTTGAGCATCGTCGACTCGGGAACTTTCCAGTCGTAAAACGAAAACTCGAGACAGACTGCCATGGCATCACGCCAGAAGGGTGCCACAGCGTTGTCGGCGTGTTTTGGGACGCTGGTCGCGTTCACGTTGAGACCCATGCAGCCGATCTGCCATCCAGCAGCCCGATCAAAGCCAACGAGTGATTGCACCGCCGACGTCAGTTTCTTGGCAGCAGCTGCGTCTGTCGCGATTCCCTTCGGTATACCACGGCTGTTGAAAAGCTCCGAGGACTGGTAAGGTCCGAAAGGAAGCGGGCCGTTGGTGTAGTTGTAGTGGTCGACGTAGCTTGGTGCAGTGAACGCAGTGAAGGTGTACTTGACTTTGAGGTCGTCCAGCTGTTTGAGGTACGGCTGATATAGCTGTGTCATATCCTCGGCTGTCTTGTTCGCAGCTGTTGTGTTGTGAACATTGAAGCCGCCGTCGATAAAGTTAAAGGCTGGACATGCGCCGGTATTGACGATGGTCGGAAGAAAGCGCCACCAAGCCTCAAGGGCCGCGTTATATGTCTCGTTGTTCGGGCTACTTGTGGTGTTGAAGGTCAGGGTTGCAGCGCCGATGCGACTCTCGGGGTGCAAACGAGCTGTCATGCTGAGGATGACCGCGTAAGTGCCTCCTCCACCGCCGGTCATGGCCCAGTATAGATCGGCGTTTTCCCTCGGGCTAACTGTCAAGTGACGGCCATCTGCTGTGACAACGTCCCATTCAAGGACGTTGTCGGAGCCAAGGCCGTAAGCACCGTTGAGTAGGCCGTGGCCGCCGCCGGTCGAGAATCCACCTGAAATGCCGACGGTGGGGCAATCACCGGAGACAACACGGTAGCCGGCCTGAGATGCCCGGATCAGAACCTCACCACCGGTGACTCCCGCACCGAGCTTTATCGCAGGGCCTGTGTACTCTTCGCTAGAGTAACTTTCGATGATGTCCATTGACTGAAGATTGCGCGTCCATAGTGCCAGGCCTCCTCGACCTGTCGACTTGCCCAGATAGCTACAGATTCAAGACGTGTAAGTCGGCATGCCAAGTTAGTACTGGGAGAGACAGGAGGTCTTACTCATGCCCGGTATTCTTTATGACCAGCCGTATGTTGTTCTTTTGAGCGAACTTGATGCCAGCAACCACGTCGTCGGGGCTGGAGACGGCGATTGAGTAGCTCACGTAATTACCCAGATCACATTGCTCGAAAGTGCGAGAGAATGGGCTGCAGGATGTGTTTTGATACCACGGATTCGCGATCCCAGACGGGTTATTGATGCTATAGGGAGTGATTGTCAGTGACCTCAAGGAGAACGTGTGATCGGACGCATGTGCAGTATAGTAGGGATGATCAGGTGGGGGAACAGCTTAAGTCAAGCAGAACCTACTAAGTTTGAGGTAAATCCCAAGTCTTAGCCAACTCAGCGCAAGCTGCCTCGTTGGCCTGAATGTTTGCGAATCCCTTTTGATAACAGACCGCCGCTTGAGGAACCGTAGCGATTAAGCGACCGTCGACAGTCTGGTTCAACTCGTTCCATGCGCCGGTACTCGGCCAAGCGCTGTCCCCTGGTACAACTTTGCAACGGACATCTGGTGCCTTCGGATCTTGAGCAGCAACAGTAGCATCTTGAAAAGCAGACAGAGAAGACAAAACGAAGACGGCCCTCGACCAGGCCATGCTCAGAGACCGCATTCCGCTCAGCATAATGACAACAATAAAAGATCGCGATAACAGTAAAGCTCTGACGATCAAAGCCTCCAGTGAGAACCACGAGGGACCTTCGACAGAAAAGACGGTATATTAAGTTCGCGGCGGCAGGCAATTTCCAGCTAAGGTTTAACTGTGAACGGCATATCATCTTTGAGTTACGCGATCTCAACTCCATCCCTCCGGTTTTAGTTCGGTGTCAGTTACTGCATCGGGAAGTTCACAGCTACGACAAGGATCACCTTTGCATAGGAAACACAAAACAAACGTCAATACCGATGGATAGCTACCCCTGACCTGCTTTAAATTCAATAAGAATAATCAAAGCCGCCCAAGCTTCCCCGGTTCAGAACGTTGCACACGCTTAGCTCCATTCTCAAACTACTGCATCGCGACATAGCCTTCTACAGATTCTTTTGTCAAATTAGAATAACCCAACCGTCACAATGGCTGCCGTAGCGAGGCCTCCCATCGGAAAGCAGTCCATTTCTAGCTTTTGGACGCAGATGTACCCTCCAAAGCCTACATTCACCAGAGAGAGCATACCCGACTTGAGTGGCAAGGTGGGTACCGCGCTCACTCTAAGAGCTTGTTGCTTCGCGATTCCTATCAACAGAAGGTAACATAGCAATCTCATAGGTTTACATTGTCACCGGTGCCAACTCGGGCGTGGGAAAGGAAACAGCCCAGCTTCTTTACTCCAAGAATGCCAAAGTGTATGTCGCTGCACGCTCTGAGACCAAGGCAAACGACGCTATTGCCGCCATTCGAGAGGCTTGGCCGGGGTCAACCGGTTCTCTCGTCTTTCTGCATCTTGACCTAGCCGATCTTGCCAGCGTTCGCACCGCTGCTCAACGATTCCAAACACAAGAGAAACGTCTCCATGCACTCATCAACAACGCCGCCGTCCAAGCACTCAACGATACCAAAGGCGAGACTAAGACCGCGCAGGGTCATGAGATGCACATGGGCGTCAACGTTCTCGGTCCTTTTCTCTTCACAAGGCTGCTGACTCCCGTCTTAAAAGACACCGCAAGCCAATCTGAGACTAAGAAGGGCGACGTTCGTGTCGTCTGGGTCTCATCCATGGGCACGGAAACCATCGGTGAGAAGTCACGCGGGCTGTCGTCGGACTACGTCAACTACTGGCCCCTCATGTCCCCGCTTGAGCGATATGGTCTGAGTAAGGCGGGTAACTGGTTGCACGGCGTTGAATATGCACGGCGCCATGCGGCCGACGGCATCATGAGCGTGCCGGTCAATCCGGGCCACCTGGCGTCTGAGCTGTACCGAGAGGCTGGATTCGTCTTTCGGAGTGCTCTGAAAGCTATGGCGTTGTACCCGCCCGTCTATGGTGCCTATGTCGAGTTGTACGGCGCACTGTCGTTGGACCTGACTATGAAAGACTCGGGAAGCTGGGGTATGTGTTGACTTACATCTGAGTGATGGCGTTTGGCTAATGTGCTTCTGAGTTAGTTGTTCCCTGGGGTCGCCAGTACCCGATACGCGAGGACTTGCTTGAAGCAACTCGACCAGAAGAGAAGGGCGGTAACGGCAATGCTGCCAAGTTTTGGGATTGGAGTGAGGAACAAGTGAAGGACTTTTTGTAATTCTCAATGACCAAATTTCACAGTAATTTCGATGAACTTGAGTAACTTCTTCGTCTTCGTCGACGTTCATGTCGTGCCGCGTGACTTGTACTTACGCGTCGGGCGGGTGACCTTAATTGGCGTTCTGTCATATCAAACAGAAACAGAACACACATGAGAGACATAGCAGCTAAACACTGGCTTTAAGGGTCATTTCAAGGTCTATTAGATATGCTGAACTTCCGTGAAGCACAAGTCTAAGTTGCCCATGTGCCACGACATGCAGTCCTCCACTGTGTTCAGGAAGTTGACGTCGTCGAAACCCGCTGCAAATGACACATTATATCTCCAAGCGCACTCGGCAAGGAGCAGTCGCATCTCCATAAGAGCAAGAGGTCGTCCGAGACAACTGTGATGTCCTGTAGCAACAACCGAGCTGGTTAGTTGAGAGTACCAACGTGTGCTGGCCACCAAGCGACATGACTTACCGGTTGAAAACGGAGCATAGCCAGCCCGTTCCTTGATCATCTTCGGTTGAGAGTACCACCTCTCGGGAACAAAGTCTGCCGCTCTCTCATACACAGCTTCAGACCGACCGATGACATACTGCGATGAGAAAACTGTCATGTTCCCAGGTATAAAAGTATCGCCCACCGTCAAGCCTTCGGGTGGCGTGATGCGCATGATTGTCGACGCAGGAGGGTGCAAGCGGAGAGTTTCGTTGATGACCGCGTTCAGATGTTCCGCGCCCATGATGCCTCGATGGCTGAACTGCCGATCTTTCTCGTGGTCGTTTGTCTCTCGCAATGGAGACAACTCATCCCGCAGCTTCTTTACATGCTCTGGATGCCTAGCTAGGTAGAAGAATATGAAGGCAAGTGTCGCAGCTACAGTGTCGCTCCCAGCAATAATGGCGAAACGGCAGTCATTTCTCAGGATCGAGATGTCTCGCTGTATCGGTGGCAGTTTTTCGTAATGTGCCAGCAGAGGCGCCATCAAACTCGGACGCTCGAACCGTTTCTCGTCAGTCATCATCCTGTCCAGGTTCGCATGGCAGAAAGCCAGGAACCCTGTGCTCTCCTCTGTTGGAACTAGCGGCTGCGCGATGTCAACCATCAACCGCAGTAGCCACATAGGGAGACGCAGAGCCATAATCTCCATCCCTTTCACCAGCTGCTCAATGGCCGGGTGCCCACCGTCTCGGAGCATGCCAAAGTCTTTTCCGAGGGCCAGGTCACCCAAGACGTCGAACGCGAAGTGTTCCATCAGCCGGGCGGTATCGACTGCCTGCTCTTTGCTAGTTGAGAGACGCGCAAGAACCATCTGAACGTAGACGGCGACGCGGTCTTCGTAACCGCGGAGCGCTCGCTCACCGAATCCTCGGCTCCAGACACGGCGCCTCGCTGCATGAACCTCCTCATTCCTTGTCGCGATGCCTAGATTGGGCTGCTCAAAGTCGTACATAGATGCTCTGTGGCAACGACTTTCGGGTCCGTGGATAGCCGGTACGGCAAGTGGGTGCGCCAACATCAACGTGGAAGATCCGATGCGCACGAATGCCCCGTAAGTCTCGTAAAGATCAAGGGTTTGTTTGTGCAGGTCGTGACCCCGAGCGAGACAGATTGAGAAGGGAATATCGCCAAAGCGTGCTGTGAAAGGGCCCGGAAATCTGTTGAGAGGGTGCAGCAGCAGTCTGTATACGAGGAGGCTGCCGTAGGTGCCCGTGAGAAAACATGCCAACACAGACAAGCCAGAGCCGATAGATGAGAGCCAAGTTGCTGTAGTAGCATAGCGGTGTGTCGTTGATACAATTAAAACGCCAACAAAAGCCGCTTGAAGATATCCTTTCCCGTGTCTGTGGTGTTCGCCGTTGCGGAAATAGCTCACATGCGCCAAAACGCCTGCCACAGCTGCAGCCAGATAGGCTAATACGCCTGGTGCTGAATGCATTGAATGATTTGTCGAACTGTCGTTCCCAAAAAGAAAATGATACCGGTGGAGGAATGTTGCAGTCTCGCCCACTGGCTTCCAAAGTTCAGGAAAAGAGACGCAGAGAGTTCAGATCGATCTGGATCTACGCCTCACACTCACATTCGGCGATCTCCCAGTGACAAACGGCAAGTTCTGCGGCCCTTAGACGTAACTGAAAAACTGGTAAATACAAGACTTTCGCTTTGGTCTGGAATCTAACGAGCGTCTGGGCCAATGGTCGAAGTAGCTGTATCCTGAGCAAACATGACCAGCGGAAAGTAACGCCGGAAGGGCATCCCTGCATCCAGACCGGACCCAATTTTAGGGCCGGGCCGGAGGTGTGGAGACCGGCAGAGCAAACATTCGGTATCGGTTTCCAATTCAGGCAAGTCGACCTCCGAGTCAGTCTCACGCCGCGCGCGGTGTCAACTCGGCGTTGCTACTCGTGAAGTCGGAGATGATAAGAGCCAAACCCTCAAAGTGGTTCTGCCCGGCGATTCTTTACGGCCAAAATTGCCCCGTTGTCAGCTTCCGGTAAATTTCAAGCGAGCCAGCAATTCTCCTGTCATCTTCTTTGCAACTGGTTCTTGACTTGGCTCAGATATAATTCCTCTGACTGGACTCCAACTCCAGTCTAGGGCATACTTGTGTAAGAGATTCAGAAGGAGAACTAGTACAATCGACCAATCATGAAACCACCAGCGACCTGCCAGACTGCGGTCGTTCAGTCCAAGAAAGGTTCCGCGGAATCCGGCCTCCCATTGATCGTCGCCCAGTCCAGGCCCATGCCGCCTGACCTACCGACGCCTCATCATGTACTCGTTCGCGTTTTGGCCGTGGGCCTCAACCCCACTGACTTCAAGATGGTCACTCACTTCTTCATGGAAGATAACTCAGTCGGATGCGACTTCTGCGGTATCATCGTCGAAGCGGAGCCCGAGGCAATGCACTCAGTCGGCACGAGGGTGGCCGGCGCCGACTTTCCCTACCGGCCGAACAATCCCAACAACGGAGCCTTTTCAGAATACGTCGTCGTCGATTCCCGACATCTTCTTAGAGTTCCGGGTTCGATGTCCGACACGCAAGCTGCTGGACTTGGCGCTATTGGATGGGGCACCGCTGCTCTGGCTATTTCCGACCCGGAAGCTTTGAACCTGCCCGGCATGCCGGCTTTGCCTGCCGAGAAACAACTCCCCGTGTTAGTTTACGGCGGTGCCACTGCCACGGGCCTCATGGCGATTCAGATGCTGAGACTGTGAGTCCTTTTTGCCCGTTTCGTTTCCTTCCCCGCATAACTGTCTTCGACCTTTCCCTCTTGAATCAGTTGAGGGCATAAACTGAACCGGCCGGACCCGGCGCACAGCTCAGGTTACGCTCCGATTGCCGTGTGCTCGAGCAAGTCGGCACCTCTAGCTATGAGGCTTGGCGCGGTGGGGACGGCCTCTTACACGTCGCCAACCTGCGCCCAGGATGTCAAAAGCATTGCGGGCGGTGCGGCTATCAAACACGCTCTCGATTGTATCACCGATGCTGAGTCCGCCGCCGTCTGCTTCGCGTCTCTAGCTCGCGTCGGCAGTCGCTATGCTTGTCTCGAGGCCATCCCGGATGCTTGGGTGGCCCGTCGATCTGTCGCGCTTAAGGTTGTCATGGGCTTCGAGGGGCAGGACCGTGACGTTGATCTGGGTCATCCGGTTTATTCGCGGAAGGCTAATCCGGGATTACACGCCGTCGTTGCTCGTTGGGCTCGCGAACTGCAACCGGCATTGGACGAAGGAAGGTTGACGACGCAGCCAATTCGGGAAGTGGGTGGTCGTTTTGAGGGTGTTATCGACGCCTTGGAGATGTTACAGAGGGGAGAGGTTAAGGGTGAGAAGCTGGTGGTTTCCATCTCAAATTGAGTACCGACGAGCTGTCTCCGATGGTTCGGGCGGCCTGACAACATCTGAAGTTCATTTTGCCAAGTGATAATGAGCCTGCCGTCTTTCCGGCCGAGAATTTCGATCGCTCGGCGAATCAGTCTGCTTCATACAGTGGTTGTCTGAAGTTCGTGACTCAATCGAACCTAGCCGAGCTCGCCCCCTCACTTTAAAATATCATTCTCGTTTCCGGATGTTTAAAAAGATGGGATGATGGCAGAACCTCGGTCTCGGGTGTGTAGTGTTACAGAGAATGCCACAGAAGAATTCCCGTGCGGCTCAGAATAGTAGCGTCTCCTGCATGATGTGTCCGTATTTGCTTTGTATGTGGTAGACGGGCGTAGCGACTAGTCCCCCTTTCGATGATTGTCGACAGCGTCGGCCGGTAAACACGACATACTGTTCTGCCGTTCTTACATGTTTGCCTTCGTGCTTGTTTCAAGGCCATAGCCGAACTTAAGTGTATTTCTCCCCCAGCTGGAGAAAAGTCTACAGCCCCAGATCGGCGACATATGCTTCCACGACGCATTTGACCACGAACCATACCATGTCGAATTTAACATAACCACACCGGCATCGTACGTTTTTTCCCGCTTCTGATCAAATCATGTGAGCGTACCTCGCGGATTCCCATGCCTAAGAATATCGTATGGCATCGATATCGTATTTCGCGACAGCCAAGCGGTCGGCTTGCGACCGCTGCAAGAAACAAAAGCTGCGATGCCCACCCCAGCTCAATCACAAGGCCGGACAACCCTGCGGTCGTTGTGCGAGAGCCGATGTGCCCTGTATTAAAGGCTATACACGACCTCGAGGCTTTTCTGCGAAATCCACAGGCGAAAATGGCTCATCTCAACGCATATCCATATCGTCAAGCCAGCCCTCCAGTGGGCAGACGAGGACGACCGAGTCCCGCTCACGTAGAGACCCGACGGATACGATGCTGGACATGAATCCCACAGCTGGGGACACTAGCAGCTTGTTATGGTTTTTGGGTAACGACGGAGGTCAATACCTGCCGCCCCTGAACCCTCACGACATTAGGACAGACGCAACAAACGATGAAGACAACCTCACAGTATCGGACTTCGACCGTCATCTCTTGCCGGAAGACTATCACGACGACATTATTGAGTCGTTCGAAGTCTCTGCTCCCGAGAGCTCACTCCCTCGTCGAGTTGCCAAGGACCCAAATGTTGGATCGCAACGAGTGGAACGGCAACGACAAAGTTTCGGCGAGAATGCCCATTTTTGTCGCATGCCCCGGTGGACGGAATGTGACATGCGGCTATGTCAGCTGAACCTGGATCTATGCAAGCAGTTGGACAGACAGATCCATCCTTCACTAGAGACGACTACTGGAGCACAGAGAGGCCTGACAGGGACAAATGGCTGCAGCACTTTTGGAGATGCGTTTGGAGACGCTCTCAATAACACTGAAAAATACCTCGAAATTCTCCAGGACCTGCTTGGCGGAAGCCCTCCATCAGCTTCATCAAGCTCGACCAAGAGCCCATCCATAAGAAGCGAGGACGATGTTCACATCCCTTCTAACCTCGTATGCATTCTCGGCCTCGAGTCCTGTTACTTTCGCATCGTCAATCTCTTCAATCTTCATCTCGCCAACATGCACGAACAGTCACGACAAGGCAGTCACGACCCCGACACCCTTTCACTGCCACTATCCTCTCCCGTTACCCCGAGTAGCCCTCCTGTTCTACCCGGACTACGCCTGGCCGGATTTCTGGTCCGACAGGCTGGTTTGCAGGCGAAGATATTGTATCAAGTCATTCAACACCAGTTCGAAATGATTGAGAAGTTCTTGGGTTTGCCGGCCGAGCTACGCGTATCGGGGCGCCGAGACGAAGACGACGACCTTCGTGGGGTCTTGTGCGAATTCTGGGTAACAACGTCTCTGATGAAAGAGGGGAGGGCATACGATGAACAGATTCAAGCCATTCAGGTGCTACGAGAGCGCATCGTGGATGCACGATAGTACATGTACGTGAAGTGGAAAAAGGAAAATATTCACAACGATACCAATTTAAATACCAACCGTGATGTTTAATAAAGGCTCTGGACTATCGTTACCATCCATCTCCACCCGTTGCCTTGCGTCCCGGTAGTCATAGCCGTGGTGAGCTATCCTCCACCGAGTCCGCGGCATGCCGTATTGATCTCTTGCTGGTGCTTCTCGAGCTTCTATCTTGACCTTGATCGAGTTGAACATTCGTCGTCTCTCCCAGACTTTTGAAGACAAATCTGACGAGGAACTTCCTAATACTCGGTATACAAGCCGTGAACACAGCCACGCTCAGCTCAATATTCGACCATACGGCCAAGGGGTATGAATCGGCTAGAGATTGCATCAGTCACATCGCACAAGGAATATTCGAAACTAGGTGCACATACTCGTGAAGTTGTGTGTCCCCTCTTGGTATTTCAGTAGGAAGCCAAAGCGAACTGCACTCGCCGCCGTGAGACTGAGAGGTCATCAACATTAGCCACTGCACAATACTTCCCGCCTGTACAGGAGAAACTTACAAAATACCCAGGCTGAACATGAAGAACACGGCACACTTCTTTTTCCAACGCATGTTCAGGCCCAGTACTTGGGACGCCGGTAAGATGAGCATCCACACGTCCAGAGCGACTTGTACTCCCCCATGAATGACGCCGATGAGGATGTAATTCATACACCATCCCTGGCTCTGCCCGTCTTGGCGCCAAACCGTCCAAGCCAGGTGTATAGGATGGCACTGAAAGACGCCGACGATGGTGACTGAAATCCCGACGGCCGCGTTGAAGGCTTGTGTACCCCATAGGACGGCCCGAAAGGTTTCGCCTGGGAAGATGCGGAGGTACATAAAGAGTATTGACGCTTTCACTAGACATATCGTGAAGGTGTAGAGAACCTGCCCGATGTATACGGACTGCCGAAAGTTAGCCGCTGATTGCTTTGGAGCCCAGATTGCGACGCACCATGAAGTAATTCGTGATCTGGTTGGGAGTGAGCTTCCACATATCCCTGCCGGCCCCGTTTTCTCCCGCTTGATGATCGTTAGCTGAGTTATAAGACTGCCGAAGGATATACTTGCCAAATACACTCGTTGGAATAAATCCGATGATAAAGCACTGCAATTTGATTCAGCTTGCGTTTACATACATAGAGAACTTCGCTTACATATGCTATTAGAATGAACGTGTCGTCAGCTCCCCATGTAGAAACCCGAGTGGCCTTGATTGCCATTCGGATGATGATTGATAGAGTTGGCAACACAAAGAACATGACAAGCTGGGGGACTTTTGTCTTGGTGAAGTCGTCTTCGAGAGGGAACCCGCATGTTGTCCATGTATAATTCTGAGCAGCTGTATCGTGTAAGCAAGCACTATCTCGACAAGTAGTAGGCCAATATGCATGTGGTGTTGAGTGTTACCTAAAGCATCAATCGGCCGGCAGTTCTGCACGACGCACCCCTCGACCGAGTTCATGAACCTCTCGTCATGACAAAAACAAGCCTGGCTTGATGGGGGACATGACGTCCTGTTCAGGCCTTCTTCGATACATGGTGCCTATTCTTCGGTCAGTCATCGTTGTTCACGTACTAGCTATTTCAGGGTACACCGTAGCATACAGCGCAGGTTGGTGGACCGTCGACCGAGGAGGCTCCGACGATGATGGCCCAGAAGAGTGGAACGAGGCAGAGAAATCTCGTCGGATTCATTGCCGTTATGCGGAATCTGATGACCTAGAAGACTTGACCGGCGCCAGAACTGGCTTCTCAACATCGACCAAAACTTTCGTGGACGGTGGAAACGCGCTCCGAGATCCACACGAACGGTTTTCCTGGGTGATGACAACAGCGAATCTTCAGGCTTTCTGCAGACAGGTCGGGAGCTTTGAGAGTATGGCTGCAGTAGTTTGAGGTATCTGAAATGAGAAGCGCTGTGGAGCCGGTAAAGGACTAGTGCTACTCACCCGAGGCATTCGGGTGGCGGTCGATTCAGCTGTTTCCGGTGTTTGAGGCGTTGGGTAAACCTGCATTTGACACGAATGGCTCGCTGACGGCATGAAATCTCGGACAAAGATATACCATTTTTGCGATCATCCGGGTCTCCATTACGGTATCAGTTGCACCGCAAGGGTGCGCGGTGGTAAGCCCCACTCTGACGCCGAGAGCCGAGTTCATCGGACCCGGCCTGAGACCGGTATTTGTGGGGCATGTCGGTGCCACCGGACGGGCTTCCGGCAATGTCGGCTCTCCAGCCCATCAACACAGCAGTATTGTCATGATTGCGACAAAACTTACAGACAGTGTATTTCACACGCATGCTCAAGTTCATGATGATATTTCGTGCTGATTTTACGCATCAACATTCCCCCGAGAGGCTTGGATCACGGCTCTTTCATCCAATCAAAAGATGATGATCAGTATATACGGGTTTAATATGTACAACGAAGTAATGAACAATATTTCAGAATGTAACTGACTCCAGACGTCTTTTTAGAGATTTCCCGAGTTAGACACACCTCTCCTGCCTCAACCCCTTATGCAACATAGTTCTTGAGCAGGCTGTTGTAGTACGTGTATCCCGTGCCACTAGGAGGCTCGAAGCTGTAGATGTAATCGCCCCACCAGGGCCCAGCCGACCACCAAAGAGCCCCTGAATTTGTTAGTATGACATGAAACGGCCTTGGAAAGAGTCTAGACTCACCAGTCCACACATCACTGTTGGCCTTGAGGTAATCCAAGAGACCCTTGACAGCAGTCTGGCACTGAGAGTTCGCACCACCAGCAAACTCTCCGAGGATACCAATCTTTCCATTCTGTCTCAGCCAGGCAGTTGCAGCTTGTACCCTCTCGACGCCGATGGTGGTCGACACACACGCGGTGGAGGTACCCGAGCTGTCGGAATCGAGGTACTGGTGCATCTCGTAGACGATCTTGTTCTGCGGGTCAGTCAAGGCCTTCATATTGTCGTTCACGGTAGTCCAGCTCCACGCGCCGGACCACTGGTTTCCCTCGACGAAGATGTACTGGGTGGCGCCCGCGGCCCTGATGCCGTTGATCGCGGCCTGGTTCAGGTTGAGCACCAACGTCTGGTCCATGGTGTTGTACTCGTTGTTCGTGTCGAAGATGACCTTGCTGTTGCTCTTGAACTGCGTCGCGAAGTTCTTCCACCACGTCTGGAAGCCCGCGGTGTCGGTGATGATGGCGTCGTTGAAGCGGCCGTAGTTGTGGGGGTCCAGGACGGCCCAGCCACCGCTGTTGGTGATGTGGTTGATCACCGTCGTCAGGTTCTGGAGGTAGGCGTTGTTGAAGCCGCCGGTGAGACCGCTGGGGGTCATGCGCTCCATCTTGAACTGCACGCGGAAGGTGTTGTAACCCTGGCCGCGAAGGGTCTTCTCATCCGTTAGCATGTACAAAATTCCTCCACGTAACTGCAATCCGGATACTCACAGTGATGGTAGCAGGGTCAGGGAAGATGAACTCCTTGCCCCAAGTACCGGGCAGAACCTTCTCGCCGAACTCGCCACCAGCCTCATTAACACCGAACCACTTCCATCCACCAGCACCGGGCGCCGGTGTCGAGCTCGGCGTCGATGCACGGGTCGTAGTCGCCAAAGTCGTTCCGGCCGGAGGCGGGCTGGAGCCGGGAAGACACTGGCTGTACCACTGGTTCGACACGGTGCAGGTGTATCCGGAGACGCAGGTTGTTGCTCCGGACCAGCCTTGGCCGCCGCATTGTGCGTACGCGCCGGCTTGAGCGGCCGCTGCGCTAACGAGAGCGCCGAGAGCGATGAGGCACTTCATCTTGGCTTGGTATCGAACTATGACTGAGTAGAGGGCTGCAGAAACAAGCACTTGGTTCGGGAGGGGGCCTTGGCTGCCGTCGTTTATATATCAGATCTCGAGGGCCACGCAAATGCCAAAACCACAGTGCCATCCCGTTGGGCCGTCTTCCCCACGCGATGGTATCATCATGGAACCCTCCACTCCGTGGCACCTTTCCCCTTTCATGAGCAAAGCCAGGAAGCCCCGTGATGTTGCAGACGGGTTGATGGATCATTACCGATTCGGTAGGTGCCGTTCGAACACAACTTTCATGGTATTCGCCTGCGCTATGAACAGTTAAGTACACGGGTCGATATTATAGCCTCATGGATCCTTCGTTTGGTTTTCTCTTTTGGTACCCGGGATGAAAGGAGCCGCAGTCGTCGTTGAGACTTCAAGGGGAGAGGACGCAACGTCGGACCGGTTCGCTGGGATCACGTATGTGCCGGGGTCGGCATCCAGGTGACCTTCAGCAAATGCGGCCAATCGGCACCGATTTCATTTCCAGGAACGGGAAGACGGGCACTGTCGTCGTGGGAAGAATCAATTTTAAAGGCTGGGTCGAGCCGGAGTGCCAGCCTCCGAGGTTGCATCGGGCCATCGGACGAAGGCATTGGGACACATGACTACAATTTAAGAGCCGTTCGGTACCAAAAGGTTTTGATGTAGTTTATTCGCCTTTCCACCAGTAACGGATGATGCTTAAATGAGCTTAGAGTGGCATTCAATACCACGAGCTTCGGCTTTGAGGGCCTGCAGTTCCTGGCGCGATGATGCCCACAACTTCGTCAACTGATGGCGTGACGAGGGTCAACAGAGTTACTCGATCAAATCCATATTCACTCCGTTAGAACGCAGTCGAAAATTACAATTCTTCATCAGAGTTTGATACTGCAAGCCATCGGAGAGTTCGGCTCTTGGCTGCTTGGCGCCTGCGCTTGCGGCCCATGAGACATGCGTGGTGCTACCACCCGAATGCAGATGCCGGAACAGTGCCGCCGGACTAGACCGGGAAAGAAACTGAGGCTGACTCTTAGTCGTTTGAACGGTGTTGTGTTGTACCCATGGCGGCGTGCTGGAATCAAGGTTGCGGCTGCCTTACAAATGTCACAAGAACTTGACCGGGAATCGGTAGGTCAACCGCAAAGGCAATAGGAATCATTCGTTGCGCAATCGGTATCATGACATGCCCAACAGAGCCTCCGTAAATGTACACGGCGTTACTCGTCGCCGCCTGGCTGCACCAGCACTGGAGATCACAAGTCGTCTCTACCCAGTCCATGCTTGTACGCCGACAACGCCCGCTCACGACAACCCTTGTGTTCAACCATTTGTTGAGGGTAACCCGCCTTCTTCGCCTGGGGGCCGGCGCCGCGGCCGTACGGATCATGAATAGCCTTGCCCTTGACACCCTTCAACTCCGGAACCCACTTCCTGATGTAGTCTCCGTCAGGATCGAACTTCTCGCTCTGAAGCAAGGGGTTGAAGATGCGGAAGTACGGCTGGGGATCGACACCAACGCTCGCTGAGAACCCCCAGCCACCATTGTTGGAGGCGAAGTCGCCGTCGATGAGGTTCTCCATGAAGTGGCGTTCGCCCATGCGCCAGTCGATGAGGAGATCCTTCGCAAGAAAGCAGGCGACGATCATGCGACATCGGTTATGCATCCAGCCCATCTCATGCATCTGACGCATCGCCGCATCGACGATGGGAAAGCCGGTCTTCCCATCGCACCATGCCTTGAACTCGTCCATTTCGTAAGACCACTCGATGTTTGCGTACTCGGGCTTGAAGGGTTTGTTCATGCTAATGGTGCCGTTAGTGATCATGGCGTCTCAGAGAAAGGGAGGAGAACGTACCACACGTATGGCCAGTTGACCAGGACGTGCTTGTAGAAGTCTCGCCATGCGACCTCGCTGATCCATACCCGGATGCCTTCATTCCCAGCGTCCAGCTTCTTGGTCTTGTTTCTGTCTCGTGCGTACCGTACGCACGTCCTCGAACTGATGGTACCACTGGCCAAGTGGACGGAGAGAGATGAGGTCCCGGCGTCGGAGGGGATGTTGCGCTTGTTATGATACTGGCCGACCTTCTCCTCACAGAACTTCTCCAATCGGCTTCGTGCCTCATGCTCGCCCGGTGGGAAGAAGGCGCGGAAACGCTTTTTTTGGTCGTCTTGCAGGGACCTGCCCTCAATCTCCTCCGGGATGTCCGTGTCGAACAGTTCGCCAAACTTCTTTCTCGCGCTAGAAGGGTTCTTCGCCGGGGGGTCGTAGAGTTCTAGAAGGTCAAGATTCTCGTGGACGTGGCGGACCCATGCGCGGAACCAGGGAGAGTAGACGGCGTATTGCTTGCCCGCTCCGCTCGTCAGCTGGCCCGGGGGAACAACGCACGTATCGTGTAGAACTTCGTATGAAAGGCCCCTGTCAGCAAACATACGGACCATCTTGGCCTCCCGCCGAAGCTCGTCCACTTCGTACTCCATGTTGGCAAACAGGTGACTGGCCCCCCACTGGCCCATGAGCTCGGCGATTCTGTCGGGAATTCTCTTGCGCTTCTCAACGGTCTCGACGTAGAGTGGGATGTCGAGTTTGGCAAGATCCTCCCTCAGCACATGCAGGGTCCTGAGCATGAAGTCGACGCGGATAGGAGCCGTCAGATGCGCCTCGAAGTCTTGGGGGCTGATGATGTACATGGCGATCAAAGGCACGCCAGCCTCCTTGGCCTTCTCGCTGGCGAGGGACAGCGATCGATTGTCTGTCGTCCGCAGGTCCATCTTGAACCAGTGAACCGCGGCATCCTTGACCTCGACCTTCTTGCGCGCCTTGGAGGTTTCCTCAAGAGCGGCCGTCAGCTCCTCGATGGGGCGGGGAATCTCGTTGTCGTTGTAGGCTCGTGCCCGGTCGTTGCTCATCTCGTGAGGATAGAACTTTCGAAGAACGATTCCATGCTTCTCGGCATCCTTGTGGAAGGGGTGCGGTTGGCGCAACGGGTCGGAAGATGCGCTGCCGTTCTGCTCGGTCTTTGTCCTTTTGCGTCCCGAGTCGCTGGACTCGGCCGTAGCCGTGGACTTACGCTTCTGCTTCGGCGGCATTGTTAAGGAGAATGGTCTGGAGGTGAAGCAAGATTGACTGCGAGGGGCAAACACAGAGGTGGTGAAGTACGGAAAGAAAGCAGCAGGTGGAAGACGCGTCTTGGTGGACAGCAGGACGCGACAAAGAAGCATGGGAATGATGGGATTGGAAGGAAGTTGCTGGATAGGATCTACCAGCAAATTCTGAAACGCAATGGATATTCTACCTATGTAACTCACTACATTACAGTCAATTCTCTTAGCTTGCTAGGAGCTTGAAAAAAGAGGACGATGCCATTTAGTTGGGGAAGAGCTTGCGATCGGCCGATGTCTTGTGCGTCATCATGTTCCTGAAATCGGGAGATCTGGACGTGCATCTGCGCTTTCAGGGCGCTTTAGCGTCCCAGGGCCCTGGCTTGGTGGAGATTTAGTGCCCAGATCTTGATAAGTCAGCGGGGTAGAGACGCAAGGAGCCGCTGTAACTGGCTCGGCAGAATCTCCCGGCCAGCCCAAGGTGAGACATCTTGGTTCGCTCGGTGAAGGGGCTAGATCTCGGTGAGTCTCGGTAGATGACCGGAGCGGGGCTTACCGAGAGCTGCCATCCGATGTTGGGCCGAATATGCCCCACACAAGATATGAGTCACGTGCTGATAAGCAGCACTGACGTCTGCGTTCTCTCCCGATAAGCTTCTTTCCGTCTGAAGGCGCGACAGGCATCGACAACAAGATCCAAAAGTGCAGCCGCGATTTCTATTTTTTCTTCCCTCTTTCAACTTCAACGACAACAAAGATACCCTCAACGTGATACCCGCCCCGCCGACTAACCTTACGATCGACGCAAACATGGACCCGGGCCGCAGAGCCATGCTCAACTCTGGGCGCAGATCCCCCAGTCGCAGAGACCGCGAGCGAGAAAGAAGCATCACTTCGCCCCGGCGCGATCCCAACAACCGCATCTCGAAGCCCTCCAATTCGCAATCTTCCTCGAGACCCCGCCAGAACAACAACGGAACCAACACGAGCTCGAGCTACATGACCCAGGATGAACAGTCTCGTCAGTTTGTCGCCGACGAAGACAAGTTCGTTTTGAAACAGGCCAAGAAGAAGGCGGACATTCGCGTTCGGGAAGGCCGAGCCAAGCCAATTGACTTGCTCGCATTCAATTTACGCTTTATCGATACCGATCGGGACGTCTTCGACGACGATGATGCCGACCTGCACATCAACGTGCCCTCCCCGGATAACGTCCTCCAGGGCCTCGACGAATCACAGCTGAAAGAGCTTGATTCTGACATCACGTCCTACCACACCCTCGAGACCAACGGCCGTAACCGCGAATATTGGAAGTCGTTGCAAACAATCTGTGCCGACAGGCGGCAGAAGCTGAAACCACAAGGGCCAGACGCTCGGGTCGTCAGCACAGTGTCGGAAGACGTCGACAAGATCCTGCGCCCCAAAACGTACGAGCAACTCGAGGCCCTGGAATCTCAGATCAAGACCAAGCTCCGCTCCAACGATGACATCGACGTCGACTACTGGGAGCAGCTCCTGCGCAGCCTGCTTGTGTGGAAGGCCAAGGCGAAGCTCAAGAAGGTGTGCGATGCCATCATGGCGAACAAGGCCGCCATGCTTAAGCTGCAGGACCCGGAAAAGGCCAGGGCTCTAGGCCAGCAAGCTATGCAGAGCGAGTCTATTCCTGGACCTGCAGCAGTCAGGAACCTGTCATCTGAGCCCAGCAGGGCCGAAACAAAGGCAGTGTCTGTTTCATCCGGGCTCCAAGGCGGTGCGCCACCAGGAACGGCTCGATTCGCGCAGACTGGCAACGAAGATTTCTCCCAGGCCACCAAGGCCCTCTACGATCGAGAGGTCGCCCGTGGTATCAGCGAGGACGAGGAGATCTTCACTGCCGAGGAGGCTGTACCCAGTGCCTCGAAGCCGCAGTGGGCGGACAAGTATCGACCACGCAAGCCCAAGTACTTCAACCGCGTCCAGATGGGCTACGAATGGAACAAGTACAACCAGACGCACTACGACCACGACAACCCGCCGCCCAAGGTGGTCCAGGGCTACAAGTTCAACATCTTCTACCCAGAGCTGATCGACAAGACCAAGGCGCCCACTTTCAAAATCATTCGAGAACACGGCCGGAAAAGGGGAGAGTCCTTTGCTGCTGCAGGGGAGGAGGACACGTGCCTCATTCGTTTCATCGCGGGCCCCCCGTATGAGGACATTGCATTCCGAATCGTGGATCGCGAGTGGGATTACAGTGCAAAGAAGGATCGCGGCTTCAAGAGCTCTTTCGACAAGGTATGTTTTGTGGCGTTCGCTGCGCTGTTTTCACGTGGCCTTCGAGATCTTTTTTTCATTCCATGGCGGAGTCGGCATGCATATGCAAGAAAACTCCAGGGGAAGAAGGAGATGGAGGGGGGGGGGGGGGGGGGGGCGAGTGGAGTTGGCCGGCGGCCAAATTGCCCCCGCAGGACTGGGGTTTAT